ATGGTCTCTTGCATAGCAAGAAGAGCTTGGCGAGAGGGAAGCCCGTCGGCCTAAGGCGAAGGCACATCAGACTGGGCGGAAGGTACGTCGGGGACTGACGACATACTGGGATGCCTGTACAAGCTTTGTTGAGTTTACAAAGTGTGATGAAGGGCGAACAGGACAGGACGGACGCTTGTGCTGAAGACAGGACTTGGGCGAGATGTAGGTGACAAGAATAGAAATTGTAAACTAAGGAACAAGACAGCGGAAGGCTGCCTACTTATGTCTACCAGGTATCAGCATGAGAGCGGATGGCGATGATGGGGATGGAGCCCACGGGAGCCGCCTCTCAGCAGGAGAACAGTGAAAGAAGAGGGGAAGCGAGATTGCGTGAGCCCAGTGGAGATGTCCGAGCTGCGAGATAAGGAAGAGACAGAACAAGGGACGACGTGGTAGACGTTGTCGACGAGTAAGAGAGCGAAAAAGGACAACGTGACAGAGCGTTGCCGGAAATGAGGAAGCTGGGCGGGGGACGATAAGCAACGTGCTGAGGTGATAAGCGTCGTTGAAGGGCGGAAGGTAGAAGAGCCGCGATGAGTTGCCAGAGCATGTGGTGCGGGAAAGTCGGATGCGAAGTTTAAGGCTGCGTGTTCGTTACACTCAGTGATCCGCCTCTTCATATCCGCTGGTTTTCCTCCGGTGTGCAAGTTTGGAAGTCGGTTGGCTCCGGTAATCCGCTATGCTTGGAAAATTTCTCACGGTAATCCGCCGATTGGATCTGGTACACTCCGGTAAATTTTCCGTAGATCGCATCAGCCGAAGTCTTGAGCCCAGGCCTGTATTTTCTTGTCAACTCGTAGCCTCCTTGCAGCGTTCAAGCAGCAGAGACCGCGACCAGTTCACTCCACCTGCCAGGAACTTGTGGGGCATACAAAAGTGTGTTTTTGCGGGTATGCCTCATGACGTGCCTGGTAAGGCGTCTGACTCAAGCAACCTAGATAGTGCAAATAAGATAGTTACGAACAGAGAGTAGAGTGGATGCTCATACTCTCTCTATGGACTAGGGGTGACCATCACGTGGACGCACGCGATACGCTGCAGAGAGATGCACTAGCAGTCACACCCACGCAAGTGGATACTAGACTGCTCAACACTCCCTCTATGTCGATAAGCGTAGCGCTTATACAAGTCCGAGAAGAAGCCGTTAGTGCTCCAGTGCGGGACGAGGAAGGAGTTTTGTTAGGCAATCTGCCTTCTGCAACTTGGTGCTGACATAGTGAAGCTTGATCTTGCCTTATTCAATCAGCGGTCGAGTGTGGTGGTATTTGACCTCGATGTGCTTGCTCTTGGCGTTGAACACGGGGTTGTGGGCCTACACCAGAGTGGCTTGATTGTCCCCAAACAAGTTGATGGAGCCGTCTGGGTTTAGCACATTACTGATGCGGGCCCTGGATCAGCAAGCTGTTCATGCAGGCATACCCGCTAAGACACCCTTGTTTTTATGCGCCCTCAAAGAAAATCTTTTTCATTTGATATATTATTTCCTTCATTGCTATAGAAACTACAGATATGGTCGGAAAGGTAAGTGAAATGAGCTTCATCTCACGAGAGCCTGCCCAGTGGGCGACTAACAGCGCGGGACTGGCTGAAGAAGTGAAGACCTCAACAAGCACACCCGCTAAAACACCCTTGGAATTGCGCGCGCGCGCGTGCGAGTACCCAGCGTTCTTGTGTCTTCCATCACTCTCGTAAGCTTTCTTTGCGTCAGTGGTAGCGTCAAGCCTGTTTCCTTGAAAGAGCGAGACCTTGAGAGGTTCCAGATGCCGCATGTAGTGGCAGCATAGGTCATGATCAGGCCACGATTATCTTTGCTGACTTCGGGGCAGACGAGGTCAACGTAGGTTGGAAGTTGCTCAGGCAGAACGGCCGACCAGCCTTCTTTTGCCACTGGACAGAGTACAAAGAGTTGCTCGGGCGTCTCGAGTTCGGTACCCATACAATTGACGCACTCTTACTTCTTGTTGCTCTCTACCGCGGCACTAGCGTTCCGAACTCCTGTATTGAGAGACCCAAGCGACAGCGCGACAGCAGGTGTAGAGTATCCTCTGCCTCTGGCAACCTGAACCTGATGTAAAGTAGGAACTGCCACCATTTCAGCCAGCGCGGCTCGTCAATGCCTAGCTGCTCAGTGTACGATGACAGGCAGCTTCTACGATACATGATGGTGTTGAATTTGGAGATGCCTTCCTTGACAGAGCTGGACTTGACTGGGTTCCCATCTCTTAACATGAAAAATGGTAATGGAAGGAGCGACTGCCATGACGGAGGCGACAGCTTCACTTGATCCTGTATGACGTGAATATCTCGTTCGCTGCTGCCCTGCTGCTGCATGAGTCCCAGCCAAGCCTTCAGGTAGGCCTCCCATTGGCGTGGTAGTAGCAAAAGTGCCGCATTATGAGCTGGGAATATTGGACTGTGAAACATGAAAGGGTAGTGCCACTGGTACCGTACCAGTATTACTGTGGTCCTCCAACTTCTCTGGTTCCAGCCAAATCTGAGATTGTAGTATGCTTCTCCGTCTTTCGTCGGTCTCCACAGCCTTTGCCAGATCGATCTCTAGTGTGCGCTTCTCCAGGCATCCTCGTGGACGAGGTCAAGTACCCATCGCGCTCGGCAGACGTGAAAGGGATGCCCGAGCAGGAGGGGAGGAGTGCTTGTGCTGAGGACAGGACCTGAGGTAACATGTAGGTGGTGAGAATAGAAATTGCAAATTAAGGTACAGAATAGCAGAAGGCTGTCTTCTTATGTCTACCAGGTTCGAGCAAGAGAGCGAATGGCGATGATGTGGGCGGACCCCGCAGGAGCCGACTCTCAGCAAGGAAATAGATAAGAAGAGTGGAAGAGGAGCGTAGGCGCCGACGTGGATTGGTCAGAGCTGCGAGACGAGGCCAATCGTTCAGCATTGGACAACGTGGTAAAGAGCGAGATGAAGTGAGCAGTGGAGAGAGCTTGCGATGAAGTCGAGACCGTGATAGCGGGTAGCCTCATGATGGAATGCATGAGCCCAGTGGAGATGTCCGAGCTGCTTGATAAGGAAGAGTTGGAACAAGGGGCGACATAGTGGGTGTTGCCGACGAGTAAGAGCGCAATTAGAGACAAGGTGGCCAGCGTTGTCGGAGCATGTGGTGCGGAGTCGCACATGCGAGTTTCAAGGCTGCGTGTTCATCGCACGACCCGGAGCTGAAGTTTGAGATAAGAAAAGTCCAAATGCGCCCAAGTCCTTTGGCGTGCACAGTCATTCATATTTCACCGTTGGCCTGAAGCTATTGTGAGTGGTCTTGTATGCAGCGGCCTCAATCTCACTGATGATTTCTTGCGGCGTTGGTTCAAGTCTGTCGTACAATAGAATTTTGGAGAAGCAGAAGGTGTTGATTACTTGGCATTTGGCAGCGAACTTGAGATCCCATGCATGGTGATAGTCCTGAGTCGTCGCAGAGTCTTGCCCTTGATCTCCTCCCACTATTGACCCTGATTGACCAAGTGCCCCACTTGGACGCCAAGATAGCGAAATGGCTCTTTTGAGACAATCCATTCTTTACAGCTGGCTCGGGATTCCTCCCGTAACATGCCAATCGGATGCAGGAAAGACTTGTGTTGACTCAATTGCCGGCACTCACTTTCTCGTAGAGCTAAACTGCCTCTGCTGGCCCGTCGGTGTCTTTCTTTCTTTCTTTCTTTCTTTCTTTCTTTCTTTCTTTCTTTCTTTCTTTCTTTCTTTCTTTCTTTCTTTTCTTTCTTTCTTTCTTTCTTTCTTTCTTTCTTTCTTTCTTTCTTTCTTTCTTTCTTTCTTTCTTTCTTTCTTTCTTTCTTTCTTTCTTTCTTTTTCTTTCTTTCTTTCTTTCTTTCTTTCTTTTCTTTCTTTCTTTCTTTTCTTTCTTTCTTTCTTTCTTTCTTTCTTTCTTTCTTTCTTCTGAAGTAGTACTAAGGAAGATTGACAAACTCAATACGCTTCTCGCTAACATATAAAAAAGATCAGTCCTGAACCCAAGTCCCGTGTCACGCCGGGGTCCTAGATATGCTCATTAATATAGCCGGCATGCTCGAGGCAAAAGTCCTCTGAGCCCTGACCAGTTGTCACGCCGAGCCTTTTCTTTTCTTCTGCCGAGCACGCTGGTTAGCAAACCATATTGCCACCTGACGATGAGTTAGGCCACATGCGTCCGCTAAGGCTGATCGCTCGCAGCTGTTTGGCCATTTTGTCACGAGGAAAGCTGCCGCCAAGGTAGACCGAGCTGTTGAAGCAAATTGTCGATTAGCTTTTACAGCAGGGAGAGACGCGTTGGTCTGACGACTCTGAGAAGCAGCAAGCTCAGCGACCTCATAGGCCAGATTTGCTAGTATTTCCATCGGCATTCTGCTGGTGACTCTCTCTTGAACCAATTGTAGCTTAAACCCCCACCCTAAGAAAGTAAAGCGCCGCTTCAGATCGTCCCAAGGTTGCAGTCGAGTTGATTCTCGCGATAGATAAGAGCCTCGTTAAACCTACTACCGGCCGCAAGCTTCCTTCCAAAACGATAGAAGAAGATATAGACGCCAGATCAGTCGATCGTCACTGATCGACGTGATTCCAACGCCTATAGCTAGCGCCGGACAGCCTCTGCTACCAAATGAGTCTTGGTTAAAGCTCGATAGTGTCAAGATCGAGCTTCCGAGAAGGACCTTGAAGGTTGTGGTAGTTGTGTGACCGTGTAAGCTTAATTGGCTATATTCCCATGCCTGGGGCGCAACGCGTTTCAGGCCGTTTATACAGACGTTTGATGGGTTTAACAGGCAGTAATATCTGTCCTCCTGGTTAAGTGCAAAGAAGATTACCCTTGTGTAAGTGTTGAAGCTACCAATGATACTCATTTATGTTGGTGACTGCTTTTCCCTGATGGCCTGGTCGCCTGCTTCGAAGCGCAAGTGATCAGATGGCCTGGTCAAGGGCGAACTCGTTGCTCGCATGTCTGCATCTTCCTCTAACTATCATTTCCCTGAACAAAGGGGTTGTGGAATATCTGTTCCTCAATGTATGCTTTCAGTAAATCCTTAATAAAATTTGCGTCAGATTGAAGGAAGCCGAGCAGCTTGCTTGAACTGCTCGCAATATCAGAATGGAGCTTGTGCTGTGCAAAAACGTTAAGCGATTCGTGGTGCAAGCTGTAGGCAATATCGATCCTGAACTCCTCTTGCATTCGTACTGCAATACATGCCTGGCGATTCCATAATCTCAAAACTTCAGGCCTGAAGGAGCGCTCAGCACGACTCAAACTTTTGGGATGAAGCACACAATATGCTACTTGATATGCACCGCATGTTTTGAGACTGTAGCTCTTGCAAGCTCTGTGTACATCGCATGACTGCCTTTTTTTTTCGACGAAAACTTCAGGCGCGGAGGGATCAACAGGTCGTGGTACTGGTGCAGAAAGGGCGAGACTCATAAGCCTGACAGGCTGCTCAAGCGGTCTTGTGGGTCCAAGGTTGCGCACAACAGGATCGCTTGAGCTGATGTGATGCACCTCTGTCGACAATCTCGCCTGGTAACCAGCACCCATTCGCCGCATCGCGGACGAATGTTTTAGATTGGTCAACGTGTCATTCATTCTTTTCTTCTCGTCACTTTCGACGAACTTTTTAACATGGTCGATGAGCTTATATTGAATGGTCTGCCCATCAGCCTTTTCGTTGACTGCTTTGGTGATTTGCACATAGCCCTCTGCTGAGGGCAATGTGTTTTGACGCCCGCTTGACCTTTGCCATTCGTCTAGAGCGGATCTGCACAACCTCCTTTCTACTCTAGTCGTTACGGGAACAACTGAGAACTTTGTTGCAAACTGGCTGGCGAGCTACTCGTGGACCTGTTCGTCCTTTGCACATGGCTCGAAACCGTGCGATCTGCGAAGCTCTGAGGAGAGTCGTGCTATCCCAAATAGTTGGTCGAGATGGTCGAGATATCGGACCTGGCGATCAGCATATCCATCTACCACAACCCAGTGATGCAGTGCTTCTGGAACAGGTATACCGAGTTCAATGTGGAGCATTTTGAGCTGATCTTAAAAACCAAAATTATCGCCACCTGTCCAAATTATACCGTGACGCCAGCGCATACCAACACGCAAATTGTATCGAGAACGTCGCAGCGTCATTCAAGAGACCCCATATTGGTAGCTCCCATGAATGATGGAGTCCCTTTTGTTGGTGTTCCGATGAAACATTTCATTCCTCGACGTGCCCTTGACCGATCTCCACATGGGAAGACTTTGACTCGGCCCACATTGCTGATGCAAACAGAAGCCAGGAGGCTCCGAGAGACGTCCTGCTTTGATAGATTTCGGCAGGCTCTCCGCGTCTTTGAGCATATCAGAGGTAATGAAGGGCTTCTTGGTGGCAGCGCATTCAATACCAGCGACATAGTCAAACAGGGCCTTGACTCGTATATAGAGCACGTTCGGCTCAGATATGAACCGTCTCCCATGCCTTCTGATCCATCTAGCGCTGTAACGGCAAGCGTCTTCCCAATTTTTGCCTTCCTTCGATAAGAAAGCTTCTACCAAAGCCTTGTCTTCGCTATCGATGGCAAAGATTGCGTTGGAGAATTCTCAACGGTACGCTGCGTAGGGCATGTGCTTCTTAGGCCATTTTCCTCGATTCATGAAATAAAATGAGTCGTCCAGAACGCGTGAATAAAGTCTCGGCACCTGAATTGCATGGTTGCTCAAGTTTCCTTACAATTCATTCTTGCTTGACCTAGTACTTTGGTAGCTCTTTTCGCTGCGGATGCACGACTAGGTTTACCCGCGCCTGGTCTGCTCTTGCTGCCCTTCGGCCTGGCTATATCTTTGGGACGGAAAGATGATTATTGTTTCCCTTCGGCAGTCGGTGTAAGACGCTGGAGCCTCAGGCGACTTGCATATGGCAGATGAGCGAAGCAATGTGTGCTCTAGCTATGCACAGATCAAGTAGTAGTCTATTAGTAGTTAGTAGAAGTTATGATCGCTGTTGTCGCTATAAACGATCACGATCAAGTTAGGCGTATGCTCTGCGCGCCCGATGCATTGGACTGTCGCGGGTGCGATTGGCAGGAATCAAAGCTGCTCCCTGGCAGCTTGTGGCAGGTGATTGGTCAGAATACCTTGCCTTGGATCCTTTCTTGCACTCATTTCAAGCGCCCTCATTGGCCAAAACCCACCTTCTGTCGTGGTTAGAGTGCCGCTTAAATGTCAAAGTCGACGCACACCAAACTTCTCATTGTCAGGTTTGACCATGGCATCCTCCCTGCCCCAGCAAGCGCACCAGCCCTCCTCTACCTGGCAGTTGCAAAGGGAGATACACTCCTAGCAACACATGCAAACGGCACTCAAAATGCATCAAACATTGCCACCTCGATCCTCAACAAGCTAGACAGAACCACCGATGCCAAGCAGACATTCGTGCACAAGAACTACGCTATCCACGTCTTGCATATTGCTCAACCTTTTCCGCCATCTGCGCGCACAAGCCAGTCGACAGGCGCCAGTGCAGGCCTGACCTTCCTGGCCATGGCGACGGAATCGCTTGGACGGCGCATACCGTTTGCTTGTCTGCTCGATATGAAGCGCCAATTCCTAGAGACCTACAGTCAAGCTGAAGTATCCACAGCCGGTAGCTATGAGTTCAAGGCATTCGATACCACACTTGCAGAACTTGCGCAACAGTGGACGCAGGAACAATCACAAGGCGGTGCAGGCGTTGCGCGTGAAGTACAAAGAGATCTTGATGCCGTGAAGCAGGTCATGACGCAGAATATCGAGCGTGTCTTGGAGCGCGGCGAGCGGATTGACTTGTTGGTGGTTAAGACGGCTGTGTTGAATGCATCGAGTGTTGCATTTCGCAAGAAGAGTACGATTGTCAAGAGGCAGATGGGGTGGCAGAATATCAGGACAACGGCACTTGTTGCTCTGGTGCTGCTGGTGCTAGTATATTTGTTGATTGGCACAGGGTGTGGCCTACCTGGCTGGCATCGATGTCTCTGATGAATCGCAATGACCCTTTAACGACGGCCTTACGACATTATCTTACTTTTGAGCAATTCTCAGTTTCGTGGCCACAATCTGGCTTCCTTGCCTGCTGAATCTATGCGTACCTGTGCAGCCTTCAAGCCCGATATTATCTTGTTCAGATCACGTTTGCAAGTGTACAGGCATCTTTCCATTCACGACTCGCTGGGTTTATGCTGACATCCTGTCCATGCTCGTCAGCATTGTGTGGATTTGTGATGCCGGTATCACTTTTGTCAGCGCTTGACTCAATTGACTTATGAGTTGGAGTCATGAGTCATGACTCACGGCTGATACGGCATACGGTGATACTGCCGCGTGAGTCTGCGGATACGGCCCGTCCAGCTGCACTACTCCACGACAGATCTCTAAATCAGAGCTAGATGTGATCTGGGAATACGAGAGAAAGCCTGCGGTAGAGGCTTCCCCCCAGCCGCCCCTCCGTCAAAACTTAAAAAGACTATGGGAAATGTGAGAAAGAAAGTGCATAGATGGTTATGCTCGGATGATGCTCCCCTGCTCGAGCGGCCTGGACCTTTGTGCGACATGCGAGACTCTCGCTTCCAACTCCCCTATTTGGCGCTCGGGATATTGAGGGGGTCTGGGCCTTTGTGCGGCCCGCGCTTCCGAGTTGTTGGAATTAAGTTCGAAAGCCCTCACTTGAACACTTCAGCTGACTCCAACAAGAGGCTTCTGTATACATGTGTATCTATTGCTATACCTGGGATAGTGAGCGCACTGACGAAGGCTCAAATGCTGACTAGAAGAAGCTCATGACTCAGGAGATGTTTCCAATCCAGCATGAAGCCTGGGGACCTTGGTTCGGCTTCCAGATCCCTGCCGCTGCGGTCCGTCACGGTCAGAGTTCCCAGCTGCCAAACAGAAAATGGCCCGCAAGAGGCCCAAAGATGCGGCGCCTCTTACAATTCGACATCCGTAACGGCCAATCTTCCGATGCGTGGATGAGACAAGGGCCTCTCCTGTCAAAGGCAGCCTGGTGCCCATGTATATCGTTCCTTCTCTCTCTTGTTTACCTCACTCATTACTATATCTTCAACAGCTCAGGCTGACCAGCGTCTGAATTGCAAAGCCACAAGGTCAGAAGCATCAAAAGCGTTCTTCTTACCTCATCAACTTCAAACCTGCAGGCTAGGATGTCCATGAGTGATCAGGACGACCGGCCGGGTCAGAAACGGCCTCGCAGTCGGTCCTTGGACGAAGCGACACCAGCGCATCGATTGGCGTCCTTTGATGCGCCGCGCTCAGCTGTTCAGCAAGATTCCACAAGTATGCGAGCAGTTAGTGGCCCCCTCAGATCTGCTTCACCTTCACAGAGCGGCATTGGCTGGCCGGCCGTGAGCGGGCCACCCTCGAGAGACTCAATGCAATCATATCCAACATCCTTTCCTGCGCGTACCGGGAGTGGCAGTCCCTCGACCAATGGTGGGATTGGTCCCCTCTACCAACCGAGCTTGCAATCCTTCAATTCGCTCGACTCCAAGTCAAGCGGCGGGTCAGTGAACGGAACGTCCACATCGCAGGCTGGTGTATCTTCAACGAACATCTCGAGGCCAGGTCCTCAAGCGCGTCAGCGGACAGCAGTCGCATGCCGCTATTGTCGAAAGCGTAAGATCAGATGTACGGGAATCTCACAGGTTGCCAATGACCCTCGATGCTCCAATTGCAGACGACTCGACCAAGAATGCATTTACGCTCCAGCCAGTGCTCCTGTCCATGGCACTTACATGCGACCTTCCTCTGGTTCAATTTCCAATGACCCGTATGATGTGCCTCGCAGCTTCAGCGGTGAATCGAGGCCTCCAAGCTCACCAACACACCCCTGGCCTGCTGCTGCACAGTCGTATGGGCATAGCCACGGTTATGGATACCCTGAGGCGACACAACCGCCTCCACCAGAGGCTACCGCGCAACGTGGCCATTCTCACTTTTACAACAGACCGGGATATGGTGCAGGTGAACACCCATATCACGTTTCATTCTCTCCAGTACAGTCAAGAAATCATACGCCGCCATTTCCGGGGCCATACCCGACAGCTAGCAGCGTTCCTGGGGAACTGAGACAGTCTCCCTATGGCTACAACGAGCAATCCCGAGCAACCCTACTCGAGGTGGCCCGACGAGATTCCATCCCTTCTCTAATACGATATTCGCCACCGAGCGTCTCCGTCACATCCATGCTGACACGTCCACCACCACAGCCTGTTGCACGTTTGACGCCATCTTTCGAACAATTGGCATCTCCTGCGAGTCTGCGACGCGATTCACTCAAGCATAGCCCACCGGTCGCAACGCCTAGCGCGATACCAAGTTTGGCAAGCATTACAGCGTCTCTACCGTCTCCATCGAATGCACAAAGTCGTTCTCATCACGATCATTCTATGCTTGCGTTATTGAATCCCGTGGTGGGAGCTGGTACGTCTCGTGGCGGTGTGGCTGGAGGTGTGACGAGTTTGCTGAATGGCGACTCTGAACGTCGCAGCAGTGTAGCTCTGGGTGGACATGGCATCACGCTCCCCTCGGCATCTAGCTTGTTGGGTGGTCTGAGTTTCAATGGAAGTCGACTCAGTCCTCCATCTGGTAATGGTCTCGCATCGCCGGTCCCCCTGCTCGTGCCAAAGTGAAGACGAGGTCCTAATTGTAAACTCAAATGTGTTCATACTATAAATGTCATCAATTCTTGTACCGGTATGCCAGTTCTGAGAATAATCAAGCTTTACTCATAGCAGAAGCCGTGCGTTTTCGTGTCCTTGCAACGGGAGTCGATGCTTTGCCCGTACCGCCATTTTTGACGACTTCCAAACGTGTCTTGTCCAACGCATTTTTTTCTGGTGCTTCTGTCTGCATCTGAGCATCCGTCACGGTGACTGCATTTGTCTCTGACCTGGCTTGCTTTGCATCCAGTTTGTCGTCTTGCAAAACCAACAACTGCTCGCGCAAGTCGCTGATTGCTTCATGCAACACACAGGCGTAGGACTTGAGCATGGCAATCTCGTGGTCTGCTGCTTGCCAACTAGGACCTTGCTTGAAAACAACAAAAGGTCCTTGACTGCAACCTGTCTCGTGTGTGTCTGGCTCTTTTAGTGCAGAGGACGGTGGAGCAGCCGTCACTTCTGTACCTTGTCCTTGAGCGTCTAGCTCTGCTTGCATCGTACCAGCCTGGCCAAGCTGATACCTTGTGATTGCCTGGCACACAATCAGTCATGCTTTTCAACACGAAGACTCACATCAGAATCCAACACGACGCAGCCACGGAGATGATCGAGGTCTTTCGATGTGCTGAGCAGACGATGACCTACACTCGCCTTGCACTTGACACAACGAATAGATGCCGTCACGCTATAGGTGACTGGATCGACTTGAGGCACTGCATTCTCCGCTTGCTCGACCTGAGCCTGCACAACGGCAATGGCTGTGGGTTGTGAGCTGTCTATTTGCCTGCTCGCTGGCCTTGCGCTTGCCTGATGCAGCGAGTCTGAGAGGACAGTCTGGCATGTATTGCACTGGTACACAAACAAGCTCTGCATCTCTCTCGTTGACTCTCTGACTGTCCTATCCCTTCACTCTCTCGTCGCTGGGTGCTGGTCCACTGCTGGTGCTGGTTGTCTCTCTCAGGGGCCACAAAAGAGCAGCAACGACCACGCAATCAGCCCCTGTCACCACTCCTTCAACCCCTCAATTGACTCAAGTCCCTGGCGTCGTACACAGGAGACTCGTCATGTTCTACCAACAGAACCTCCTCACCGATAAAAAATCAGGTCTCGGTGTCGTCTGGCTCGCTGCAACCCTCGGCAACAAGTCACACGTCCGTAAGCTACAAAAACGTGACATCCTGTCTGTAGATGTTCCCAAGGCATGTGCGTATCTGCAAGCACCACCACAGCCATTGGCACTGAGGACGAGCAGTTCCTTGATGGTTGGTGTTGCTCGTGTTTTGGACCAGCAGTACACCTTCTTCTACGGTACGACTTGGTCGTGATGAGGATCTTGCTAACAATAGCGGATGTCTCTCAAGCACATACAAAGTTGAGGCAGCAGCTCATGAGTATGTCGGAGAAAGATCCAGCAACGCTTGAGCTTCCACGCCAAGCACGTTCTCGTATGGATGCCGTCACGCTGCCGGATGATCCCATGTTTGATGTACGCTCCATCGCCCGTCACGATGGACGCTGACGTCTAGCTCGACTTTGCCAACCAAGGCGCTCTTGACTTTCTCAACCACGATCTTGAGGATCTCATGAAAATGGACATGACAAAGGACGACAATTTCTCAAACCTCTCAGCGCGTCATACAAGTGAAGCCAGTGGACTTCCAAGCGGTGCAAGTCCTAGCATCTCACTACCCGGTGGCTTCTCATCCCACGATTTACCACCACCAAGTCGCTCTCGCACTGGTCTCGGCAACTTGGATCTCCATGGACTCCTTGAAGAAGAGACAGACCCACTTGGACCAGATGGTGCTGGAGACATGCTTGACTTTGAGTTTGACAATCTCGGGCAAATGCAAGACGTTGAACCAACGCAAGGTGGCGACTTTGAGCCATCTGAAAAACGTAGTGTCGAGGATGAAAGCACACTCTATGATGTTGACCGAGTCCGCAAGAAGCCTAGAGTTGACGTTGATGTGAGGCATCTTCTTCGAGGCTCAATGCTGACAACCAGCCGCTTGGCGTATTCAATGAGCAAGATGAAGATCGCGCTGCAGGACTCTTTGGTGATTATGGCATGTCCCCACTGCCCCTGGCTCAATCCACGCCACGACCAGATGGAGGCGCCAGGGAGTTTGATTTCTTCGATGATGCCGGTATGGACGTTCTCGTCCCAGAGGACGGACAGGCGGCAGTAGCAGCAACAGCTGCGACCAAGAAACGAAGGCACACATCGAGGGTTCTCGACGACCAGGAAATTCAAGTACCAACAGCGACTATGGTCGCTTGGCGTGAAGACTACGAAACACGCATGGCTACGCTTAACAAGAGACGCAAATTACGTAAGGATGAGATGGATAAACAAACGTTCCAGCTCATCTGGGGATTCAATCATGCACTTTTGCATCCAGACTTGACCACACTCTACTGCAAGAACCCTTATGCAGCACAACGCGCACCAACGACGTACGATCAGCGCGCAAACACGCCTCCTTTGGTCGAATTTGATAATCAGCCAGAATACCCTATGAACTTTGACATGGATGCACCAGGTATTGGAGACTTTGATGGTGCAGATGTGGAGATTGGTCGTCGGGCACCTTCGCAAGATCCAGCGGACACTGTCTTGAGTATTCGGCAACAGACACTACCTTGGAACATCTCGCGCACCGATCGAACACCTTCTGTGGGAGGACGTGATTATGGCTCTGTTGAGCATGGTCGAGCAGGTAGCCTCGGTACGCCCGTGCCATTTAGCTTCATGGAAACGCCTCAACCTGCTTCTGCGCTTGGCGGAAGCAATGCTCGCCGAGGAACTCTACGCCCTGGTAGTCGTCTGAGTAGTGCCGCAGTCGCTGGAATTGGTGGCCTCGAACGGCTCGACAGTCTGGATGCTCCTGCAGATTTGTCCATTGACAACATTTTGGACAATGCCGGCGATGATCCTAGTTCTGGCTTGACGAATCGGGCTGCTGGTGTTGGGCAAGGCATTGATACACAAATGGCCAATGATTCTCAGTTTCTGCTAAGTACACTTCAGCAGGAAAGCTACAACTTTTTCGAGTATGCCAGACCCAGCTTCATACACATCTCACTGACGATAGATATACGCGTGAGCGCATTGCACAGCATGACAGTGTGGACGGCCAAGAGGGTGCTATCTTGTTTGAGAACCTGGTTGAACCAAAGACGAGCGACCGATTCGTCGCATCCCAGGCCTTTTCGCATGTCCTGTTGCTTGCTTCCAAGGGCGCAATTCACGTCACTCAGGAAGTCCCGTACGGCTCAATCATGGTGCACGATCTGGTGGAAAGTGCTTGATCAGTCGGAGGCGACATGTGCAGCATTCTCAAGTAGGGTTCTTTTCTTTTCTAGTAGCAATTTCATGCCATGTTCTTCTTAACATCAATACGCCTGAATCGCTCAATCTCAGTAATGCGCTTGCAGAGGGCAAATCCAATAAGGAGAGACAAGAGACCGATATTTGAAAAGCAGAAGAGCGCCACGTAGAGTTTCATGCTAGCATTAGCAAGCTGGCATGGACAGTGTGATCATACAGCAATGGATTGGCAAATTTGTCGGCAAAGATCTGACCGCAGTATGCCTTGGACGACGCGACATCGATATTTGGACATGCAGCGCTAGTGACAAAGGTTCGCAAGACAGCTGTTGCATTGTCAGGTGCGGACAACGCAACATAACTGCAGCAATTGAAGGAATCCTGTACGGCCGCAATCATGTTCCCACTGAGTCCAGCTTGTGTGCGGCCTACGCCCAGCTTTGCAGCATTCGAAGCAGTGACCCATGGCTGCAGGAACGTTTTGACAGGAAGTAGAGAAATGACCCACAGCGAAATACCCATGGCAATTTCGGCAGCCATGGTCAAGACTGTGAAGGCAAAGGCAAATTTCAACCAGGTACGCGAGCTCCATGCAACAGCTGGGACAGCAACAACAGCTGTCAGACCAGCCAGAATTGCAAGAAGAAAAGGAAGATTGGTGTTGATGGGTGACAGGGCCAGTCGAGTCAATGCCACCATGGAGGATGCCGTTGAATACGGCTCTGTTGCGCTTGTAGCAGCTGAGATTGCGCGTGATGTGAACATCCTGAAGAATTGATTCGCGACTGCCATAGCTACGCCGGTCAGAGCCATCAACGCGATGGATAAGGTGTATGCAATCGTGAGTCTTCGCGTGGAGTAGGAGAAGTCAGTCGCAGACTCAAGGCTGAGTGATTTTGGCATGACAGACTGTCGCAACAAAGCTGAACTTCGCGCTAGAAGCCGTTGGTCGTTTATAGATGGAACAGAACGCAGCACGAGAAGCTTGCGCATCGTGGAGCGCACTATGAAACAGCAGATGAAACACCGTTGTGAGGCTCGACGGCCAGATGGTAACGATTTGATCGAGCACTGATCATGGAGGATGAAGAAGGAGCGACATTTTACAATCAAGATGGGCCTTTAGAGCATGACGTGGCACAGATGAGAACGTGTTGGTCAGAGGATGGTCTTAAGTCTTGGTCTTGGTCTTGGTCGTGGTCCGGCCGAAATGGCGATCTGATCTCTGGGGTTAGGCGTACTGATAAGAATCTACAAGATTAGCTACATCCGACTGCAGCGTCTATAGTCCTTGCTTAAAGGGCATTCGAGCGGGAAGCACTGTTACAACTCGCTGTGTGGTCATGTTAAGACAGCTAGCTTGTCGGGCCGGCAATGTGTCTGCCGTTGCCAAAGCCAGTCGTCCTGGCGGCAGGGCCTTTTTGCGGAGTGGACGGCGGTCGTTTACACAGGCTCGGGCTCTCTTGCAACAACATCAGAAGGAGGAGACTGACAGGGTTTGTATGCCTTCCTTTAGACTGTCACTGACTCTTTAGAGTGCAATTGTGCGGATTCTGAGCTCGATTGGAAGTAGAAAGGAGATTGAACAGTACTTGCGGCACTTCTCGAGTGTCGAATCCCAGAAGTTTGCCGTCATCAAGGTCGGAGGAGCCATCATTACGCATGAGCTGGAGACGTTGGCCTCTTCTCTCTCTTTCCTTAATCACGTTGGACTCTATCCCATCGTTGTGCACGGCGCTGGTCCGCAGCTCAACAAACTTCTTGAGGAAGCCAACGTGGAACCTGACTACATTGATGGCATTCGTATCACTGATGCCAAGACGCTTGAAATTGCCAGAAAGACCTTTTTGGAGGAGAACTTAAAGCTGTGCGAAGCGCTGGAGAATCTTGGCACGCGTGCACGACCGATCCCTGGCGGTGTCTTCTTTGCCGACTACCTCGACAAAGAAAAATACAAGCTTGTTGGAAAGATCAACCACGTCAATAAGGAACCCATTGAAGCTAGTATTCGTGCTGGTGCATTGCCCATCTTGACTAGTCTGGCAGAGACTAAAGATGGACAAATCCTCAATGTCAATGCAGATGTCGCGGCAGGCGAGCTTGCGCGGGTTTTGGAACCACTCAAGATTGTGTATTTGAACGAAAAGGGAGGTCTCATCAACGGAACGACCGGAGAGAAGATTTCAACTATCAATCTTGATGAGGAGTACGATGACTTGCTTAAGGAGCCATGGGTCAAGTACGGTACAAAATTGAAGCTGCGCGAAATTAAGGAGCTCTTGGATCACTTGCCACGATCTTCATCAGTAGCCATCATCTCTACCGGTGATTTGCAGAAGGAGCTCTTTACAGACACCGGTGCAGGTACGCTTATTCGTCGAGGATACAAGCTGCAAAAGTCAGAGTCCATTGGCGATGTTCAGAGCGACCAAGTCCGAAACGCGCTTGCAGAGGACGCCGACATCAAGTCGGGCGTTTATTCTGTTGCCACCTATCTCAAGCAGCTGACGACAGGCAAGTACACCATATACGGCGACGAGCCTATGGATGTCCTTGCTATCGTGCGATACCCTCAAGCCGACGGCGTCCCCATCCTCGACAAATTTGTGTCAAAGAAGAATGGCTGGTTGAACAATGTCACTGAAAATATCTGGTCTGCCATTACAAAGGACCACCCTAGACTTGTTTGGAAAGTGAAGGAAGCGGACGAGAATGCTTCATGGCACTTTTCGCGTTCTGATGGATCGCATCTCGAAAATGGCGAGTACACATTCTGGTACGGTCTTGGAGACTTGCAACAGGTCGCCCAGCTTGTCGGGGCGACAGGCAAGCTTCCAACCGGTGCACGCGCTTACTCCACACAAGCGAGGCGTACAGCTCCTGTTTCTGCTCTGCTCGGTGGCGCCTCGGCAGCTGCTAGCAAAGGTCTCAACTTGGCTCGCGGATACGCTACGAGCACTAAGCCTGCAAAAGTTGCACTCATCGGCGCACGTGGATATACTGGACGTGCGCTTATTGACTTGATCAACAACCACCCTCACCTTTCGCTTTCGCACGTCTCGTCAAGAGAGCTCGAGGGCAAAACCCTTGAAGGATACGACAAGGCACAAATCAAGTATGTCAACCTCTCCACCGAGCACGTGAAGAAGATGAGCGGCACTGGTGAGGTTGACGCGTGGATCATGGCCCTGCCCAATGGTGTATGCAAGCCTTTTGTGGATGCCGTCGAGTCTGGCAACGGCAGCGATGTCATTATTGATCTGTCTGCAGACTACCGATTCGAGGAGAATTGGGACTATGGTTTGCCAGAACTGGTCGACCGAAGCGCGCTCGCCGCAAGCAAGCGTATCTCCAACCCTGGTTGTTACGCGACTGCCGCACAAATTGCTATTGCGCCCCTCCTTGAGCACATTGAAGGCCAGGCCACAGTCTTTGGCGTTTCTGGCTACTCAGGTGCAGGTACAAAGCCGTCACCTAAGAATGATATCAAGCAGCTCTCTGACAACTTGATGCCTTACTCACTGGTAGGCCACTTGCACGAGAAGGAAGTCTCTGCGCAGCTCAAGACGCCGATCGCCTTTGTTCCTCACGTCGCACAATGGTTCCAGGGTATCTCTTGCACAGTCAGCATCCCGTTGAAGAGCAAGATGAACGCTCGCGACATTCGCAACATCTTCCAGGACTTTTACGCCGGAGAGAAGCTGATCCAGGTCACGGGAGATATTCCACTTGTCAAGGATATTAGCGGCAAGCACCACGTCTCTGTCGGCGGCTTTGGCGTGTCGGCGGACGGCAAGCGCGTTGTTGTTTGTGCAACAATCGACAACCTGCTCAAAGGTGCTGCTACACAGTGTGTGCAGAACCTCAACATCGCACTGGGCTATGATGAGTACGCTGGCATCCCTGTCGGTGGACATTAGACACATAGCCTGCATAGAAATTTCTTTATGCTTCCCTTTATTCGCGTTTCCTGTGGCGTTGAATTTCCTTTGCCCCTGAGCTGAAATTTGCAAACCTCCTCGCTTCCCACGTCGCGCCTCGACCCCTCTCACCGGCACAACTATGCCTAACGCTCAAGCAATGCTGCAAATTTTGCATAGACCGGCTCTCTGACTTTGACTCTAAGTTTCTTGGCCTTGGCGCCTTTTGCTCTGCGCCGCTTCCTTTCATTGCTTCATTGCAAATCGGAGTGCATGCTCCCATCACTCTTTATCAGTCCTTGCATAAGGTCAAAGCGGGCTCATCGGCCAACCAATGCATCTCGCTTCACCGGCAAAGCGGCCGCTCTGCGCCGTCACATCATGAAGTCCGTCAATTGAAGGAGGCCCTGTCTCAAAGATTGTATCTGACAGCCGGACTCTGAATCCTACTTCCAATACCACACTTCCCTCAAGACCGTCTTCGTCGCGTCCATCACACTCTTTCGTCCTTCGCGACCTGATCGCGTTCACACTCTCTTGCAGGCATGGTTCAATTAAAGCGTCTACAGCATGGTGCCAATCTGTTTGCGCTCATCAGTCTCTTTAGCAACACCGATGCCTTCTGGCGCATGCCTTGTGGTCAGTCATTTGTAACGGCGCGCATGGACCCCGTCGTCAACCCTGGCCAAATCGCTTCACATGTCCATGCTATCAATGGAGCGAGCAATGTCGACTACACTGTCACTTTTGATCAACTACGAGCCAGTCAATGCACGACCTGTGCCGTACAAGAAGACAAGTCACTCTACTGGACGCCGCAGCTATACTATGTCAGCCAAGATGGACAGTACTCAGCTGTCGGCAGCTCTGGGTTGACTGTATACTACCTACAACGCGGCTCACAGCCAGTCAAGGCTATGCCCGAAGGTCTGCGCTTGGTGGCCGGAGATAGCAGCAGACGCTCTTTTGACAGCAGCGATGTCGCACAACGTGCCATTGGCTTCTCCTGCATCGGTGGAAACGGCTACAACAAGGACCTTCGCCAAATCACAAACTGTGCTAATGGGCTTCGCGCAGAGATATTCTTTCCCAACTGTTGGGATGGTGTGAATCTTGACTCAGCCGACCACAAGTCGCATGTCGTGTACTCTGGCAATGATGGTAATGGCAGATGTCCTGACTCACACCCTGTTAAGCTCGTCTCGATTTTCTTTGAGCAGCTCTGGTCAGTAGATCCTTTCAAAGGCAGGTGGTGGAACGGCACCACTCCGCCATTCGTCCTTGCAAATGGCGACCCGACTGGCTTTGGACTGCACGCTGATGTCATCTCTGGCTGGGACAAGGACTTCCTCCAGTCCGCCGTCGACCAGTGCAACAACAACTCTGGTCGCATTGAGGATTGCCCTCTGTTCAATATTCAGCGAGACATTTCCAGCAAGTGCTCATCCAAGACGCCTGGTATGCAAAAGTTCACGCTCAAGACTGATGAGAACATCTATGGGCCTCGTGCTACACTGCCAGGCTGCAATTCGATCCAATATGGTCCAGAGGCCGCCAAGCCCGGGGTTTGCCTTGCAGACGGTACAACACCGTCACTTCTAATTGCACAGCCCAAGCCAGTAGGCTTCAGTGCTGCTTCGTCTTCTCCTGCAAATGTCGTCGGAGCTGCTCAAAACTTGGCGGCTGTCAAGGGAGATACGGTCCTTTCTACGCCAGCTGCATCGAATCCTACGGGCGTTCCTCTTGCTCAAAATAATGCTGCTCCTATCGCACCAAGCGTTGCTCCAATTGCCAGCATCAAAGATCTGTTCGTGGCTGCGCCCCCCGGAGGTGTCGTCACTGTCAATGCGCCGGTCTCTACCATGATCCAGTCTCAGGTAAACATAATCAGCACAGTCATCATGGGTGTGCCAACGACGCTGGCTACGACCGTGTACATCACTGTGACCCTGGGTGATCCAGCGCTCAGCACACCTGTGGCCAATGTGGCTGCTCTGTCCGCTGGCAACGTTGCTGCACTGCCTGTCTTGGCCTCGCCGACTGGTGCCCCGCAGACGATTGGCAGTATTGGAGCAGATGGGCGCTCCACTATGATTGTGCGCACAACTGTGACCGTGCGCGACACTTCCTCCGTCAATATTGCTTCTCTCGCTTCAGAAGCGATTGAGAAGGCTCGTGCGACTGCAGCGGGTGGTGCACCGGCCAACTTTGACGCGGTCGCTGCGTCCCTGGCAAACCCGGCTGGTGTGTGGACAACTTTGACTCGCACAGAGATTGAGACTGCTACAATCACAGTGCAGGGCCAGACAGTGGCCACACAGGTCACGTATGTTCAGCTGTACGTTTTGCCCATGACGGCTGCTTCCTTGTTGCCTGCGAGTCAGGAGATTGCAGTTGAAACTGTTGTTGCAACAATCCCAGCAACCAAGACACAGACTCTATTCCAGACAGTCATGCAGACGATGACATTGCCTGGTGGACCTTCTAATGGCACTTCTTTTACCTCCATGTAGACTGGCTGGTCCAGCGGAGTCCATATTTAACATGCTGCTTGCTCCTTCCTCTCCCATCACGAATTTCGAGCTTTTGCCTGAGCGCGTCCTCGTGAATTTAGAATAAGCGCGTCGAGAGCAAGATCTACCAGCAATATGGCGCCAACGAGGGTCACGCCGCATAGAGAGGGCACGACGCGTGCAGCGTATTCTCTGGACGGTACGCATGTATTTACCACAGGCTGCGACGGTGTGGTCCGTCGCTTTAAATTGGGGTCACCGGATGAACCTGTTGTTCTTGACGCGCTTCACGATGATGCTTCCTCTGGCATTGCTACGTCAAACGACAAGCTAGTGACTTGTTCGGAAGACGCGACAGTGTCCATTTTTGATATCAAAGGAACTGTGGCCGATAAGCTATGTCGATGCTCGCTACCAATACGCGAAGTGGCATTCAGTCCTGACGGTGCTTGGGTCGCCATCGCCTCAGAGTATGCCAGTGAAGCATTAAGACGCTTGTGCTAACCATCAGTGAGACCAAGGTGCGAATTGTCAATGTGGAGGATATGACTCGTGTCATGGAATTGACTGCAAGTCTGGCCAAGTCAATCAAGCATGTCTCATTTCATCCATCCGGTAATATGATTGCAGCTGTCGACACAAATGGTGTTATTCGCATCTATTCCTTGTCTACGGAAGAGCCCAGCATTCTTGAGTCACTCTCTGGCATTGTGCCAATCCTGCATGATGCTGCGTCTAAAGTTTCTTGCAAAGTTGCTTGGCACCCTGATGGAGCCTCGTTCGCTGCACCAATTAGCACGTTTGAAGTGGTTGTACACGAACGTTCCGGCTGGTCTCGGCAGGTCACCTTCAAGTCTGGCTCAGATGGTGGGCATACAGATAGTATCCTCGATCTAGCTTGGTCCCCAAATGGTGCCTATCTGGCGACTGCTTCCCTTGACAAGACCTTGCTGATCTGGTCGACAAAGACGCAGGAAGTTGTCGAAACAATTTCATTGACTGAACCGGCCACGCAGCTGCTCTGGCATCCAAATAAAAACAACCTCTCGTGGACGACCAATCAAGGTGATTTGTACACGCAAGAGGAAGTAATCAAGGCCGGTCCATCTCCCTGTGCCCGACCTTTACATCCCTCACCCATCACAACAGGAGCGTCAGTGACTGGCGCTGTCAATGGTGCTGCGAAAACAAATGGGCACAAGCTGTTTGATGACTCTGCCTTGGATGGCGATATTGACATGGGTAGTGTGAGTGACGGTGATCTGAATGAAGCGCTCGAGAATGGTGCAGCTGACTGGATCGACGACGACGATGGTGCAGGATACATTCCCAACCTCGATTCCCGTAAACGTACGGCTGAAGGCTACAATACACCACTTGGCTCGCCCTCAGCAAAGAAGCGCCATCGCTCAGCGACTGGCCGAGCAGATTTCTCTGTCCATGAACCCGTGCAGCCAGGTTCAACACCGTTCCGTGGCGGTAGAAGGTATCTGGCACTCAACAACATTGGTTGGATTTGGACTGTAGAGCAAGAAGACCATCACACAGTCACGGTCGAGTTCCACGATCGTGAGGCGAATCGACAGTACCATTTTTCAGATGGCTCGTTGTTTAGCTTTGCGGCACTGGACGAGACTGGTGCGTTGTTTGCTTCAGGCATGAGGTCCAATGCCGAAGGGATCAAATTGGCGTCTGTCGTGCATTACCGCCCGCATGCATCATGGGCAGCGTATGCCAACTGGACGACCGAGCTGCCCGCTGGAGAGGACATCCAAGCTATCGCTCTATCGAGCAGCAGTGTAGTGGTTTGCACGAGCAAAGGGTACGTGCGAACTTATTCTTTGAACGGCGTGCCAAAGAATATCTTCATCAACAAGCACAGTCCTTTTGTGGCTGCTATTGCAAGAGGCAATTATGTCTTGACGGTGAGCAATAGCCATGTCCGGGGCAATGGCAGCGCGGCCTTGTCCTACATGGTATACCACACTGCTCGCGAAGAAATCATACAGCAAGATGACGGTCTACCACTCAATCCAGGTGAGTCACTCAAATCCCTGTTCTTCTCAGACGATGGGTTTCCCTACATCTACACCACAGATGGCATACTGAGCTGCTTGACTCGATGGAGGCAACCAGGTCAAGCACAATGGCGTCCTGTGCTCGATACGAATTTACTGCAACGTCGCATTGGTAAAGACGAAAACTACTGGCCTGTTGGCTGCACAGCTGAGCAAGGTGGTCAATTCCAGTGTATCATCCTGAAAGGTGCTGAACGGCATCCTTACTTTCCGCGGCCAATTACCAGTGAGCTGGCGTATGAGGTTCCTATGGTGGCACCAGATCACATTGCTGGAAGTATCGCTTCCTTGGAGAATGCACTCGCAAAGGACAAGATTCTGGAAATCTTCGCGGAGGAGAATTTGGAAGCTGGAGCGGGTGGCGATGCCGATGTGGAGGAGGCTCTACAAAGAGAGCAAATTGTGCTTGAGACACAGCTGGATAGATCGCTGATTCAATTGATGAATTTGGCGTGCAAGGCAGAGCAGGATGCAAGAGCTTTGGATCTTTGCGAGATGATGCGTCGCCCAGGCAGTCTCGATGCAGCGCTCAAGGTCGCCAGTCACCATCATCGACTCAATTTGGCACAACGGATCAATGAGCTGGCCGAGGAGCGAGCCATCATATAAGCTTAAGCATTAGTCCTTTGTGACCATTCAATCAGGAGCAATGTATATCTGGTGTTACGTTCCAGACATCAATCGTCGGTTCATCCAGGTTGCCATGCTCGTAGCCTAGTCTTGAAGCACCGCCAGCGTCATAAGTCAGCCGCCTAGCGAAGTGTACAGATTCACCGACCCAGCGTGCGGCAAAGGCGCGTAAAATATGGCCATGAGCAACGATGAGGACGTTGCGCTGTTGCCCAGCTTCATGTCCTGCTTTGTGAACATCGCGGACCTCGCCAATGAGGCGGTCCAGGCGTTTCGTTGCGCTTTCGGCATTGTCGCCTTGAGGGCATCCATCAAGAAAAACATTCCACGGGCGTGAGCCAGCTAGCTGCTCATTGATCTGCTTTGAGGTCAAGCCTTCATATGCGCCATAGTCCCATTCTTGGATATCGTTCTTGACAGTGTAAGAGTAAGATCCAGCAGCAGTGTCGTCGAGCTTGGGACGAATAAGCTCCCAAGTTTGTTGAGCTCTGAGGCGTGGCGAGACCAAGACGTCTGAGACACCATCAATCAGACCACCAAGTCCAACGAGCATTTTGGCCGATTGCTTGACACGCTCGACGCCGTTTTGCGTCAAGGGCAAGTCTGTTGTGCCTGTATGCCGGCCGTTTTTGGACCACTCCGTTTCGCCGTGGCGGAAAAGGAAGACTTTTGAGCTCATCAATTCAGAGTTAATATCAATATATAGAGCTGCTACTGCTGAACTTGCTTCTGAATCGCGAGTGCGATGTCGAGACGGTCGAGACGGTCGAGTGCATCGATGCCAAGAGGACGTTCGCAATCACGTGCAAGGGGAAGTCACCCCTCGAGCGCTATGCAATTAGGTTCGGATGATAAACATCAAGACCATCTTCTGGTGCATGTGTATGCTATAAGTACAATGTATTTGATCTGCTTTGCCCTAGCTGCTTTGGAGAACACAAACAATCACAGGTTTGTGCTTCTTGCTATAGAGCTGGAGGATCAACACTACCCCGGATATTGCTGCGTCATCTCCCTCGAATTACGATGACTTGGCACAGTTGGCACAAGCTAGCTACTTGCAGGCAGCACAGTACGCGGTCTACACTGTCAGGCTGAGTCCATGGCAGCTTTGTCGCAGCCGGCCTCCGTGCTGCCAATTCGTCATCGCCCAATATAAAAGTGACATCACCACCTGATGAGATCCCGCGCTCTGATTGGCCAGATCTCGCGTCGCACCAGATGTGGCAGCCATCTGAATCTTATCTCTGCGTTCCGACGGCCGACACTGGCAATTACAAATGGCAGCAACACAGACACCTCAAACAAGCGACTATTTCATAATCTTCATCTGCTCCTTCCATCTGTTGTTATAACAAGCAGAGGCCATCATCAGCTACATCTCCTCGGATCTCGAAATCAAAGACCGAACAGCTACAGCTACGTCTGTCCAATAACCAACGAGATAAGGCCAACCTCGAAAATGCTTTCATCCATGGAAACCATCCTGCCTCCCTCTCCGCCGCAATCGCCTTCCTCTATCGACGAGAATGCGACACTCACCAGCATCATGTCTACCTTGCGCCTCGAAGCCAATAGCATTTCTTTACTCGCTTCTCGCATCTCCCTCTCAAAAGAGCTGCAAAGCAATTTCATCCAGGCCGTCGCGCTGCTCAATGGCGCAAACAAGGTTGTTGTGACGGGTGTCGGCAAGTCTGGCATTATTGCGCGGAAGGCAGTCGCCATGCTGCGATCTCTTGCGATTGTCGCCGTGTTTTTGGATGCGACTGATGCGCTACACGGCGACTTGGGCCTCGTCCAACCCGGAGATGTTGTTCTCATGCTCTCAAATTCTGGCAAGACGGCTGAGCTGCTCCAGTTGATTCCTCACTTGAAGCAGCGGCCCGAAACGACCTTGATTGCGCTCTGCTCAGAAAAGGGCTCACCCCTGGGCCAGGCGTGTGATTGCTGGATCGACACATCTGTGCCGAGTGAAGCAACACATCAATTTCCTGCGCCAACGTGTAGTACAACATTGACGCTTGCGGTCGTCGACTCACTGTGCATTGCTGCTGCTGAACACCGCAGGCTCGATCAACAGGCCTTCAAATTCAACCACCCAGGAGGTGCAATTGGATCAAAGCTGGAGGAAGACGCAAAAGTCTGTGCGTGTCAAGCGAATGCACCAACCCCAGCCGTCTCGCCAGAAGATGCACCCTCGAAAGTGGACGGTAGGCATCTTGAGCCTGAACCGATGGCTTTGTCATGATAAGACTGGTCTTGTCAATGGAAGGTTTAATGACACCAAAAAAGAAACTGTATAATATCACCGCACCACGATCTGATGATTCTTTTCAATTGCAAGTACGCATGTTTGTACGCTCGCTAGCTCGCTCGCCCTCGGAGCAAGACATCTTAGTTGGATTTTCACAGATAGCAACTTGACCAGGCAGACGCAATGAAGTCTGTGTCTGGTCGGCCCCTTGCATCCTTCTTCCATCATTTCAGCGCAGCGAGTATTCCTTTTTCATGCCAATGCGTTCCTATGATCGCTACTAATGAACCCTGTACCCATACACGAAAATCGACCTACGAAAATGCAAAATGCCAAATGCCAGTGCATCCTCCCTCCCTCATAGTTCCATACAAACCTCATATGCTGCTCTAGTTTCGGCCAAACGCTGTAGACGATGAAGGCGGCGGTGGTGGTAAACCCCCGAAACGCGTATAATCGTACCCTTGCCGATTATCCTGCTGTTGCTGTTGCGTCCCTTGCATCATACCGCTCGCATTGCCAAAGGGCGGCAAAATTCCTTGTGTCGGTGATAGGGGTAATAAACTCGGATACCCACCAGAAAGCTGATGTCTGTATGGTAAGGGTGGTGGTGCTTGCATGCTTAGATCTAGCGTAGACAAGCTTCGCGCATGCCCATTACCCGTGTGAAGAGACTGTTGGCGTGGCCATGCCTGTTGTGATGGCATCCTAGGAGACGAGCGACCATAGGGATGCGTGCCCGTGCTGGCGCTGCCTGGATTGGATGATATACTTCCAGAACGGTGATGCAAGTAACCTGCAGAGGACGGGGCAGAGCTACCATAGTCTGATATGGATGACCAGCGAGAATCAAAATCATGCAAGACGCTGGGAGATGTCAAACCCGACAAGATGCCAGCTTGTGGAACAGATGTCGGCTGTTGCTGATGCTGCGCTAGAGGATGCGACTGCCCTTGATCTGCAACTGGAGCACCACTTCCGCCAACAGGTCCAGGGATAGACATGTACTCGTACTCACCAATCTCACCTGTAGCCTTCTTATTCTGGAAGGAGCGCAAGACTTCCCAGCCGCCGCGCTCGTTATCATTTGAATGGGGCTCTACCTGCTCCCCTGCTGTCGGTGTCGTTTGACCATCCCCTGACGCTGTTGCATCACCAGATCGATTCTTGTGCGCACGCCATGACTGACGCCGGTTCTGGAACCAAATCTGGACAGTGCGCGGCATCATACCAAGTTCCTTACCAAGGGCATTCCGTAGCTCTGTCGAGGGGAAAAAAGTCATGTCAAAAATTTGGTTCAATAGGCCAAGCTGCTGAGGACTAGCACGCTTCCGCTTGCCCTTGATGGAGCCTGTACTGCTTTGGAACCCTTCGGTCTGTGCGGCGCTCGTCGGCTGTGATAGCGAAGAAGAAGCGAATGATGATGACGCAGAAGGTGACTGCAATTGCGTTGGAGAGAATTGTGGAGAGAAGCTGGAAGCTGAGAAAGAGCCTTCCATCCTGCCTAAATTCGGCAAGGATGCAGGAACAGGGCCTTGCCGATGTCTCGAGAAGGTTGAGTGAGGGACATTGAATCCTCCAGTGTTTTGAGGTATTGATACTTGTTGGGTTGGCTGCGGTTGCTGTGGTATTTGGAAACTCTGCTGCTGCGCGGAGTTGTATCCTGTAGGTTGTTCTTGCTGACCGTATGATTGTGGCATCGTTTGCAGCTGTTGAAGAGAGGGAAGCGCTTCGCGCTGCGCCGGTGGAAAGGGTAGTTGCATGCGTTGCGTTTCCCCGTCAAATTCTTGCTTCACCATTTGAGGCCGACCCTCACCCAGGTTGTTGAAGCCTGGAAAGTGCGCATGCGACGGCGAGTATGTCGAATGGTCCTGCTGCGACATGGCTGTAGTGCACTGCGACCGTCGTCAGACCCCGCCCTCGTTTCTTATGCTACCTTGTAGCCACTCGATGTCTCCAAGTTCAGGTCCTCCTTTGTGCAAACTTGTTCGGATGATTAGACTGGTGACAGCAAGAGCAGATAGACTGATAGCGGTCGTTGACTTTGTAAGTTATAGTTTTCGGCTTAAATTGTCGCTTGAATCTGGGTCCAGGCGGTGGGTCTGCGGGATCAGATCGAGATTAAGCCGGCGCTTTTGTTCTCCTACTCAGCCGAATAAAGGAGCCAGTGGGTGTAGACAGATTAGTGAGTATAAGTCCAAGTGGTCGTGTGTGATGGAGTGGTGTCCTGTTGAGCAAAAGGGCTACGGCCTGTGCCTCAGCTTGTGGTGCCGGGTATCCATTCCTTTATCTGGCAAAGGCGGGCATAAAGCATATTCGTTGGTGACAGCTCCAGCACACAGACCTGCCTTTCCACTTTTGCCACAGGAGGCGTCTGAGGGTCTGAGCTGGAGGGCATGTCAAAGGCTCCTCTCTTTCCCTGAGCCACGATCTCCTGCTGTTCCTCTGAAGGTGGGCCGCACGCGCATCAGCTGCGCAGCCCTATCTACCTACAGTCGCACTTTTTTCGCACTACCGGGCCGGCCTTGGCACCAGCGCGAGAACGAGAAAAGTATCATGATCAAGGCTTGACTTCTCAGTGTCCTGGGCACATGCAGACCGATCGCTCGGTTATGCAATGGAGGATCCTGTTTGCCGCCGGCGATGCTGCCAGAGGCAGGCGAGCTCGTGCCGGCCACTGCTGGTCTTTTGCGCTTTTGGGCAAGAATGCCGCGTATAGCGTGCAAAAAGACGGAGTGCCTCTGACGACCATGGCTACGGGACGTCAACGCTCAAGACTCATGAGTCGTGAGGCAGATGGCGTCTAAAGTCAAGCAGCTCCAGCAGTCCGGTTTGTGTCGTCGTGCGCGCGCGTTCTGTCGATCTTTGCCGGCGCCTGTCTCCACGATCTGAGGAGGCCGCCTACTGTACCAATCACTGTCCCCAGCGGCACTTTCATGGCACCGAGAGGCCGCCGCCAGACTGACAACGTTAACGGCCACTAACGGCTTCTGCGCTCACCTATGCATGTTTACGACTCTGTATCTGCATGGGGTAAACCTTGGAAGACGGTTCTAGCAGCGGAACCCTGCGTGTTTTGCTTCGAAGCCTTTGATTGCAGCATCCCTAGCTAGGCTGTCAAAGTGTTTCATCTGCTGTGTGTCAATTGGCAAATCCATTCATTTAGTTCATCCAAGATCCCGTATGAATTCGTCCTTCCATGTTCCAAGATCCAGGATTGACGCTGCCCAATCTATTAGGCCACTCACGATAGCCACGACGATTGAATGTAGTGATGACAAGTTTCGGTCAAGGTTGAGCCAGCGAGCTAAGATGATTGCAGTGAACTTCTCATCGAGCGACCGGCACCGGACCCACATGAAGTCGAACAGCCTGACTGACCACCTTCGGTATCAAGTTGCCTAGGGTCAATTTGCTCCGAAACATAGGTTTTGCCCTTCAGTTAGCCCTTTCAGAAAACCTTGGAAGGGTTTCTTGACTCCATGAAGATCCATGCACATCATGACATCCTCCCGCAATAGATATGAAGCTTAAAAATTGTGAACGCTCAATGACGTCGTCTGCTAACGGGCAAGCCGCAGTGTCCCTACGAGGGGCAGTCTCCTCAATCCTCTTGCTGCACCATCTATGCTACAAGTTACAATATCAATAGATTCTTTAGTATGCTCAATTAATGCTACGGCTGACCTGTGATATGTGATTCATCAAGCCGTGACTTCAATCAACACGCTATGGCGGGTCTGCGACCCTGGACACCACCTTCTTGCCTCTAATTCTGTTCTGCTTGGGGAGCTGAGGCCTTGACTCACTGAGGCCAAGCCGTGGGGCATAATTATGACTTTATGTCCATGAAGCTGTCATCTGCGAGTCTTTCAGCCAACTAGTCGTGATACTCTGCTGCGAAAGCTCAACTGACATGCTCAGCGTCGGCGGATGTAGCGGTTTCAAAAACAACCGTGTACTGTGCAGAAGCACCATTCTCCGAATCAATTCACTCAATACGTAGCTTGACAAAGCTAGCAAATCGCTTGCCGACCTTGAATCGCTAAATTTCTTTGCCAATGGATGTCGTACAGCCAGCAACATCAGTGTCGTCCATCATGCCTCGCAGTGCAAGACCGCAGAATCATGCATCATCCAGCCCTTGGGGTCGCTCGCAGTGTTTTCATTCTTGATGACAACGTCGTTTGCTGCGGGCGTTGACCTGTCGATGGTGATGACAGGCAGATTTCGATCCTGCATTGCATGTGATCCTCACGGACTTCATAGCTGCCAGGCGGCTTGTATTAGTCTCGTTCAATGCTTGAAGATCTGTTGCACAACGTCTTTAGACGCTTACGTCAAGCGCAATCGCCAAAAGTCGTCAGATTTCTGCTGTGGGAGAAATCTGCTTGTTCAATTTCGCGGGTGCGGGCTAATCTCAACACCGATTACTCGGTATTGAATGACTAGATAATAAGTCGACATCATCGACGACATGCGTGTGTCGAGATGGGCGTTTGGTTGTCTCGACATACTCGCTGGAGATGGCCACATGACCAGCCCGAGAGAGCTAGAGCAGACGCCCAGTACGGGATAGTGCCGTAGCAACGCAGAGAAGATGACCTGCGATTGCTAGAAGTGTGACACAACAGTTCCTTACTGATCGCGTGTAGGTTTCGAGACCTTCTTTTCAGCAATTGAGAATTTGAGAGCTCAAAGCCGAGAATAAGAAAGACAGCCTCCACAGAAGACGCACGGAATCATTGCTGCACGGATCAAGCGTGTCTTTGAGAGTATCTGCACGTTCTGGATGCTCGTCTGAGCATCAGCCAGCGCGATTGATAAGCAATACAGCAATCTGACTCATGCTCGCTTCTGAGCACTGAAGACCGAAGCTCGATCATTACAGCTAAGCTCTGGAAACATTGCGACTGAAAAAGGGCAACTTCTAGCTCGATGAAACCTATTGATTCCAAGTAGCAACGAATCGTCCAATGGTATGTAAGCTCTGTACGTATCGCTGCATCCCTTCAAGCGACCTGACAGTTCCCACGGGCAGCTGCAGAGTAGCTGTACGTATACAAGCTTGAGTCAGCAGCTGGACGGAACTTCATAAACAGGGTTAGGCAGTCAGATTGCTTGGCCAGCGTCATGGCGACCACGACGTGCGACACACTATTAGCACTTTCAAGAGCAGCTGCAGCAAAGAATCCCCATCTCTTCAAGTCTGAACCTTCTGTGAGAACAAGCATCGGGCCGTCATGCCCCTTCTGACTCCCGCAGATAAAGAGTGAGCTGTTATACTTGTCTTTGACCGAGCTAACAATTAGCACCATCAAGCACTGTATACCGAGCGCGTCAAATAAGATCATCACAGCGGCTATCGCCAAGCTCTACATCTGCCTCCCCGACAGTCAAAGATGGATTGACACCGAGCTGATAGGTGCTGCGGTCTTGGCATACGATCAAGTTGGGAAATGCTTCTTCTTCAAGCTTGTCGATGTCGTCGGCACGCAGGGCATCTTGTGGGATCAAGAGCTCTACGAAGGCTTCCAATACAATCAAGATCGCACCTTCTTTCACTCTTTCGAGATACCCGAGTGCATGGCCGCCTTTAGCTTTGCTGACGAACGCGAAGCATCCAACTTCTACAGCAAAGTGGAGAGCAGACACAAAAAGGTACCGTCTGGGAAGAGCGGCCTCGGCAAGATGGGCTCAAAGATGATGGGCCTCTTTGGAAAGAGCGATAAGCATGAGGCACAACCCAGCTACAGCCCACAGCCGGTGCAACAGCCCATGACGCCAGAGACACCACGCAAGAGCACATTTGATCCGAATGATCCAGAGATGGCCGGCGTGATGGCACAACTAGCAGAGCTAGGCATATCAGAGGATCAAATTGCCGGGAACGAAGAGTTCATCAAGTCCTTCATTACACAACAAGCTGCAAAGCATCAGCAAACAGTGCCACCATCACGGCAGCGACAACCTACACGCGTTCCCGTATCAATGGCACCGCCCATCAGTAGTGCGACTGCATCACCACGCGCACCAGCGCCGCCACCGCCTCCAGGACCGCCAGCTGCGCCAGTCCAAGAGCCTGCTACCCCTGCAATCAGAAGATTGCCGCCGCCCGCTTCTGCAACACCTTCGAGTCGCCCGCCCATCGTGCTTCAACAAAGCTCAACACCGACTCAATCGCCCAGCGACTCGGCTCCAGCCTCGCCTGCTAATCGCAAAACGGGTGGTCCACCTCCACCGCCGCCGTCACGAAGGAGACCACAGACGGATGGGCCAATGGTTCCAGGCAAGGTCCCTTTGACTGATACAACACCGAGTGGAGCTGTCTTCAATGTTCCTCCACCGTTTGAGGGAAAGCGGGTAACTGCCCCGCCCATGGGCCGAGCAGTGCCCGTGCCACCGTCCTCAGCAGGGCCACCTGTACCCTCACGAGGTGCTTCAGGCCCACCGGTGCCATCACGGCAAGGACCGCCTTTACCGCCAGCAGCTGCTCGACCTGTACCAGGACGTCCAACACCACCTCCTACAGGTGGACCTCCACCACCGCCTCCTTTGCCACCGCCAACAGCATTAGCAGGGAGCGGTCCACCACCTCCTCCTGGTTTACCTCCACCACCAACCATGCCAGGCGGTCCGCCTGCACCGCCTCCTCCTGCGTTGGCTGCATCGTTACCAGTTGGTGCGCCTGGTGGTAGAGATGACTTGCTTGCATCCATTCGTGGAGCTGGTGGATTGAAGAAATTGAAGAAGGCCGAGACGGTTGATAAATCTGCACCTGCAGTACCTGGTGCTGCTCGAGCAGCGGGTGCTGGCGCTGCTGTGGGTGCTGCTGCTGGTGCCGCAGCACCGTTGGATATGGCGTCACAACTCGCTGCAGCGTTGGGACAACGAAATAAGAAAGTGGCCGTGAATAGTGAGGGCGAGGAGAGTGACGAGGATTGGTAGGGTAGGCTGGCATATTCACTCATGTACCATTCAGAGACACGACTCAATCTACGGCTACGCATCAAAGAAGAGAAGGATCCAGGAAGAATATACGATTGCGATGATTTTTTACGTCAGTAAGAGAGGTTTAATCTTGCTCGTCAAACTTCTCGACAAGGTCGGGAATGTCATCATCGTCGCCCTCTGTCTCCTTAGCACCCTCAACAGCGGCAGCACCACCAGCGGCGCCAGCCTGTTGAGCAGCACTCATTTGCTGGTATGACTCGGCCAACTTCCGCAGGGAAGCAAGAGAGTCGGGACCAAGCTGGTTGAGAACACCAGGAACAAGTTCAGTCAAGTCCTTGTCCTCACCACGGCCGTACACGGCGAAGGTGTTGGAAGGCACAGCGGCGTGCACTAGAAATTGTTAGTGGGTGTTCATGAGTGTTGTAAATTATCGGCATACCTGTAGGACGTCCAAAGTGAAGAACAGTTCCATCCTCCTTGAACATGTTGACCTCCTCAATGCCAGCAATGGGCTGGACGTTCAGCTTCTTGAGGGTAGCTTGGAGTTTCTTGTCATCAACACCGGAACCCTTCGCTTTCTTCTGGATCTTGCGTCTGGGAGTTCCCTTGCCGCCGATACGGACGGATTGTTGCAGCTTGGCGAGTCTCGCGGGATCTGTGTCATTAGCTCCTGGGCTCTGGCGAGTGGAGAGAGAGGTGTGCAGCAACGTTCGAGACATGTTCCGTATATTGCTCTTGACGGGGCAATTATCACAGCCTTGAAGTCGAAAGGAGCTGCACACGATATCCCTGCGATGTCCATACCCATGATGTCTGACTTGAGGGCGTTTACGGGCTCTCAAGGATACTTTTACGTCGTCTGCCTGCCTCCGACGTCGTCAAAATTCTGATCGTTGCAGTCGGCCAGTCGACGCACCCGGGTGTCCGCTTGATGGTCACTTGGACTGCATTTGCTCATATGAGCTGGATCTACCTCGAGCTTCAGGCAGAAGTAGTCATCGCTAAGAAGCCAGTCCTGGGCTCTTGTACTCGTAAGCTGCAACTGTTTCTCAAATGAGTAGAACCGCAAAAGCTACACTTGGCTTCGTGTCACTGTGCACCGTGGCAACCATCTACTTTGTCCACTACTCTCAGCAGGCAGACAAAGACCTCATGCACATGGGCGTCGTGAGAGATGAGGAGAGACAGAAGCAGCGCAAGGAACGTACGCTAGAACTAGAAAGACAGCAGGCACTTGAGGCTGCGTTGAAACAGAGTCAATCAGTTCGGCAGACTTGATCGGCACGAGATTCACCTAAGCTCCTGCTTCATTCTAGCAAGGTCTCTGTCACAGCATCGAGTATGCTCGTGGAGGACTCACCAGGCGCAATATCCATGCGCGAGCGAGCGCACTGTCTTTAAGAGCCTCTTGCGTCAAGCTGTACCAAAGCGTCCAGACAATAGTCCTTCAAGCAGGCTCTCTGAGCGCGCCGGCTCGAGAACGGATGTGGACCCTCTCATGAATTGTCTGTGCAACGAGAGTCTGGCTGCTGAGCATTCACAGCTGGCTCCTTGCTTCAGGTCTCGAAGGCCGTGAATGAGCTGCCGCGTCGAGATCATCGTATTCGATAAATAGCGTTCACGGCCGATTCATCAAGAGCAGAAGCTTGCTATACATACTATATAGGATCATGCTAGCAAATCTGTAAGAGATACTTCGACCCGAGCTTTCATGCTTCTTGTCAAGTCGGGAGATACGAAATCTGGTCAGTCTACACGACCAACGGGGTGCACCTTGGCCGGACCATGAGCCTATCAAAGCCAAGAACACCTTGTGCCCCCTCTGAGAGAGACAGCCTCGTCAGCGTGATGTTATAGAAAGGGTCAGTCCATGTTCAGCGCATCCAAATGCACGACCGCGTGAAAAATGTTTGTCGCACGGTGAGCATACTTCTACGCCTGTCGAGCTTGACATCTACATGATGCTGTGCTATTACCTTATCTGTAAATACTAGCTTCTACATCTTGCCATGGGAGCTCTCAAGACTTATGGCCTACCAGGAGCGACTATTATCGTCGTCATGATTGGCAGTGTATACGGCGCCAATCTAAAGACCAACACTGCGGTAAACTGAAGCCTCCTGCTGCTTGGCCACCCTGCTGACTGCCATGTAGCTCGAAGATATCAAGCAAAAGATCCAAGTTCCCGAGACAAGACTTGAACAGCTTTACAAATATAAAGAACAGCTTGTTGCACAACGTGTTTTACAAGAGCGAAAGTTGGCTGCGTTTCGCAGGAAAGCTGCCGAGAAGGCGCTGGACGCTGCTTTTGACAGTAAATGACGTGGACCAGGTACGACAGCAGACAATTCAGTACATACTTGGGCCCTGCTCAATTAAGCTTGTGACCTCCAGAGGCTAGGTCGCTGGACCAAGTATCGCAATCTCTGCCGTGTGATCTAGCTCGACTCTAGGTCAATCAGCAGAGTAGCTCGCGGCTGCATATGCATCGATGATCATCCAGATTGAAGTCAAGACGTTTGATAATCACAATTGTTAAGCTGTTTGCCAAGATGCCTCCATGCGATGGGTCATGGCTTGTTGAAACCTTTCTGGTCACAGCTTGTCTCTATTTCCAGTACATGAGCTCTTTGAGGGCCACGCATACCCCGATACTTTCTCTCTCTGCCCAAGTATCCGACTCGAGCCACAAATCGTAATGCAGCTCCAATTGGTATTTGCACTTGCCTTGGCATCAGTGTCAGCAGTTGACTTCCACGGTGTCGATATCTCAGCTACGTGGTAGTGTTCTCTGCCTCGCATCAAAATGTCAAGCTAACAAGCAGTGCCGATGGCATCAATTCCAGTATCGACCAAGGCCAGAAACTTGTTCCAACGTTGGACGAACTTACCGCAGCTGGCAAGGGCACCCCGAATGAGAAGGAGACGACGGAGATTGCCGACCTTGCACATACTTCACTAGACCTGTACAACAAGTACAAGGACCGTTCAATTGCCACGGGTGTCACACAGGATGAGAAGGATGCCGCACAGGCCACCTTTTCGCGATTTGGTAAAGCGAGGAGTGACATGGAGGACATGCGACAAAAGACAGACTTGGATCCAACGGTCAAGGCTGTTTTGGAAAAGTACAACAAGCAGCGAGCAGATCTGTTGAGTCAACGAACGCCGTTGTTATTCAAATGCGCGACGAGCATGCCGGCGCTGAAAGCCGGCTACGACAAAGTCCTGAATGTCCCAGCAGCCGCCGCTTGATAATTTGCCAGACACGATTGAGCTCGTACATGTAGAATCATGAGTAGCAGTCATTGCGATCGGCTGACCTGTCGTGTCATCATGTAAGACACATGGTATGAAGTGCACTGACAACGAGGTCACTCTTCTCCAAGACTCCAACACGATTTTGAATCTGCATGGCGATGCCCATCTGAATTCAGCATGTCTCCGCCAGGTGATCTACAGGAGGAGCTCTCCGCGGGTAAGTTGAGCCTTAAAGGAGAGTCCGCATTGCCGGTGCACGAAAGAGAGAAGAGTGATCTGCTCGGTTCATTGTCTGCGTTGGGTGACACCGAAGGCGACTTTGTGCGGCGCCACGGTCAGGACTCAGGGGAAGCGCGATCTGACTGACTCATCGAGTCATCGAGTCATCAAGGCTCCATTGCTGGCACTGTATGTATCTGCCATGGCCACACTGTCTATGAGGGTCGCTGAGTGTCGCATACTTGAGAGCAACGTCAAATTCGCTTCTTCAGCTCACCCTTTGCGATGAATCTTGTTGACGTGCTGACATTGTCACCGATCGGAGCCGTCTGCATGAAGAGACAGAGCACATTGACTTCGACCTTGTGAAGTTCTAAACTATCAGTCACCAAAGGACATCTGCTGCTGGAGAGTTGAAACTTTGTCTGGCGCTAACTAGCCGTGATTAGCGTGCTCGTACAAAAGAATTTTAGCCATGCCAATGATGACATGGTCTGTTGGAGTCCAACATTCTCGCGAGCTAGCTTGCCTGTCCGTCCAGATTCTCGTTGCGTAAGCTAGCACTAGCTGCGAGCCTGCGATTGTTGGTGACTACCTTGGAGGCCTCCGGGAGCTGAGTCATGAATCAAGACTGAAGATTAGGAGCTCGATCTTTTTTCGACTGTCACCTTGGACAGGTTCGTCTAGATTTCATTCGTGCTACGAGTCATCAGCCGGTGTCTTAATTCAGGGAACTTACGGCGTGAGCTTGAATTGTTGCTACCCAGGACTTAGTGTTTCAGAGACAAATCCATGGAGACAACAGCATGCTCGCAAATCTGTCCCATGTATGTAGAAACTACTAGAAAGTTACAAGTATGGTGTGCGGACGCACCGTGCAAGCGTGTCTGTTCGCCGATCGAAACTTGTCTGGGGCGCGAAATCGTGTGGTGATCTGTTCGCTTAAATCCTGGCCGCCATTCATCTCCAAGTTGTAGCCCGCAGATGAATATACGATGTCCGTCGCAGTAGAGGAGCTGGCTTCCCAGCAGACTGTCTTTACTTGACTAGCGTTTCAAGTGAAGAGCAAACACTATAACAGGTCGTTGGGAGTAAGGTGCAAGTTGCCTGTAAGAGCTTGATCCTTCCGTTGCGGGGGAGCTGCAGGCGCTCTGGGAGAAATGGTGGGACGCAGTTGATCCAAGCGAGACGGAGCAGGGCATGGTCAAGGAGGCTACCGAGCCTAGCCGTCAACCAGAAGCTTTGTCTCAATCAATCTCGCACACACAAAGTCCATGGCATATCGCCCTTTATGCGCGCTCGGACGTCCCTGATTGCATTAACTTGAGGCGTGATCTCCTAGCGCTCTCTTTAATAGGCCCCGGCCGCTGCTCCTACCCGTCTGCAAGTACATCCACTCTTTCCTATCTCGCCCCCCCTGGGATCGCATATCTAGAGACCCTCGACCGCTCTTTCTTCTATGACTACCATTGTCCAGCGCCTGCCCATCATGGAGCCACAGTACCCGGCCTGCAAGTCTTTCCCAGTTACAACGACGGCGCAGATGCCTCTGAGTCCAGCTTCGTCGCACCGTTCATTGTCGCGCGACTGCGGCGACAGTGGCAATCATGTCTGTCATTGCGACAGCTCAAAGCCTCGTTTGCCATCCATCTCAGTCTTGCTCGCAAGCGCTCCATTGCATATGTCTTTCGACCCAGTAAACAAGACGTATGTCAATCATGCAGCGCAACAGGCAACACCACAGCCTTCACCGGATCTCTATGGCAGCATGCAGCAATTGCAACGACCGAACTTGCCACGCTTGGGCAGTGCGCCGTTGCCTAGCTCAACATACACATCGCATGTGCCAGAGAGTAGCGCGACGCCAAGTCCTCAACACGCTTCGGCCATGCTCGCCTTCCCACCCATCTCATCTTTGACGCATGGCTCTGCCCCTGTCCGGCCAACTCTGCCAAGTCTTCGCTCTCTATCAAATAACGGCGTCTCACTCTCTGCTCTCCTTTCACCGCCGCTACCAAAGCTGGACAGCACAAACTTACAAGCACTCCCTTTTGCACGGCCACAATTGCCATCCACAATACCAAACTTCCGATCGGTCCCCAATAGTCCCGAATCACTGAGTGCACGGTCCCCAACGGCATCGGAATCTGGTGCTGCGAGTCCACCCGCAGCACAGGGGGCAGGACCAGCGGATCGTTATACCTGTCCTGAATGTCAAAAGACTTTTTCTCGGCCGAGTTCATTACGCATTCACAAGCACAGTCATACAGGCGAGCGGCCGTATGTGTGTAATGTCAAGGGTTGTGAGCGTGCCTTTTCAGTACGCAGCAACTTGCGCAGGCATATGAAGATTCACTAGGCTTCTATGCCAGTGGTTTTCTATGCTGATGAAACTCTTGAATGACCTTTTTATTTTCTCTTACTACGTACTTCACTTTAGTGATTAGGCCCAACCTGTAGCGGTAGCACATTGTTTCCAAGTATACTCCTGCGACCTGAGTGCCTGAGTCTGTGAGATCGAATGCGGCAAAGACGGCAGTGCCGGGCTCGTGAGGTCCAGGTCCGTCTTTCCACTGACAGTTTTCGCTTAATTGTTCGGGAGATCCCATCTGAATCATGGAAGGTGGGACGGCGGGCGAGACTTTGTTGAGTTTGTTTTGTCCGGTTCTGATCGCCGGGTGCTGGACAAGGTTGCATCTGCGGGCTACTACTCTGCAGGGCGGGTTCGGCAACGGCCTCATTCAGGATGGAAGTTTATGATTAATGAGACAGTAGTAGAGAATGGACTCACATACGCACTGACAGTCTGACACTAGTCCTATGTGTCGTAGGCGACGCCGTGACCATGGAGCTACCGGTGCATCGCAGTCAAATATCTACTCGGAAGTTGAACTCCATTACAAATTATGGCATGTAGCGCACAGACCGCATATAAGGTCTATCCTTTGAGCCTGACGAAGTCGCATGACGGCATCTTCGGATGAATAGATGCCGATGGTTGAACGAACATTGAACAAACTGGTAATACCACAGACAGATGTGCTCAAGAACAACATGTCGATGCAAATCTGTGACTCGACACCATCATTTGAATGCAATGTGCAGGCTAGATAGTCTGATCAGAGACTGACAGACTTGTCATAATCGCTCAGGCGACTCGGCATGGGTGCCATCCGATAAACTTGACAGGATGTGGGATGCGACCATCCTTGAGAGCGGGTATAGGCTGATGCCCGTGCTCAAGAGTCAGAAGCCCGACCTCAGAATCCAAAGATTGTATCCACCAGGCCCCTCAACATCCTCGATCCCCATCCCCGTTGCGCGACGGCCTGTTCGTCCTGCTTCACCTGTGTCACTGGCGTCCCTGCAACCTTCTGCTCATCCTTACGCTCCGGCGTCGCTGGTCCTGCAGCAGCCTGTAACCAACCAGGCATCCAACCAGCTTGACCGGCCAAAGGTGAATTGGACTTGTAAATCCCATCCGTATGCAAGACTTCGATCCGTCGACCACCACCGGGTGTCTGCATCCCATCTTGCGGTGACATGGGTGCTTGTTGCCGAGTACTCGCTCCAGTATTGAATGGATTGTCAGAAGCCCTATGACGGGGCGCAGTGGGTGTTGAGTAGCCGTGGTTTGGCTGATAAGCCATCTGCGGACCTCTTGACTGTGCGGCTGGCGCAGACGGCGGTGGTGGTGTCATTGGGTCAATCTCCATAGCATCATCAGACTGGCCGCGTGGACTGGCGAGTGCTGGTGCAGTATCGCGACTCACGGGTGCGTCTTCTTGTGCATACACACAACCCACCATATACTGGCCCAGCACGAGCGATCCATTCGCTTGGACTGCGCGTTGAGCACTAGCAGGAGACTGGTATGTCACTTTACACCAATTGCTACCCGTTGAGTGAGATTCTTGTGCTGCACTACTCGCATGTTGTGCGATTTCGCCGAAGCGTGAAAAGTGGGAGAGCACCTGCGACTGAATATGACTGGGAAAACCAAAGATTACAACGGCAGTGGGCAAGTCGGACAAGGTACTTTGCTGTGGCGTTGACTGGGTGAAGTATTGTGACTTGGAGGTCCGCAGATCAGCTGCGTGTGTTGCTTGTAAGCCTGACGTCCGTTGCTGCTGCGGAGGTGGTGGACTTTTCATAACACTGGCTGGTCTAGAGAAGGGCGAACCACCGCTAAAGTCATAGATGGACTCCGTAGGCGGTGCATCTTCTACTGCGAAATCACCAGACTTTGTGCGTGATTGCTTCGGAGTGCCGAAGCCTGGGCCGCCAAATTTAGAGACTGTCGAGCTGCGTCTTAGAAAGGGCGGCGAGTGCTTCGGTTGTGTATGGCCTCCGGGTGTGTGAGCTTGACGCAGATGAGACGGGACGTATTGAGGCGATGCAATACTGCTCAAGTTGTACATGGATTGAGACGACTGCATAGCTGCAGCTTATGGTCTCTGGCTGCGGAAATCGGGCCAAGAAAGAGTCTTCTGTTGTTCAAGACTTGCAGATGGCTCAAGTTCTCTGGGAAACTTGCTCAATGGACCGTCGACTCGGTCTGTTGTCGCCTTCGCGCTTCCCTCGTCGTGTTTTTTGGCGTCCAGATCCAGGGTTAGGGTTATTCAGCGAGATGGGATGTCAAGCTGGACTCGGCCCAAGATGTGCCAGCTATAGTCTGTGACTCTGTGCTGCGGATGTGCACGCAAGAAGCATTCACATCACGCATCATCAAGGATCGAACACTATAAAGACTCCTGGCCTTGCAGGTTGTGTTCGTACGAAGACTGGCTGAAGGCTGGAGAAGAAGAATGCGACCAGACCTCATTTGTACGCTCCACCGACCCAGCTTGCCAGCCAAGAGCTTCATTCATCTTCATCGGCCATTGAAAAGATAGGTCCAAAGAAGTCATATCCACATGGACTGGAGATCGCTTGGCTTGGCAAATGCTTTCCCCAACCATTGCTGACGAATATGACTCGCCCCTGAGCATGACCTTCTCCACTGTTTTGAAGCCCTCGAATCTCCGAGGCAGAAACTAGCAATTGCATGACATACGATGATCGCGCAAATATTTGCAGGCTGCGTGTCAGATGAGTTGGTTTCCTGCACCCAAACATTGTCAAATACTGCCCAGTTTGAGTGGCAATTTCGCGCAATCCAGGCAATGTGACAGATTCAGAAGCATGATCAGGAGACGTCGTTGGGCGAGAGCACTGAGAGGTATTTAGGTCACCAAGCGATGCACGTTCAAGTAACGTCGAGTCGCATATGCTTGGCTCAAAGCTTGTCTTCCAAGCTTGAGAGGCTCGAAGCTTGCGGCCGTTGACAGGACGATAGCTTACTTCCAGGCACGAACCTTGCTCGCTCAACGACTTCGGTAGCCACCAGCCGATTTCGCAAATATGCCTGTGCCTGATGTCTCCTGTGTGAAATGAGGGCATCCTCGTGCCTGTGAAGTAGCATGTGCACAAGGCTCAAGGAACATCTAGGATGCAGATCTCGTCAGCTGAGCGTTGACGTGACCACGATGCGAGATGCGTAGTATGCAGACACCATAGGCCAGAGCATATAGACGGCATGCCTTCTAGAAGTAGAAGTAGTGTCTGGTGAGCAAAGGCCGAGCTTTAGCCCGCCCGTTGGCCGTGCCCGTGCTCAAATACATCCGGCCACAAGTCCGACATTGTTCTGTGCAGGTGAAAGTGGGCGGCGGGCGGAGGATTTCCACTGCCAAAAGTGCGAGGAAGCACAAGCGACTGCACAAAAAAGCAACCCCTATAGCAACACGCTTCCAGCCCATACAGGAGCCCGCATCCAGACGCCGTCCCTTTCCTGAACACCCTACAGCAAATCTAGCTGGGCACTTTCGCATACACAGCGACGTTTTGGGAACACTCCCGCCCGGCGCATCTCGAAAAGCGGCGATCGACAAGATCGCAAAGAGACACTTCGTTGCGCCTGGCTCTCAACACGGCGCCCAGAAGTTGACTGGTATTACAGTAGAAACGATGGATCTCGATCTATCTGCTCTGCAAGAAAACAAGAGCAGGCGATCGCAATTTTTAGCGGCAACGGCGCTGCCGCTATGCGAAGAGGATGGCGATGATGGCAGCAGTTCGAACGACCCGATCGCCGCTCAAGTATGGAAGATGTATACAAAACAGCGCAAAGATCTGCCGAACGGCGCGCGTATGGAGAATCTCACCTGGCGCATGGTACGTTGCCTTGAGTTTATTGCCGATATTTGACGCTAACAGCAGATGGCAATGAACTTGAGAAAGAAGGAAGCTGCTGCGGCTGCTACAAAGAGCGATGAGAATGGCAGATCAAGTACAGGGAAGGCGATAGCTACAGCGAGCGACGGGATGGCAATTCATGGCAGGGAGGTGGACATGATCTTGCCACCGTCGTCTATGCCGGTCTTCCCACAGGGTGGCTTTGGTTCTGTTCGCCGTCATGTTCGCAAGACGAGTCTCGATACAAAGTCCGGCACAAAGCGGCCGGCCGACTTTTCGCCATATGTTGGCGCGATTGACAACACCGAGATGTTCATGGAGGACGACGCTCCTAACGAGTTCTTGCTGGATGATACGCTTTCCGTTAATCCGCCGTCTTTCCCATTGCAAACGTCGCATCCTAATTTGATGGGACTAGATCCGCTCGCGATGGAAGGTCCTGAAGGGTTCTCGCCAAGCTTCGACTTTAATGCCGTGCACGGCATGAGCTATCCGCAGAACCAGTCTCAGGCGTCGTCTATCGGCTCACAGCCTCTGCATACTCCATACGCATCTGTGACTGGCTCTCTCAGCAACACGCCACATCACTCTTCGATGGATCAAGCCGCTGGTCTTTACTTTCCGAGACAAAGCGAATTCCCCGATCGTCGAGGCGCTTCGCAGTCCGCAATGCTCTTGCCCAATTTCCCAACAGGAGACAGGACACCATCTCTTTTGCAGCAAAATCTGATGGCCTCTCGACAAGGAGGGTCAAGCGAAATGGCATACGGCAGTTTATCTGGTTCGCATACGCCATACTACGAAATGGACCAGCAAGAGTTGTTCACGCCGACGTCTGGTTCATTTCAGCAAAACAGCTTCTTCTCGAATAGCTCATTTTCGCCTCATCCTGGGTTCCAAGCTGTACCACAGCACATCAATCCAGCGCATATGAGTGCCAATGCAACACCATCTAGCAGCTTTCCAGACACGCATCGGCCCATGTTCTCGTTCGCAGAAGAGCTCGAAGACCACATGGGTGAAGTAATGGACTTTTCATCAGGAGACGTGCAAGCAACACAAATGAAGCAGCAATTGCAGCAAGACTCGATGCGTCAGGGAGGATCCTTCACTGCATCGCCGTCTACACTTCCTACCTTGGCACCCGCACCGTCCACCTCAGCGAGTTCAGCCAGCGGCAAATCAATGGCAGTCAACAGCCGAAAGAACAGTGTGGGCAAATACCACTCGCGACAAAACTCAGTCACGGATCGCAGACGCAACTCCTTGCCTCGCAATAATAGTGTACCCAATAGCTTGGGTCAGTTGCAGATGAGCCAAATCAGGCCCCAACGGCAGTACTCTGGGTCGACCTCACGACCACCTTCGCCAAAGCCAGATACCTCGCGGCCGGTGTCAAGAGCGACGTCACCAGGTGGGACAACGACAATGCAGAGTAAAAATACCCCGATTGGAGCGGACGGCAAGTCACCGAGCTGTACAAACTGTCATACACAGACGACGCCTCTTTGGCGGCGTAATCCAGATGGACAGCCACTATGCAATGCGTGCGGATTATTCTTGAAGTTGCACGGAGTTGTAAGACCCTTGTCCCTCAAAACAGATGTCATCAAGAAGCGTAATCGTGGTGGTACAAGTGTTTCTGGAACAAACAACACGACACCTGCGCAACAGCAAGGCCAAGCTTCCGCCGCGCAGCAATCACAGGCTCGCGTGTCTGGACGAGGTCGTGGTTCAACGACCAATTTGCAAGCACTCGCTACACAGCTTGATCAAGCACCTGCCTCGTCGCCAGGTGGCGCTACTGAATCGTCTGGCACCACAACACCGCCTGCTGTCAGTAGTCATTTGACTTCACCTGTGATTGGATCTTTCGCAAATGCAAGTATGGGCGGTAGAACGGCGCAAATTCCAAAGAAGGCAAGAGGGAATGGTGCACTTGTTCAAGGTCCTGCCTCGTTTGACAGTCGTGCGCATGCGCAACAGCACGGACAACAGCAGCAAAGTGCTAAAGCGACGTCTGAGCAGCATGCCCTTCTCCAGTCCGGTAAGCCTGCCAACTTTACAGGTACGGCGAGTATGAACATTAGCTACAATGATGGGCAAGACTGGAACTGGCTGGAATGAGAGGCGTCGACGTTGATATAAAGAGTTCACATGTCCATGGCTGTCGAGCAGAAGAGCTGTTCTGATTTCTGTGCATGTCTTCCCGTTCCTATGCATGGCGATGATCAATTCAACGAGCGAAACTTAAGTAAGCCCTATATATCGATGGAGAATCGTAATGCTTCATGCAGCTGTTTGATTGTGAGCGCCAGTCTTCCCTGCTGGTCGCGTTTCCCCGCGCTTCGAAAATGAATTTGAGTCAAAATGCGAATGCCGCAGCAGCTTCAACCTCAAAAGGAAGTGGATTGTAAGCTACAAGCGGGCTAGAGTGTGTAAGTGGCCGATCAGCTATCAGAGATACGTACTTGACCACGGCCGCCCTTGCTAGAATTTGGTCGTCCTAGGTCGTACGTCAACAGACGATAACCTCACTTGCGACACGTTGGACATTGCGACCTTAAGCTCTCCTGCGACGACCTGCAACTAAAGCGGGCGCTAGAGCTGGCGGGCCCTTGAATGAACCCTCATGGGCACGGCGTCCCTGATTCGTCATTTTGGCCGTCTGCGCCTGACTCAAAGCAGGTTGGTCTGGCGACACAGCATGAATCTAACGGTCAGCCGCTTCAGCAACACCCGTTTGACGCTGCTACCTATGTTCCTCAGACCTATCAGCATGTTCAACAGTATCCTGCTCATATACAGCAGCATGAACTTCAACAACATCAGCAACATCGTCCTGTACACCAGCAACGGAGTTTTTCAGCGGCAGAGCTAGAGTTGGAGGGATACTCTTACTATGACGGACCAACGCCTCAGTTCATACGCAACGATGCGGCACATAATAGACAAGGCTCTTTTACGAGTGTGGGTGTAACTCACGATCACTCAGGCAGTGGGACTGGCAAGAGACGCCACAATGCTCCGATGCATCTCAAATATCATCCATATCGGAGCACTGCACCAGGAACAGGACGGATGCGTTCTGTGCCGCCTACACCAACAGAGACGCTGGACAATATGTCCCTTGGCGCTGTCTTTGAGGAGGTAGGAGGCGACTTGGCTTGTGCAACAACCGATACCGTCAACCCTGTCGAGTTGAGCTCGAAACCAGGCAGTGGCACCTCCACAGCGAACCATTCTCGCAGGCCGAGTGCTGTTCCTACTGCACAAGTTGATTTATCTGAGCAAATACGACAATACCAACTGCTTCAGCAGCGTGCGTCCTTTCCCTCACAACAGCAGCAAACGCTGCACCCGTCACTACAGGCGACACTGGCTGCTGAAGTACCTGCAGCGTTTGACTTCATGATGGACGATGACACAGAGATGATGGATGTACAGCCAGATACATGGAGACCAACGCAGCCTGCAAGTATGGCTGCGCAACTGATTCGCTCCATGAACGAATTGTCTGAACGGCCGCAATCAGGTCCACCGAGGTCAGAGTATGATATGGATCTACCAGAATCGCCACAACTCGGATTACAGGACTGGACATCCACCTCACAAGACTGGCACCCACTCTCAAGGCAAATAACGCACGTTCGGTCACCGAGTGTCATGTCCAGTGCCTCCTCCAGACGCGATATTCAGGAGAACTTTCTGAGTTACAGTCTGAAGGAGGCAAACGGCATGAATGGCTCACAAGTAGCCAACTCTGTCGCTACAGCAGGATCTGTGCCGAGAGCTCAGCGTCGGCCAAGTGCACAATCTCGACGCAGCACATCCGATGTCTCGGCACTTGTTGGGCAGTACACTGCAGCGGCTGTGGCTAAAGTCGCTGCACTACAAGATGCTGCCGTCTTGGCAAAAGCACGACAAGACTATGAGGTTGCTAAAGAAGACTTGTTTGCAGCGAATGAGAACTTGTTTGAGTATGGACCCTTTGAGGATATTTCATTACAATACGAAGTTTCTGGGAGCAGTAGTAGTGGTGGTGCTGGTACGCAGGGACATCGACAGTCCATTAGCAGCCTCTCTGGCTTGGCTACTTCATCTTCTCCACACGCTGCCATGAAGCCAGGACAAAGTACCGCTACACGTCCACATCGTGGGTCAACGACCTTACAACTCCTCACAGAAGCAGCGTTGGCAGCGGGTGTGGATAATCCAGCAACAGGCTTACCCACAAAACCCGCTGTGCGTCGGGAGGAAGAAACGCTGTATGCAGCACTCTTCCCGCCAGTCGGGGAGACTGTTTTGTATGGACCGTATGATGCTGGACCTTCACCGGAAGGAGGCCGGTCAACTTCTGGTATTTCAGGGGCTGGTGTACCACCGTCTTCAGCAGATTCAAATGTCACGATCACAGCTTCTGCAACAGGCATTGGGACTGCAGCGACGGGTGCTGCTACTGCTCGACCTGTTATGAATGCGCAAGGGTCTATTCGGATTGAGCGGTTACCGCCCAAGGCCAAGATGCAGGATACACCGGTTCCTCAATTCATTGATGATATGACTGTTGCACAACTCAAAACTGAGCTGAGGAAGCGCGGGTTGATGGCAACTGGGAAGAAGGAAGAGTTGAGAGAGCGACTCGGGGCAGTCTGGTAACGCTCTCTCTTTCCCTCTCCTATTGTATACTTTTAAAACAGGATAATGATACGTAGTTCACAGGATGAATCAGAACGGTCAAGACTTGTACACATGGGTTGAGATCTGTTTGGCATGATTACTAGAAAGTCATTACAATGTGGCGTCGAGCTTCAGAGCCAGCTGTTTGCTACTGGTGATGATTTAGGCACTAGACCCTCGAACGCCGACTGCGACGTGCGCCTCCGCCTCTGCAGGTGATGCATCCGATACAAGCGTTGAAGACTAGAATAGGTTAGATGGAAAGAACAGAAAAAGTCGTGAGAGGGTCACATACCTGCGGCAATACCACGGACGATGGCAGACAGTACTGCGCCGATACCGTGGATGATGGACATGAAGACACCAGCGATGGCGTTGACGATTGTGCTAAGACAAGAAGCGACTGCACCCATGATTGTAAGTTGTGGGAAAGTGTTGATGGACTATGAATCTCGGTGTAGGAGCAAGGCGCTTTATAGGCTATGATGTGAAAATGAAGCTTTTATTTTGCATAGCGTCATAGCGCATTTGCCTTGCTTTTGCTTGTGACTCATGCTGGATGATCACAAGAGAGCTGACATGCCCGTGGCGTAGTGGGACAACGACGACGGCGCAGAGAAGGCACCGAGATGCGCAACAAAGCTTGGCGCCCAAAGGAGCGAAACGCTGTAGATTGTAGCGACAGTCAGGAGATACGAGGAAGCAGGCAAGATATTGATGGAGGCTGTTGGCGGCCTATTGGGCGTTGCAGTCTCGGATGACGTCGCTACGTCTCATTACGAGCGGAAGCAAATGAAAAGATTAGGAGAGGAAAAGGTAAAATAGCAGGGCGCAGTGAAGGCTGGACAACTAGTACGTATACAATGGACGGCCATAGCAAGGAGGCTCCGTCAGTAGATACTCACAGTCTCACACATGTTCATCGTTCACACACACTCTATAGTTCACTTTTTGGATCAAATGCTTTTTAGATCGATGCCTAGCGCATAGAGACTGCTCTACAATGTAATGTCTGGGAATGGTTAGCATCAGTTCGCAAAAGAGAAATTCCAACATACCCATGATGGCGTTAACAATGTCACCCTTGTTCTTCTTGAGCGACTTGACAGCTTGTCCACGACTGCATTGAGTCTGCTCAATGACCAAGTCAATGTCCTTTGCCTCCACACCAGTCTCATCTACATCCTCATCCTCCTCCTCAGGCGCTTGAGGCTTCTTGCCGGACTCCTCGGAGGATGATTGACCACCAGCAGCCGAAGCAGCTTGCTGCTCTTGGGCTTGCTGTTGGGCCTGCTGCTGGAGAGCAGCTTGCTGGCTCATATCCTCAATCTTTGCCTCACCAAAGACAATGTAGGTGTCGCTGTTGGGCGACTTGTAGACTTCTGGCTTGGCAATGACAAACATGATCTAGCATACGTGTGAGCATTCTGAAATTCGACAATGACCATAAAATAGTAGCAATAGGAGACTTACGTTCTTGGGACGACGGAGAACGACACGGTTGATGGAAGGAACCTGCTTCAGACCGAGCTTGAGAATGAGCTTCCTTGATTTTTGCTCAGCACGAGACTGGAGGCTGTTGCTGGAAGCATCTTCAGCGAGTTCCTCGTCGTGCTCGGAATCGGAAGAGGCGGCTTCGACCTGCGCTGCGGTTGTCTGCTGGACGGGTTCGTCTTCTGTGATTTCCTCGATCTTGGACATGATTAGCTGGCTGCTTTAGCTTGTTTCTGTACGTTGGTGGTGCCTTGATGGTTGTGCTTGTGAAAAGTTAGCAGTCGCAGTCACGTGTCGTTAGAACACTACTAACACTACTAACACTACTAACTCTACTACTGCTACTACTAGTATACTATTGTTATAGCCACTGCTACTGCTACTGCTACTGCTACTATCACAGCATCTGCCACTGCTTCTACTACTGCTCCATGGCGTCAACGACAGTCGCCGAACCACTCGACCTCGTCCGACTCTCCCTCGATGAACAAGTATGCATGCTCATTGCTCAGGTGTCGCTTCTGTATCTAATGCTGCCAGGTCTATGTCAAGCTCAAGGGCGACCGAGAACTCAGAGGACGTCTTCACGTATGCAAAACTGTTGCGATTGCCGACATCCTCTAACCCAAAAGGCTTACGATTCACATTGCAATATCGTCCTAGGAGACGCGGAAGAAACCATCACACTGGTCGACACAGATGAAGAGACACGGCAAGAGACTGTCCGGGTACGTGAAGCCTTTTCAAAATATGAAAGTACCAGAATCATGCTAACAAACTGTACTAGACGGTCAAGAAGCACTCTGAGATGATGTTTGTGCGTGGTGATTCAGTGACCATCATCTGCCTTGGGTCCGCGCAGTAGATGTAGCTCATGTAGACAACCTCGACCTTATACTGCTGCTTGGGTCTGTTGGTTTTCTGTGGTGGCATCTCGTTGCCTTCACGCGGAAGAAAGTCGCGTTCGTCTCTTCACAAAGACGCGACTGAATATACAACAGTACTGCAGGCGATCCAGCATATTGGAGAGATCGCAGAGAACATAGCCAGGTAGGCACTGGATACCTGGCCCCATTTATAACGAGACAAGGAGCAGCTACAATGGCCCGCACAGGGACACCCAACCAGCCTGCACGCCGCAAAGCAACCGCCATCAAAGCAGGCCAGCGATCAGGCCAGAGCACCTTGTTGAGCTTCTTCCCCAGACTCCCCTCCTCTGACCCATGCGTCTTTAGCCCAAGCACACCAACTACGTTTGTTCATCGACCCAAACCAGACACAGTAGTCGCTCCACCGAGCAGTGTCGGTGTGCGCTCATCACCAACACCTGCAGAGATCATCGATGTCCCTGGCTTATCCTCTGACCCCATTGTCGCTTCTGGTCAAGTACCACGTCCTGTGCATACGCGCTTTGACGACGACGACGACAAGGATAACGACCATCTCTCCTCAGACTTATCAGAACCACCGTCAGATCCCTCAGACATCGACGATCTCTCCTTACCTATCGCCAAACTGGCCAAAGTGAAAGCTAAACAAACACTACCAAAGAGAGTTCCTATGCTTGGACTGGAATTCAGCAGTGAAGAGGATGAAGCACCCAGAGTACCCAAGAAGGGCAAATCTGGTAGAAAGACACGCAATGCGAATGAGCAGATAGATGAACAAGGCAGGAAGCTGGACTTCTCCATTGAGAAACTGTTCAATGAGCGCCAGGAGCGTCTGCAAGATATGGCGTTGGTGGATCGTGTTGCTCAGGGAGAGATACCAGAAGAAGAGATGGATGAGGCGTCCAACATCTTGGACCAGACGGCAGATGAAGAATCTGTCAAGCGACTTGAGCAGCTGATGCAGATTCCCAAGATGCGTGAAGAAGCGAATCGACATGCGCCCTTCTTTCTTCACACTGCACAGAGGGAGACAGAGGCGGCGTTGTTGGAAGATGTACCGCTATGGCTTGATCAACTCCCAGCGTCACTATCGCTCAATACACAGCAAGACATGCTACATTGGATCACGAGCAGCGCGTGTGCCATGTATATGCAGTACAACAATGAAACGTTACCGGATGAAGTCACCCAGCTTGCACTTGCATTGTTGTATAATGCGACAGATGAACATCTCGTGGCATGTCTATATACTAGCCTTCGTGCTCTCCTTCGTGGCGCGCCACTGAGTGAAGAGGATGTCGTGAAAGCGATTGCCAAGATGGGTGGACGTGATGCTACATCTACGACGACGACTGCGAAGGAGCAACAACCCTTCAGCTGGCTCCGTGTCCGACAACTCGCTGCACTCGTTCAGCTAGCGACCCAACGCTCCGTCCAACCTGGAACTGTATCGGCATTGCTCCCTTTGCTAATGGATGAGCAGTATGCGCCGTGTCTCATTCGCGAGATGGATGCGTTGCTCGTCAATTACTATGCAGGTGGTCAACAACTCGATCTGCAGCGGTTATGTGAGATGTGTCCACTTGTTCCATTACAAGTGACAATGCTGGATGCGCTACCAACGAGCTCGCAATACGCATGTGAGGAGATTCAGCGTATCGCTTGTGCATTCCTGCAATCAGGAGAGAGTGTACCTACTTCACCAACGCACGTTGTTCAGGAGCTAGAAAAGGTGTTGACGACGCACAAGCCATTTCATCCATTGAATGCAACGACTGACTACCCACATCTCTCTGCATCCCTCGATGTCCTCTCACATGCGTTGATCCATCTCGAAGATCCGTATGAGCCATCCCTTGAAACAGGTTCCATTCCAGCAACGATACAGACGATTGGTGGATTCACACTGCATTGCTCACCGTACATTGCGCAATTGATTGGGATGTGTGAAGTTTTGCAACGGAAACATGCACGGATTGTGGATAGCAAAGCGGCGTTGTTGTATCGGACTGAGGCAAAGAGTAAGATTCAGCGGTTGCAAGCGCGGCTTCGGTATCAGGTTGAGGCGCTTGTTGTGTCGAGTGAGGCTGGCTTTGAGCTGCGTGGGTTGTAGCTGGTAGGATTATTGAGTATCTACTTCTTCTCCTACTGAGACAACTCGTTCCTGGTTGTTTCTCCCCTGACAGCAGCAGCAGCAGCAGCAAGGGGTAAAATTGACAACGCGAATCTCAAACACAACACCCAACTGCTGCCTTCTCTCTCTCTCTCTACACATCCTCACGCTCTCTACTACAACCGCATCAAGGCGCGCCTACCTCCATGCCAGAACGCGACCCAACCAAATCTTACCCATCCGATATCCCAGCTTGGAAGGTACGCCCATTTTGCGCATGCGCCCCCCACCCAAAATGCGCAACTCCTGTCAACATGCGAAAAAGAAAAAAACTAACCATCTCAGCTCATTGTCTTTTCAGTCGGTCCACTACTCTTTATTGTAGCTGTTGTCCTTTGGTTCTTTGGAATCCGTCACATGCTCAAGATTCGCAAGCGTGAAGCCGCAGAACAGGCAGAGTGGGAGCAATTCGATAATGATCAGGATGTGGCTGGACCGTATCGTGGGAAGGATGCTGCTTCTGGTAGCAAGTCGGATGTATCGTCCATTATGACAGGGTCTCGTCGTTATCAACCAAAACACGCGAATGACTCGACGAGCGATGTCATGACCTTACCACACTACGAGACAACAGAATCTCCGAGCATGGTTGAAGTACCTTTTGTGAAGGGAGCAACGTACATTCAAGCGCCAAGCGAGCATTATGGCGAGTCTATGAAGGATTGGGGATATAGCGATCCAAAGATTGCGAAACCATCAAGGACGCAGTCACCCACGAACCGAGACAAATCGTCGCGCCTGGATGTCTAGAAGGCTTCGGGTGCCTTTTCCTTCTCTTTCATGTTGACGCGCTTTCTAAACAAAACAGCTCTAGCTTCTTCCACTCGTTCTCCTAATTCAAGCTTCTCCATTTTGCTTTGCCCATTCAAGCGATCGCGCTAGACCTTCTTGCAGCGATACCGGCGCTTCATAACCCAATCGTTCTCTGGCCTTTGAAATGTCATAGTATCGTTGCGCACAAGCAAACTGAACGCGGAACCTGGTAAAAGTGGGTTCTTTACGGAGTACCCAACAGACCCACTCACTCGCGAGTCCCATGTACGTCGCTAGTGCTTTTGGCAAGACAATGTAGCTGCCTGTATGTTTATGCCCCATGTATGCGAAAATCGCGCGTGGCATATCCCAAAAGTAGATGGGTGTGCCGTTCGTAATGAAGAAGGCTTCCCCTTCAACACCGTTTGTGGCGATGCCCTCAGCTGAACGATAGACGTGCTGTGGATCTTGTGATTTTTGAAGCAATTTTTGCGCTGCAAGGACGTGAGCGTGTGCGGCGTTGCCAATATAGGTGTAATCAAACAAATTGTCATTGTTGCCGAGTTGAAAGCGCGTTTGGCCATTCTTCAAGATTTTGAGCATTCCCGGAATCATCTGCCTGTCGCCTTCCCCAAAGAGTCCTGCAGGTCGAAGAGCGCATGTCTTGAAGGTTGGTCCATTGCTGTCGAGGACGAGTTGCTCAGCAACTGCTTTGGACTCATTATACGCATCCATGGCGATTTCAGGGATCCGCGCATCTTCATTACAATTGACAAGATCACTCCCATCAAAGACAACACCAGCAGAAGAGGTATACACGAGTCCCTTGACGCCCAGTTCTTTCGCAACATCAATAATCGTACGTGTCCCTTCGACATTGACTTTGAAGTACACTGTTCGACCGAGTCCATGCAACGGTGAGGCTGTATGCACAATAATATCGATCCCTCTAAATGCACTGCGCATATCGTCTGGATTGCAGATATCACCCGTGATGTAGCCGACGCTGGGGACTTTTGTATTGGGTTCACGAATATCGAGGACCGTGAGTTTTGAGCCGGGCCATCCTGCGTCGAGGAAGCTGGTGATGATGTGAGAGCCTAGGAAGCCATTGCCTCCTATGATGAGGACGTGCTGTTTGTCTTGCACCATGAAGAAGAGCGATGATGGAGGAGCCCGAGAAGGTGAAGCTCGCGATGGACGTGGTAGAGTGTAATACGCAGTCACAAATATGCCCAAAGCGAGAGTGATGCCGAAGATAGGAACAGCCAACGATGTTTTGATACGAGTATGGACAGTGCAGACTGTGTAGGAAGAGAGGAAGAAGCAAGGAATGAGGAAGAATGTGCCATGCCTGCCATCTGAATTTGTCCTGTCGACGCGCACGCAGAGAGAGGAAGTGATGCGCTACATATGCAGCACTACGACAGCATGACCATCCCCATCACCATCAAGTGGGCAGGCAACAAGCCATTCACAGTCGATGTCGATACCGCAGAATCAGGACATACCCTCAAACTCCAAATCTACAGCCTCACAGGCGTCGACCCAGACAGACAAAAGATCCTCGTGAAGGGTGGCCCACTCAAGGATGATGCAGCGCTCGATACACTCGGCTTCAAAGCAGGCACGAGTCTCATGATGATGGGCAGCAGCACTGCCCTCCCGCAAAAAGTGGCACAGCCCAAGTTTGTGGAAGATATGGATGCCGCTGAACTGGCAAAACAGACACAATCGCCGCCTGGTTTGGAAAACTTGGGCAATACGTGTTATATGAATAGTACGTTGCAGTTGCTCAGGAAAGTACCAGAGTTGCAGGAAGAACTCACTGCCTATGGTGGTGGCAATTTGACAGGATCCCTACGCGACTTGTACAAGAGTATGAGTGGGACCAGTGATCCCATCCATCCAGTCATGTTTCTCTCCTCACTTCGTCAGGCTTTCCCTCAATTTGCAGAGCGGAGTCGATCAGGTATGGGGTATGCGCAGCAGGATGCAGAAGAGTGCTGGTCGCAAATTATGCATACGCTACGACAGAACCTCAAACCAGCAGCAGGCGAGCAAGTACAAAGTGCGCTCGACCGGTTCATGGGTGGGAAATTACAAGTCACTCAGACCTGCGATGAGACGACCGAAGAACCTGCAGTCGACAGCATTGAGGAATTCATCAAGCTCAACTGTCATATCAGCGGCACTACCAATTTCATGCTCGATGGTATCCGAGATGGCTTGACGGATAAAGTGGAGAAGCATTCACAAGTTCTTGGTCGCAATGCCGTCTTTACAAAAAAAGCAGCCGTGTCACGCTTACCAAAATACCTGTCTGTTAATTTTGTGCGCTTCTTTTATAAAGCCGGTGTGCAGAAGAAGGCCAAGATCTTGCGGAAAGTTGGGTTCCCGTTTGATTTGGATGCCACCCCTATTTGTACGGAAGCACTGCAAGCGACCATGGCACCGATTCGTGATCGTGTGCGAGAAGTGCAGAAGCAAGAGGAAGATGATGAGCGTGCGCGAAAGCGTGCCAAGACACAGGAACTTGCGAGTGAAGTACCTGCAACGGAAGCCATTGATTTACAAAAAGAGGTGGATGGCCTACTGACAGAAGAGATGAAGCAGGATCCAGGTGCCAACCACTGCGGCTTGTATGAGCTGATTGGTGTGCTGACACATTCTGGCGCGAGTGCAGACAGTGGCCACTACCAAGCATGGATGAAGGGCGACAAGGACGACTGGTATCGGTTCAATGACGACAAAGTCTCTGTGGTCACCAAGGAGAAGATCGAGACACTCGCAGGTGGCGGTGAAGCAGACGCTATTTACATTGCGCTGTACAAGAGCAAGTTTTAGCTACGTAGAAATGCGTCGAGAGCGTCTTGCATCAGGATGAGACTGCAAGGCCTTGCTTATGAACGAAAGCGTACTTTGCGGTCCATGTCGTCGTGCAGCGACTTGTCTGACGGCATGCTGCGGAAAACATCGTCCACGTCAAGCTTCAGGTCTGTGTTGTTGAGGATATCAAGGCCGACAGGAGATCCCATCAAAGCAGGACGAGCGCCCTAGAGTAAGTCTGTCAGCATCGCATGACGCGCGTCAATGAGGTTAAGAGAGTGCATACCTGTTGAACGATATGTAGTTCCATGCCACGCCTCACAGGTTCAGCAAGTCCATAGACACGGCGCATGGTCTCTAGCCTGACTTCTGCCTGCTGCTTCTCCCAATGCATGAGGCGATGTTCGAGTGGGTGTCGGTTATTGTGTTGCGCGGCAAGGGATGCGTGGCCGTGTCGTAGGGTATCGTGGACGGGTGCTGCTGGAGCGAGGAGATGCTTGTCTACGCCGACTGAGGCTGCATGAGCGTCTGGCGGAGTGATGCGCATCATGGTCTATACTATGGTGCTGGTGCTGGTGGTCTCTTGCGCGTTGTCCATGGAACTGACCAAGAACCAACGACCAACTACGACCACATAGACTTTCCTAAGGAACAATGGGTCAAGCAGGCTCCAAGGCCCAGGAACAAGGCAGCGGCGTCACCTTCCAGACATCCGGCATCCCCATCCAGTTCTCGCCAAACCTCGTCTCCCACCTCGATGCCCAGTCAGAGAGCGATCTCTCCCGAGCTGCATCCTTGGAGCAACACATCCAAGACCGCGTCAAGCAGGAACTGCAGAAACTGCGCAGCAGAGAGCGAGAGGCTCTAGCGGCAGCGACACAAAAAGCAGCAGAGGAAAATATCGGCATGGAAAAGAAGGGTGGACTCGATAGTAATATGCTCGAGCAGGATATCAACGACCTCAAGAAGAAGCTACAGAAACGGCCTACGTTGGGTGCAGAGGACAAGGAAGTCTCTGCACAGCGTGAAAAGGTCATCAGCTGTCTCAAATCACATCAAGGACGCAGCTTGGACTGCGATCATGAGGTGACGGCGTTTAAGGAGAGCGTCGCGCAACTACAGCGCAAGTTTGTCGAGCGATACAATTGAGCTACTCATCTAGACAAATCAGTCGTCTAGCTGTACATGTAGAAAGGCCTGCTAGCCAAGCAACGGCGTAAAGGACCGATCCGCCATGAGCTGCAACCACTCCTTTGACCGATGTGCCCGTGTGTCAATCGATTGCCACAACTCCGTCAAATAATCGCTGATATCCTTGATGTAGGCAATCTTGATGGCTTCGTACAGTGCCTGATACCGAGATGTAATGAAGGCCCGGTCTGTATAATCCTTGATATCCGGCGCCAGTACTGCCAGGGGAAACATGTCTCGCACACAAACACTTGAAGCGTCCGGGATACTCCGTAATAGCTGAAGACCAGCGCTTGCCATCTCTGTGAGTGCTTCATCGGTCGTGCCTAACATAGGTGCCCAATGACGATGAATCAAGACAAGCGTCGCTTGTCGCCATACTTCTCCGCAAAGCAGGACGTGCTCTAGCTTGCACGTTGGACCCAGCTTGCCCTCGACCTGCGAGAGCTGCTGGGGCGATAGAGTTTGCTCCCATCCTGCGAGTGCTCGACATTGTTGGTGAATTTGTTCTATACTTACATCTGTTTGGCGTGTAAGCTGCAGGACGTCCTGGATGATGAGAAAGAGCGTGTAGTTGATTCCGATGATCGAGTCAAGCGGCTGAAGATGAGCTTGACTGTAAGCTTGTTGCAAAGCGGCCAGGTATCGTGAATCATAGCGTGTATCATTGTGCACACAGACAAGCGTGTCCCAGTAGAGCAACATGCTCGTCAAGTAGGTGGCAGGCGGTGGCATCTTGTCAATCTGCGCATACCGTTCAATGAGCAACTGCTTTGCTGCAAACAGATGATGCAGTCCACTCGAGTTCTTGCGCTGTACCTCCCAGGATTCAGAAAGGCCTAGCAGGATGACTGATGCAAAGGTTGCGTCACTCTGCGCATGGTCTTCTTGTCCGAGTGCATCTTGGAGAGCAAGGAATGACTGCTGTTGTAGAGCTAAGCCTTTTGCGAGCATATCATGTAGACTTGGATCCTTTGCAGACATGATGAAGGCACTCATGCACTGGATCACAAAAGTCAGGGGCGGTGAATCTTGCACAAGTTCACGTAGTTTCATCGCAAATGGATTGTCTTTACCATGGAAGATGGAAAAGACATCAGCGACGTGCGCAAAGTAGTAGCTGAGTAGCTGTCCAGGACTGCCGATTGGCCCCGCATCATCAACATGTCTTGCATCGCCTGGCGTGAATGGTCCTGATCGCCTGATTGCCTTGTAGCTGCACTCAGAGTCTGTGCCTCTTTTAAAACAATTGTTACATATCGGCTTGCCTGACTCTTGTCAGCACATGCTGTAGCCAGTCAATTAATGGACCTACCTTCATCGCAGCGAACTCTCCTCAGCTTGCACATGCGGCAGCCTGAGCGGCTCTTTGGCCCACGCTTCCCGAGTCCTGGTGGTTTCACCGGAACAGTCCCCTCTGTGACCGCGACGTCTATAGATACAGGCGCCGCGGCCATGTCCCCTCTGCTGGCTTCTATCAGGGTTGCACTTTGATGATGTGCTTGTATCTGGATCTCGGGTTTCGATGTCGCAATCTGAATTCGGCTCCACTCAATCCACTGCCAACAACCACCACTCCCAAGATGTCCATCGAGCTCCTGACTGCACCAACGCCTAACGGCCATAAGATCAGCATTCTGCTGGAAGAGCTGGGTCTCGAGTATACCGTGAAGAACATCTCGTTCAACAAGAATGAGCAGAAATCCGAAGAATTCCTCGGCAAATTTCAGTGCAAGAACGGCAGGATCCCGGGCATTGTAGACAAGACGGAGGGTGCCAACAACTACGGCGTCACTGAGTCTGGTGCCATTATGATCTATTTGACCGACAAGTATGACAAGGACAACAAGCTCAGCTTTAGCTATGGCACGACGGAGTACTGGGATGTGGTGCAGTGGATGTTCTTTATGAACGCTGGTCTCGTATGAGCAAGGTCACCGCACAACGAACAGGCTGACATGTAGGGTCCTATGCAAGGTCAAGCCAACCATTTCTTCCGATACGCACCGGAAAAGATTGTTTGTCCGTCCCGTACCCAAGGCTCGCTGACAAATAGCAATACGGTATCACGCGCTATCAGAATGAGACGCGTCGTCTGTATGGCGTGCTTGAACAGCGTCTCAAGGAGACTGGCGACTGGCTTGTCGGTGGCAAGTACACCATTGCAGACATTGCAAACTTCTCTTGGGTCAATATGGCCTTTTGGGCTGGCGTTGATGTTGAAGAGTTCCCCAATGTTGTCAAGTGGACAGAACGCATTGAAGCTCGACCTGCAACGAAGAAGGGACTGGATGTGCCCACCGAGTTCACACTCAAGGAGAAGTACAAGAACGACCCCAAGTCGGTTGAGGAACATGCCGCACGCAGCGCAGCCTGGGTGCAGCAGTCCAACAAGGAGCTGGAGAAGTGATCGTCCGTACAATATGCTTATGGTCAAATCCTACTACGTAGCTCAATTCTGTACCTTCCAGCCCTGCCGCCTGGCAGTGTGGCAGCTTGGAGCATCAGATATCGTATCAGATATCCTCGCAATCTTGCAGCAACTCAGGGGCAACGCGATATCTCAGGATGACAAAAGAAATTATGCGACGCTGAATCGCGTGGATCATCCGGATATCTCTACACTTGAAAGCTCCAAAAGCACCTGGGTGGTTCAACTCGAAGGATGGCCTAAAGGGTCACCTACACCACTTTGGTGATTCTGCTGCATCCGGCCAACAGTCTGAGCAGACTGTGACAAGACGCTGTCAAACTCAACAATGCATGTCAAAGCCTTCACTGTCCTATCGCTGGCTCTTGCAGTAATGGGGAAAGGAAATTTACCAAAGACTGACAACTGCTACTACATCGGCCGCTCATTACCAGTCCTTCAAAAAATGTGCTCAACTCCGCCGACGCAATCCAGTATGGCCTTGCTCCTTGCCGTCCATCGAGTGCTAACGCAAAGCCTGCTACTACGATTGGGCAACGAGCTATACAGGCGTGGATCCTACATGGATCGAACGCGGCAAGTACGAAAACAAGATCCTCATTTGTGATAGCGATGAGATTCCAGGTTGGGTCAAAGAAACTTGTCGTTGGGTAGACAGTGGCAACCAGTTTCTCTGTGGCAAACTCGGTATCATCATTTCAACCTATCCTGATGCACTCTGACATTACACAGGAGAGCCTCTGCTGAACATGAGAGTGTTTGCCAGTACTGATTATGTCGAAGTCGGGTCGCTAAACTTGATCAAAAACGTTTGGGAAGACTTGAAAGATACGTCAGAGATAAGCGGTATCAACTGTTTCAGTCCGCCTACAAGGATTCTCATGACACATGGTCTGTTATTCTGCCCAGTGAACCGCGCTGACGGACCAGGTACAGGTTGCTGGGGCTCCCTTGATGCTCCTCAATCGGAGGGCAACCTGAAAGTACTCGTCCGACAGTGGGGCGTGTGGGGTACGCTTGAAAGGAGGAATAACGCCAGCTTTCCAGTCGTGCTCAACGAACGAGAGGTTGGAGGTTGGCTCAAGCTTGCCCTTTGGACAGCCCTTGAACATCTCAAGAAGAGCCCGTACAAGGTGTACTATGGTGAGAAGCTATGCCTCCCTACACACACATTTGCTAATGACAGAGTGTGGCAATCAAGGCTACGCTGGTCATTCCTCCACAGGCATACCGTGCAATCCTCTAGACGAAACATGTGCAGGAAGAATCGCGAATGGCTGCGATTTTGTGTCGCAGGTGACAGGCCTTGGCAACCATTGCCCGGCTCATTGCGGTGGCACCACGCCGTGCTCGAAGTCAGTCGACGGTTTGGTCGTGCCGCAATCCTTGAAAGCCATTATTTACGATGGTGATGAAAAGCAGGAGGCTTATCTCACAATCAACTTTGAGTCCAAGCCGCAGGCACAAACGTGCGAGACCGCTGAGCGGCTGCTGACAATTCTGCCTGGGTTCATTCCAACGCTCCCAAAGGAATTCAGCATGTGGGCCGCCAACACCATCTCGTTAGACTGTGCCATCAGATTTCATCAGCTGCCAGGAGATAGTGGCGTGCACTTCACAGGTGACTAGCATCTGGCCTTATTGTGAATTTTATATGCATATGAGTGCAAATACATCTCGTCACAGTTATGTCTTGAGCCCAATAGGTCAGACCCTCTTGTTCAGGGACCAGGTTGCTGAACTTTCTCGGGTCTTGCACTATTGCTTCATCGGCATGGCTGTATAATGAAGAAACTTGAGTCTATTATGGCACTTGACTGATCTATACAAGGAAGCTACAGATGCACTGTCTCAGCTGGCGGAGACCTGAAGCGAATAGCACAATCGACTGAGATGATGGTGTAGATGAACATGCCTGGACCAACTCCCAAAAACGAGAGTGGGAGGAAACCCGGTATTATTGTCATCAGACGCTCTTCGATGCCGCACGTTCTCACTTGACTCTTCGTCTCAAATTCAAGTTTCAATTCGACCCCAAGCAATTTGTCACGATCGTACATTGCGGCAGTGACGGTTCGAGGGATACGCCAAACTGGTACTCCCTGAAGACATGGTCGATATGTGTAACACCTATCAGGACACAGCGGTTTCGTGGCCTTGATGACTTGATTTGGGTCCTGGTACCCACAGCCGTTGGCCAAGACGTCGCTGGGTTCATAGAAATCAGTGTAGAGATCAACAGACTTCCAAGCCTTTCCTCCATAAGGTTGAGTTTGGCAATCTATCGTTAGTTCTTGCGACACAAACGCAGCCACGTACTAAAGTAGGCTCCATCATTCGCGGCAACTTTGTTCGCTTCGATGTCGGCTTCTATTGCAGCAATAAGCGTGTCTCTAACAAAGTGCTCAGTTCGCATGACAGGATGATCGATGTCAGAATCATCATTGAGAGTACCCCAGTGTCCAACTGCGAGGAACTTGACAAAAAGGTTACCCTCGGGCTCGTGAGGGTCAGGATTTTCCCAGCAGCCTGGTCCTGCAGAGGTCAGCCTCAAATTTAACATAGCAGCTTCTCTACCGTGCACCTTGACCTTGTTCGAAGTGTCGAGGCTGAAGTTCTCGGCCTTCTGTCTCATGTGAGCGTACACGTCCCTTTTGAGATTCATTGTTCCGATTTCAACCATATCTGTGTCGTGAAAAGCCCTGACATTAAACAGAGGCTTGCCTGAACGAGTCAATGAGTGTACGCGCATTGAGAGTTTGTACCTTTTGGACCGCACAAGAAAGCTTTCCCATTGTTGACGTAGAAACAAGTTTCTTTAATCCTCTCGGGTACGTTTCCACAAAAGAGGACCTGATCGGGATGTGCATTGTCGCTTTCTTGCGTCGGCGATGTGTCTACAAATGCATCCGGATCGCTGGGGATTGAGCTTGAGCTTGGAACACTGTCGTAAAAGCATGCTTTTGTAAGATTGGGCTTGATTGAATGAGAAGGTTACCGTATTGTGGCTTGGTACAATCTTTGACAAGCTCTGACAACCGGAGGGGCGTGGCACTCGCGTCGTGAACCTTGTAATGGCAATCAGGACCTGCGGTATGGGTCTCCTGTCGGCTGAAAACTGCAATAATGAGCAACCAAGCAGCTGCAGCGATGCTCAACATGGTGGACATTGCCAATTTGCTGATTGACAATCAACTGTACTTGACAGTCTGTGATGGCGACTACAGGTCCTGTGTGCAAAAGACCAAGACAGATCCAGACTATATGGGTTGATATGCTGCTGCATGGATGTTACCATAACCGCAGTGGTATCAGATCTTCTTGATTTGAAGTTTGTGACTGAGCAGTAATATCACTTGCTGAATCGAGTCGTGAGGTGCGACATCGCAGTGTCAGGGGTAAATTGGTATCAGATCCAGATTTCGGTCTGCGAGTACGGCATATGCCTGCACTTCGCGCTGCGTCTTCCAGTGGCGAAAGAAGACCGTGCATGGGCATCGGGTGAGTGCTCAGCAGTAAAGTTGCAAGATCGTGTCTGGATACGAAGACGAGCGTATGCGACAAACAAGCGAGATCACCCCATGACCACGCGGTGGACACTTGCGAGGCCTGAACGGACCTCCCTTAGCAGAGTCACGCGACTGATTGAAAAGAAGCGGTGAAGACTGACACTGCTGCATACATGCCAATGAATAGCCCTTTTGAGCCTAAACAAGTCGTTGGCCTGCGGCCGCGCAAGCGAGTTGTGCCAACAACGGAGGCTTCCACAATATCCAGTGGCGGGACTGAACGCATCGCTCGACGACATGAACAGCTCAAAGAATTGGACGGGTATCTGCGCAACCTGGAGTATCGGCTGGATCATCTGGCACGCCGCCGTGCAACATTGTACTCTGAGGCTTCCACTGAAGCAGCGCCGCAGCGTACAACACGTCGCTACCCAGCGTTCCGGAAGTCTCCGCTCAGTAAGGAGAGCTTTGGACGTCGCATGGTGCGGAGCATGTCAGAAAGGCGGCAAACGCGTATCATTTCCTGGAAGGCAGAGCCAAGTGCAACTGTTCAGACGCGTGCCACTTCTGCAACCTTGGGTGTGGGCATGGGTGCTCGACACGTTTGCGACGACTTTCGTGCGCACAGGGCGAAAAGGGGGAGTTTCTGGAAGCGGTTGCGCATTCTCTTCTTTGGCGCGTGAAGCAGCTGTTTGCCCTCCTTTGTGGCTGCGTAGAATCTAGAGCTAAAGAGAGGATAGATGAAGAGCTCGAAGGGTGGGAATAGAACAAGATTGAAAGGTGGCAATTATAAAGGTTTTCTTAGAGAGGTAATAAGAAGTGTAGTCAGTTTGACTGAACGTTGAAACACTTGAGTAGGTGAAAGCCAGTCCATAGCGTTAAGTTTAGTGATGATGGCACGTGTATATCGCCTCACTCAGAGGCTGTTGCCCTGTGTGCTGCACTTCGTTTGTGCTTGTGAACATCATGCGTGAGTGTTTGACGTCAAAGACAGCGAGAACACTTCTCAAGAACACGTCGCCGAAGATGAAAGCCTGGTTTTCGGAAGTTTTTGGCATGGGCACGAACGTAGATGTCTTCTTGCCCTCGTACATGGTGACTAAGTCTTCCGCTCGAAGCATGAAATCAACTTTGCCGATAGTAATGCTGATGCTCGGGGTGCCAGCCGCCCAAGCTTGAGCAATCTGAGTCGCAACTGTCTCAGGTGCCGAGATTAAGCTGGTGCCACTGTCAATGAGGGCGATCTGGTCCTCACTGCCAGCAACCACGACATTGCCGATTTTGACTGCAAATGTCAGCACGCAAACTCACGAGGGTCAATTGTTCAAAACTCACTCTTGTCGATCTTGATTTGATACTGCTTTGGCTCTTTTGTCGGGTTTCCGTTCATGTCCACCATGTGCACGCATGTAGACTGCCCAAACAGCTTAACACCGTGTGGCCTGCCGCCGAAGGCCAGGGCACCAGACGTTTGTCCGGTACTTTGTCGGGTCACAGCCATAGAGAATAGTCCTTTTGGCAATTTATGATCCAGCAGCAGCTTCTTCACAAATGGCTGATAAACGACACGGGCCGAAGAATCTGAAGGATTGGGCTCTGCGAATACACTTGTCGTGCCGATTCCTAGCCCTAAAATACCACTGGAGATCGAGTCACCAGTCCAGTACCCAGAGGTTGCCAGACTCACTACCTGGTCGATGCTGGAGACGTTCGATACATGGACATCATCGAGGAAAGGATACCCCTTCAAGTTTTCACCATCACCATAGCGAGCGGAGAAGAAGGCCGAGCCAGGAGAGAATCGCGTCCTTGCGCTGTCACAGGATTTTCCGAAACGGCATGCGCTTAGGTCTATACTGTTGCCAGCCTTGTCGGTGCACTTGAAGTCTTTCGAAACGCAGAATGTGTCCGAGGAGCCGGTATCGATGACCAGGTCGACATTGTCTTTTCCAATTTGAACATTCACCAGGTATGCAGTTGACGGAGTGCCTGGTTCGGTCTGGGAGACAGCTGATTGAGAGGCGGCGTTTCTCTGTATCTGTGCAGGAGGCTTCAGCGCCATTCGCAATTCTTGCTTGCCAGTAACAACTTTGATCGCAAGGTATTCAGTTTGTTTGAGAGTCACTTTCGTAGTGTGGCCACCAGTATGTGCATGTCCCTTAGCCGTCACGAGAGAAGACAGCAACAAGATACCAACCAGCAGCATCATTGACTACTCGCGCAGAGCCTATTGAGTGAATGAGAGTGAATGACAAGCGAGCAGCCTTTCCTTTAGGCCATTGCGGGCTTTAAATCCAAAATCCAAGTCAGGGTCAACAAACAGGAAGGCGTGCAAATAGGGCACCAAATTGCATGACAGGCAAATACAGCAAAGGTACATGCATGCGAGATGACAAACAGACTGCGCTGACGACAAACAAGAGCGGAGTATTTGCACTAGTAGATGTGCCAAATGTAGCGCATAGAATATTCAGTAGGTTGCAGGTTAATAAGCGTATAGCAGTCTGCATCACAGCTGAATTTCTATGCCCATCTATTTGTCTGAGTAGCAGTAGCCTAGTAGTAGCGCATGAGCTCTCTCCGCCCCCCTGCTTGCCAAGGAGACAGAAGCATGATGTGTGTCTAGACTTGGTCGTCTCCTGAGTGGCTACTCTAACCCTGCCAGCGACCACCAGACTGCGCTACACCTTCGTCTCGCAGACCTCGCAAATTCCAACAACACTACTGCACACGGCGCGTGTCGCGAACAAATGCAGGCCGCCGGCACACCTGTTGCGGGCCAGATGCAGGCACAAATGCTACAGGGTCTCACCAAGGACAAGTTGCACGACATCTTCACCCGATACAAGCTGCTCTTGTCTCAAGGTGCTACCGAGCATGATAATCCCGAACTGGCACAGCTCTCCAATATACTGCGGATGGTACAGGCGCGCAGTCAACAACAGCAACAGCATAGACGTCAATCCAGCGAGCAAGAGACAACGATGAGCGAGGAACAGGTTGCTCTCCTCAAGAATCAAATTATGGCCTTCAAGCTACTCAACAAAAATCTGCCTGTTCCTGCGAGCATACAACATGCCATCTTCTCGAATCTGGCCGATGATGGACCCACTGATCCGCGGGATTTGTTGAATGAATTGACCTACGCCGAGCACAGTGACCGCCAAAACCGTCCACTTGTTCCAGCACTTTTGCCGAGCGGAGTCGACTTTGAAGCCATCGCAACCTCAAGGGAAGCTGCCATCAACAACCGTATTGTTTCAAGAATGTCGGAGCTTGAGCTTCTGCCGAGCAATGTGGATGCTTTCGCCTTCAAGACTGAGAGTGATGCAAAGCTCCGCTTGCTGATTGAGTACAAGTCACTCAAACTACTCACAAAGCAAAAACAGATGCGAGAGTCTATGCTGCATGCACTTCCTTCCTTCATGACCCTTGCAGCTACTCACAATCGTGCCGGCTACCGTCGCATTAAGACACAAAATCTGAGAGAGTCACGCCTCACTGATTCTATGGAACGACAACAGAGGACTGAGCGTGAGCGTCGTGAGAAGCAAAAGCAACTCGACTACCTGACTGGTATCACAGCTCATGCTGCAGCCGTTGCACAGGATGCGCAAGCGACCCGAGCAAAGGCACAAAAGCTCGGCCGAGGTGTTCTGGCGTATCACTCTTACATCGAGAAGGAGGAGCAGCGACGTATTGAGCGTAATGCGAAGCAGCGTCTCCAGGCACTCAAAGCAGACGATGAGGAAGCCTACATGGCGCTCATTGATCAAGCCAAGGACACGCGTATTACGCATCTTCTCAAGCAGACCAACACTTACCTCGATTCGCTCGCAGAAGCCGTCAAACAGCAGCAAGGTCACAACCGCACGCTGGGTCCTGGCGAGTCAGAGCGCGACGAAAAGGAAGGTAAGGAAGAGGGCACGACAGCCGAGGAAGCACAGGAACTGGACTATTACCAAATTGCACACAAGATCCAAGAAACTATCCTGGAGCAGCCGCGCATATTGGTTGGTGGCACATTGAAGGAGTATCAGCTCAAGGGTTTGCAATGGATGATTTCGCTATACAACAACAGACTCAACGGTATCCTTGCCGATGAAATGGGTCTCGGAAAGACCATCCAGACGATCTCGCTCATTACTTTCTTGATTGAGAAGAAGAAGCAGGATGGCCCATTCCTGGTCATCGTGCCGCTCTCGACTCTGACCAACTGGACGCTAGAATTTGAAAAATGGGCGCCGAGTGTGCACAAGATTGTGTACAAGGGAGCGCCGTCCACCAGACGACAACTTGCTACAGGGGTGCGCCAAGGCGCCTTCCAAGTGCTGCTCACAACTTTCGAGTACATCATCAAGGATCGTCCAATCTTGTCCAAAATCAAATGGCTGCATATGATTATTGACGAGGGACACCGCATGAAGAATGCCAACTCCAAGCTTTCCAACACGCTCGTTACTTATTACAACACCAAGTATCGTCTGATTCTGACGGGTACCCCGCTCCAGAATAACCTGCCCGAACTCTGGGCACTGCTCAACTTTGTCTTGCCCAAAATTTTCAACTCGGTCAAGTCCTTTGATGAGTGGTTCAATACGCCCTTCGCAAATACAGGAGGCCAAGATAAGATGGAGCTGTCCGAGGAAGAGTCGCTTCTCGTTATTCGCCGTCTTCACAAGGTTCTTCGACCATTCTTGCTCCGTCGTCTCAAGAAGGATGTCGAGAAGGATCTTCCAGACAAGGTTGAGAATGTCATCAAGTGTCCACTCTCTTCTTTGCAAAAGAAGCTCTATGACCAGATGAAGAAGCATGGCATGCTCTTTGTCAGCGATGACGGCAGCAAAGGCGGCAAGGCCCAGGGCATCAAAGGATTGAATAACACCCTCATGCAGTTGCGTAAAATTTGCAACCATCCTTTTGTCTTTGAAGACGTCGAGAGGTCGATTGTGCCTGAAGGTGGCAACAATGACCAGCTTTGGCGTGTGGCAGGCAAATTCGAGCTTCTCGATCGCATCTTGCCGAAATTCAAGCGCACTGGACATCGAGTCCTCATGTTCTTCCAAATGACGCAGATCATGAACATCATGGAGGACTTTTTGCATTTCCGCGGGCACAAGTACATGCGTCTCGATGGTTCTACAAAGGCAGACGATCGTTCCGCAATGCTCAAGGACTTCAATCACCCAGAGAGTGACTACTTCATTTTCCTGCTATCTACGCGCGCAGGCGGTCTGGGATTGAACTTGCAAAGTATGTGAATCTCCACAATGTCTCTATTGTGCTAATAAACAGCTGCTGATACTGTCATTATCTACGACTCTGACTGGAACCCTCATCAGGATTTGCAGGCTCAAGATCGTGCGCATCGTATTGGACAGACCAAGGAGGTGCGCATCTTGCGACTCATCACCGACAAGTCCATCGAGGAATCAATTCTTGCGCGTGCTCAGTATAAGCTTGATATCGACGGCAAGGTCATTCAGGCGGGAAAGTTTGACAACAAGTCGACCGCTGAGGAGCGCGAAGCCTTCTTGCGAAGCTTGCTTGATAGTGATCCTGCTGCGGATGCTGAAGCAGAGCCCGAAGAAGAAGAAGAGCAAGATGATGAGCTCAACGAGATCATTGCTCGTAATGATGATGAGTTGCGACTGTTCAAGCAGATGGATGTAGATCGAGACATCATGTCTCCCTATGGTCCTACAAAAGCGCTCCCTCGACTCATGTCTGACAAGGAATTACCAGATGTCTATCATCAAGAGGACCACGCTGTGGCAGAAGACTTTTTCGCTATTGGCGATGCTGGCAAGCGAGAGCGCAAAGAGGCAAATTACGATGATGGTCTCACAGAGGAGGAATGGACGCGCGCTGTGGACGAAGGTGAAGACCCAGCAGAACTCATTTCGCGCCGTCGTCGGAAGCCCAAGTCGGGCGCCACGACAGGTGAGGTCTCTGGTGCAACAAGTCCTGTGCCAAGCAGTACGGGCTCCATCAAGAAGCGCAATCGACACTCGCGCGCTGCTTCTATTGATCCAGAATCTACACCACGCAAGCGTATCAGAACAACGGCAGGCCCGGGTCCCTCAGCATTGAGCCAGCAGTCCGTATCGACTGCAGCAAGGGGCGCGATGCAGAAAATTTTCATGACTTGCTTGCATGCACTCGATGACCTGGTCGCTGACGACGGCCATGGTCGTACTGATGTCTTTATTGTGTTGCCGCAACGCAAGGAGTATCCGAGCTACTACACACTGATCAAAAGGCCGATCAGTCTGACGCAAATCAAGCGCAAGGTCAAGCGGGAGCAGTACGACTCTGTACATGCATTCCGAGCGGACTTTGAGCTCATGTTTGCAAATGCGCGTGCGTTCAATGAGGAAGGCTCGTGGATTGTGCAGGATGCCGTGGTGCTGGAGGAAGCTCTCAAAGCAAAACTAGAGTCGATGGCGCCTGGCGGCAATGTTGATTTGGGTATTGTGGACAGTATGGCAGAACCATCAGACAGTGGCAGTGATCACATGGAGGATTCTGAGTAGCCTCAGATAGTAGAAAACGAGGTAATTGATTCGTGTACTTGCATGAACATATACTTGACTTGACTATTCGCCACGCGTCTCGTAGGATCCACCCTCGCCTTCATGCAGCTTCTCCTTGGCTACAATCGTTAGCAAGGCCCGACCACGATCAGGCAGACTCACCTTCCTTGCTCATGTGCCGCTCGAGGACACGCTTGTCGGGGGTACCATCCATCTTCAAGCCACCATGTTTCGTAGGCTCATAGTTGCCGTGCATTTCCCTGTTCTTGTTTGGGTTGTCGCCGACCGAGGCCGACTGCGTTGGATCTTCAGCATATCCGGGTCCTGAGTGACGGGTCATCTTGGTGAAGCAGAGCAAGAAGATACTGCACGGGTCTCTATATAGCTGCGCCGCGTGATCTCGATTGCGACAAGGCGTCATGTCTACATCATCGGCGCAAACCAGACAAGGCAGTTTCGATCTCTTGACGACGGGCGCGCGTCGCAGAGTCAAGCGGCATATACCCGATCGCGCTCAACAGCCGCTCAAGTAGCTGAATAGCAGTATTGATTTTAACACGACCATACTTTTTCTGGCGTGTCGCTGGGTCGCACATTTCAGACGGCCGCTGCGATTGCACAAGCGCAATCAACTGCCGTATTTCGCCAAAGTGATCGGCTGTCTCGAGCACTGGATCGTCGAGTGACGCAACAAAATCTTCGAGATGCCGGATGTCGAGGGAGAAGTTCTCGATTGCTGGTTCTGTCATCTTGCGAATCGAGGGCGATGTGAAAAGCTGAAGTAGCTCATTTGCGAGATGATCGAGTGCATCAAAGTAGACAAATGACTTGATCTGTGGTGGCAGATGAACAAGCTTGCTATCTGATGTAGCACGCAGGAATGCAACTGTTTCTTGAACGTAGTCTGACGGCTCGTGCTGCACAAAGGATGTATTCCAGTCATAGTCTGCAGTGCCAAGGGACTGATCCACTGATTCATTGACGAGCTCAAAGATGCGCTTCTCAGCAGCCTTCGACGTGATGCGGAATTGCTCACTGGCTGATAGCTGTAGCTTTGTGGAATTTGCATTTAGAATGCGGTTTAGCTCGAGGCAGGCACCCTCAAAGTACTCGAGATTGATGTTCATCTGAACGACCTGCTCGAGTCTTTGCTTGGGCAGTTTCGAGAGCAGGATTTGATTGACAGAGTCGACTAGCAGGTCGTCGAGTGATTTTCGGAGCAGTTCTTCCACTTGATCGCTGCGCGTGAGCTCATCAGCATAGGCATGAAACTCCTCGATGAAATTGCGCAGCTCGATACATGCGAGTGGGTAGATTTGACTGAAGGGGAACATGGTTGGGAATGTGAGAGAGTCGACGCTGACGGGCGGCGCAAAGAAGAGAATGTCTGCAATCTGTTTGTAGTCGGAGACTTTGTTCACCCGCATAGGAAGATAGAGGTCATCCTCTGCGATTGTCTCGAATTCAACAATGAATTTGCGTTTGAGGGCATCAGCGTAGCCTTCGAAGAGGGAGAGCATAAAGTCGTTGAGAGGCGAGAGATCCAAGTCGTAGCCTTCGAGTGTGTGTATGAAGGTGAACATGGTGGTTCGCATCTGCAAGATAGCAGCTGGGTCAAGATGCTCAGCTGCTTTCAATGACTGCACCAGCGAAGCGACCAGGCTCTGCCAAATTATATCCACATCTTCCTTTGTCCTGAAGGGTGTCGTCTTTGCCATGATTGTATGCTCAATAATGGTGAAGCCAGCCACGTCATGAAGCAGACTCTGCACTGCATTCATGTCATGCATCGCGACTGGTGCTAGTAAGAGATCCTTCTGTGTCTGACGGTCCTCTGAATACTGCCGCTTGAAGGTTGCTGCGCTACCGAGCTCTCCAAAGAGATGCATGCACTCAAACAGTGGAACAAGATCCACCTCGACAGTATCGTTGTGGAGGGGTTCAAAATCACCTTGCTCATTGAGAGTCAGCTCGATGGGTGAGTGTAGCCTAGCAAACTTGAGAGATGGATTCCGCTCCGTGTGATCGCGCCAGCGCTGTTGCCGACGTAGTGTTTCTTCCAAGGCACACTGTCCCACGAGCCGCGATTTCTCCCTAATGTCCAGCATCCAAGCGCGTAGTTTCGCCATGACGGCATCTTCTATCGATGCTTTGAGCGTTGGTATGCTGCGCTCGATGAGACCAGTCAGTTGATAGCCACTGACCTCCTTGAGTCTGTTGCGCTGTAGATCGTCCAGGGCGCGAAGAGCAGCGTAGAAGCGCTTGCCCTCAACAAGCTCCTTGATGCGATTCGTTGCATTTAGTACCTTGAGACATGCTTCTATCGCTTTGCAAGCTTCATCAACATTTCGTCGTACAATACGCGTCTCGAGAACCTCTTTTCGACGTTCCAAAAGTGCCTTGCCAGAGTCCTGCAGTTCCTCATTTAAGCTGAGTACTTGCGCCTTGAGATCAGACGTGCCTTGCCGTACGCGCAACAGCTTCTCAACAGATGCGACAAAGATGTTGTGGTGTTCATTACAGGTTTCTTCAATCTCTGCTTCCTTCTGTCGCGCAAGCTGTTCAATCTCGCCAAGGAGGGTGTCTTCTTGGTTATGAATACACGCGTTGCGGATGAGCGGCGCTAACTGTTCGAGGTTTTCGTTGTCGCTGCGGGATGTACCGATGACCTGTAGGTTAGCATGCTAGTAGAGACGTCAGACTTGTCTTGTACCTGCTGTATCTGCGATGCGAGCATGATAGTCGCATATGGATGGTGGTGTCGGTGGTTGTGTTGTGTTTGTGTGATGAAGCAGCGACCTGGACCACGACCAACTGCCACCAGCTATTGCTTATTGCTTATTGCTCGCTTCTGTGCTTATAGAGCCAGATCCTATTGATCCTGAGGCTGGCCTTGCTATGATCTATGCATTCCACCTCTTCAATCGACAGTGCGAGCCCGTCTACACAAAGCAATGGCGAACAAGTGTATCGACTCTCTCGCGTGCAGACCTCAACAAGCTGCTCTTTGGCACCATCTTCTCCCTGCGGAATCTCATCCGCAAGCTCTCTCCCACGGGACAAGACGGCTTCTTCAGTTACAGAACAGACGCCTACCGCTGTCACGTCCTAGAAACACCGTCCCTATTACGCTTCGTCCTCATCACGAGTCCTGAGGTCGAAGGAACGCAGATGCTGCCTGTCCTAAGAAGTATCTACGAATCACTCTACACGGAATATGTCGTCAAGAACCCCTTGTCCCTGCGAGACCTAGGTGGTTCACTGAAAGACCTCCAAACGGCAGGCCTCGAAAATGACGAGCAACCAAAACGAAAGCATGTCCAAAATCAACAAGCACTCGGCGAACAGGTCGTTGGGTGCGAGCTGTTTGTGCTTGCCCTGGACCAATTCATCATGACCTTGCCAACCTACTAGTCCATCTGGAAGCTGGTAAACATGCGGGCACTGAAACCATCGAGTTCCGGGATACTGTTGATGGCTTCCATATAAGCGCCATCCACCAAATCGCCATTCTCTGATGTTTGCGCGAGATACTGCGCTTCACGCGTCATGACGGGCAAGATGTTGGCAACACGCATCTTCTCACGCGCTCCAAAGGCGCGCTTGACTTTATGCTCCAAGAGCCCCGTAACACCTGCATCAAGACATCGACTCACAAGCAATGCCGCTTCATGCGAATCCAACTCTCGTGCCGATTCATCGAGTAATTGTCGCAGATCCTCTGGAATCTCCTGTAGTTCTGGACTTGCCAGTTTGCAAATCTCCAATTCTTCAGCAGAACCACGACCCGGCAAGACGTGGGCGAGCCAGTTGTAGTGGTCATCGCCTGTTCCATTGTACTCAATCATACTTCGCACGCGCGATGTCAGCAGTCTGAGTTGCGAAAGGGTCATTTCCTCGCGCACTTCGAGTCTGGAGAAGACTTCAGTGACGCAGACTTGGACGCGCTGGACAACGCCACGCCAGCCGCGGTTGAGGAGGAACCAAACGAATGTCATGTAGCGCCTGTTGAGTAGCATCGTTTCTTCAGTCATGGCGTCTTCGTCGTCTTCATCATCTGATGTTGCATCGCGTAGTCGGATACGTGCTTCGCCGTCTTCTGCAATGACGGAGAGAACGCTGTTGACGTAGTTGCTGCGGCCAACCAGGTTGAGCTGAACGCGTGTCAGGATGACCAGCAGCGCAATACAGTAGTAAAGTGAAAAGATACGCGTAATGCTGGTGATTTTGATGTCGTTCCAGAGATCGAGCTTTGAGCGCCTGCCTACTTGCATGGTGCTGTGCGTCAAATCACTGAAGCCGGAGCGGATACTGGCCGTGTCATCCATTAGGCTGACTGGCCCACCCACACTGTTGCCTTGTTCACCCACAGACGACGCATTGGTAGAGCGGCCTTGCTTCTGGGCCTGCAACTCTGCCGTGATGCTCTCGACCTTGAGTTCCTCCAAGATCTTCCCACTCAGCTCTGGTAGGAATGCAACGACATTGAGGGTCGCATCGCGTTGATTCTGAGTGAATCTGCGCTTGAGATTCTCCTTGGCCTGTCGCTCGTCGCTGGCCCGTTCGGAGATGTCTCTGAGTTTTGCGGTTGTGTAGGCATACGCGTAATAAATGCTGGCTGTGACGAAGCCGAGAGTGAGGAGCTTCTTCCTGTGCCTGCGGAGGAAGTCGCGGACCATCTTGCTCGTGTCTGTCTGCTGCTGACACAGTCTCCGGGCTCAAGCTTCTCCTTCCCTAGCTGGCTCTATACACTAGGTAGTAGTGACTAGTATAAAGCCTTCTGTTGTCGTGCGGGGAGAAGAAGGCAGCAGACACCGCAACCACCACCAGCTACATGTGACAGCATGGCCTCCTCCCTGCGCATACACGCATGCGACCTGCTCCAGGCACAGGATGCAGTCAGGGCCCTCCTCCATACAATCCTCTTCCACCGTCTCTTTGGCCAAGTCGTTCCCAAGCAACTTGATATTCTCGACGTACCCGTCCCTGCCGTCGATGACCCACACGTCGAAGCGCTCGTGGATGAGCGCGCCGCTGCGTATGTCAAGGCACTCAGAGCAGCGCATACACAAGCAACAAGCGCTGCAAGTCACAGCAACAGCCACGTTGCGCGTGGCAGTATGCCAGTCTTGGCGATAGAGTTCTACGAGAAGCGTACACGCAAAGGCTGGTTCCTAGGCAGGGCAGAGGAGCAAGTGTGTTGGGATAGCTGGCAGATTGCAATCGATTCATTGACGTCGCCTTCACGACCAGGCGATGCGCAGCGACGTGCATTGGCACAGACGATAGAGCAATGCATGATGCAAGTCATCCAGACCGTCAATGAGCGCAACGATGCGTATATCCCGCCGATACCATACAACGAGGGCAACAACGCCAACCCGTTCCCGTACGTGATTGAGGTGCGCTCAGCTGGCCAGCAAGGCGAGTCTGTGGGTCTTGGGCTGGAGGGAGCACCCAGCGCTGCAGCCGCACAAGCAGAGGGGGAAGGCTGGTTCCGATAGAGATGATGTAGATGAACACGATTCACGACCATGCTTTCCTTCATGACTCCCTTCAGGCCTCATCTCCGGCTGTCCTCATGCGTATAGTACAATCAAGAATTACCGCTTCTGTCTGTGCTTGTAATGCTTCTCTTTCCTTGAGTACCTCATGATGCCGTGCTTCGACAACACGTAGTGTCTCCTCCAATGCGGCAACGCGCTGTATCTGCTCTGCTTCAGTGCTTGTCAAGCCAGGCAACGCCTGTACCAGCTGCTCAATTTGCTTCACCTGACCGACAATATCGCGCGCTAGTTCCTGCTGGTTCGCTTTGAATGTCGCTGGCTCATCTCGTTCTGGTTGGACTTTGAGATCTGGCGGGCGAGCCATGACATCGTCGGGGAAGGCGAGGTAGTCGTGCTTTGTATTGAGGTAGAACAAGGCCGAGTACATCTCCTTGCCGAGCATGTCGACTGCATCTTGTAGCTGTGTACATATATCCATGCTGCAGCTCTAGGTCCTGCTAGTCCCTAGCCAGCACGCTAGACTCAAGCTCGTCGCCGGTCAAGTGTTGTTGTAGGGATGGTCGCGACCGGAACACGCACCCGTCATACCGACCACGACAACGCGACACAGCTTAGGCCATGGACGTCGTCGCAGCGGCCCAATCCTATGTTGGCAAGCTGCTTGCACAGCCGGGGATCAAGGTGCTTCTGCTAGATGAAGAGACGACACGGATCCTCTCCCTCATCTCCACCCAGTCTGCCCTCCTCGAGCATGAAGTCTACCTTACAGATCGCCTCCGTAACCCATCGCGCGAGCGTATGAAGCATCTCGCCTGCATTGTGCTCTGTCGCCCAACAAGTCTTAATGTCTCTGCACTCGCCAATGAGCTTGCAGACCCGCGCTATGGGTCCTACTACATCACTTTCACCAACATCCTGAGCAAAACATTCCTTGAGCAGCTCGCAGAAGCAGACAAGCTGGAGCGCGTCAAGGGTGTTTATGAGCATTATCTGGACTATAGTGCCATTAATGCAGACTTTTATACGCTGTCGACTCAACCACAGGCTGCAACAACGCGGATATATGGTGATGCGCCACAGACTTGGAACGACGAAGCGCTTATGCGGTGTACGGAAGGACTGGCTGCTGTCTTGCTGTCGCTCAAAAAGAAGCCAACGATTCGTTATGCGCGCAACTCGCCACTCGCGAAACAACTAGCTATGCAGATGGACCAATTGGCTGAACGCGAGGAGAAGCTATTTGAATTTAGCAGGAACGATACACCGCCCATCTTACTGTTGCTTGATCGCAAGAATGACCCCGTCACGCCACTCTTGACGCAATGGACGTATCAAGCGATGGTGCATGATCACCTAGGGATACGCAATGGCCGTGTATCTCTTGCGCATGTCGATGGCATCCGGCCTGAACTCAAGGAAATTGTCCTGACAACAGAAGGAGACCCATTCTACATGAGTAACATGTTTCTTAACTTCGGAGACCTGGGTAGCGCTGTCAAGGAGTACGTCGAGACTTATCAAACACGCACCAATACAAACAAGAAGCTTGACTCATTGGCAGACATGAAAAAGTTCATTGAGGATTACCCAGAGTTTCGCAAGCTGTCAGGAAATGTCTCAAAGCATGTCGCTCTCATGTCAGAGCTCAGCAAATCGGTTGGGGAGAATAACTTGCTGGATGTCAGTGAGCTGGAACAATCTCTAGCAACCGCAGATAACCACACCGCAGATCTCAAACAGCTACAAAGATTGCTCATGCTTCCCTCTGTTCCCGCTGTCAACAAGCTACGGCTGGTCTTGCTTTACGCTTTGAGGTATGAGCAACATGCACAAAACGCAACAGGCCCTTTGCAAGGCATGCTCAAGGAAGCTGGACTTTCGCAAGAGGTGGATGCCGTGGATCTCCTCCTAGGCACAGCTGGTGCTTCCCAACGGCAAGAACCACTTTATGCATCTGGAGACCTTTTCAGTAAAGCACGAAGCGGCATCAAAGGCTTGCAGGGCATTGAAAATGTCTACACCCAACATCGTCCGCTTCTTGAATCGCAACTGCTCAACTTATCCAAGGGCAAACTCTCATCGCATGATTATCCAGGATTGAGCTCTCTATCAAGAGATAAGCCACAGGATGTGATTGTTTGCATGATAGGCGGTGCGACATATGCGGAAGCCAAAGTCGTTCGGGACCTGAATACACAGGTGCCTGGTTGTCGCTTTGTACTGGGCGGAACAACAATTCCGAGTGCGAGTGATTTTGTGAGTGGGCTGTTGCAGGATGGCGCGAGCTGGTCTGGTGCGGGTCGGGCGAGTGCCAAGGGTAGATTAGCATCCAGACGGCCGTAGAGCTGTCGACCTCCTCTCCCATGAAGTTGCTGCTGCTCTCCCATCTGAATCGCGATTTTGACTTTCAAGCTGCTGCGAGCCTGCGACATCACGAGGTGACAGCTTCTGGACGAGTGCAAGCAGAGCATGAAGCGGGCGGCCTGGACATGGCTAGACTGGACAACTTACCTCTTCTGCCTCTCTCATATCCCAGCGACCTTGTTCGTTGACCTGACGCCCATCTACCCTGACATTGCACTCCTGCGGCCGCTGCAATGGCTGCGTTCTTGGTACCTTAGCACTTTTGCCGACCCGCTGATGGGTGGACAGAGCTATCCTGGTGCTTGGTTCAAGTGTTTTCTATGGATTGAGGGGATATTCCAGCTGCCGGTTTGCATTCTGCTCGTATGGGCATATCATCGCGAACAACAGGACGCGACTTGGGCGCGTTTGCTGGTGGGTTTGTACAGCATACAAGTGGCTACCTCCACGATTGCCTCGTTGGCGGAAATTTTCGCATTCGACACCATTACGCTCAGGCAGAAGCTTGCCCTGTGCTCCATGTTTTGGCCGTATGTCGCCGTCCCTGTCGTCATGGGTCTTGGACACATGTATCGTCTGCTGCGTCAAGAGCAAGTGACAGCTCATGAGCTAGCCTACTTGCGCATACGAAAGCAACAGAGCCGCACTATCTTGTTGACAGGTGCTAACAGCGGCGTTGGATTTGGCTGTGTACAGCGGATTCTCGACCATTGCCGTCCTGCACTCCTCTGCAAAGATCTCAAGCTTATACTCATCTTGACTGTTCGCAGCAAAGCCAAAGCCGACTCCATCATCGATCGCCTGACAAAAGAGATTGAACAATTTGGAGAACAGCTACACATTCAATTCGAAATGCTCGACTTGGTAAGCATCTCGTCCACTGAAGCGCTTTGTAAGCGTCTTCAGAAACAGCACATTGATTCCTGCATCTTCAATGCCGGCATGTCTGATCTAGAGCGATTCGACCTAGGAATGTTTGCGAAGCAACTCTTGACCGCCCCCATAGCAGCACTGTCAACGCCAAACTACAATATTCAACGAATCGGTGGAAAGACTGCAGATGGATATGGTGTTGCGTTTCAAGCCAACCTGCTCAGCCACTACTACCTCTCCAAACGACTTGCAGGGTCTATTGATTCCATTGTTTGGATGTCGAGCTTGGAAGCCACAGCAAAGGCGTTTGATCCGGAAGACTTGCAAGCGTTGACGCACGCACACGCATATGAATCATCGAAGCGACTCATGGATGTGCTGTACACAACTGTGCTTAAGCAAAAGGGCCATTTCCTTGTACATCCAGGCTTTTGTGCGACCAACATTGTGAGCACTGTACTTCCAACCTACTTGCCACTTGGTCTTGTTCAAGCTGCATGGCAAGGATGTTTCTATGCTTTGATGTATCTAGGCAGTCAGTGGCATGTCGCCTCTGCATATAATGGTGCCTATGCAGCATCGACCCTCGCTACATCTTTCTTGCTTGAGGTAGATGCGTCTCGCTATGTCGGCAAAAAGATGGGCAGTGCTGGGGACCGCCTAGGTCAGCTCCGTCTCGCGCCAACACACATGGATCCCATCACGGCAGCGGAAGCAGCTGCTATTGCAAGACTTGATCAAATGGCGGAAAAGCTTCTGCCGAAATAAAAGATTATTACCTTTCGCTATACATATTCGACAAGAAGTCGTCAGTCATCATTCACCCAGCGTGTTCCCTGCAGGACCTGTGTACGTTTGACGGCCGGCAACATCCAGTCTCGACGACCACTCCCAGCGACCCCAATTCTCGGCACAACGTAGACTTCTCTGCGCCGACGATTCTGCGCAATGGGCAGCATGGTAGGTGGTGGATAATCCAACGGTGTACCAAACTTGAGTAATGGCGTACCTTGCGCTGCAGCCAGCAAGACCTCTTCATCAATTGGACACAAGACTTGTAAACGCATGGGCGATTGCTTCTCATCGCCGTCTTCAGTCAAGGTGCCTGACGCAGCTTGGGTGAGCTGCGCATACAGCACAAATTCCGGTGCTTCAGGGAGCTTTCGGAATGTGTAGCAGGCTGGATGCGCAAATGCAATATTGTCTGGACTCCCATCAATGGGTACAAGTGGCGCATACGGTGCTTTGAGCAAATTGCCGCGGACAGCTTTGGCGGAAGGCGCTTCAAGTCTTGCCACTTGGTCAATGAATCCGGCAGTCAAGATCTGCTTCAACAAGTGCTTTTGCGCACTTGTCGGTGGTTTGAGGCGGAGCGTTGATGAGATGGCGTTCTTACCCAATAAGGTATTCACCAGGCGTGTGAGTTGTAAGCGTAGCTTGCACACCTCCTCCGCAGCCTTGTGTCGAACGAAAAACTCGCGGCAAAAGTCCTTCTTGTCGGACGCATAGTCGTATGCGCAGACGGCAGCGAGAGATCGCCAAACATCTCCGGCGTAGTCAAATTGGCCCGATAGCTGGTTCATAGCACGCCCATAAGCTTGCTTCGCCTCATTACGCTCGTCTGCTTCGCCTTCCACGTTGTCTTGTCGTGAGAAGAGCTCACCTACCGATAAAGCAGAGACAAGTGCAATGACATAGGCTAGTAGACCTGGCTGTTGATTGCCAAGCACGAGCATCTTGCCAAATCTTGGTGTGAGTGGGAACAGCGACATGGTTCTGCCAATCTCTGTAATGGTCATTGGGTCAGTCGTCGTTTTGCCCGTGCGCAATGCACCAAGGACATGTAGTAATTTCTCAGCCTGTGAGAGTGCCTGCCTGTCTGGCGCTGTGGGAAAGGGGAAATTGACAATGGTATGGATGTTCATGCTTTTCATCTGCAAGACGACGCCTTCAATTGGAACCTGCAGAATTTCTGGTGCAGCATGCTGAACAAATTGATCGCCGTACACGGCAGCTGAGAAGAGGCGATAACAGTGCCCAGGTCCTGTTCGTCCAGCACGACCTGAACGCTGGTCAGCGGAGGCCTTTGAGATCCAGCCAACCTGAAAAGACTGAACGCGACCATCAAACACCTTTTCTTTAGCTCGTCCCGAATCGACCACATAGCGGATACCAGGAATCGTCAGCGACGTTTCTGCTACATTGGTGGCGAGGATAATTTGGCAGGTTTGTGCGGGCACTGGCTCAAAAATTCTCATCTGTTCAGTCGTAGGCAGAAGCGAGTAGAGTGGAAGGATCTGGACGTGCTTCATAGTCTTCAAATCCTTTGCTAATGCCTTGTCTTGCTCTGTCTCCTCGATATCAGACAAGTCGGAATCGCCATCGTAATCGTCGGCCGATGGCGCATCAATCTCAAAATCCTCCGTTTCCAGCATAATCTCTTCTGGCTGCAACTTGACCTGCGTCTTATTAACAAAAGACTTGGCTTTTGATCCAAACTTTTCCTGCAAGAGTCTGGCGCACTGTTCAATCTCTTGTTGACCAGTTAAAAAGACCAGGATACCACCAGGTGGTAGCTTGTCATGGATCTTGACAACCTTGCTACATGCCTCCTCCACATAACTCGACATTTCTGTGCGTCTTGAAAAGTGGATGCCGACTGGATGTTGCCTGGCTTCAATGGACAAGATTGGAGGCGGCACTGCAAAAAGCCTCGTGTTGTTTGCAAAGTCAGACACACGGAGCGTGGCACTCATGATGACCAGTCGTAGTGGCGATGCCGTATCCTTTCGCAGTCGAATGACCCGCGAGAGGACGCCAATGAGGATATCTGTGTTGATGGACCGTTCATGCGCTTCGTCAATGATGAGAATTTGATACTTGCTCAGCGTCAAGTCGAGAGCAAGCTCTCGCAAAAGCACACCATCCGTCATGAATTTGATTTGCGTACTTGCCTTGACGTTGGAATCGAATCTGATTTGGTAGCCAACAGCTGCTCCACGATCACCGAGTTCAGCAGCAACGCGACGAGCCATGCTCACAGCGGCAACTCGACGTGGTTGCGTTACACCAATCCCAGTGAATCCAGCTTCAAAGAGAAATTGTGGTACCTGTGTGGTCTTTCCGGAACCTGTTGCACCAGAGATGATGACTGTTGAATGGGTCTTGATCTTCTCAACAATCTCTTGCTCATGTGCAAATGCTGGTAAGAGGGCTCTTGACTCTTCTAGGTCAGTAGGCCTAGTCACAAGAACAGGCGTTAGGTCTGGAGCTGCCAAATCGCTAATATCGTTAGGCTCCGGCGATCGCGACGCTCTTCTGGGAGTGTGTTTATAGTCTGTTGGGGCAGACAGAACTTGATTCTGTGGTTTCATATCAGTCTGTTCGAGAGCCCATTCTTTGAATGTCGTAGACTCTGTGGCCTCCTCTATCCCTGAGCTCACTGATTGGGCTTCGTCTTCAGATGAAGAGGTTGCCTCAGAGCCTTCAGACGAATCGCCCTCGTCCGATGATACCCCAGTTTTCCTCCGCTTCTCCTCTTCTAGCTTTGCTCGCCAATTGTACTTGAGCGCAGGTCGCTTTCGCTTCTTGCTGATAGTTACAACCGCCGCTTTTGAAAAACCACTCTGATTCGGGGCAATCTTTTCAGGCTTTTCTGTTTTCAGGTAGGATTCGTCTTCACTGGGAGAAGACTCTTCCGATTCGCTGCCACTGAAGCCAGCAAAGGGCTCAAAGGATTCCTTCTTTTGTTGCCCCTTGGTGCGCTTGAGCATTCTCGAAGAAGCCATGCCCTCACTCTTTTCCTGCTTACTCAGGATCCCCATCAGCTTGACCTTTTCATCATCCCGTAGCTTTCGCTCGATATACTTGTCAAGGCGCTTCTGCTTCTTGCTCTTTGGCACCACTTCCGGTTCGTCATTGTGTCTGCCATGGCGCCGTGCATTGCGCAAAGCCTGTTGCTTGGCAAGCATGCCTGCGCGCGCCTTGTCATTGTAGCGTGCTTTCTTGGGCGGCATCTGTAGCTGCAGGCCACACTATCTTCTCGGCAAGCCACTAGCTACGGCCATGTATTGATGTCTGTCGCGTCTTGTCCTTTAAATTTCAGCTTTGTCGCACGGGGCGGGGTCGAGGCCACAAAGTCAACGAGTCAACATCAAAGGACAAGAGACAACTCGCTAGACACCATGCATCCGCCCCTCTCAGAGCACAAGCATCCAGGCTGCTACGACCTCATTCTTGCTCTCGAAGAATGCCATAAAGCAGGTCTCTGGGCCAAATTCGGTGGGGCATGCAATGAACACAAGGAAGCCCTGACGCTCTGTCTACGTGCTGAGGTGAGCATATTCCCATTCATTATCTAGATGGACGCATCGCTCACATACGCAGCGACTTGCCAACCAGAGAGAAAATCAACGCAAGGCCAAGGCGAGAAATGCAAAAGCACAGGCAGCCTGGAAAGTCATTGATGACGAATCTTAAGAAATGAAAGACTACAATTTGGTATTGAAATATGTTGCCCTCAGAAGACGACTGAAGGTTGCCGACTGTCGCGTCCAATGGAGCCCAAAAAGGCAAGTTGAAGGGGCTGGAATGCAGCAGTGTCGAGGAACACACCTTGTCGCCGACGGCGCTTCTCGCTTCTTGCACAGTCGATGCTCTTCGTGGGTGTGCAGTGACTAAGCGTTGAGCGATTCCAAGTAGAGGCCAGCAAAGGTGGCGAACGCAGTTGGATGCTACTACTGTCATGTAGGCTGCGAACCGAAGACGACGGTAACACTGTTTGCGGCACACAGTCATGCTCAAAGCTTGCTAGTCGCTTTTGTGGGACCCGGGGTGTACCTGGTGACATCGGCAAAGGCGGCAGATCATCATCTAATCGGGCGCTTGTCAGGAGGCGTGGCTTGCTCATTTGTAGCGGCCTTGTACCATCAATCGCTTTTGCCACCGTTTCACTTTCGACAAGACTGCCGTCCAAAATGCGTTCTTTCTTCTCGGCCTCTGCCGCTTCGAACCGTCTTGCTCTTCTGCGCCGTGCACGTTCCGCAATTGCAACTCTTGATGGCGTCTTGAGTGTTGGTCGGCCTGCTTTGAGATTTGGCTTGTTGCATTTCGTTTCGAGCTGTCTGTACGAGATGAGCCTGTTGAGTGGAATTAGAGCATCTTCGAGCGTGGCCAGTCCTGTTTCCATTCTAGCTGCGGGACCATCAACCGCAACAGCTACACTTTTGACGAGATTGGGCGGTGGCGACGGCGGCGAGTCACATGGAAGGTCTTCCTCCAAAATTGGATCCAGTACGCTCTGCCTGAGATGTGTCGAGCGCATGCACGACCGTTCAAAGGCAATACCCACAGCTGGCTTCTCAACCGAGACAGGGGATTGTGTCAAGGTTTGTGCCCAGCGTTCAACGGCTTCTTCGAGTGAATCATCCAGGATATCTGGCAACGCGGGCAGACTCCGTGTGCGCCTCAGATCTAGCCTTGGAGGCGGTGGACGCAGGTCAATCGGTAATGAGCGAAAGGTGACCATAGGAGGCGAACCAAGTACTTCAGCAGAGACTTGTTCGAGTTCTCTGAGCTGTACAGACAGTCGTTGAATTGCCTCTCTGTATGAGACTTCATCCAGCATCTCAACATCTGGCTCTGGGTTGAATGGCACTGTTCGCATATCAAAGCGCTGATCTGCTTCATGCACCGAGGTTCTCGCCAAGGCAGCCACCATCCTTGCCAGTTCTATCGTTCCAAAACTTCCTGCTGACGAGTCAGCTGCATGCTCCTTCGAGAGTCTGCTCAGAGCGGCACATAGCGACAAGAGTGTCTGGTCAGCATCAAGAGCTCCAGTATAGTCTGGTCCCGTCACGCGACGAGCAAGCATGAGGAAGATATCCTTCTGTCTCATGGGCGGCGAAGGAACAACAGTTGGTGAGAAGCAAGGAAACCATCGCATGGCTCTATCTAGTCTGCGCTTCTTGATCTGCTTGTATGCGCCTGATTGACGTCTGGGCAGTGTCTCTTGCGGAGCGCATGGCCTCGGTTTTGCAGATGCATGAGCTTTGCGTATGCGCGGCTTCAGGGAAGCACGTTGCTGGGAGACAGGTAGTCTCTTGCCGGAGTACAATACTGTTCGCGGTGCGGGACTGGGCGATGCCGCGTAGAAGGAGCGAGTGCGTCTGTGCCTCGTCTTGATGGTCATCTGTGCAGAGAGAGTAAGCCAAAAAGCAGAGCCTGCTGCAAATACTCAGTATTAGTAGGATGTAGCAAGTAGGAAGTGGATTCAGGGTGTCGTCGTCGTCGTTGCTATCAAAGCTCAAGGTTTAAGTTCATCAACAGTCTATCGCAGCATCAGCATCAATATCGTCGTCTCTTCTTCGTCATCTCACTTGCTGGAGACAGCTCCAGTCGCAAGATGCCCGGCATGCACAGTACCGCTCGTTTCCATTGCCACCGTCCCAGCGACCTTGCCCGCGCCAGACGCTGTGGTCCTTGCCTCTTGGGCAAGCTTGACACCTTCCTCACCGTGTGTCTGGCGCACTTGCGCATCTATAGCCTTGGCTGCCGCTGATCCGACCGTCTCGGCACCTTCGCCGACGCCGTTGCTTAGAATCTGTCCAGCCTCAGCAACATCCTTGGCTGTGTCCACCGCTTCTCGTCTGACCGTTCCTTCTGCCGCATGACTCGCATCATCAATCGCCCCGCGTGTACCCAAGGATTCGCCAAGAAGGCTGCCAAAGCTCTGTACAGACTTACCCAGCCAACTAGAGACCTTTTGTGCCTGTATGCTCAATGCTTTGGCACCTTCTGCTGATCGCTCACTGACGAAGTGCGTCGTCTCGCTAAAACGAGTATTGCCACGCACCGTGCCGAGTCCAGAGCGTGCAAATCCAGAGAGAGAGTCAGCAGCTTGTCCTGCAATGCGACCAATTGTCCGTGCAAGCTGGTCGGCATCAGCTTGTGGACCAGTCAGCATGTACCCTGCATCCACCAGAATACGCTCGAACGCCTCGAGTTCTGCCTCTGTCGTCTCCTTGGCAACATCGATGCGAATCGTCAGGTCAGCTGCATCGCTCTTGATGACGAGCACAAAGGCACCATCGTCGGTTGTCCCGGCAATGGTGTCTGACTTGAGGGTCACTGCAAATGTCTCGCCGATGCGCAGCAAGAGAGTGGATTCTTCGATTTCTTCTAGGTACAAGGCACCCTCTGCGAGCGGAAACGTGTCTGCCGCGACGACCTGAACGGCCTTGACCTGTTCCAGCTTCATATGAGGATTTGTTCTTGTCGTGTGTAGATGCGTGGTGACTATAAATCCAAAAGACGCTCGAGGATGATGCAATCACGCTACGGTACGACATGAAAATGCTAAGGGGAACAAGTCATGAATGAAGTCAAGCCAGGTAAGAGTACATATCCTTCGCATCGCCCTCCGCCCGCTCGATATAATCACGCTCCAACAATCCATCAATCGACTTCTTGATGTCTGAAATTTTGGGCTGGAAGCGCGACTTGAGCTGATTGATGGTCTCCTGAACCAACAAAGTATGCTTCATCTGCTTTCGCGCCTTCATAATGCGCACAATGGCACTCTCGATCATGTGTTTCCGGTCACCCTCGATATGCTTGTGTGTGTCGTCTGATTCTTGCTTTTGCTCCGACTTGATGGGCAGATTCAAGTTGATCCTCAGCTTCTTGTTCTTGAAGTTGGTGTTGAGCGAATAGCGTTGACCGTCGGTCTCGGAGAGCAAGAGTACTTTCGCCTTGACGAGAATGCCGAGTGCACCATCGAGCTGATCCTTCGCGGTGATGCCTGTGATGGCCTGCAACTCGGTATAAGTCAAGCTCAAGGTCGTGTTGTATGCCATCAAGATTGCAAGCTGGTAGGTGGACACTTGGAAAGTGTACTTTGAAGGTAGGTAGTTGACCTTGATATCAGCCTTGCTATGCTGCCATAGCCATTGCAGCTTTCGTCCATTGTGCGTGAAATCGTAGTACATGGCAAACTGTTCAACAGTCTTGAGCAGCGCCTCAGGGATGAGGAACTCTGTGGTCGGCGCATAAAGTGGCCATGAACCGGACTGGAGAACCTTGAAGTCGGCATCCACCACTGCTGGTGCATCTTCGTCCTTTTGTGCGAGGTAAGTCCTGAATGTATCTTGATGCTCCCTCGACGTCGTAATGTCTCCAAACATCCGCTGCAGCTTCTTTGTATATTCGACTCCGCAGGCTTCTTTGAGCTTTGATAGCATGGACGCCTCTGCATCATCTGAGTTCGACAAGTCATTTACTAGGCGTCGAGACAGTTGTCGTGTGTAAAATTTGATGAAGACATCCTTGTCTTCGACGTACTTGAAGACCGTCATGACATCTTGCAGAACAGCCTCCACCTCTTGCTCATCCGGATTCTTGGCAGACTTTTTGAGCAGACCATCGCAGTACTTGGAAAGCAGTTCTGGTGACTTGGCGCTGGTAAAGCCACAAGCCTTGTTGCGGTTCATAAATTCACCACAAGCCTTGTCGAGAGATTTAACAAAGTCAGAGTCAGAGTTGAAGGCACGCTCAATCAGACCATTATAGGCTGTGTGGACTGTGAGCAAAGCATTGACGTAAGCTTTTGGCTCAACATTTTCGACATCCGGGCAATTCTTCTCAACAGAGGCGAGACCAGTCTTGCGCACATGCTCTTCGAAGGCCTTCCGCATAGGATCCAGTCCTTTTGCAATGCGACCGAGCAACTTGTACATCCGCTGCATGTCGTCTTGCCGATCGTGTTCGATAAGGTCCGGAAATGCCTGCTGGAGTACCTCTGCATGTGCTGCAATCAAGGCCTGATCGCATGCCGCCATGAGCTTGCTCGTACTTGAAACGTGCAGGTAGAGTTCGACCCGGCCTTCTTCCTCCTTAATACGTGCCTCAGCCTTTTTCATGTAATCCGGTACGGACAATTCCGCTATAGCAGCCGCAGACTCTTGTTCGTAAAACTTGCTAGTCTCAGCAATGAAGGGAACATGGAAGAATTGCTGGTAGACGTCGAGGGTCGACTTTCCGGGATCAGTTTCGTCGAGGCCCAACAAGACGTACGAGTCAACGACGTGCTTGATGAGCGAGCTCTCCACAACCATTCCCGACCGCTGCCGACGAATCAGTTTGAGCACTTCTGTCATAATCTCAGCTTGTAGATCATCAAACACAATCGATTTCCATAGAACCAGACAAAATGTGTAGACATCGTGCATATTCGTCCGTCCCTCATCGAGCTCGCGTTTGACCCAGTTGCGATTGAGATAGCGAAAGATGTGGTGGATGAAGCCAGCTGAGACTGTGAAGTCTTGCCATTTCCTGGTATAGAACTGCAACAATGCCTCACCTGTATGTGCCTTTGCTGCTCTCGCAATATGGCCAAGGTGCAGTTTTACGTATTCCTTGAGCAAGTCATACAGCTCTGCACCCATCAAGTGTGCACCACGAGAACCTGCACTACTTCCCGCGTCCCCAAAGCGTTGCATTTTGTTTTGCGTGCAGTAATTGTAGATGATGCTGCATTGTTAGTCTGACTGCATGAATAGCTGTAGTCCATTTACGTGTAGAGTTCCATGTAACGCGCCGGTTGCATGCCTTGATTGAGGGACACCATGATTTGCGCGACACCTTCCTCAAGCGCAGCCCAGGTAGACGCGAGGTCGTCTGCTCTCGGCATGCCTGGCCTCTGGGCAGCTGGCATCTTTGCTAGGGGTCGTACTGACTCAGACTCTGGTGGCGGTTTGTGTGGTCGAGCCTCATCTCTGCAATTGCGTCGCGTTCAGACTCGAGACCTCAACAGCACACCAAGTACAACACTGGGCAAGCTGTAGTAGAGGGCCAGGGAAGCAGATTCCCGTATCAAGCTACCACGGCCTGGATTCTGTACTCTGCTTTATTCCAGCTTCTTTGACGCATCGCACACCCAAGACATGTCATGAAGTTCTCTTTGCTCTCTTTTCGGCTCTTTCAGCTCTGTAATGTTATCTATACATTTACAATCATCGAAGTGTACGTGTTCAGACCAGGCATACCTATCCTCGGCATGCACACCATTGCTCTGGCGGCACTGATCTTTCTGACAGTCAATGTGCTCAAGCTTCGCAATTGGACAGACAGCAGCTATATTCTTGCAGTTGCCTGCTTCATGTTTTGGACGCCGGTCATGAGCGAGCGATTTCTCCTCTACTTGAAGTATCGAGCAATGGAAATCTTGCGCTGGGTGCCCTCTACCGATATTGTAGGCGATGCGACTTTCAAAACAAGCTTTGAATTACTTGACGATGGCCTTTATCGGCTAAAGGTCCTGGCGAGCTCAAGCTTAGAAGGGCCAGTTGCAGACCATGTCTCTATCATGTCAAAAGCCGAGGTGCATAGGATCTACTGGAAACTGGTAGACGCCAGTTACACAGGCACTCGCTATAAAGCCCCTGGCGCCACGCTTTTGAGAATCCTCGCATCGCCCTTCAATTTAGGCCAAGCATTACAGCGTCACTTGCTCAACCCTCTGCTATGGCGTATGATTGGCGACAAGGCTATGGCAAATACCCCGATGCTTGTCATGATCAGTGTGCCGATTGCATGGTTTATTCTGGCAAGACAGCAGTTCAATCAAGCGCCACGCGCCAATTGATGCATGTACCTCTTTGCAGGAAAGACCGATCTTTTACTAGGCTTGGTTCTGCCTGGACGAGATCTGCTACTCGAAAAGTTCGGCAGCTTGCGGTGTCTACCTGCCGTGAGAAGGGCTTCATGAGAGTGCAGCGCAGACGGTTACAAATTGATCGGTGGTAGAAGAGTCAGTGTACTCAACAATATCCGGCAGCCAGCCGTACGACACAGACACGCCAGTGCAAAGGAGAAGCTGTCTGGAAGCACTTTTCTGATGTAGAATTCCAAAGTGGCAGCCCATCTGATTAATAAAGCAGTCGTGACTCACTCTGACTCACCAACGACGACGGTACTCTCCCATACATCCAGCGCTCCTCTACAGCTACAAAGCATCTCGCTACTGTCACTTGCTGACCACACACAAGACAAGGCAGTTGAACATGATCAGCTTCCGCTGCTTCCAATTGTTTCATTTGCTTACCCTCTTCATCATCTGGGAGGCCTGGTATTGGCGCATTGGGCCCCGAGCATCATACCCCCTAGCATCATACTCTTTCATTCTGTCCATGGGTGTACCTACCTACCTCCTTATTCATGTCGTCGCTGCCAAGGACATGAACCACCTCGGTTTCCTGTACCGACGCTTTTTACCCGGGTATTGGCTACGCCTGGTCACGGACAAGAAGTTCGCATTTGCCGAATATCGCGTACGCGAGGCTTTGAATTGGATGCCAGAAGTCGATGTCATTGGATATGATTGGTTTCAAATGAGCTTCGAGAAGATAGAGGGTGGCGACATCAGCATTTCGCTCACAAACGTCTCGCGTCCACTAGTCATGGCAGCCCTGGGTACCAATAATACGTCCACGACTGCGCAGAACGTTGAAGCCTTCCTGAGTTCCAACAAAACCCGTCTACTCAGCGCAGCAGATGGACAAGAGATATACTGGCGTATGATAGACCTCTTCTACACTGGTACCAGATACAGAGAGTTGGCAAAGAATCTCATACAATGCCTGCCGCTTCAGCAGCACATCAAGAGCGCTCACCACTGGCTCTTGAAAGTCCCGTTGAATTCCAGATACAAAGAATTGGCTAAAGATGTCCTGCCATACCTGCCTTCCCAGCAATACGTTGAGAGCGCTGCTCACTGGCTCCTTAGAGACTCGTCGTATCGGAGAAACGCAGTCAAGCTTGTTCTTTTCGTCCAACTTCCGTTCAGCTACTTTGAACCAGCAATCAATGACGACGTCGTGCTACAGGATCCGGATGATTACGCACGCATGCTCGGCTGTGTCCAGCGACTCTTCCGTCGCGTGGTGCGAAGAGTTGTGTAGGCAAGGTTGGATCTGTGTAGAGCGGGATCCTTTGTGGCGACTGGCCTTTTCACAATTTACCTGCGCAATGGCCATTACATCAAGATCTGTTTTAGCTCGTGCTGTTCGTGTCGGCATTTCATACAGCCTAAGTCTTCTTTGCATAGTCTGATGAGCGATTTGCATGTTCCCCTGAGCGTGTTTGTGTGAAGGATTCATGCGAATGCAGCGCTGACCCTTACGGATTTATCGGGAGTAGAAGAGTCAGTATACTCAACAATATCCGACAGCCAGCCGTACATTACGGACTCGCCAGTGCAAAGAAGGAGCTGTCTGGAAGCACTTTTTTTGTATCGAATTCCAAAGTGGCAGCCCATCTGACCGATGCAGCAGTCGTGACTCACTCTGACTCTGCCTGGTCCTCGACAGCTACAAAGCGTCTTGCTGCTGTCAATCGCTATCATCACACAAGGTAGAGCAGCTGAAGATGTTTGCCTTCAGAGTGCTCCAAGTCTATCAGCTGCTTGCCCTCGTTCTGATACTGGAGTCATGGTATTGGCGCATAGGGCCTATGGCAAGCTACAAGCTCACCCTCCTCATGAGCATTCCGACATACTCCCTAGTCCATGTCTTCACAGCCAAAAATATGGATGATCTTGGTTTCTTACACCGCCACGTTCTACCCAACATCTGGCTAAGTATCGTTGCGGACAAGAAGTTCGCCTTTGCCGAATATCGCGTCCGCGAGGTTTTCAACTGGATGCCAGCTGCCGATAACATTGGATATGATTGGTTTAACATGAGCTTTGAGAAGACGGTTGATGGTGATATCAGCGTGAGGCTTACAAACATCTCTCGTCCACTAGCCATGGCGATCTTGGGCACCGATCATACGTCCACGTCTTGGCAAGATGTCGAAGCATTCCCGTGTTCTGATCAACCCTGTCTATTCAGCTCATTCGACGGTCAGAAATTATATTGGCAAACGGTGGATATATTCTGCACTGGTACAAGATACAAAGAGTTGGCAAGGAAGCTCCTACCATACCTGCCTACCCAGCAGCGCGTTGAGAGCGTTGCCCGCTGGCTTTTCAAGGACGGAACTGCACTAGGACACGCGGCCAAGCTTTCTCTGCTCCACTTGACACTAGGGAATCTGGATTGGTGGACACAATTGCTGGACATCTTAGCAGGTCGAGTTGACTCGCTATGAAGAATGATCCTGGATAGCGACTGGCTGTTTACAATTCGTTTGCGCGGTGACCTTTACCTTGAGGTTTGTTTTAGCTTGTGCCGCTCGTCTCGGCATTTCATAGAGCCTTAGTCTTCTTTACATGGTCCGACGAGCGATTCGCCAATTCCCCTGAGCGCAGTTGTGTCAAGGTCCCATCTCGTCAGTTGCCCTTGGGAAGTCTCTGACCAGGTATGGCTTGAGTCTCGCTTGGAAGGCAGGTGTGCTTTGTTCCTGTTAGATGTAGCTGCAGTGACTATCTTCTTTGTACTACAAGAGCCACGCAACGGATGAATGAAGTCGTGATCAGGTCATCTGCAAATTAAGAAGTACGTCTACTTGCCAGCAATGTTGGTGATGTCCAACTCTCGCATCTGCTGGAGCACCTCTTCCACTTTTTGATCAAGCGTACCCTGAGCATAATCATCCCGTACACTCGCATCAAAGTACTGCTGGACCTGTGCAATCCGTTCATACGCCTCGCGACAAAAGCGCAATTGAATCTTGACGAGCGCTTCAAACGATGGATCAAGATACGGCACACGCAAGTCAAGCAGTTGCGGTAGCTCATCCACAAGCTGTGTGTTGATGCGCTCATACACATCTTGCGCCATGGATGCTTCCTTCTCTGCTCGTGGCAGCTTTGTCGGATCATCACTCGGCTTGTCTGTGAGTTTCCGTGCTTTTGCACGCATAGCATCGTAGTCGATGAGCTTGTGATTACGCTTCTTGATGGCTTCGTTGATTTCTGGGAAGTAGGCACAGAAGCGAGAGATGGGTTCGAGGACAGTTTCTCTGTAGGGTCCATCGAGCTCCTTGACTGTCTCTGCATCGAGATCCTGGACTGCTTGCTTGTAATACGCCGAGACATTGTCCTTGTTGCCGCTCTCTCCATAGAATGCATCAATCGTCTCTGCGATCCGGGTCTGGGACGCCGTCATTGCGCGCAATGAGTCGAGATATCCTTTCGCTTCCTTCTGCAGCTTATTTGCTGCTGTCTCCATACTGTATGCGTTAGCCATCTATCTTGCAAAGCAAGACATGCGATGGGGCCTCACATTCTGAAACGGCGCTCCTCGGACTCGAAGTCTCGGTCGATGGTCTTCTCTACTTGACCAGCCTTCATCATGACTTGTGTGCCTGCGCGGCCTACTGCCTTCTTGAAACCGTTCCAGCTCATACTGCCTGCGCTCTGCTGATGGATAGATGGAAGTGGTTGTAGAGTAGCATCATCATCATCGCCTGCTCTTGGATTCTAACCCAGAAGGACGACTTGGCAGCACGACAACTCTTTTATCAACAGGACAGGATGCTTGCACGGGCCCTCATGGCTGCTCCATCAGCGCTCTTCAGGAGTAGTATGGCATCCACTGCATCACTACAAACGCTAGCAAGGACTCTCCCAACCTTCACACATCAAAATGCGCTCTTTGCGCAAAATCAGCAGCAGGTACGGACATTCAAGGTCCGCTCGGCAGTTAAGAAGTTGTGTCCTGCGTGTGCTAGTGTCAGGCGGAAGGGAAAAGTATACATCATCTGCAAGGAAAATAAAAAGCACAAGCAACGGCAGGGATAGTTGTTTTCTATGGCGCAATGGAATGAAGAACAGGCATTCTGCGAGGTTCAGCTTGATCAAGTTATCAAGTTCTATTTGAAGAAGCTCAGGTTGAAAGGAGGGAATTAAACAGAGTGCAGAAATGAAAGAGACAAAGGCCAGGAAAGGCGTACGAGCAGATGACACGGAACTCTGCCGCACAAGCTTCCTCGACTCTACTTTGTGTCTCTTTTTGAGAAAGGCTTTTTTCAGGCGCGAAAAGCACGCCCTGCCATAGAAATAACCGCAAGAATGAAAACATCAAGATGCCATGACCACATTTTCCTACTGTTGTTGTCCATCTTGCTCCTCTTCCGCTCCAGGTGCTGCATTTTCAACGTTGTGGAAGTCCAAGATCTCGCTGTACATCATCACCTTCCAAGTATCCACAGGCAAGTCGGCATCGTTGAAGGACCAGTCAAAGCCTTGTTCCGCCGCAGGTTCATCGGTTGGGTCATGGTACGGAGCGAGGTATGCATGCTCCAAAGCTTGCACAGCCGTAATACGCTTCCGAGGATCAAACACCAGCATCTTCTCCAACAAGTCAATAGCCAAGGGATCCGCGTTACGGAATTTGGTAGAGAATGGAATCTTTTCCCGCTTCGGTAGCGACTGCACAAAGCGCAAGGTGTTTTCACTGCAAATCGTGTGAATCACATCATCAGGCGGTGTACCCAACAACTCCGTAATGATGCTGAATTGATTGACGTGGTCCTTTCCAGGGAAGAGAGGCTTGCCTTCCAGCATTTCAGCAAAAATGCAGCCCACCGACCAAATGTCCACTTCAATGTCGTATTTTTGCCAAGTCAGCATGATTTCAGGCGCTCGGTAGTAACGCGTCGACACATAGCCCGTCATTTGAGGGTCTTGGATACGGGCCAAGCCAAAGTCGCAGATCTTCAAGTCGCAATTCTCATTGACGAGAATGTTGCTAGGCTTCAAGTCACGGTGCACAACACCGGCGGAGTGCACGTATTTCAGACCACGCTTCAATTAGTATTGCTTGGAGCACAAAATAGCAGATGCATACCAAGATCTGGTACAAGAAGTACTGGATGAATTGCTTCTCAAGCGGACGTGAGGTCAACAGCCGGTGGAGATCCGTACCGAGCAGCTCCGTCACAAAGTAGATGTCCTCAAGAGGTGAAATAAAAATGTCGCTGAGAGAAATGACCTGAAGTTAGCAAACAACAAGGGCATGTTTTGTTTCTATACGTTTTCATGCCGAAGGTGCTTGAGCAATTTGAGCTCACGATATGTGCGCTTCGACAGGACGGGCGTGCTGAATGGCTTCATGATCTTTTTGATGGCCACTGATTGCTGTGTCAATTCATCACGAGCAGAACTGAGAGAGAGAAGTTAGTTTGGTATTCAAAAAGTGAATTGACAGCATACCAGACCAGGCCAAAGGCGCCCATGCCGACAGGTTGAAGGTCGACATATCTCGACGTAATCTCAAAGGTAGTACCTGCACATTGTGTCAGTACACAAAGATCACATAAGAAAAAGCAACAGATATCGCAGCCACAAGTGGAGCAACAACAGCAGAGAAAGCCGTACCGAAGATTTGCGCTCTAACAAATTCTGCCATCTTGCAGAAGGAAAGTTGATATCGGGAAGGGAAGGAGTTGTCGCAAGGTACACGAGGACGAGGGTCGTTGCGCGAGGAACCGAGTGTGGCTGAAAAGTAGATGAACGAGCCAGGGTCTTTGGAAGCCTCGGCGGAGAAGGGTCGAGCAAGGAGGGTAAGGAAAGCCTGATTTGGATGGTGTGTTGCGCAGAGGAGTGCCTGCTAGAGAGACAGGCGTGTAGGAGGAGAGGCAGCTGAGGTAGAGATCGAGCTGGTTTGGACGAGGCGTAGAGAGAGAGAAGGATCTGGTTCCGGGTTTGCACGTGCAGCACCAGCCGAGATCCGTCCTAACCCTGGACCTGACCAGCTACATACTAGAACTAGGTACAGTGCCAGCAGTGTCTAAATAACTCTACAAGCTGTATATCTGCACAATGTTGCCCTGGCCACAGTACTGCTTGCTATTGCCGTAGTAACTTTGACTACACGCGTTCTCTAAGGTCACTGTCTGCCTAGTGTGTACACTTGAATAGCATTGGAGCCACCGCACGTCTGACTCGAGTCACCAGAGCAAGCCATGGAACAGGAAGAAACTGTCTGAGGGTTATTGCGAATCTGGCTATCGCAATAGCACTCACCAGAGTATTCGACTCCAGCGTATGTGAAGCCTTTCGCCTGACAAGTGGACATGCAAACCTGAGGCGTCATGCTGTTGGATGTGACTGAGTAACCTTGCAGTGTCCTTGTACTTGGGTAAAAGTCCTGCAAGCAGCCAACACTTGTCCATGTACCGGAAGCGGCAGCAGGAGGATTGGAGTTTTGCAATGAGTAGACCTGGATGGCCGAATCACCGCCACACTTCTGGGATCCATTCTCTGAGCAAGTGTACTTCTGGCATTGTGTATTGTCAATCAGCGAAGCTCTTGCTATGTTGCCGCAAAAACACTCACGAGTGTACTCGACGCCAGCGAGGGAATAGCCAGCTTTGATGCAGTTACTGACACACTGTTCCACGGAACCAACATCAGCGACTTGATTCGGAAGAGTGCGATAATTCACATTATCTGAATAACAGCCTTGCAGAGTACCAGACCCAGCATTCGTTGACACAGACGTAGGAATCGTAGGAGTACCGCCGCCTGGAGGGACAGAATAAAGCTGAACAGCATTGCCACCGCCGCATGTTTCTGTGCTATCATCGTTGCAAGGCATGTCGCATGTGCCATCATCAATCTTGGGCTGTCCATTGGTGCCAGACGTGCCGCAGAAGCACTGGTATTGATACTCCACCCCGGCAAGGGCATATCCTGATGCCTGGCACAAGGTAATGCATGCTTCGATCGTCCCAACATCCTGGAGACGTACAGGTAGTGCGCGCTGGTTGATATCATCCCTGAAGCACCCAAGATAGTTCCCACCATTTCTTGAAAGCCGCGGTAGACCTGCAGTTGGGACAGGTGATGCTGTAGCACTTGACGCACCGCTTGGACGGATACTGTAAATTTGTACAGCATCACCTCCACCACACGTCTCTGACTTGTCATCATTGCAAGGCGTGTTGCACAGCGAATCATCAATTTGGGGCTGCCCGTTCGTTCCTGCATTGCCACAGAAGCATTGGTAGTAGTATTCGAGACCAGCCATAGCGTACCCTGTAGATTGGCATTGTTCCAGACAAGCCTCGACTGTGCCGACATCCGGTAGACGGACAGGCAAAGCTCTTTGATCGACGCTATCCTTGAAGCATCCCATGTACTGACCTCCATTTTTCGTCGAGCGGGGCAGACCAGCTGTCGCGGTGGCTGCTGGAAGGGAAGTCGTGGTAGGCGCTGGCAGGCTGTACATCTGAAGGGCATTACCTCCTCCACATGTCTCTGTGCTATCGTCATTGCAAGCCATATTGCATGAGCCATCGTCGATTTGTGGCTGACCATTCGTACCAGTGTACCCACAGAAGCACTGGTAGTAATACTCGAGACCTGCAAGCGTGTACCCAGAAGACTGACAATGAGTGATACAGGCTTCGACTGTGCCAACATCAGCCACGCGAACAGGCAATGTGCGTTGATTCGCGTTATCCAGAAAGCAACCCAGGTACTTTGCCCCATTCTGTGTCAGGCGAGGCAGTCCGGCTGTGGGTTTGGCGGTGGCTGAGGCACTCATTCTTGAAGACAACCCCGTCGTAGACAGGGTCCTTGCACTCGAAGTGGTCTGGGTTGAAGAGATGGACGAGGGAGAGATGGACAGTTGAGAGCTTGCCATCGAGGGGACCACGATACTTGAGCTGCCTGTAGTCTTTGAGCTACTTGATGCACTAGAGCTCATTGTGCTGCTGCTGCTGCTGCTGCTGCTGCTGCTGCTGCTGATGCTGCTGATGCTGATGCTGCTGCTACCGCTGCCGCTGCTACCAAACAACGAGCTTGAGGCGCTACTGGACGTTGGCAGCCGTGTAGAAGACGTTGTGCCTGTGCTGCTGCTCGTACTGACCAAAGCAGACGAGCTCAGAGAACTTGTCGTCAGTCTCACTGAGCTCGCTGATATTGAAAAGCTCGTGGGGGTAGCTGAGCTCGTACTCAAAGAACCAGCCGAGGAAGCGGTCAAAGTACTTGTAGCGCTCGACGACGTCGTTACTGGCACTGAAGTCTTGATTGGTGAGGGCGTCGCAGATGAAGTCGTTGCTGTAGTAGTTGACGATGTCGTAGATGTCTTCGACGTTGTTGTCACTACCGCACTGGCAGGCCGCGTCATAAAGGTTGCTGTTGTACATGCTGATGTCGTCGTCGTGATGACTGTGGTCTTCCAGTATCCCACAAGCCCTAAGAATCCACCGTACGACAGATAGACTGAGTTGTAGAGACCAGATGTTGTGGTGCAGGTCGTCGCAGTCTGAATACCTCCACAATTGACATTGCCCAAAACGAGGATGTCGAGCACCGCGCATGTCTGAGAAGCGAAAGGCCCAGGAACGGCCGCATCGTTACACGACGAAGTGATGTAGCCGCCGAGAAGCGCACCAGTATAGTATGTGCAAGTACCTGCATAGGTCGCAGTTTGACGCTTGGCTAGATCACCCAAGGGAACTGGTGCTGCAGTGATCGTCGCAGCAGTGGGCACAGCGGCCGAAGCGACCACGCCTGCTAGCAACACAGCTCTAAGCAACATGGTACCTAACACTCTGTTGCTCTTCTTGACTTGAATGCAGCATCAAGGATGAGCGGGATACATCAGCCTTATAGCTCTGTAGCTGACTCTGGCAAAGCTCATGCTTGGCAGATGCCCTCCCGCTCAGCATCATGCTTCGCTTCGAGCCTCGGAACACGGATGCCGTCCGCTCTCAGAGTCAGCACATCGATTCGCATGTTTCGCAGCACAACGTTCATCCTTGATAGGCAAGCTAGATCGTTGGTTGAAGGTACGTCAGTGAGTCGCCAGCCAAAACTTCAAATTTTGCCCAGCCATGTTGGGCATTTTTCCGTCATCTGAAACATGAAGGGTTCCCCTGACGCCCACTCTCATCAACGCTTGACACGCTCACAGGCTGAGCAAGCGAGATTGGGCCGAAATGAGGGCGATCCGGCAAGGCTCATATAGGGAAACATTGCTACGGAGAAATCGAAAGTGTGTTCCCGACCATTCAATGAACCATAAGAGAAGAAGTATCTAATGTATATATACATGAGCAGTATTTCCGCTGCCAGTACTGCTAGCTATTGCCATCGTAGACTTGGCTACAGGCACTGTCACTTGAATAATGAATTGAATATGCCATTTGCTACAAGAAAAGAAGTATCTAAAGAGTATATACTTGAGCAGTATTCCCGTTGCCACAATACTGCTGGCTGTTGCCATCGCAGACTTGGCTACAGGCACTGTCAGAGGTCAGTGTTTGACCATTATTGATGCTCTGATCACAGAAACATTCGTGCCCGTATTCAACTGCACCAAGCGAGAACCCTGCCGACTTGCAAGAAGCCATGCAAGCGCCAATAGGATCAGAACCCGTCACGTCAGGGTTGCGAGTGCGCAAGGCTCGAGCATTGACTGAGTCTGTGTAACAGCCCTTGTAGGTCGCACCACCAGAGGTTGTCTTCTGAATGGTAGGGCTAGGAGCAGCGCTAGATCCAGTACCACTCGGCACAGCGCCTAGGGTGTACACTTGAATAGCATTGGAGCCACCGCACGTTTGACTCGAGTCACCAGAGCAAGCCATGGAACAGGAAGAGACCGTCTGAGGATTGTTGCGAATTTGGCTATCGCAATAGCACTCACCAGAGTACTCGACTCCAGCGTATGTGAAGCCTTTCGCCTGACAAGTAGACATGCAGACTTGAGGCGTCATGCTGTTGGATGTGACTGAGTAACCTTGCAGCGTCCTTGTGTTTGGGTAAAAGTCCTGCAAGCAGCCAACACTTGACCATGTACCGGAAGCAGCAGGCGGAGGTTTAGAATTTTGCAATGAGTAGACCTGAATGGCTGAATCACCGCCGCACTTTTGTGAGCCATTCTCTGTGCAAGTGTACTTTTGACATTGCGCATTGTCAATGAGTGGAGCAGTCAGTGAATTGCCGCAGTAGCACTCGCGTGTATACTCAATACCAGCATAAGAGTAGCCAGCATTGATACAGCTGCTCACACACTGATCAACAGAGCCGGCATCTGCAACACGGTTGGGCAGCGTGCGGGCATTCACGTTGTCTGAGTAGCAGCCTTGTAAAGCACCAGAACCAGCAGACGTTGTCACGGTCGTAGGAATCGATGGAGCCGCGCCACCAGAAGGCACAGAGTAGAGTTGAATAGCGTTGCCACCACCACATGTCTCTGATTTGTCGTCATTGCAAGGAGCACTGCACTCACTGTCACTGATTTGAGGTTGTCCATTGGTGCCGGAGCTTCCACAGAAGCACTGGTAGTAGTACTCAATACCAGCCATCGTGTAACCAGCAGACTGACACTGTGTGATACAGGCTTCCACGGTGCCCACATCCTGAACCCTCACCGGCAAGGTACGCTGGCCGACATCATCCCTGTAACAACCAAGATACTTGCCGCCATTGCGAGAAGTACGCGGGAGACCAGCCGTGGGAGCAGCAGTAGGTGTTGCTGTTGATGAAGCAGTAGGGTTGGCATTGACAAGTGCATTCGGAATGGCGTAAACCTGGAGTGCATTACCATTGCCACACGTCTCGGTAGCATCATTGCAAGGCACCGAGCAGACACTGTCAGCGATTTGAGGTTGACCATTGTAGCCAGCGGTCGCATATCCACAGAAGCACTGCGTGTAGTACTCGAGACCCGCACGATCAAATCCAGCATTGCCACACTGAACAACACACTCCTCGACATTGTTGACATCGTTGACACGTTGTTGAAGAGTGCGCTGATCTATGCCATCCTGGAAACATCCGATATAAGTGGCACCGTTCTTGGCAGTCCTTGGAAGGCCAGCGGTTGGTGCTGCGCTAGCACGCGAGGAACTAGGCGCCGCACTGGATGATGCTGGGACCGCACTTGAAGTGGTTGGTACGGCACTGGATGTGGTAGGGACAACACTGGATGTGGTAGGGACAACACTGGATGTGGAAGGCACAACACTGGATGTGGAAGGCACAACACTGGATGTGGTAGGGACAACAGATGACGAGGTCAGCCTAGTGGAAGATGTCGTGACGAGTGAAGATGTCGATAAAACTTGAGCAGGGGAAGACGTCACTGGCGCAGCCGAACTTGTAGCAGGCGTGGACGTCGTAGCAGGTGCAGATGACGAGACTGCTGGAGGAGAGGAGCTCGTCGTGGCTGCATTGCTGGTCGTGGTGGACGGCTGGATCGTTGTCACCACTGAAGAGCTGGAAGGTACCACGCTGCTTGTGGCAAGAGCCGCCACACTGCTCGTCGATGTGGTGACCGGAGTGGAGGAAGTGGTCACAAGTGAAGACGAGGAAGAAGTGAGTATTGAGGTTGTGGGGGCCTTGGAGCTCGTGGCGATAACGGTCGAGGAGGTCACCACTGCAGGTGTGCTCGAGGTTGACGATGTCGTCGGAACAACGATGCTTGTACTTGATGTAGTCGGCACAACAGTAGATGTCGTGGAGGTTGTCGCCAGCCTCGACGTGCTACTGACGAAAGTGGAAGTTGGTGCAGCACTGGCGCTGGTAGAAGTCGGCGGTCTGCTCGATGTCGTCGACGTGGTGGAGACAGAGGTGGATTTGACAGGGTAGGTCGGTGTCGTGCAAGCATACTGCACAGTATAGGTGCCATACAGCGTGGTGGAAGGGCCAAGAATGCCAAGAAGGGGTCCGGGGTTTGTGGCCGTTGCAGAGCTCGTGGTAGACGTCAAACAGGTAGATACAGGTGTTGCGGAACCACATTGAGTAGGGAGCAAGCCGGGGACCAAATTACCAGCGGTACCGTAACAAGTCTGCCGGTACGCAAAGCCGGCAGCTGTGGCATCCTTGCACACCGTACTATAGACAACATTGGTCGCTAGTGCGTCGACCACGGTGACACAAGTCGAAGCGTATGTCACTCCTTGTCGCTTCTCTAGCGGCGCATCGTTATTGTTGGCAGGCGCAGCGGCGACAAGAGCTGCCAGCAGCAATGTGCGACGCATTGTGATGTACAGGAGGAGAGTACTGAACGAATGCGCGGCCAGGCGAGAGGGATATATGGGAGAGTAGAGAGGATGCTTCGGGTCTCCGTCTGCTTGTTATCCAGGCCATGGGTCTTTGCTAGTCGACATGTGCGACAGCGTATATCCAGCCGCCGCTGGACACAAGTCCTCCATGCCCGATGCAGTGGTGGCCAGAATGTGTCTGGGTCTGGGAGTGAAACATCGAGGAGGAGGCGAAGCTTCGCAGTCCAGAGTTGGCGTCGGTGGTTGGCCGCATACGAGACATTTGGCGACAATCTCAAAAGGGCGCGCGTGGCCGTCGACATCATGGGAATCATAGACTCGCTGACCGGCCAGACCGGGAAATAAGCTTAAACTCTCCGATGGGCAGGTCAGGCGAGTCTAGGGCATCCTATTCTTCTCAATGGGCTACCTGAAGAATTCCATCTATTGAGCCGCAGCCGTGAACTCCCATGTGTAGCACCTCAGGTAGCAATTCCAATGCTCGGTTGCTAGTCTAAGTCAAGTCAAGATGATCCCTCGTGCAATGATGTAGATGGAAATTCTGCCTCTAGAACACTCGATTGGCGACCGGATCTGCTGCGTGAGACACAATCTCCTACGTCTAGATTACCTCAACTGGAATCGCGTCTTGGCTCAACTGCTAGCACGCTTGCTCGGCATCCCTTGAATAGCTATACTTTCTCGTCTATATGCTTGATACTATGATACTATCCCTCATGCTGGACACTGCTATTGTCGTTACAATTGCGTGTGTGTGTGACCAGCCCCTGACACCAAATCTCGACTTCCATTTGCGGAAATTCGGCTAGTTTGGGGTTAGCGAAATGACGTTCAATCTGAAAAGCTGTCACACTGTAGAACGTAGCATTGAAGCAAGCAGCAAAGCATGTCAAAGAGCAAGTTGAACAAGTCTAATGTGAACAAATAGATAATTTGAACTATGCGAAGAAGTTGATATACAAGAACTAATTAGGAAAGTCTAGATATTGTAGACCTGGACGCGATCAGCGTTACCGCAGAACTGCTGGCCGTTGCCATCACACTTCTGACTGCAGTCGTTGTTGCTCGTGATGGTCTGGCCATTGTTGATGCTGTTATCGCACCAACACTCGTGACCGTACTCCAGACCAGCCAGAGAGTAGCCCGCAGACTTGCACATGGTCGCACAGGTGTTGATGGGTTGCGCATCATTGACATCAGCAAGACGGTTGCGAAGGGCACGAGCACCAGTGTTGTCGAGGTAACAGGCCTTGAAGGTAGCACCGCTTGTCGTGATGAGAGGAATGGTGGCACCAGAGACAGCAACAGGGCTCGTAGGAGCAGCGCCAGCAGGAGCAGCAGTGGTAGCAGGAGCAGTAGGACCAGCAGAGAGACGGTAGACTTGAATAGCATTGTCACCACCGCAGTACTCGTTGGCAGCAGCTTTGCATTGGTACTGCTGGCAGCGAGCCGTGTCAATCTGAGGAGCAGTGATGGCATTGCCACAGAAGCACTCAGTCGTGTACTCAACGCCAGCGAGAGCATAACCGAGAGAAGAGCAAGCAGCCACACACTGCTCGACGGAGCCAACATCATCAGCCTTGACAGGAAGGGAGCGCGCGTTGGTCGAGTCTTGGTAGCAGCCGGTGAATGTAGCAGGAGCGTTGGCACCGTTGGCAACGACGAGAGGAATGGCCTTGACACCGGAAGCAGGAGCAGCAGCAGCAGTTGTAGGAATGACACCACCAGCACCGCCAGAGCCAGAGCCAGCACCACCAGTAGGCGAGGCAGCACTGCCAGAAGAGAGACGGTAGACTTGAATAGCATTGTCACCGCCACAGAACTGAGAGGGAGCAGCATTGCAAGTGTACTGCTGGCAACGAGTAGTGTCAATCTGAGGAGCAGTGATGGCGTTGCCACAGAAGCACTCGTTGGTGTACTCAACACCAGCAAGAGCAAAGCCCTGAGCAGCACAAGCAGCAACACACTGGTCAACAGAGCCAACGTTTGCAACTTGAGTCGTAAGAGAACGTGCGTTGGTCGAGTCTTGGTAGCAGCCGGCAAAAGTAGCAGGAGCGTTGGCACCGTTGGCGACAACGAGAGGAATGGCCTTGACACCAGAAGTGGCAACAGGAGTAACAGCACCAGTCGTAGGAACAACACCGCCAGCACCCGAGCCAGATCCAGATCCAGAAGAGGGCGAAGCACCAGAGCCAGCAGAGAGACGGTAGACCTGCAGAGAGTTGTCACCACCGCAGAACTGGGAGGCAGAATCCCTGCAAGTGTATTGTTGGCAGCGAGTGGTGTCGACCTGAGGAGAAGTGATAGCATTTCCACAGTAACATTCAGTCGTGTACTCCACTCCAGCAAGAGCGTAACCTTGAGCAGCACAGAGCGAGACACACTGGTCAACGGAACCGACATCACCAGCCTTGATGGGGAGAGCACGAGCATTGGTCGAGTCCTGGTAGCAGCCAGCGAATGTAGCAGGAGCATTGGCACCGTTGGCGACAACCAGAGGAATGGCCTTGACACCAGAAGTGGCAACAGGAGTAACAGCACCAGTCGTAGGAACAACACCGCCAGCACCACCAGCACCAGAGCCAGAACCAGAACCAGAAGAAGGTGAAGCACCAGCGGTCGTAGAAAGACGGTAGACCTGGAGAGAGTCATCGCCACCACAGTATTCAGTAGGTGCAGCACTGCAAGTGTACTTCTGGCAGAAGGTGGCAGCAATCTGTGGAGCAGTAATGGCATTTCCACAGTAGCACTCGTTGGTGTACTCAACACCAGCAAGAGCATAACCACCAGCCGAACAGAGCGAAACACACTGCTCAACAGAACCGACATTGGCAACGCGAACAGGAAGAGAGCGAGAGTTGGTCGAGTCCTGGTAGCAGCCGGCAAAGTTGGCAGGGCCAGAGCCGCCGTTGGTGATGACGAGAGGAATTGCCTTGACAGCAACGGTAGGCGACGAGACTGGTGCGACAGCAGACGCAGGCAAGCCGGCAGTGTTAGACACAGCTGGCAGAGCGACAGAATTGGTTGCAGCTGGGAGAGCAGCCGAGGTGGCAACAGCAGACAGACGGTAGAGCTGGAGGGCAGAATCGCCACCGCAAAACTCTGCAGGCGCAGACTTGCAAGTGTACTTCTGACAGTTGGTGATGGCAATCTGAGGGGCAGTGACGGTGTTACCGCAGTAGCACTCGTTGGTGTACTCAACACCGGCAAAAGCAAAGCCCTGAGCAGAGCAGGCGGCAACACACTGTTCGATGGAGCCTACATCAGACACACGAACAGGCAATGTACGTGCGTTGACGCTGTCCTGGTAACAACCGGCGTAGCTGGCAGGGATGGCACCGTTGGCAACGACAAGAGGAATCGTTGCTGGAACAGCGGAAGCACCCGCTGCCGGAAGACCAGTGGGAGCACCGCCACCGACAATCGACGAGGCGTTTGGCAGTGTAGGCAGGGTGTAAACCTGGAGTGCATCGGCATTACCGCAAGTCTCGGTAGCGTCACCATCACAAGGAGCATTGCAGCTGCTGTCAGGAAGAGTGCTGGCAGAGATGCTGTTGCCACAGTAGCATTCGTGCTTGAACTCCAAACCAGCAAGAGAGTAGCCGGCAGCTTGACAAGCAGAGACACACTGCTCAACAGAACCCACATCAGCAAGACGGTCGGGAAGAGTACGGCTGTTGACAGAGTCAACGTAGCAGCCCTTGTAGGTGGCGCCGTTCTTGGAGATGCGAGGAAGACCAGCAGTGGGTGTTGGCACAGCGACGGTAGGCAAAGCAGATGTGACTGCGCCTGGAACTGTCACTGGGAGAGACACGGCAGGCACTGAGACTGCAGGGACAGATGGTGCAGGCACTGAGACTGCAGGGACAGATGGTGCAGGCACTGAGACTGCAGGGACAGATGGTGCAGGCACTGAGACTGCAGGGACAGATGGTGCAGGCACTGAGACTGCAGGGACAGATGGTGCAGGCACTGAGACTGCAGGGGCAGATGGTGCAGGCACCGAGACTGCAGGCGCCTTGATCGATGTCGTTGGGAGAGCCATGCCCGGCAGCGAGACTTCAGGAACAGAGACGGCAGGCACTCCAATAGAAACAGAGACTGCAGGAATCGAAACCGGAGGAAGAGGAAGCGAGGGACCTGGCACAGACACTGCAGGAATTGGAACGGAGACCGAAACCTTGATGCTTGTTGGTACAGCCAACGAGGGAACCGTTGGAACAATGCTGGTAGGCAAAGCCAAAGTAGGCGCAACGACCGGTAGCAATGTAGGTAAAGCTGCAGCCGACGTGGTCGGCACGGCGGCCTTTGTGGTTGAAGCAAGGGCACCATTAGGGCGAACAGGGAATGTCAAAGTGGCACAAGTAGTTCCTGTTGATGTGATGGTCGCGGTCTCTGTCGAGGCCAAAAACAAGAGCTGGTGAACGATGGTGGTGACCCTGGTCGTGACTGATGTGGAGCAAGACTGAGGAATGGCGGTGTTGCAGTTGCCAATATTCAAGATCGGGAGACCGAGAAGTGCACAAGTAACATCTGTGAACGGCCCAGGAGTCGTTGCGTAGCTACAGCTGCTTCCGATGGGGGGAAGGATGCCGAAGTTCTGCACAGTCGTGGTACAAGAACCAGCGTAGGTTGGTGTAGCTTGGCGCTTGTCGAGGGCAGCGGCTGCCGGAGCAGGCGCGGCAGCAACAGCTGAGGCAAGAAGGAGAGTGCTGATCTTCATGCTGGCAGTGAAGAAGAGATTGTTGCTGAAGGGCCGGCCTTGTCAATGATGCTGGATGACAGATGGAGGACATCTTCGTCTTATAGCTACCTCGGGGCGCTGACAAGGTGTCAACGAGGCCCGGCGCCATCTCTGACCGTAAACAGCGTGCTGGATGCAGTCGAGATCCTCCTCATGGTGCAGCTGCAAGTCAGTCGGCCGCGTCCATGGCCTAGGCTGGCTGGCTGTTGTCTCAGTTGCAGCACGCGCTGGTGAGGTATGATTCTGGATGAGTTGCTAGCCACCCAGAGCCAAAAAAGGTTTCAAAATTTGTTCTCAGAAGAGGCCATCAGCAAGGATGCAGCACTGGTTCAGCAGGTAGGCAAGCGGATAGGCCACCTGGTCGCTGGAGCCGGAGCTGTCCTGTCACTTTAGACTTCATGGCCAATAGCCGCCTGCCCTTGCGTGTCTACTCATGGCGAAGCACAGCCAGGCTGCGTCAGACGGAATGGCGGTGAGACACTCAGATGGTCCAGCACTGACTCGGACAACCTCCGGAGACTTCTTCCGCAGAGGGGTCCCGACGTACCGTTGCTTGTTTGGGTATGTTTGCAGCTAGAGAGACATGCTGGCTAGATACACGACGACCTGACTGGCCGCATCTTCAATCTAAGACATGGATCTGGCCTCTTTAGAGATCCGTCAAGCGCGGATGACCCTCGGTTGTATGGGGGTGCCTCGGCGTCCTACACTGACTGTGACTAATTGCTGCTCTATGACGATTGCCACGAGTTCCAGCTGATGACGCTCTATGGATGCAGTAGCTTACGGCATGACCCGTGTTCTCAAGGAGTTGCCGGCTCACGATGTCTGATGCCAAAATGCAAAGCTAGTCAAGTCGAGAAAGTAGCTTTTAAAGTGTAAGACTGTAGAATTGAAGACTAATGGTGTAATGCAGAATCAATGAATTGAAGTGATATCTAAATATGAACAAGAAGTGCTAGAAATGTATTGAGATCAACTCAAAGGTTGTAGACTTGAACACGGTCTGCATTGCCGCAGTATTGCTGGCTGTTGCCGTCACAGATCTGGCTGCAGTCGTTGTTGCTTGTGATGGTCTGGCCGTTGTTGATGCTGTTATCGCACCAACACTCGTGCCCGTACTCAAGTCCAGAGAGAGTGAAGCCAGCAGCTTTGCAAGCAGTAGCACAAGTGTTGGCAGGCTGAGCATCAGTCACATCAGCGAGACGAGTGCGGAGAGCGCGTGCACCAGTGTTGTCGAGGTAACAGGCCCTGAAGGTGGCACCGCTGGCAGTGACAAGAGGGATGGTAGCGACGTTGACAGCAGCAGAGCTCGTGGCAGCAGGGGAGCAGCAGTAGTGGGTGCACCAGAGAGACGGTAGACCTGGAGAGAGTCATCGCCACCACAGTACTCTGTAGCTGCAGCACTGCAAGTGTACTGTTGGCAGCGAGAGACAGCGACCTGAGGAGCAGTGATGGCGTTTCCACAGAAGCACTCGTTGGTGTACTCAACACCAGCAAGAGCAAAGCCCTGAGCAGCACAAGCAGCAACACACTGTTCAACAGAGCCAACGTTGGCGACTTGAACAGGAAGAGAGCGAGCGTTGACAGAGTCTTGGTAGCAGCCAGAGAAAGTAGCAGGAGCATTGGCACCGTTGGCAACGACGAGAGGAATGGCCTTGACACCAGTGGTAGGAGCCGAAGTAGGAACAGCAGCAGAAGAAGGAGCAGCAGCACCAGAGAGACGGTAGACCTGAAGAGCATTGTCACCACCGCAGTACTCAGACGGAGCAGCGTTGCAGGTGTACTTCTGGCAGCTCGTAACAGCGATCTGAGGAGCAGTGATAGCGTTTCCACAGAAGCACTCGTTGGTGTACTCAACACCGGCAAGAGCAAAGCCCTGAGCAGCACAAGCAGCAACACACTGTTCAACAGAGCCAACGTTGGCAACTTGAACAGGAAGAGAGCGAGCGTTGACCGAGTCTTGGTAGCAGCCAGAGAAAGTAGCAGGAGCATTGGCACCGTTGGCAACGACGAGAGGAATGGCCTTGACACCAGTGGTAGGAGCCGAAGTAGGAACAGCAGCAGAAGAAGGAGCAGCAGCACCAGAGAGACGGTAGACCTGAAGAGCATTGTCACCACCGCAGTACTCAGACGGAGCAGCGTTGCAGGTGTACTTCTGGCAGCTCGTAACAGCGATCTGAGGAGCAGTGATAGCGTTTCCACAGAAGCACTCGTTGGTGTACTCAACACCGGCAAGAGCAAAGCCCTGAGCAGCACAAGCAGCAACACACTGTTCAACAGAGCCAACGTTGGCAACTTGAACAGGAAGAGAGCGAGCGTTGACCGAGTCTTGGTAGCAGCCAGAGAAAGTAGCAGGAGCATTGGCATCGTTGGCAACGACGAGAGGAATACTCTTCACAGCAGCAGAAGGCGATGCAGTTGGAAGAACGATTCCGGTTGACGAGAGCGCTGGAAGCGAAAGAATGTTGTAAACCTGGAGAGCGTTGCCGTTGCCGCAAGTCTGAGTTGCATCACCATCGCAAGGAGCATTGCAGGCGCTGTCTGCGATCTTGTCAGAAGGAACAGTGGTACCGCAGTAGCATTCGTGCATGTACTCAAGACCAGCAACCGAGAAGCCAGCAGCCTGGCAAGCCGAGACACATTGGTCGACAGTGCCAACATCGGCAAGACGAACAGGCAGGGCCCGGTTGTTAACAGAGTCGGCGTAACATCCGTTGTAAATGGCACCATTCTTGGTGACGCGAGGAACACCAGCAGTGGGCAAGATCGTAGCAGAAGGAGCTGGGACGCTGGGAAGAGTGACAGGCAACGAGACAGAGGGCAATGCGATGCTAGGCAACGTCACCGAAGGCAGAGCAATGCTTGGGACCGAGAGAGAAGGAAGGGCCACTGAAGGAACCGAGACCGAAGGCAGTGCAATGCTAGGCAGCGAGAGCGAGGGCAATGCAATGCTGGGCAATGTCGCTGGGATCGAGACTGAGGGCAATGCGACGCTGGGCAACGAAGGCGAGGGCAACGCAACACTAGGCAACGTCACCGAAGGCAGAGCAATGCTTGGGGCCGAGAGAGAAGGAAGAGCCACAGAGGGAATCGAGAGCGAGGGCAGAGCAACCGAGGGAATCGAGACTGAAGGCAATGCGATGCTGGGCAATGTCACCGAAGGCAGAGCAATGCTTGGGGCCGAGAGAGAAGGAAGGGCCACAGAGGGAATCGAGACCGAAGGCACTGCAATGCTAGGCAGCGAGAGCGAGGGCAGAGCGACTGAGGGAAGCGAGACTGAAGGCAATGCGATGCTGGGCAATGTCACCGAAGGCAGAGCAATGCTTGGGGCCGAGAGAGAAGGCAGAGCGATGCTTGGGACCGAGAGAGAAGGAAGGGCCACAGAGGGAATCGAGAGAGAAGGAAGGGCCACAGAGGGAATCGAGACCGAAGGCAGTGCAATACTAGGCAGCGACAGCGAGGGCAGAGCAACCGAGGGAAGCGAGACTGAAGGCAATGCGATGCTGGGCAATGTCACCGAGGGCAGAGCGATGCTTGGGGCCGAGAGAGAAGGCAGAGCGATGCTTGGGACCGAGAGAGAAGGCAGGGCCACAGAGGGAATCGAGACCGAAGGCAGTGCAATGCTAGGCAGCGACAGCGAGGGCAGAGCAACCGAGGGAAGCGAGACTGAAGGCAATGCGATGCTTGGGACCGAGAGAGAAGGAAGGGCCACAGAGGGAATCGAGACCGAAGGCAGTGCAACGCTAGGCAAGGAGAGCGAAGGCACTGTCGGAACGGCGATCGTTGGTAGAATTGTTGGGAGAACAGTTGGCACAGGCAATGGCACCAAGCCGCCACCAGCAGCTGTTGTCGAGGCGATTGCACTCGAAGGACGAGGTGCGAACGTGCGAGTCGAACACGAAACAACTGAATTAGTGACAAGAGTCGTGGTTGATGTGGTGGTAGGGATGGGGAAGCCGAGGAAAGTGACCGTCGAGATCGACACAGTCGACGTTGTTGTGCATTGTGAAGCAACAGTAGATGAGCAAAGGGCGACACCAACAACACCGATAGCAGGAGCGACACAGTTGATCTGTGTGTATGCTGCAGATGACACAGCGTACGAGCAACTAGTGCCAACAATCTGCGCAAGATTGAGAGGGTTGACGGTTGTGGCACAGGATCCGGCGAAAGTCACACCTGCCTGACGCTTCTCCAGAGGTGCAGGCGCGGCGGCAACGGTCGAGGCGAGAAGAAGGGTGTTGATCTTCATTCTTGCAAAAGAAAGAGTGCTAGAAAGGCCCGGCCTTTGAGTTTGATGCTGGTCAATGGACTGCGACCTTGCTCATCTTATAACTTCGCCAAGGTGTTGGTCGTTGTAGCCTGGCAGGAGCCATCTAGATCCATCTGTCTCATGATTTTTCATCTTGCACACGCGACATGTGTCCGATGTACACGCTGAAGGCCGGAGATTTTCTCTGAAACCACCCGGTGTCACCGCCTGGTGGCCAGGTTGAGCATATTCGCCTAAGAGGCTATGCCACCGGGGTGCGCCGCCATGGTGCGGGTAGATTGGCCATGGAACCTTGAAAATTCTTGCCCGCGGAGCTTACGTGTATCTGACGCTGGCGAGTGGCGACACAGTGATGAGATTGCCGTCTGCGTATAAAGTCCAGCCCGTGTCTCACCGCAAAAGCCAGCGCATACGCAGGCAACGTGAAGCATAATTGCAGAACTGGCTGGCGAGCAGCAGCGCGATTGACTGACTCGGGTGCTCCAAGCTCTACAACAGGAGACGTCTGATACTGGCAGACCTGCGCTCACGGCAGTCTTAGACTCATAGCTGAAGGCGGGCACGCCGCTACAGTAGAGCTGCACACACAGCCAGAATACCCTGCAGTGCAGTTTGTATACAGTCGTAATCCTCAATCACTTTGCAAGCAGTAAACGCGAAGACATTCAAGCATCTATCGGATTCGGCAGCTGTACATGTCCACGAGGACGACTCATGATTAGTGTCGTTGTGAAACTTGTCGTTGGCAAGTCGCGCGGTCCAGCCGTCTTCCTCTCTTTCCGGCGCCAGTTTCCAAGATTCAAAGGTGAGATTCTCCCACGCGCATCTGACCTAGCGAAGGCATAAGCGAGCACGGAAGCAGAACGTCAGTCTCTCTGTCTCAGAAAAGTCAGAACTGCCTTCGCGCCAGGCTGCCCGGGCGAAAAGAAGGTTGCGCCGCGCGACCATGACACACAATCAGTCATGGACAAGATCCTCGGATCTAGGCAGTTTGAGAAGATTCGGCAACGTCTAGGAACTATCAAGCCTGTCATGCAATGCGCCGTCAGCGACTCGTCAATAAGGGCGCAATTGGTTTTTGATGGGTTGTACAGGCGCAGCACGTCTGTCTAGGCTGTCTGGGGGCAACATGCCTTCATGGAATGTTGCCCGGTGATGCTGAGCTATTTGCATGATACACATTGCCTGCAGGACCGCCGTTCAGTAGCCATTGACCTTGTACCGCAAGCACTATAACTAATGGCGACCGGAGCTTTTCGTTCGGTACTCAGCAGGTGTCGCCCTGTATATTGGTGTCTAGTCTGGAGACAGTTTCGAACCAACGCTATTGTCGCTTTGGTTACTTGTTGCGTTGGTGCGCGTGCTCAATGGAGTTGCCTTGGGCCTTGGCCCTTGAGTCAACGATCTAGGCACAGCTCGCACGAGAAAGGGTCGCTGATCTTGACCTGTGAGCCTGTGACTCGCGCGAGACTAACATGCAGCGACCGCAAAAGTGCAGCGTATAGATTTCCCCAAGCGCCAGTCAACTTGGAGGCCTCGATTGCGATCATCTGAAAGTCTCAGCTGCACCCAAAGCACTGGGTCGCCAGACTGCCAAAAATACCCGATGAGACACGTATGACGGAGACTGCTAAGCTTTCATTATGAAGATGTGAATCCTTATCAGCTGCGTCGGAGTCGGCATTGCCATTGCACCAGCCTTCCAGTATTACCAGCGTGGTCGCCACCCCCGTAGGCGGCCAATATTTAATGTGTGACCGTCAAGCGAGAGTCAGTCGGCCAGGCTATATCCAATGTTCCCAACGCAGTCATTGGGGGCCGTTCAACGGTTCAAGGCTCGACCAGGCAGAATATTTGAACGCGCAGAGCTCACTGGGCTCATGCTCTGGACCTTGACTCTGCTGTCTTTAATTGCAATCCAAGTTATCCAACAAGAGAACACTTTGCAGGTCGTCACGGAGAACTGCCATATGCAGAAGTTCTGTGTAGCATGACATCGTGGAATTTGCTTCAGAAAGCTCTGCCTAACGCATATGCATATGGTGACTTTGCCCCTCGACACGGCCTTAGCGAGTGTGAGCCTAGAATCAGGTACACATATTCACAGAAGATTGCTTCCATTGCAATTGCGCGTTGCTCGTCTAATGGCTAGAGTGTACATCAAGCGGTGCTTTGAGAGACTGACTTTGAAGCATTAGCACCTGTAGCCTGTGGGCTGTGGCCAGAGACTACGCATTCAGCACCGCTGGCCAGGAAAACTGTCATCTCACGCTCGGAGAAGCAGTTCGGCAGGCGGCATCAATTCGCCTCCGCCCCCACAAACTAGCGCTAGTCTCCGGACGACATTGAACAACACCTCAAGGAGTCTAAGCCTTGACTTTAAGCCCATTTGTCGCCTCCGAGGACATGTCTATCGCAATTTTTCCGACACTGACTGCCAAGCCTGGTCAAGGCGATAAAGTGGCAGCTATTCTTCCTGGACTTGTCAAAAAGGTCATTGCAGGCGAACCGAAGACACTGGCATACTACTTCTTTCGACTCACTGAGAAGCCTGATGTCTTCTCCGGATTTGAGCTATACGAGGACAAAGGAGGAATCAAATTACATGGAGCTACACCGCATTTTGCAGAATTCGGCAAGACTGCAGGCCCACACTTCGCTGCTCCTGCAGGCTTGGCTTTTGCTGCCCCTGCTGCTGGTTTCTTGACGCGTGACACCGAGTCCGCTTCCACAATCTCAACAAACTTGAGCTGCATCGCTGTAGCAGTGGTCATTTCGATCAAGGACGAGCAAGGACGAATTGACATTCTCAACAGGGCTAAAGAGGCGTGCGCCAAGGTGCAGAAGAATGAGCCAGGTACGCTTTCCTACCAATGGTTCGTGGATCCGAAGGATGCGAAGAAGGTCTTTGTCTTTGAGAGATACACAGATGCAGCTGCTGTTGCAGCTCATCGGAAGAACTGTGCCGACTTCTTGAGATGGATGAATACAGTAGTTGAGAAGGTCACCATTGCTTCTGGCACTCCTGTTGGTGGGTTCCTCAAACGGGAACCGAGCTTGCTTGACGCCGGCAATACCAAGCTTTAGGGCGATTGTGTTTATAAGCTTTCTAGATGTTGTCGCATGACTTGCATGGCTCGACCTCGATGACTGGTTTTGCCCTTTGCTTCTCTTGTGGCTTCGCCAAATGTTTGACCCAGATCATTGCTTTCAAAGATGGCATCCCAGCCAAATTGCGTACTTCCTCTTGCAGGTACAATTTTACCCTCTGCACGTCCCTCGAACAAGATCGGCTCGACGTCTGGACCAGGTGCATAGGCAAAGATGGTCAGTGCTGTCGCTCGTTTGTCTTCAAAACCAGCTAGCAGTGTGTTGAGGCCATCAAGTTCCAAGCTCTCTAGAAACCATTTGATGTACGGGCCTGGCAATCTACCAAGAGCTCTGAACTCAAGACTTGTATCTTCCGTAATGACGGCACCTCGAACAAGTCGTGCAGCAGTCTTGCACTTTTCTGTAGCAATCGACTCTGCTGTGCCTTGTAGTTCAGGCAGGTCAAGCGACTGTGAGCGGAGCGTGATGTGTGGTAGCAGCGCCTGGACTTCTGCCAGCTTGTTGCTATTTCCAGTGACGAAAGTGATCTTGTCCATGCCTATAGCGTCTTTTGTACCTCCAACTTTAGTAGTCTAGCTATAATACTGTGGACTGTCCATTCAGCAGCAGATGAAGTGTCAGGTTGATGTGGCTTGACCTGTCATGCGCCACATACAGGCGACGGGTGCTACCGATAGTGGACTTGCAGCTGACATCCATCGGCGACAGACATCTACATACACGCGTTTCATGTATTTGCCCAAGTGATGGATAGCTCGTGTCGCACAACGAATCTCTTGACCGCGATATTCCAATCTCATGCCTTCTGATGATAATGATGAACACCGACCTACCAAAGTACGCCGCTTGATCGGCAAGTTCAAACGAGAAACAGGCCTGACAAGGCAAAGCGAGCGACTCTTTCATTCCGGCCTGATAGAAGTGATTCGTTTAGCAGCAGCAAATGATGCGCGCATCCAATCCTTCAAGTTGTGCCACCGGGCGACACTATTCTGTGGCATCGACAGGGGCGACCTAGGCTGGGGCTGTGGCTATCGCAACATACAGATGCTCATGTCTGCGCTACAAGCGAACTTGGACCTTGTCTTCAAAGTCCCTAGCATCCTAGAGTTGCAGCAGTCTATTGAAAATGCATGGGCGGCAGGTTTTGACATCGAGGGCGCTGAGCAGCTGTCTCATAAGCTACTCAAGATGCGGAAATGGATCGGAACAACAGAAGTCTATGCTTTGATGAGCTACTTAGGCTATGACGTCGAGCTCTTACAATTTGAGGGGCCGCGTGCCGGAGACAAGGTCATGCGCTATTGCGAGGAGTACTTTGCACAAGGACCCAGCCAGCTGCCGTTGTACTTCCAGCACAGTGGCCATTCAAGGACCATTGTGGGGATCATGCAGCAGGAAGAGACGAAGCTGCTTGTCTTTGATCCTGCGCTGCATATCAAGGACAGCGTGCTCAGTGCAGCAAAAGACAAGACGGAGAAGCCGTCGAGCACACTACTCAAGCCGTTCATTGTCAGGACGGACGCACTTAAACACAGTGCCTTCCAGCTTCTACGCGTGGTGGGCAAGCTGGCAGAAGCTGACAGAGAGACGCGCAAAGTGGTACAAGCAACCAGATACTGACACTCTACAAACACCTCACACTCGCTTGGCACACTCGTTCCCCTTAGGCAATGAGCAGCTATACTCCCCAGAGCCAGTCGCTCGCTAGTCCAGAAGACAAGTCATCTGTTCGGTTTGCAGCAGAGACGCACGACATGAGTGCCACCTTCAGCACTCCTGTCACGCCACCAGAAGTTCATTCGCTGCACAGCACCCTCGTGTCCCCCGAGAGTACACGCTCCGAGTACACCTCCTCGATCTTCGAGAGTTCTGGACGTGGCAGCCTCAGCAGCGCTTCGTCACCGTTGCATGGAAGAGAGACTGCGTCAATGCGAACGTCAATGCTCAAGGATGCCACGCTTGTTCAGTCAGCTGCACACAAGCCACGCACTGGTGTGTCTGGACATCAAAGCTCATCGACCTTGCAGCGCAGTCTCACAGACACCCAGACCCGTTTGTCTGCTGCGCCAGCAACTCCACGTCGCAATCCCCTGGCAGTGCCACCATCCTTCTCCGGACATGACATTGATCTCGCCAATAGACCGTTCAGTACGCTCGTAGCTAGTGCCGGCAATACGCCAGGACGCGCTCTGTTCGCCGGTGCTCCCGCTAGTGATGAGGACGACTCCCCTGGACCCCGAGAGCATGTCTCTACCCCTTCTGTACCTCAGAAGGAGTCTCGATTCGTCCAGACATTGCATGCTTCAATGCAAGCGTCACCTACGCGTTGGCTACAAGTCTCGGGACTTCCAAGGACTCTCAACTCTGCATACCTACTTGAACACATCTTTGGGGTGAGTCCCTTATCCTCACGTACAAGTCACTAATTGCAGGAATATGGGAGTTTGCAGGGCATGTGGCCACGCCGATTGATGAGTGATGGCATCATTATTATTGGCTACAACGATTTGCGAGATGCACTTAGAGCATTCAAGGCGCTCCGTCACAAACGCTTCTTCAATGAGCGCTTGCTCTCTGCTCAGTTTGTCTCGCGTCAACTTCTCAAGTCGCTTGTTCATGAAGGCACGGATGTCTTGCTATCTGGCAACATTGGTCAAGTCAGCATTGCCATTCGAGGTCTTGGAGAATGCCCCAAGGATGTTCTTTACAGCTTGTTCTCTTCCTACGGCGATATCGAGATGTTTCGATCATGTGAAGACGACCATGGAAGCCGCCTCGTGTGCGAGTACTTTGACTTGCGTGATGCATCCTTGGCAGTACGTGAGCTAGACTCGAAGCGTGTTCGAGACTGTACTCTGATGGTTCATTTTGTGCCACCCGAGGAGAGTCAGACTTTTGCATCCAATGCGCACGCTCTGCTTGCTCGTCACCATGTCTGGGATGCATTGGGCCAATCGTCACCCATTGCGCTGAGTCCACTCAATTGCCCAACGCAATCTTCGATTCCTCTTTGGTTTACCCCTGACTTGCATCCTGCCTGGGCTGGGATGTCAACCGTCGAGCGATCGCACAGCTGGCAGGCGTTCGAGGAAGAGCAGAAGCACCGAGTATCGCGTCATGTTGACCCTAGTCGCCGCGCTTCCTCAGCCAAAATACCTCTTGTCGCCCTTGAACCTCGCAAGTACTCCCCCACTGCAAATGTCAAGGTCCACTTGTCGACGCCTACACCCAAGCACTCCGTCAGTGGCTACTTCGACTTGCCTCGTGCACAGTCTCGTATGACGCCCATCTCTTCACCTGCTGGTGTACTCGACCAGAGCGATGCACTCAAAGCAACTCTGCTTTCGCAGCTGGCACGTTTCACGCCCTCTTCTGGTGCAGCGCTTGGTAGCACGGATGTTTCTGATCGCAACAAGGTCACCGCGGAACGCATTGAAGCGGGCACTGATGCACGAACAACAATTATGATCAAGAACATCCCAAACAAGTTTACACAAGCCATGCTCAAGGATTGGATTGACGAGACAAGTGCCGATTGCTATGACTTTCTGTATTTGCGCATCGACTTTCAAAACAAGTGCAATGTTGGCTATGCTTTCGTGAATTTCGTCGAGCCTAGGGACATTGTGACCTTCTCGCAGCGTCGCGTGGGCGCTTCTTGGAATGTCTTTTCGTCTGAGAAGCGATGCGATATCAGTTACGCCAACATCCAAGGCCGAGACAAACTCATTGAGAAGTTCCGCAATTCGAGCGTCATGGATCAAGACCCTGCCTTTCGACCAAAACTCTTCCACACAATTGGATCGCTCAAGGGACAAGAGGAGGCGTTTCCTGCCTGCAACGACCCAAAGAAGAAGGCTCGATCAACCATGGACGCTCAAACAACAGGGCTCTTTCCGCCAGTGGGCAGTTTGTCGAATTCTCGTGCTGGCACACCGGTGCGAACGCCTGTGCGAGAACGTACCACAGGACGCGCTTCGCCATCTGTGGGTCTCATGACACCGCCGTTGACGATCCGTACTGGGCAAAACAAAGACGCAGCTGTTGGCCAGTCTCCTCTCGCCAAAGTGCAAGTGCGCTAGTGTTGGAAGCATACGACTGGCTCGTATACGTGGACAGCTCAATGCTGGAGTCGCCTCTTTTGCTTATTTTTGATGAGTTTTGTTCTTGCTTTTTGTTGTCTTCTCTTGTCGTTTTGCGGCGCCTGTCGTGGCGTATAGATCATTAGGTTCTTATTCAAGCAGTCTTAAGCTTTTCAGTGAGCGTGATGTGCATCTCTGTGTGATGCAAGTAGCGTTCAAGCAGCGACTGCTGTCAGTGCCTCAACCTTTTCGTTTGTCGGTATCAAGACGCCCTCTTCCTCCTCGTCCGACAAATAGTCGTCCTGGTCGTAGATGACGAGAATGATGAGCGAGCAACTCGGACATCGAGCAATGTCGTCTCCTTCCTTCAATTGCTCGACAGTGATCTCAAAGCGATCGCCGCATGGGCACGGAAAATGATAGAGATTCTTCTCTGTAGCTGTGTTAGCACCGAGCCGCCTTTTAGTCATGGCGTTACCCTTATCAAAGGACATGTCCTCAATCTCCACCTCATCGTAGAAGCCGCCCTCCGACATGATCACTGCTCTCGAGCACTAGCAACTGTCGCAATGAGAAGCCTTCTTGTGACTTTTTTTCTGGATCTGTCGCATGAGGCGCAGGTGGCAGGTGCAGAGGGAGCGACACGTGCAGCTCATCCAGGAGTCGGCCACGAAGGTCAATTGTCCATCTGTGCGTTTCTTTCCGTGACTCGTCAACCAGTCCATTGCTACTCTTTCGCTGATTCAAGTTTGCTGTGTGCGAGTGCTGACGCTGGTCGGACCTGCGTAGGCTCACAACTGTTGCTACGATGGAGCGTGTAGTGCGGCTACTAAAGGCCTACGCGCTCTATGACACTGAAGTCGGCTACGTCCAAGGCTTGCATCTTGTTGTTGTCCCTCTTCTACTGCACGTAGGGTCATCGACGTACCCTGCTCAGGATGCTGAAGCATTCAGCTTGCTTGTCCGTCTCATGAAGCATTACGACTTACGATCTTTCTACCTACCAGCAATGCCTGGCCTTCATCGGCGACTCTACCAGTTTGATAGGCTGATTGAACAGAGCCTACCAGCTGTGCATGTTCATCTTGCTCGTCAGGGTGTACACAGTCATATGTACGCATCACAATGGTTCCTCACGCTCTTTGCCTACAAATTCCCAGCAAGTCTCGTCACGCGTATTCTGGATATGATCCTAATTGATGGCTTGGATGCTTTGCTTCAATTTGCAGTGGCACTCATCACGCGTAATGCACAGCAGATTCTGAGCAAGACAAAGTTGGAGGACTTGCTGTATTTCTTGAAGGATGGCTTGTTTGCTGCCTATGAAGTCGAGGGTGATGTGCGACGCTTGACGGGTGTCTCCCTTCTAGCAGGGCTTGCGAAAGGTGACTCACCTGGCCAAGCATACCGTGCTCAGGACTTACTCGAAGATGCAGCCTGTGTATCGCTTGACCAAACACAACTTGCTCGCTATGCCAAAGAATACGAGGAAGCTGCAATCTCTCAGCGTCAACGCGAAGAGGCTGAAGAATCGCTGCGTCAGAGCAACATCACCTTACAAGCGACCGTCAAACGACTGGAAGAATCGCTTGAAGTGCTCAACACGGAGCATATCGCGTTGGCGAACGATCTGGTGACCTCCAAGATGTCTCTTGCAAAGCTCGAAGATGAGAATGAGGCACTCGAGGCGACTGTAGCCGATCTCAAAGTCATTGTGGATCGTCAGCCTGTTGAGGTCGAGGATCGCTTGCGCGTGGAGATGCATGCATTGATGGTCAAGGAGCAAGCGACTAGTCTACGGAATGGTTCGCTGGAGGAGCAACTTGCTGATATGGAGCAAGAACTCATACACATCAAGATGGCCTTTGCCACGGAGCATCAAAATCACGAGCTGCTGAAGCAAAAGATGGAAGGGCTCAAGAAGAGCTTCAACGCATAGAACTAGGAAGCATTTCGTCTGGCCTGCATGAATCGATAAAATCTATGGTCATGGTGTCGTCAATTGCATCAATCGTCTCGCGCTTCATAATGCAGAATGTTCCTTAGCAGCTGCCAGATCTTCTTTCTCCTTGAGTTTCTGCTCTGCAACCCAAAGGCGATGCTCTAAATCCTTGAGTTCCTGGTCCTTTTGCAACACGCTGGCTTTCTTATCCTCCACTTGAGCCTCCAGTGCTTCAAGCTTCTTGTCATCAGAGAACTCATCACCCAAACCGATAGAGCGACTGAAGGCTTCGTTGCTAGAGGAGGGGTCAGTGTGTATACGCGCTTACAAGGCACACTCACTGCGTGAAGCTTGGAAGACGGGTACTCATGATGTGAATTGTAGGCGAAAGCTAAGAGTCGGAATTCTCTTGTGGGTCCTTGCTTGTCCTGATGCTTGCTGGAGCTGCTGGCGGTGGTGTGAGGCTGAATAACAGTCTCTACAGGTGTGTGTACAGAGTGCGGTGCTCTGATTGCCTGCGTGTTGCTGATTTGGCGCGTCCCAGAAATCGCGCAGGGAAGAATCAAAAGTGCCCCTGAGAGACCAATTTCGCGTGCACTTTCCATACCTCGGGAGCAGATGCCTTGGATTGAGAGCTACATGACTAGAATGAAGCAGGGGAGCACACTACTTGCCCGGGATCATTACTTCGATAATCTCATTCTTGGCACCTCCCACCGTCTTCCAGCGAGCTAGTCTCGTTTCATAGCCGACCGCGACATATAGCCGCCAGCCTTGCTTCTCATCGCCCGTGCTCGTGATGCAATTGACAATCCCTCTTCCAATCTTAACCTCTGCAATCTTGAGTAGTTTTCGCAAATCAGCGGAGATCTGGTAGAAATTAAGCTTGCCGTCCCATGACCCAGACACAACGAGGTCAGAGAAGGGAATCGCATGCACTGCTGTGATCCATCGTACATTCTCGGGTGTATCACCGATAGGTTCGAGCTCTGCCGAATTGCTGATTGGCAAGATATTACCATGCGCCATGGGTATACGTGAGAGGGCCTTCTTCTTTTGCGTTGACCAAAGTGCCACGGTGCCATTATCACTGCCTGTAACAAAGAGCTCCTTGTCGATTTGAGTCACGACATCCATACTGCCTTCGCCGAATCGCTCCTTTCTATCTCCACCACGAAAGACAAGCTGTGTCTCATCCACAATCTTCCATAATCTCGCTGAACGGTCGCGTGCACCTACAGTGACGGCTGCGTTTGGGTTGAGTACAGAGATGCATGTGATGATATCTTGATGTCCGAAGAGTGTCTCAATATACGCCTGTTCTTTCGCATTGAAGAGCTTCACCGTCCGGTCTGATGATGCACTAAAGAATTCAGTGCCAATGGTAGGAAAGACAACAGAGTTGACAGAGTCGCGATGTTGAGGAAAGCTCTTGAGCTGCTTGAGGCTGTTTGTCGACCACAAGCCAACAGTGCCGTCCGAACAACCGGTGGCGAGGTATTGACCATCTGCACTCGCACTGCAGCAATGGACACTAGCAGCATGTGCTCGCCTGACTGTCTTTCGCAGCTGCAAAATCGATGGACCACGGCCCTCTGCACTGCAACGCCACTTTTGTATATCGCCATTCTTGAACGAAGCATAGAGACACCGCTCGCCTGTATCGCTTTGCCCGTGAGTCAGGCTTGTAATGCATGCCTTTTGTCTGGTCCATGTCCTAGTCACCTCCAATCTTGCAGTCGTGCAAGATTCCGCAATGATCAAATAAACCTTCTCCTTAGTCGCCAAGTTGTCTTGCTCCAGGCGAGCAGAGATGAGCTCGCGGTCAATTTCAGCCGCATCAAAGCCAGCTTCCTCACCAATTTCCTGCTCGACCTGTCCCAAGTAGCTCTTTGCAAGCCGCAACCGTTTCTCCGCCGGTGTCTCATGAATCAATGCTGCATCTTCGTCAGAGTCACGCTCATCGTCCTCCACAAAGAAGGCTTCATTCCCGTTCGAGGAGGAGTCAGACTCAATCTCATCCTCCTTGGGCGCCCGCTTTGCGCGTTGTGGACCACGCGAGGTGAGTCGCCGGTCTTGACGAGCCTGTGTAGTGGGCCGTTTCCGCTTCTTTGTGAAGAAGGGATCAGACGACATGATTGTACTATAGAGCCTGTAGCGCTTGACTTGATGTCTTGCTTGTCTGCGGCGCCTCAACTTTTTTTTGTTCGTGGGCGTGCGATCTTTGGCTGCAGACTCAGACTGACCATGAGCTCAAGTGGTGCTCTGTTTTCGCATACACCGTGCCCATAAGCTCCTATTGCAGTCTTCACTTGACCCTCAGATGTCAATTGTAGCTCACGAAGCGTCTAAGTTGATCTCCTTCGAGGTGCGTGCATGTTATAGCGCAGCCATCACAGTCATCGTGTGCTGACAGTGCTGAGTGATGTGTCCAAGGGGGCCTGGTCTCACTCATCTATGGCCTGTCTGCTATGCCTTCTTTGAAAGTGCCCCTCTTTCTGCCTAAGAATGTAAGCAATGCTACTAAGCATGGCCAGCAGACACTGACCTGAATGTCTGCCTGTAATCAAAGCACGGAAGTCTGTGCCATCTGGTCGCCTTTCAGTGTTCTTTGACGCCCACAAAGGCCCAGAAGGAGAGAACAGCAGCAGACATAGCGCTGTCAACCTCTAATCAAGCGGCACAAAAGAGATTTCTGCTGCTTTCTCTCCCGCACTTTGCGGCAGCTCCTCCTCCATGTGATTTGCAGGCGACCTCAACGGTCTTGTCATTTGGGTAATCGACTTTATAGCTCTTACACATAATACAGCTACCGCGCTCCCTCTCTCTCCTCTCCAAAGCTCCAAGCTGCAGCGTCTCATCAATCCTTGACCTGCTCTGAGCCATGAGTCGTGGGCAGTACAACCAGGACCCTATGGCAGGCTCCAACTATGCCTCGGGACAAATGGATCCGAATAAGTCCTTTCACTTGTATGCTCACTCGCAGCAAGATTTGTCGCATCACGGCCATGAGCGTCCGGTGATGATGCAGCGGCCGAGTCAAGAGCAAATTTATACCTCGAGTGCCATACGGCCCATACCGGCTCATTATGCGCCTATGCAGCAACAGCAACATCAACATCAGCAGGGACAACGACCCAACCTGTCCCAACATCTCAGCCACAATGGGTATGACACCACCGACGCGCAAGCAGCTGCATTGGCTGCTCTGAGTACAGCAGGAACAATCGATCCTTTGTCCTTGCAACGATTTGTTGGCTACCAGACGACACTCTCATCCAATGCGCCTGTAACGCCATCAGATGAGAAGCATGAGGATGCAATCATGGCGTATTCGTCACGAGATGCACGGTGTGCACAAGAAGCACTTGCATTGTTGATCCCAAGCGCCGAGATGCTCACAGCATACAGCAGTCTGCCAGAGTACTTGATGAATCAGCCTCCACTCGGCTCCATTCGTCCCTCTGAGGCAGATGGAGAGGATCAATCGCCTGGCGTGGGCAGCAGCTCTGGAAGACGCCCTGCTCCTCGGAAGCGTGGTCGACCACCGCGAACACTACCCCCTTCTCCGCCTCAGACTGCTTCGCTGCTTGAATTTCCAACAGACGCCAGGTCAGAGCAGACTGGTGTGCCACAGGCCATTCCAGCGGCATATATTCGCGAACAAGTCAGGACATTGAAGGAGTCATGGATGAATAGGGATATAGCTACACACAACCTCTTCATTCGCGCTCAACAACCGGCTTTTGAACAAGAAGAGGAGACTTTCCTGCCAGCTACACGGCTTTATCCCATTCATGAGATGGTGCTCGTCTCGCAGCTAGCATACTGGCAATTGCTGTGTCGCTTCAGTCCAGCTCGCGAAGAAGGCTGGATGCCAATCGTGGAGGTTGAGGTGCCACAACCAGACTTTATTGATCCATTGATGCATTGGCTTCATCACCACGATGACCAGGCATTGTATGAGATGCTGGATGAGATGGTCGATAGCAGTGCCGGCTGGATCGGAATCGTCTGGTTCGCACGCAACGTGAGAAGCCTGGGTGTCTGCGACAGTAGGGTCAGAATTGTGCTCGAGGCGGTCGTCCATGAACGATTCGGCTCTCATATCAAGTAGTCATACAATCATACAATCGGAGAATTCGAATGAATTGAGAGATGATACAATCGCCACATCCTGGGACATCAATTGTTGAAGAATGTCCCATGACGCGGAGCCGATCGTATTATTTTGTCCTCAAGAGAGTCAGTATCCCCAGCATTTTCGTTTGCTTGCCTGTTCCTTGCATCAGCTGCTTTGGGCGCGTCATCTGCTACTTCTTGTTGTGTGTCGGCCTTCAAGCGATTCTTGGGCTTCTTGACTTTCCTTGGCTTGTCTGCAAACCTGAGTGGGCTGTGCTTGATGTACTGATATCAGCAAAACGCATGAAAGCACAAGAACCTTACAGCAGAGACATTCGGAAGTTTCCTCAGTGTCTCAAGATACGCCGTGACTTCCCTCAAAGCATCGTCTGTTCCCCGTGCCACTCGTTCTGCAGAAAATTCTGGTACCTCGATCAGATTGTGTGGGTGCGCCAGTACCTTGAGCTTGGAATCATCAATGATGATGGTATCTCGTTGACTGAAACGCTTAATCTTTCGTAAATGTGGATCTCGCCATACTTGCTCGAGGTTCTTTGAGGTCTGGCATTTCGAATTGTACTGCTCTGGCGTTAGGCCCAACGTATCTCTCGCCCAAACAGCAACAAGCTGCTCGCGCTGTTCATGAGAGAAAATATTGGCACACATTGATAGGACGCTCTGCGGCTGAGCTGAAGACCACACCATGACAGCAAAGTTGTCAAACAAGTACTTGCAGAAATCTCGCAAGCCAGGTCTCGGTATGGGTGTATTGGATGAGCGAGCCCCATTCTCCCGAAATACAAGCGTACCATTCAAATCTAAAATGACTAGCTTCAAGCGTGCAAGTGGTGTATCGTCTGCAGCGTTGCGTTTCTTGGAAGTACATCCAGCCAAGTAAGCGCGAAAGACGGGTACTGGAAGAGCAGCATGGCGAGCACGCACGAGCTTACGAGCTGCAGCAGTGTATGGAGACATCAGAAGCTAGTGAGATGCGTCATATGTAGCACTTGGCACCCTGGAGCTATGTATCGAGCTTCACCTCCGTTCACCTGGTCAATTCACCATCTGAGGACTTGATGGCCGTGCGAAGAACAGGCTTGGGTTAGGGTATCTGCATCAAAATTGTTTGAGCAGGACACGGACATTGATCAACTACATTCATCATGAGTTTGTATGTGCTGCCTTCTTGATTGAGCTGTGCTAATCTGTCTAGCGGAAAATTGTACTCCTTCACTGGCAATGCCCGCACCACTGCCCTCTTGGCTGTGGCCAAGGCCAACGCTTTGGACGTTGAGATTCTTGAGGTGAAGCCTCAGTCTGAGGAGGTTCTCAAGGAGTTCCCTCTCGGCAAGGTCCCTGGCTTTATCGGAGCTGACGGCCTCAAACTCACCGAGTGCAATGCTATCGCCATTTACTGTAAGTTCTGCCAATGCAGCAGAGGAAGGTCGCAATGATGTCTGATACGATTTCAAGTCGTTTTAGTTATCCCTGACTGAAACCACAGTGTTGACAATGTACACTCTGAGCTACCTTCTTCTGCTTGCAAAACACTTTTGTCGAGCTCAAGCTAATGATTTCAAGTTGCTAGCCAGAACCAGAAGACCACTTTGCTCGGCAAGACCAAGGGTGACTACGCCCAGATCCTGCAGTGGCTTTCGTTTGCCAACACTGAGCTCCTCGCCACCTTGGCTGGATGGCTCAGTCCTCTCCGTGGCATGGCTCCATACAACAAGAAGGCCGTTGAGGAGGCTGAGGCCAACTTTGAGAAGCGTGTTTCCTTCCTCGAGCAGATTCTTGCCAGCAAGACTTTCCTTGTTGGTGAGCGATTGACGCTTGCTGACCTTGTGGTCGCTGCTCATCTTGCTCGTGGCTTTGAGTTTGTCTTTGACCCTGCATGGCGATCGGCTCACCCAAACACGACCCGATACTTCACTACTATCGTGAACCAGCACATCTACAAGAACGTTGCCGCTGATGTGCCTATCTGCGAAGAGGCCATCAAGTATACTGCACCTAAGAAGGAGGCTGCTCCCAAGAAGGAGAAGGAGGCAGCAAAACCCAAGGCCGCTGCTGCTGCTGCTGCTCAGGGCAACGACGAGGAGGATGAGCCTGTTGTTGAACAGCCCAAGGCCAAGCACCCTCTCGAGGCACTCGGAAAGCCCAAGCTTGCTATTGACGAGTGGAAGCGCACGTACTCCAACAAGGAGACTCGTGAGGAAGCACTTCCTTGGTTCTGGAAGCAGTTTGAGGAGAACAAGGCAGACTACTCTCTGTGGAAAGTGGACTACAAGTACAACGATGAGTTGACTTTACCATTCATGTCTGCCAACCTTGTGGGTGGATTCTTCTCGCGTCTCGAGGGTTCTCGCAAGTATGGTTTCGGATGTGCTAGTGTGTACGGCACTTCGGGTGATTCGCTGATCACGGGAGCCTTCTTCATCCGTGGCCAGGAGTACAAGCCTTTCTTTGAGGTTGCACCTGACATGGACTCGTACGAGTTTACCAAGTTGGATGCAAGCAAGGATGAGGACAAGACGTTTGTTGAGGACCAGTGGTCGTGGGACAAGGAGTACCAGGGCAAGGAGCACGCTGACGGCAAGGTGTTCAAGTGATAGTTGACTGTGAGTAGTCAGAGTAGTAGTCAGAGTAGAGATATTTCCATCTGGTTTGCGCCTTGAAAGTGATTGATTGGACCTGGGAAGAGACATTCGCCCGCTCCACCACTCACAGCACAGCACCAGCACCAGCCAGTGTCACAGACTCACATCAGCCTGCTCCCCTAACATGTACAGGCACACGGGCCTCGACGCCTATGCACAACAGCAGCAGCAACAGGGACAGCAGCACCATCCAATCCATCAGCAACAGCAGCAGCAACAACAGCAACAGCAGCAACAACAACAACATGCTCCCGCGTATCAACAACAAGCACACACCCATCACGCGCCCCAGGGGTACCATGCGACAGGCCATCTACAACAGCTCGGACATGCGCAACACCTCATGCATGCTCAGCAGCAACAACAGCATCAGCAACACCACATGGCTGGCCATGTCGCAAGTGGGCATACAATGGAGTACAACAACATGATGGAAGATTCAACCAACCAGTTCATCTTTGGCAATGTAGCACGCGGCCTAGACGGATCTCACCGTGCAACCTTGCAAGCCTACTGGCAGGATATGATTCGCGATATAGAAACGCGCGATCATGACTTCAAAACACACGCACTACCACTTGCTCGTATCAAAAAGGTCATGAAGTCGGATGAAGAAGTCAAGATGATTGCCGCTGAAGCACCCATCTTATTTGCAAAAGGCTGTGAAATCTTCATCACTGAACTCACAATGCGCGCCTGGATACACGCAGAAGAGAATAAGCGACGGACGTTGCAACGCAGTGATATTGCAAATGCCATTTCACGCAGTGACATGTTTGACTTTCTCATTGATATTGTACCGCGCGAAGAGTTTGTCTCAAGGCGTGGTAATGATGTACCAGAGACGAGTAAGCACAGTGGTCAAGATCAGCGCGTACAGGGTGCAGCAGGTGGGTTCTTGGGTATGTCAACCGGTCGTCCTGCATCAGGAACAACGGCACACCCACCGCCTCCACCGCCGGCGTCGTCACAATCTCAGCAGCAGCAGCATGCTTTTCCGTCGCAGCAAGCGGCACAGCAGTCATTGCCGGCCGTTGCTCATAATGGCGCCGCACTCTGGCCACAACAGGAAGCAGCGCGTCAGATGGCAGCACGTCAAGGAAGTCTCGATAAGGGACATTTAGATACACATGCCGTGAATCACGGTCATCACCCAGGAGCACAAGGGATAGGCTATGATCCATCAGCCAATGGACAACCACAGCAGCAGCAGCAGCATTTGCAGCATCATCCACAACAACAACATATGTATGCGCCGCCACCTCCACAACAGCAACAGGCATCGCCATACCCGTATCAGCCGTATGGCGGGTACTATCAAGCGGACATGGCTTCCATGGCAGCAGCGGCGGCAGCTGCAGGACATTATTTCCCACCACCCATGGTACAAGCTTTTGATCATCACGGTAATCCCATCACCATTCCACAACCGAATGTTGGCTATGGCTCTATTCCACCGCCACCGCCTGGACAGCAATCACATCAACAACCAGGCCAAGCTGGACAGGATGGAAGACGGTCGAGTGGGTATGAAGCACAAAATCAGAACTATAGGCCAGAGTATCCGCATCAACAGCAGCAACAATCTCAGCAACAGCAACAGCAGCAGCGATATGGTTATGAGCAGCCAGGATTATACGCGCAACAAATGCATCAACAGCAGCAACAGCAAGGACCGCAACCGCAACAACAACGCAAACCAGCTACTGAAATCATTCCACTGCCTTCCATAGCAACGGAAGAACCTGTCGCTGTGGCAGAAGAAACAACTGCCTCTAGTAAGCCTAAAAAGCCAAGAGCGAAACGTGCACCACGAGGTAAGAAAGCCGTCGCCGCAGCAGCCGCGGCCGCAGCTGCTGCCTCTGCAGAAAATGGAGAAACTGGGGAACAGGCTGGTGATGCCTGAAAGATTGGGTTTATCGCTTCAAAGAGGGGTTTCAAATTTCCTGCATGCTACTACTACAAGTACAAAACTGTATCTTCTTCTTTTCACATTTCGCTTGCACCTCAAAAAAAATAAGCGTGTAATATCAATCTTGCTCTTCCCACGATTGCCATATCAACGTGACTCGTCTTGTTCCGCCAGTTTGAGCTGCTGTTTTGCTAAATTCGCTTCATATGCTTCTCGTAATTCGCCTTGCAGACTGATGTTTGTGCGTTCTGTGCTGGGCGATTCAGCAATAATGGTCATGGAGGCTGCAGGTTGATCAGCCGACATGGCCTTGTAGTCGAGTCCACCGCCGACGTTGAGAATCGGCGGCACAGTATGTACTGCTTGATTTACAGATTGCTGAGCCAACGGAGCTGCTAGTGAGCCAAGGGATCCTGTATTGCCCATAGCAGCCTTGAACCTGGCAGCCGCTTGACCGGATGGTGCAGCCAAGGATTGATGTCGTGGTCGGTCTTGCTGTGCAGCACTCGCCTTTTCAGCAATCGCTCCCAAATCAGGCGTGCCACGATGCGCGTCCCCTGCACGTTGCCAGAGTTGATTCTCCTTGGCACTACCACCTTGCAAAGAATCTGCGCGCTGCGCCCGTCCACCAGTCTCGTTGTTCGATGGACCTTTACCGCGTTGCTTTGTTAATTGCGTTCGTGATCTGGCCAGACCATTGGATTTTGCCTTCTCTTTGTCTGTCGCGTCAGAGGCACTCGGCATGGTAGTGACACAAGCGCGCTGGATTTTAGTCAAGTCGGCAATATGCGCATCAAAGCCATCAGTCTCAGAGACACCATGATGTTGCTCACGACCAGGCTCAATACCCAACATGGCATTCCATAGGATTCGATCTTCCGTACCATTGAGACGCGCCGAAGCGGCATCCATACTGCGGGAGCGCTTGACAATGGTTGGGCGAGGCAATTCCCGAGGATACGTCGTCTTTGCCGCTGCGTCACCAGAGCCACTTGATTGTGGCAAGTTGGTCTCGCTTGCCGCTTGTAAACCTGTCCTTCCACGCTCTTCCACCGCTGCTTTGCGCTTCGAGTGTTCTTCTTCTGCAAGTCTTGTCCGTTCAAGGCTTTGAGCAAGATCATCCGCCGTTGCTTGCTTTTCAGCATCCTCACGATCCTGCGCAGCGGCACTCTCGCGACGTTGTCGTTCAGGTGATCCTTCCCTCGATTTCGCCTCTCGCATTTGTTTGAGCTTAAAGACAGCCTTGACCACGGTGACTGCACCACGAATACCCTTGATGGCTTCACGCAAGTCATCTTCAGTGATTTCTTGAATCATTTGGGCAGTATTCTCCTCAGCAGATAGTAGTTCATCTTCACCATCGCACGTCACCCAGGGGTGTTCGCGCAGGGCGTCCATCGTGATTCGCTGTTCGGGATCTTTAGCAAGGATTTTGTCAAATAAATCGAGCAAGTTGTCGTCGCATATATGGCGCTTGTTTCCCGGGAATTCTGGGTCAAGCAGGATAGGAGGTCGATTCATGATATCCGCACACAGCTCAATGAGATTCGTCTCGCCAAAGGGCAACGTTCCGAATTTCCAGCAAAAGAGGGTGACGCCCATACTCCAGATATCAGAAGCTTTGAGGTAAGAGGTGTTGCGTGCGCCGTGACACAATTCAGGTGACATGAAGGCTGGTGACCCAGATTGTGCGACCTTTTGATCATCATCCAGCTGAAAGAGCTCACTCACGCCAAAGTCTGCAATTTTCAGGACAGAATCTGAAGAGAGCAGCAAGTTGTCGGGTTTGATATCTCGATGCGCAATGCCTTGTGCGTGTAGGTATTCGATACCGAGAATCAAGTCTCGAAAGTAGTGCCGACACTCTTCATCAGAAAAGGCTTCCGCATTCGCCCCAAAACCAATCTGCATGATGACGCCTTTTTTACAGAGTTCAAGGACCATGTACAGCGCATCGCCTTCGGGGTCATCCAGCACTTCGAGCAAATCAATGACATTTTCGTGATCGAGCTTCTTCATGATGGCAAGCTCTGAACGAATCAAAAAGAGCGGGTTGCCAGCTTCCTCGTCCTTGTGTATGTCTGTCGCACTGCGTCGACTGAGTAATGAAGGACGTCCACCACGACCACCACCACCACTCGGCCCTTGCGCACCGTACGGACCACCCAGAGCGCCTCTCGGCCGTCTCAAAATGGCAGAATGATTGCGTTTCCTCAGCCGTGCTTTTGAGAATTCCTTAATAGCATACTCTTTGCCGGTGGTGGAATCAACCGCTTGCAAGACTGTTCCATACGCACCTCTACCAATTTCTTTTTGCAAGACATATTGGTTCAGCATGCGTTGACCATCTTCGCGCTTCGTGACGCGCGCATCCAGTGTTTCCTTGACCTTCGTCGCGCGTGGTGCAGAAAGGGCGCGACGATGATGACGTTCGGGTGAGCGTGGTGGGACCGGGGAGGTGGATTGGCGTTGTAGGTCTGGTCGTCTTAGCAGTGCAGTCAGTGGTAGCACGCCTTGTGCATCTTTTGGCGCAGAATCAATACTGCTAGCGGTTGTATTGTTACTGTTACTTTGAAGACTGTGTGAGGTGGTGACGCTGGTTGATGTTTGTGCAGAGACACTGGATGGTCGCATGCTGCTAGAAGTCGTTGTACCTGTGCTGCCTCGAGAATTAGGCGTTGATAGAGACGAGGGACGCATGAGAGCAGGCGCGACGGACGCGTAATCCAAGCCGACTGCAGACATGGTGGTCGCGTTCTCTTCCTTTATATGGATGAAGATGGACAATCAAGCGAGCGTGAGTGCGGGTTGATAAGGGCAGGGAGTGTTGGCCTTCTCTTCGCGAAGCTATCGTCGCGTGAGCCTGCGCACCCAGGCAGGCGACGAGCCAGACAGCAGGATCTGGGGGTCCCTGGTCTTGCAACGGGGAGTCTATGTCTGTCTGGTTTCCTTGTGTTTGGTTTGGGTGTCAGGCACAACAGGGAGCAAGAGTCCGGGGAAGGGCCGGGCATGTTTATAGGAGGGCTGTGTATGGATCTATCGAGAGAGCAATATGTCTACAGACTACGATACGGCCAGGTCATGTCGGGGCAGCAGCTACCGTAGGACTTGAGTAGGTCTGTCCAATCTTGTGCCTGACATGCGACAGTATGAGGTCTTGTTACTGGTGTGCCTATCGACACAGTCAAGGCACGATGAGCATTGGCAGCAGCTTGCAGAGAGGACATGAGCCTTGCCAGGCCATACTACAGTATTACAGTAGTACAGTATGATCATGTAGATGAAGATTGCTGTGACTGTTTCCCGCAAACAACACAAAATTGAAGCAGCAGCGAGGACAAAGAGACAAGAGACACACAGGACAAAACTCCCTCAGTACCAGCATCCAGCCATGAAGTGTGAGTACCTGCAAATGCCATCTCCTCTCTTTACCTCCCTCTGCACATCCTCCTCATTGCTCCACTCTTATTGAGCAGCATGAACGGACGGCAGAAATCGGAGTGTGCCAAAACAGAAGACATTTTCTACTCATTCTTGCCTGGTCACCCTCGCGTCCTGTGTTTCGACTGTCTCGCTGGTATCTCTTCTTCCTTTTGGCTCAACTGGCAAGAAGGCACCAGCAGAGACAGGCACGGCCGAGGTTCCAGAGAGCATTCCCCTGGGTCGAGCGCTTCTCTTTTTGATGCAAGCGCTCTTCTTAGCGGAACAGACCACAATACCCCCAATGACCTGTTCATCAGGGATTGCTTTAACTCGTGTCTTAAAGAAACAAGTCAAGCAAGGGAGAATGTCAGAAGTGGACACAAAAAAGACGAGATGTAAGATGATACACCCAAGCTAACACGCATCCAGTGAACATCTCATACCCAGCAAACGGCACCAACAAGCTCATCGATATCGATGACGAGCGCAAGGTTCGTGTCTTCATGGACAAGCGCATGGGCCAGGAAGTCCCCGGAGACTCTGTCGGTGATGAGTTCAAGGGCTACGTCTTCAAGATTACCGGTGGAAACGACAAGCAAGGTTTCCCCATGAAGCAAGGTGTCCTTCACCCTACCCGTGTTCGTCTCTTGCTCTCCAAGGGACACTCATGCTACCGTCCTCGTCGTACGGGTGAGCGTAAGCGAAAGTCTGTGCGTGGTTGTATCACAGGCAATGACCTCTCAGTCCTTGCCTTGGCTGTTGTCAAGCAAGGTGACGCCGATATCCCAGGCCTCACCGACGTTTCTCAACCCAAGCGTCTCGGTCCTAAGCGTGCCACCAAGATCCGTGCCTTCTTCAACTTGTCGAAGGAGGATGATGTGCGCAAGTTTGTGATCAGGCGTGAGATTACAAAGGAGGGCAAGAAGACATACACCAAGGCGCCCAAGATTCAGCGTCTTGTGACACCTCAACGTCTTCAGCACAAGCGTCACCGAATGGCCATCAAGCGTCGGCAGGCGGAAGAGCAGAAGGAGAAGGCAGCTGAGTACGCTGCCCTCTTGGCCAAGCGTGTCGGTGAGGAGAAGACTCGTGTTCTTGAGCGCAAGCGTCGTACGACTGAGGCCAAGGCTTAGATGCCTGTCTCTCGTTCGCGTCCACTACCACTGCATCTCTCATACTAAAAGCTCATTACCCTTTGACCATCTCTTGCTTGTATCCAGACTGCGTGTTCGTGTCGTGAGTTTGCGACTTTTTTCCTGGCGACGACAGCGACCACGTCTATCTACTTTGTCTCTGCCACTGCTGTCCAGCGGGCCCCCAGCCAAGGCCTCATCGCAAGCATGAACTCCATCAAGATCTTTGCAGGCAACAGCCATCCAGAGCTCGCCCAGAAAGTCGCGGAACGGTAAGGCCCCCCACCACACTAGCAAGGGATGAAATGCTAAAACAACACATCAGGATCGGCATCGAGTTGGGTAAGGTTGTTGTACTCAAGTACTCAAATCAAGAGACCGCCATCACCATCGGCGAGTCTGTGCGGGATGAAGATGTCTTCATTATCCAAACAGGTTGTGCAAGTATCAACGACCACCTCATGGAACTCCTCATCATGATCAACGCCTGCAAAACAGCTTCTGCGCGTCGCATCACGGCCGTCATCCCAAGCTTTCCCTATGCGCGACAAGATAAGAAGGACAAATCTCGTGCTCCCATCACAGCGAAACTTGTTGCGAATATGCTTCAAACGGCTGGTTGTAACCATATCATTACGATGGACTTGCATGCCTCCCAGATTCAAGGATTCTTCAATATCCCTGTGGATAACTTGTTTGCTGAGCCATCCATGTTGAAATATATTAGAGACAAGTTGGATTATCGGAACTGTATCATTGTTTCCCCTGATGCTGGTGGTGCGAAACGAGCAACAGCAATCGCGGATCGGTTGGACTTGGACTTTGCCCTCATTCACAAGGAACGGAAAAAGGCAAATGAAGTGTCGCGTATGGTCCTGGTCGGTGATGTGCGCGGCAAGGTGTGTGTCTTGGTGGATGATATGGCGGATACGTGTGGGACTTTATGTTTGGCTGCAACGACACTACTGGAGAATGGCGCTTTGCAAGTCTATGCCATTGTCACGCATGGTATTCTCTCCGGTAACGCCATGGACCGCATCAATGCCTCAAAATTGGAAAAAGTCGTCGTCACCAATACCCTCCCACAAAGCAACAAGGTGGAGCAATCGTCCAAACTCGACATTATTGATGTCAGCGCCGTTCTTGCTGAATGCATCAGACGTATTCATCATGGCGAGAGTGTCAGTGTCTTGTTTTCTGCCATTCCTGCGTGACCTCTACGCGTTCCTCCTCAAGGCTGCCTCAAGCAGTGTAGAGAAGGGCAAAGAAAGAATGTTATAGAAATGCTATCTACGTTCAACGTCTAGACGGGATCTTGCTTCTTGCTGATGCTTGGATGAGACCTTTGTTCAAGGTCATGAAAAAAAGAAATGAATGCAGATGTGCGTCCTGCGCTACACTGACGACACAGGATACGTATGTGCCATTCGATCCATGACCCATGTCTGAGTAGGTGATGCAAGTGGCCAGTCTTCCTCATCCGTGCCTTCTCCGTCATGCCCAAGCAATGGCGAGTCATCCGGGTATAAATCAGGAACACGCCTCGATCGCGCAGGCGGACCACGATGCGATGATAAGGCCAACATGGCCTGCACGGGTATACCATCCTCTTGCTGCCGCCACAACGCACGCCTACCAGATTTCTCAAGACGTGGACGAACACCACCTTGTGTCATGGCAGGTGATGCTTCTTGTGACGTTTTCCCGCGCTGTGACGACCTCAGAATGGCAATCTTGACATCTTGCCATGATAAATTACTGCCCCGCCCTGCACGAATCACCGAGACCACTGCAGCGAGATTGCGCGGCGTGATGAGTTCCTTGAATTGATAGTCGAGGTTTCGCAGAATAAGGCGTTCCATGAGATTGATGTCGGATCGAGAGAGTGACTTTTCAGCAACAATGTCAGACCAAGTAGCCGTTGTGTAGGGAGCATCGTGTAGGATCTTTTGAGCAAGCACAAGACACACAAGGTTAATGACTTCAGGACGCTCTCTACCCACTGTGAAGAGGGGTTCTTGTGCATATTGATGATACAATTCTGGCGAGAGTTTTGCCAGAATGAGGATGCCGAGTGCAATGGTTTCTGTTGGCAGTGTAGCACGATAGAGTAGCCCATATGTCGCCTCATAGCTATTTCCATTCCTCACCTTGAGAAGATGCGTCATGAGCCCTGCTGCGCTATCGAGTGTAGCACTTGCGGCAATGACAGATAGGCAGCCAGGAGGGAACAAGTCTGGCTCATCAATAACGGACCGACAGTCTTCCGTGGCGCTGGGTGAGGGTAGATGGGTGAAGCGCTTGAGCCATCGGTCGCGTGGATTGTTGTGTTTGGTGGAGTCGATGGAGGAGAGTCGGAAGGGGCTGCTGGAGATGTAGGGCTCCACCAACGTCGCTGTGCTTGAGAAGGCCCACGATGGATCTTGCGCCATTCCAAGGACACCGGACTGCGGATGTCCTGCAGGCACTGAACTGATCCTCCTAGCGAGTGTGAAGGGCGCACATGGACGGCAGCCCGTATGGAGCAGTAGATGGTGTGCAGTGTGGTGTTGTGTTTGCCTGCCCCTGAGTGAGCACCGGAACCAGGCAGAAGGAGCACAAATCTACATGGAAGCACAGCAGCGGGCCTACGCAAGGGCATCCCAGATCACCTTCTCGATGCTGCTCTTGTCGTACTTGATGTACTTGTCCTTGTTCTTGGCAAAGTCCATCGCAACATACTTGTCATAAAACCGCACATACAGCGGCACAATCACAGCCCGAATTTCGCCCGTCAGCTGCTGCTTCAAGTCAGCATCCTGCACCGTAAAGCTCTTGCTACTTCGAATCAGCTCCTCAAACTCAGCATTGAACAGACGAAATCGTTCCTTCACCGCTTCCCTGTCCTTCGACGTCATACTGCTTCCCTTTGACTTGTTGTCCGCAGGACGGAGCATCGTAGTGGTATCCATGAGCTGTCGAGCAGGCAAGTCACATGCCTCCCGGTATACCTTGAAGATCCGCTTGTGCGTTTCATCCAGTTTAGCCAGCGTGCGTTTTCCAATGTATCGGTGCATTTCACTCCGCTTGATGGTAGACGACACATAGGCCACATTGTTGAGCATAAAAATGGCCATTTGATTCGGTCGCTTCAACAAGTTGCGTGCCTTTGCCTCAAGAATCTGCAGATTGGCATCGATGCACTCACAGGCAAAATTGTCAAGCAGTAATCCAGCAGCTGGTGTCTCGGTATGCGGTAGCTTGACTGGCCCCGTGACAGGTCGCCGCCAGCCGCCTTCACCGAGTGCACTGAGTAAGTCTGCGACAATCTCTGGATACTCGCAGCACTTGCGTAATCGACTGCAGAGCTCTTTTGTGTGATCGAGTACGCCACCATCTATTGGCAATGCCAAGACGGCACCCATTTTGCGTTTCATGTCCTCTGCCATCTCATGGAATGCACCGGCAGAGACGGTTGCAATGGACGTGACGGTCGCATGCAAATCACGTGCAATCTCCGGCGTCTCAATATCCACTACAGTCGCATTCAGACGTTTGAGATGTCCAAGCGCTTCAAAGCCAAGATAACAATCTGGTCCGAGATGTACTTTGACATGCGCAGTGATACCTTTACACGTCCTGCAGTAATCTGAAAAGGCAGGAGCCACCGTACGCTCATACACATCCAGTCCAGTCTGTTCGCCAAATACGGTCAAGCACAGCTCGCGGTCTTGACGAGTCATCTGGAGTATCGCCTCTGTGTAGTGGCCGATACCGTTAAATTCACGATCATACAGCGCAGCGGTACGTAGTTCGAGACTTCGCTGCGAGGCAAGCGGGAAGGTCTCCAGACTACGCTGGATATAGTCAGAGCGAATCTCGATGAAGGACTGTGTTTGTTGGGTTTGAACAGAGGCAAGACCTCTCGACTCTGCAGCGACTTTTGCCATATCGCGCATCTGCTCAGCTTGTTCGGATGAAAAGGCTGGAGGCGCTTGGCCCTTCAAAACATAAGTCAGTGGGGCGATAGGGACAGATCCGCTGTTCAGAACAGCCTGCCAGTAGTCTCTGAGCTGTTCTGTCGCAGACTTGAGCAGCTCGTGTGTCTTGTTGACGATGCGCTGGGATGAAGACAGATCAGCCGACTGTAGCGTCACCATCCCCTGATCAAGATTCCGCACAGAAGTCAAGAAGCGTTGCAGGTTGGTGGATGGACCTGCACGGATGGTTGATTCCTCTTCAAAGGGAATGTTCCAATATGTCTTGGTCTTTTCGATCGCTGCAATTGTCGCCGCCACGTCTGCTTGTTAGTATCACAGACTGATGTGGAGGATACATACTGCTTTGTACCTGCCATAAGCGCTTCGTTGTGCGGTGTATTGGCTTCATGGTCCCCTCAAGCCGGCCAAGCCTCTCGTCCAAGCCGGACAGAACAGCAGTGATTTTTGCTGAGTTCTCATTTGTCTTGCGCAGGTTGGCATTCAGGACCTCTAGCTCTGCGCGGTCCTCGTCGACAGCGAACGCGGCCATGCCTTGATGTGATGGTCTGCTGCGGTCTCTTTTTGTGTTTTGCTGGAACATGACGCAAAAGAAGAGAAACCAAGCAACCACACGACCAGACCATCCATTGGCGCGCAGGGCAGTATGCTCAAGTGGTTCAGGAAGGTAGGCAGAAGCCTGGTATAGGAAATAGCTGATCATCAAAAGGAGAACGATGCAAAGACACTGGAAAAGGAGCTAGCATCAATCGCATCCAAAATCACAGCGCATGAAACAACCCTTGCATCCCTCAGGGCGACTCACAGACGCTACAAGGGTGCGTTGACACTCTATCTCATCCTGTTCTACACCATTTATCTTGCCGGCTGGTTTCTGTTTATTGCGCGGCGCACGCCCAAGGACTTGCGCTGGCTAGGAGAGTCTGCACCTACCGTCGTAGGCCCCTTCATCATTGTAGGCTTGCGCTACGTCCTTTCCGCTTTCTACAATCGCCGAATTGCGAGTTACGAGGCCATGCTTGTTGAACAACGCTCTTTGCAGCATGAAAAGATTGAGGCCTTCAAGACACGCACTGATTTCTACTCGACCAAGTCACTCATCGATCGCTATTCTGGCAGCGAGTCACCCAAGTCAGAGGCGACCACACCGTCCAAGAGTCAGGTTCAGCCAAAAAAGGCTACAGGATCTCCTCCTCAAAGTGCTCAAGGGAAGCAAGGGAAGACACAGCAGCCAATTGGCATTGCTCCAGCATTGGCGACCCCTCCCTCCCTCCAGGGTACGGTCCCCACGCCTCCCCATCTCTCAGGTATCAAACAAACGCCTAGATCTTCCTTGACTGCTGCTCAGCAATCGACAAGCCCAGTTGAAGCACGCCACGCTGTCCAAGACTTGCGTGCCATTCCAGCGCCTCATCATTGGTATGACCGTATTCTGGACGTGGTCATTGGAGAGGACGAATCAGCTGCTTCTAGTCGGTATCAGCTCGAACAGCGACTTCTCAAAAAGGAAGAAGAGGTTCGGCGGTTGGAGGTTGAAATGATGAAGATGCAACAAGCCCTTCAAGAACGTGAGGGCAACGAGGCGACGACAAGGACCCTGCCTGAACAAGAGCAAGGCTCAACGGCGCGCGAGGAGAGCGGCAAGGCAGAAACACGCGCTCGACGTACGAGTCGTCGACTCAAGTCCAAGTCAACGGTGCAAGAGGATGCTTCTGACGATGATGATGAAGACTAGGGAGTTCTAATGATTAAGCATAGCGATAGCACAATTTTTCTACGCTACAATGACTTCTGCCCCTTTAGTTTTGTCCTTCTCTAAGCTGTTCCAGTCCTGCGATGGACGTCGGCGCATCCTTGACCGTTTGCGCAGCCTCAGTCGCTGGCTCGTCAGGACGTGCTCCTTCCATCTTGACACAAGATGCTGCAGGAGCATGTGAGACAACGGCAGGGGACGAGCTAGGCCGCTGATTAGTATCAGCAACCAAAAGCGACATGTCCACTTGAACCGGCATCGACCCGCGCATACCGCCAACCCGACCAGCGGGCAACGAATCGATCATGTCTGGTGTTGGAGGTAGGTCCAAACTCTGTTTACTGACTTGTGGCGCTGTCGTCGTCGATGAACCTTCAACAGTCGTACTGTTTGCTGAAGTACCCGTAAAGGCACGTTGCCAGCGAGACTTGAAGCCACTCAAGTATGTTTTTGCAACTTGAATTTCCTGTGTTGGCATTTGCAACAACGGCGGGGGTGCATTGTCTGCTGCCTTCTCAGTCAGGGAGCCCTCTTTCAACTCGGGTGGAGCTGAAGCCGTTGCTGCAGTTCTGCGTTGCAACGCTTCCATATTTTCTTGCCAAAACTTGCCAACTTTGACACTGCCATGCGCCAGAGTTGATTTGATGGCCTGTCGCGTCTGTGCTGTACGCTCGTCCAACTTGAGCTCTCCTACGGCAGTCACAAGGCGTTGCTGCACATCCGCCAATGTCAAGTCGCGTTCAAGTACAGGATGCCTTGGTTCAGCAATATCGAAGCATTCGTCATCGCAAGCCGTTGACCATAAGCGATAATTTTCCGTCTTGCGCCAGTGCTCGAGAAAGAGGGTCCCATAATCCTTGAGCTGAATTTCATGCTCAATATCCAGCAATGCTTCAGGACTAGGCGATCGTGCTCCATCGTTCGGTTTATTGCGACGTTGTGTATAAGTGTTGTACTTGTCAACTGCACAGAGGGCAAAGATGTATCGTTCAAACAAGTTCCGAATATCTTCCTCACTCCCTGAAAAGGTGCGCGTAGAAGGCATGTCTGGGAAGCTCGGGTCCCACGCCTCCTCAACAAGCTGTACCACTGCATCTGCCCATTTTCGATCGGCACCAGACAAGGCGAGCGCAGGGCGTAGTGTCGGGTCCAGTAACTCAATTGTCTTCGTATCTACATTGATGAGGACGTCGCAATGCCGCTCTTTCGCATGCAGAAAGAGGCTGTTGGATGATCCAATCATATAGGAGCGCGTGTCGGGATCTTCAAGCAAGTCCACTTGTTGTAAAGGCGTATAGGGCCCGAAGAAAGCGCCTTTGCTGAAAGGCTGTAGTGGCATGCCCATGTATCGCAACATACTCTTACGATCACTTGAACGCACTGTTTCGTGCTTGCGCTGTCGTGTGCCATCTTCAGGCTCCGACAAGCTTGGATCTCCGCAGTATTTGAGGTTTTCGAGTAAACCAGGGACGAGCGATAACACGGAGTATTGCACTGTACAAAGCTGCTCGATATTGGTGCCAAAGTATAAGATGCGTCGTTCAAGCAGGAGCGCTTTGAGCATGACGAGCACTTTCCATTTGAAATCATGAATGAGCTGTCGGACAGGCATACCAGTGTACAATGCATCTTCATCTGCATGACCCGCTTTCAGCCGCGCGACAAGGGAATCGTAAAAGCCGCGCAAAATCTCGCAATCGTCAAAGTCGCGCTGAGCGAAGAATGCCCGAGTCACTGCGCCCAGCTTGTCCTTGATGTGTGAAAAGACGTGCGGCGTCGATGTCAATACAACAATCGCCTTTTGTATTGTACTGCGCGTGACATCTTCCTTCTTACGAAGGAGTGTGTCTGATTTGAGTTGACGGTTACAGGAGATGCCAAATGCTGTTGGTATATCCGCATCACCCGTGATGACAGTGAAGTAGGAGTAATCCTCATCATGCAGATGCGAGCCATCTGGCAAAGCCTGGAAGCTGAGGATATCCCAAGACTTGGGCCGATCGGCGTCCTCGACTTGTGGGAAGCAGTACTCGATTTCGGGCCCGCGGGCATGGTGGAAGTCCACAACGAGGACGTTGAGAATAGGCGATGCTGCCATAGAGACTAAGCTTGCTACGCGAATGCGAATGACATGCCGGCCAAGATGTCGTACCGATGAAGCGCCGCCCGAGAGAGGTTGACTCGGTGCAAGTGGCAGGCGACATAGTCGAGCTGGACGGAACAGTCACATTTATGCTATGGGAAACAGGCTACTTCCACTTTGTGCTTGTCGAGTTCTTTGGCAACGGTTTCGTGTAGGGAAGGAATGTCTTGCCTCCCATGTACGGCCGCAGCACTTCTGGCACAATCACGCCGTCTGGTGTTTGGTAATTCTCAAGGATGCAGCACAATGCACGCTCTGTAGCGCACAGCGTTGAGTTGAGACAGTGCACGTACTTCTTCTCTCGCTCACCTTGCTTCTTTGCACCGAATCGGATTTCCAATCGGCGAGACTGGTAGTCGGTACAATTTGAGCAAGACACAAGCTCCTTGTACTCGCCCTGGAAGGGGAACCATGCTTCGAGATCATACTTTTTCGCTGCGGCATTGTTGAGTGCACCAGAGACGATAGCAACCACGCGATACGGCAGCTTGAGAGATTGGTAAAAGGCCTCACTGTGTCCAATCATCTCATCGAACATCTCCCAGGACTTGTCGGGTGCCGTCAGCACGAATTGTTCAATCTTTTCAAACGTGTGGACACGGAAGATGCCCCAAGCGTCTTTTCCATGAGAGCCTGCTTCGCGGCGGTAGCAAGACGAGAAGCCAGCGTATTTGATGGGTAGTGCGCTCGTGGTGTCCATCCATTCGTTAGAGTGAAATGCAGAGATGGGCTGCTCAGACGTGGCAATCAGATATTTTTCATCGTCGCCATCAACCACTTTATACAACTCCTCATCGAACTGCTCGAGCTGAGCAGTCTTGGCCATGACATCCTTGTTCATCATCTGAGGTGTTTGTAGTGCAATGTAGCCACGGTCAGACAAGAAGTGTAGACCGTAGTTGATGAGTGCCTGGTTGAGGAAGACGCCATACTGACGCAGGAAATATCCTCTGTGTCCCACAACCTTGACGCCACGTTCTGGATCGTAGCCATCAATACGCACAAGGACTTCGTGATGCGACAGGCAGGTCTTCTTCTCCACCGTGATATCAATGGACTTGGTCACCTTGTCCTCGCCCGCCTGCGTTTCTACCTCAATGTGGGAGTCTTGCGGTGCATAGGTACGCACAATCTCATTGTTCTCCTCATCATTGCTGATCGGCACACTGTCGTGGACCAAATTGCCAATAGTGACGGCTTTACGCCTGAGTGCTTTATCCCGTGCAGCTTCATCTGCAATCAGCTGCGCCTTACGCACTTCGAACTCTTGCTTCTTGGTGAGTAACGCGCTTGCATCTTCCTTTGCACGCATCTTGAGGCCGATTTCCTTTTGGTTCTTGTTCATATCTTCGTTGAGCCGGTCGAGCTCAAATCGTACAGCCAGCCATTCCTTCTGCAGAGCTAGGTGTATGTCAGCTTTGCGGTCTCTAGGTAAGGAGAGGAGGGGCGCCTACCAATGACTTCGTCAACGGCTTCTTCAGGCGCATGTCGACGTCGCTGAGACTCGCGAATGAGTTCTGGGTTGCCTCCCTTGTCCTCCAGGAAGCTGTTGAGATCCAACTAGAAGACTATTAGCCCCTCTGACTCTGTAGCAACCATCCTGTCCCTACCATTGCCTCTGTGTGTGTCTGGTTCCTCTGCTTGCTGTTCGCGCGACTTTTTGTGCAGTTGCCAAGTGGACGGCGCAATCGACGAATCAGACCAAGATACAGAGCAGACTAACAAGACTCAGTGCTCAGACCCCAGCGACAAGGAGCAACACAGAAGGGATGGCAGGTCCACGCTCAACGCCAGGTGAATTCCACTTCCACGTAAGCAAGCTATTGAGAGAAAACCTTGAGCCTTGTTCAGCTGACCTTTACTTTCAGCCGCCCGGTCGATTCTACAGGTACTCAGCAACCATTCTCGGCGCGAGCATGTGGTTCTGGATGCTGTATCGCGCAAAGCAAGATGGTCCTGTGTTGCTTGGTTGGAGGCATCCGTGGGAGGGACATGGACACGGTCATGGACATGGCGAAGAAGGCGAGAAGCACTAGATTTGCACAAGCAAAACAACCAACGAATCTCTCATGCCCATGTACAAAAGATCCTCATCATTTTCATACAAACGACTTTTGTTTGGAGCCGTGCTATATTCCGTTGCTACCCAGTGTCGCTGACTTGCGATGCGCCAGGAACTCCGGCGTCAAGATTGAGCCATGGCCAGTGGAGCTCACTTGCACAACCTCAACAAAGCCAAGTGTAGGAGCAGCACCACGTTGTGGTTGTGATCTACCCGCATACTTGATCCGCCAAAGTCCCTCTGCATGACCACTCAAATTTTCCTTGATAAAGGCAAGCAGTGCAGCTGCTAAATTGATGCAGACATTGCCATCCCATGCATTGGTACCTTGCCGTACCATACCCGGTATCTTGAGTGTTTCGAGCTCTTCCTCTTGCTGTAGATAGCCTTCATCGTCGCGATACCCGACGATGATGCGTGGTACACCCAAAAGGAAGCTTTGTGCCCAAAACTTGAGAAGTTTGAATCGCTCAAATGACTCTTTGTCTCTTCGTGATTGTTGCACTTTGGTCGTCTTGAGCTCAACGTAGTGGGAGACGATAGACTCTGGCTTCAATGGTGTTTGTGGTTTCTTGCGCAGCCCTTCAATGTCATCTGGACTCGCTGCCTGTAAGTCTGGATCGGGGACGGGCTTGTAGTCGTAGACACAATCCACCTCGCCACCCAGTAGCAAGGAACATTGTCCGAGTCGTGTTCTTACAATTGACACATATTGTACATTGGTATTGACCTGGACCTTGTCTCTACTCTCAATCTCAGCACGAGAACATGCATCGTATGGCTTGGAAAGCGTTGCAAGGGCTGTTCGTCGGTCAGTAGTTTCTGTGAATGTGATTGAACATACCTTCGTACTTGTATCCCCAATAGCTCATAAGACGCTGCCGTGCATCTCCCTCGCGCTTCTTCTTCTCCAATCGACTCTCATCTGTAATGTGCTCTTCAATGTAGATTGTCCCGTCCAGGACTGTAGCATTCATTTCAAAGGCATCATTAGAGAAGCCAATCGTGAGCAACTTGGTCAGCATGCCGCGCCAAGTGACAAAATCAACTTGTTGACTTTTTGCAAGTCCCACAGAGTCCTGCGTTATACTGCAACGTTGCTCGTAGTGTATCAAGCCAGACAGCAGACCATCAATGTGTTCATCAATTGATTCATCCCTAGAAACAAGCTGCTCGAAGCCCGTTGACAGACTTGCTGGGAGATTAGAAGCAGGTTGGTAGTATGCTAAGCTTCGGTCATCGTGGTGAAGCCGCCGTTCATGGTCATAGGAGAAGCTCGTGAGCTCGACAGGTTCTGTTCAAAAGTCAGCACACAAGTTTATGAGCAAGTCTGAGCAGCAGTACGTCTCGAGAGCGATGGAACTGCGAATCTTTGGAGCGAACCTAGCTCGAATCTCGCCTCTGGCATACAGAGATGCGCAAGACAGCTGGTTTATACTTGGGTTGCAACGGGTCAGTTTGGATGCATGCGCCTAATTTGCATCATTTGAGACTGACCATAACAAACTCGCATCTGTAGAAGTCCCATCAGTGAAGCTTCCTCTACAAGCTGTATATCTACGTGTCTCTATCTCTCTGTCTGATTAAACTGTCGATTAAGCCACTGAGCACAGCTCCTTTCAACCTAGTCAAACAAGACACGATCGATATGCCTCAACGCTCGCTCTCAAACACATCAGACGCGTCCCTCGCTAGTATGCACAGCCATGCTCCTGCTATTGCACCAATCGCTCCTGCTGGTCGTTCGCGTGTCCGTCGTCAACCAAGTCGCTCCGCGTTGTCCGCCTCACAACCTCAGCTCTCCTCCTTCTCCATTTCTGGAGGCATGGCAGAGACACGCGATGCGATGGGTGGTTGTGATCCGCTTGTGGTTAATCTCAAACAAGCTATACAAGTATGGGATGGCTTGAAAATACCACAAGCAAGTCCTGCAACCGGTACAACAGCTGAGCCTGTCGGTGGGATCTCCATTGAGGAAGAGACAGCTATGCGGGAAAGTGAGGAGATTCGTCGGATGCTGTCACAGTACAGACATGACCAGCAACAACAGCAACAAGCATACCGTGCTTCACACAGATCCGGTGCATCACGGCAAGGGAACGCTGGGAAGGATTTGTTTGATGATTCAGATTGGGATAATTTGACTGTTGCAGGGATGGTGCGCGGTGTGATGCTTGATCGATCACGGCGGGAACTTGAGCGTGATGCTTGGATCTTTGAGTAAGCGCCTCACTGCCTGCTGCAACCCTGCCTGGCATACACTGCCATACAGTAGAAGGATGAGTCAGCTACGGTTTCAGGGTTAGGGAGAGTGCGTTGCTGGAGGATTCGATGGCTGGACCAAGTTTAGATGCGAAGAGGGGACTGCTGTGTCGAGCTGTATCCTGGCGATGAAGGGAGATGGAGAAGGGAGGATCAGGTCATATGGCCTTTGTGTAGTGTAGCATAGCACCAGCTGGAGCAGAAGAGAGTCCGTCCTGATCATCTATACGGGGGCCAAGTCATCCCATCGTAGTCTCGCCAGTTGCCACCCCAGCAAGAGACCCTTTCCCTCTTCTTGCTTCCTTGTGTGAGCTCAGTCAGCAGCATCCTAGAGACACAGCCTGCAGCAGAGGTAGCCTGCACAGTCCAGAGACAGGGAGAACTTGCTCGCAACAAAGGAAGACAGAGTTCCCGTCGTCATCCGCACCTGCAACCAGCTCCCTCCCCTTCCTCCATCTCTCCATCCATCCATCCAGCATCATCCATTCAGCAATCAGCATCCTCCTCGAAGGCAAAAGCACATTAGAGCAGGCGCCTTTCATTGCTTCCTAAAGCGACAAAGCCATCAGGAGTCTCTCTCCCCCTAAACACACGCCAAGCAGAGCAGCAACACGCAGCAAAGAAGCATGACTGTCGAACTCATCCGAGAAGAGCCAGAGTCATCCACTCCAGGCGACATACACCCATCCACGCCATCGACCATCCAGCAAGCAGACTATTTCACCCAACCCACCTCCAACAACGGCCTTCAAAAGCCATCGCGCGCATTCTTCAGTCGAGGCGCAACACGCAACGACGCACAACAGTCAGAGGCTACGAGTACTGGCATGATGACGCCCGGTGGAGGAGCAGGTGTGGCCTTGTCACCAACAGAGTCACTCAATCAAACAACCCTGCATTCCGGTACAGCGACACCATTAGAAGGCATCACGCCACAAACCACTCTCAACGGGAATGCGTCTCATACCGGTGGCGACAAGTCTGCAACAGCTGCACATGCCGTCAGGCCAGTTCCAGAAAGCAGAGAATCCAGTACGAAAAAGGCAATGGGCCGATTGCAACGCATGTTTTCACAAAGCGGTAAAAAAGAATCTCTACAAGCAACAAAAATCAAGGAAGAAGCAGGCATCCCTACTTCTGCCAATGGCGCAGGAACGCCGGTTGGTGGTGGACAAACGGGTCATGCTTCAGAGACAAGTGGTGCAGCCACACCGGAAGATTTGTACAGCACCACCACCAACCCTGTCCTACGGGAGAAGCTCGCACATATGTCTGATACGGAGAAGTGGACACATATGCGATTCCAGTACAACCAAGAAGATGGCACGCATACACATCATCTCAAACGCGCCAAGCGTGAAGAAAAATTGCGGAATATGCTCAAGGACTTGTTGGGTGGAAAGGCAAAGCGGGAAGAGGAAGAGCGAAAGCAGGAAGAGGATGAAAATAAGGCACTCTCCCTTGTGACTTCCTGGATCGATCAAGTGCATATGGAGAATGCATCTGAAATGGCCAAAGTCAAAGATGGACCTCAATCACAAAACTTGGTGGAGAAGTATGGTCGCTGCCATGAGGTCATCGGTCGCGGTGCGTTCGGTATTGTACGTGTCAGCCACAAGCAAGACGCAAGCGATCCACACAAAGAATCCCTCTACGCCGTCAAGGAATTTCGCCGGAAGCCTAATGAGAATGACAAAAAGTACACAAAACGGCTCACCTCTGAGTTTTGCATTTCATCAAGCCTTCGGCACCCGAATGTCATTCACACCCTCGATCTGTTACAAGATGCCAAGGGCGACTACTGCGAAGTCATGGAGTTTTGCGCAGGTGGTGATCTCTATTCACTTATTCTGGCAGCAGGCAAGCTTGATATGCACGAAGCGGACTGTTACTTCAAGCAGCTCATGCGTGGTGTCAGCTACCTTCATGAAATGGGTGTCGCTCACCGCGATCTCAAGCCTGAAAACTTGCTCCTCACACCGTCCGGTAACTTGAAAATCGCCGATTTCGGTAATGGTGAGTGTTTCCGCATGGCATGGGAGAAGGAAGCCCATTTGACTGCGGGACTATGTGGATCAGCGCCGTACATTGCACCGGAAGAGTACACAGAGCGTGAATTCTCACCTGCAAGTGTCGATGTTTGGGCATGTGGTGTAATTTACATGGCAATGCGAACTGGTCGGCACTTATGGCGTGTTGCAAAGAAGGATGAAGATGAGTTTTTTTCGCGCTACCTCGAAGGTCGCAAGTTGGAAGGTGGCTATGAGCCTATTGAAGCGCTGGCTCGTGCACGCTGCAGGAATGTCATTTACTCCATCTTGGAGCCTTCGCCACGACGACGTTTGACGGCACAGCAAGTGCTTGATTCAGAGTGGGTGCGCGACATTTACGTCTGCAAGTCTGGTGATATTGGGTTGACTTCAAGTGATCAAGCGCGGCTCAAGGAACTCAACAAGGCGGCATTGAAGCAGCTTGCCGTTAAATGAGAGGTCATGGGGATTGTTACTGTTATCTTTGCCTATCTTACTCGAGCGAGCCTTGTTAGTCGAACATGTTTGTTTTGTAAAATTGTGTCACTCTTTCTCATTATGAATGCCGCCTAGTCCTACCTTCCTAGTAATGCAATCTTCTAAACCTCCCTAAATCGATGCCGTCTTAAACCTCCTCAACAGCTGCAGACACAGCACGCAAACTGTGCGTCGGCCCAGGAAGCGCCGCCCCAGCTTCAGTAGCATTTTTCGCCTCCTCATCCTCATCTTCGCGAGATCGGGCTACACTTCCACGAACAGATGGCTCAGCCGATTGACGATTGTGCTGGCGAGTTGCACGTACCTTGCCAGGTTCAGGCTCGATGGGGATCACCAGTGACTTCCATGGTTGATTGCGTGGTTCAGTCACGAGCTCATAGCGTCGAAACATACCAGAACCCTTGAGCACGGAACCCGAAGACTTCTTGACCTCCCCTGAGGGCTCCTGTGCTGTCGGCGCCGTAGATGCAGGCCGGCTCGATTGGTTCACTGAGCTGTCTCTTGGTGCCCTGGGACCATTCGCGTGAGCTTGCTTGTTGCCATTTGCTGGTTCAGGCTCATCGTCCTCCGACTCGTCACTGTCCTCTGCGCCATCCTCATCATCGCTAGCACCTTCCTGTGGTTCTGAACCACGCCACGAAGCATCTGCAGGTTCCTCAGCTGCTGAACTGCGAGAATCATCCTCGTCGCTCTCTTCATCAATGAATTGAGCAGCCAGTGCTTCGCGATCCAAATCATTCACATCCACTTCATTGCCAGACGACGTCAAATATTCGCGAACAGAAATGTCTTGGCCACGGACATTGGATTCCTGCACTCCTTGGCCCTCGGGAGAAATTCGGCCGGAGTAATGAGCGCTCTCCTTGTACAAAGCTTGTGAATCATCATCCTCCTGTGTACGTGCTCGCTTGGCGGATGCGGCATGCATCCTTCCAGATCCCTTCGGACGACCTCGACCTCGTTTCACGGGCTTTGCACGTTTCTTTTTTGATGCACTCTTGGGCTCTTCAAGAGGTGGTAGACCAGCTTCAGCACGTTCTGCGTTTTCTTTTGCTAGTGCAGCACGAAGCGCCAATGTTTTGGGGCCAGGTGGTCTGCCTCGTGGTCGTCTGAGTGACTCGTCCTGTGAAGCATCAGCCGGTGCACCTGAAGCTACATCACTGCCAGCAGTAGCCTCAGCCTCAGCAAGAGCAGCGGCCTTCTTCCAACCAGGTTTGGGTCCAGGCTTGGCTCGTTGTTTTGGAGCGGGTGTTTCATCACCCCCTTCTTCAATGTTGTTTGAATCAACGAGTCGAATGCGACGAATCCCTTGTATTGACGTACTTGATTGAGCCTCTCCAGACACACCTGATCGAGCTTGTTGAGCAAGTGCATCCGAATGAGCCCGCTCAGCTTCAGCGGCAGCTTGTGCCTGCTTCCAACCTTTCACAGGACCACGCTTCTTCTTGGCATGCGTGACGACCGGAGAATGAGCTGCCTCTTGCACAGTATCTGTTGTCTGCCGGAATTCTTCTGGACGAATCTTGCGAGGTCGTCCAGGTCCACGTTTGACAGAAGCCGGTGTCGCGGTCTCAGCAGTAACAGTCTGACGAAGTGGTGCAATGAGCTGTGAAGGTACCACAGGTGACAAATTGTCATCGCCTTCGGCAATATCGAATGGCTGTAAATGCGATGCTTGACTTGGCCCCAGACGAGCCTTTTTGGGCGACACGTGTTGACTGCTTGGATCGGCCACACTACGTTGTCGTTTGTGGCCTCCCTTCGCCGACACAGCGACAATTTCGATTCGATCGAGCCAGTCGCCACGCGAGGGACCCTTCGTCAACAGACCGCGAGCTTCCTGTTCAGTCATGCCGTCGATTGTCAACTCGCCTTCATCTTGCTCAACATAAATCTCCTTGCGCTTGATTGAGAGATGCTTATTCGCGAGAGGTGGTGCGCGCAATAATTGCTCATCTGCCGTTTGCAATGGCCAAAGAGTCTCACTTGGCACAATCTCGTAGGGGTACTGAAAGGTCATATGCCACGTTGCAGCAGAGAAACGATCATTGACGAGTGCGAGAAAGTCGACATTGGGCTGTTTTGATGCACGATAGACCACACTGCTCAACACAGCTGCGGCATGCTCACAGGGAATACCACGTTGCTGCCACTGACCACAATCACACTTGTGCTCCTCCCAAAAGACACGACGAACTTGACCAGTTGCATGCGTGCAAGTAAAGAGTGTTTCAGACATATTGGCCAGCACAGACCATCCACTTCGCTTGCTGCTACTTTCGATAGCACGGTTAGTGGCGCGCTCCGTGCATCGCTTGCCTGCATCTTTGCGTTGTGTAGCAGCGATACGCTGAAGGCTAAGTGTCTCGGCAGTCTTGAATTGCAGTACTTGCAGCAATCGATACGCTGGCAAATCGTGCTTGTCTTGGATCCACATAAAGATATCTTGAGCGACACTAAGATTGTAGACACCAAGTCGCTCATTGTTTGGCATATTGAGATCAACCCAGCGATCAATACTGAGCATTTCCAGCTGGTCTGTGACCGAGGGAGACGCCTTTTGTAGTTCTTGCCAAGCGCGTGCGAACTCGCACTCATTGGTGGCCATTGCAGCTCTGGTGAAGAGTCGCTGATCGCGCGGAATAATCAAACCTACATGAAGCTTGATGCTGTCAAAGCAATAGGCTGCGTAAGCGTCGGGGAAGCAGGCAGTGACAATATCGGCAAGAACTTCATCCACCTCGAGCATAAAAGTGAGCTGCCCGAGCGGTGCCTCAAGCGTAGAAAGTGATGCTTTGAGCAGCTCCAAGAACCATTTCCAGGTGTTGTCGATGCACTGCTGCGAAACTGCCCAGGCAAGAGGGAGGACGTGGTCATTTGCGTCCACCATGGAAGCCACGAGAAGATGACCATTGCGAGGCCCTTGGAGTGGAATCGATTGCAAGCAAATCAGTCGACGACAGTGCTTGAATGCTTCTGCGAGACAATGCAGCGAAACAAAGATGCGTGAAAATTCGAAGTCATCTTCGGCATCCTTAACGCAGACTTGGGCCACAGATCCAGGATTGCTGAGCACAAGCTGGCGACAGTATTCTGGGAGCAATGCATACGTAGCAGCAGTCTCGTCCTCCAGCTCTCCTTCGGCTTTGAGAGAAGCATCCGTTTGACGAATCATCTTGCTGCATTGGAAAATCCGATGAATTGGCACGGCAACCTTAGCAGTTTGTTCGACGTACTGCTGCATTTGCTTGCCTGTTATGTTCGGCATTTCTTCCTTGAGCTTTTTGATGATAGGCCGCAGCCAGGCAATAGAGCCAGGCGCTGGTCCCTCATCGGTTTGATTCTGGGTAGCAGCAACCATATCAGGCACAGTACCGACAGCCGGCGGAGTGTCAGTAGCTACTGGAGGAGCAGGTTCAGGAGCTGAGATGGCTGAAGCTGGGATAGCTGAAGCAATAGCAGAAGGAGCAGTGACCGGCTCAGAAGACATCTCAACATCGGCAGGCCCTTCAAACGACTCATCGGCAGCATCTCCGCCAATGTCGGCTGCCGCTTCCCCTTCCTCATCAGCAGAGAGACTGTGTGCAGCAGAAATGTTGCTTGCACGCCTGTCTGGATACTCGTCTGGGTAGAACAAGTACATTTTGCGATTTGCGTGAAAGACGCGCTGCAAAGGCACATCAACTTTCTCATTCTCGATAATCCAATGCTGAATTTCCCTGGCCGTCATCTTGGGTCTGTCGACCTTGAGACGTTTGATGATGGCACCAATCCAGCGTAGACATCCGACCTTGTGTTTGTATGCTCTGGGTCCGCGAGTGGTTGTTGTAGCAGAACTCGTCTCAGTCGCCTGGTCCAATACAGGGGCCGCGGTCGGTGCTACCTGCGCACGCGCGACAGTGACTGGTGTGAAGCCAGTTGTTGAGCTATTGTTCGCGACTTCCTTCGAGGCGGCAGCGACGACAGGAGATGTCGCATGTCCACAAACATGGTCCGCAATGCTCGACATTTTTGTGATGATTGCGCTTGGTGAATTCTTGTCAATCAATTGTCCGCATATTTCCCATGGACAGGCGTTGACTGCATGCTGTTGGCACGATACCCGATACCTGTCGGGGTCTGAGGTGTGCCTATGATTTTGGTTAGCTCGGAGTTTGATAGTCAGGGATTCTTGTGTGGTTACTTTTTCACGGTAAAGTCATGCGTTGCGACATATTGATCAACAGCCTTGATCAGGTCTGTGAGGGTCGAGAAAATCTGCGTTGTGTGGAGGGGGACGCCCTGGACGACGCTGCTGGCCTGCGCTGTATCCGCCATGAATATGAAAAGGTGATTTGAAGTGTTGGTATTGGGAAACGGAAGAAAGGCGAGGAGAAGTCTGGCAAATTATTAGTCAACCCTCGGGCGCGCCCCCAACTGAAGGGGCACTTGGGCCGCAGCTGGCCAAACACAAAGAAACAAGCTGCAACACACACGCGGCCTGTGCTCTGCTCAAACAGCTGACTACTCTTGTTGCATTTAGCCGCTCGCTCAAATTTCACCTCGTTTGATATGGAAATCAGAGTCAAAGGGAGTCTATTTGTGCCTGGCTCGCGGGCAAAGTCGATTAAGCAACGTGTCAAAATGTGCTCGCCTTTGCACGCGCAAATTCATCTCACTTGGCACGGTCGAGTGCCTGACCAATTTTCCTAGGCTCTGCCAGTCTCTTCTCGCCTAGTGGGTAGACCTCGCTTTATAATGAAGGCTCTCAGTTATGCTAAGGAAGCACCTCACCCTTTACTAGATATCCTAGTCGCATGGGCACTCATCCGAGCTATTTTAGGAGACCAAAAGGAAGCAGCTTGGTTCTACATATCTTACATGCTTACAAGCTTGTAAGTGATGTTGGTACACCGCCTTTATGAGTAGAATCCAGCCTATCAAGCGAACACACATTCAGAGAGTTCTTCTCCTTCAGCTTGCAAATGTGATCTGTCCACGAATTCGAATTCAGAATCTCGGCTATCTCAAAAGCTGCACAGCCCGCACCCGATGATTTCATTGCGATGCGACAAACTACAAGCAAACACCAGCCCTTATTGAGCATTGAAGCAGCCGGGTGCAGCGCACAGTCATGACTATGCGGCATTCGGAGGAGGAAGAGCAAGTTGGGTTGCTTCGGCCGGATGGCAGTGCGAATGAGCCAATCTCACCAGCGCCTCGCACGAGTGACGCCCAGCAACCTGTACCACGCCGGCATTCAATGTTCACAGAGGAGCTTGCTTCTGAAGCAGATTCTCGAGCCTCCCTTTCCAGCGACTTCATTGGTTATCATCACAATTATCCCGGTAATGTCGTCGTTCGTGTTTGCCAGCGCTTTTATGGCTTTCTTCAGGGGCCCAAGGTTCCGATTGCACCTGGTAATCGCCCATATTTTGCAGAGGCACAAAAAGGACTGGCAAATCTCCTTGCACATCGTTCTGGTACCTTTAGACGTTTATTTTGGGTAGGCTTTTACGCTTTGTGGTCAATCACTTTGCTATCCCTCATCTATCGGTCATCGTTTGCAGCAACATCGCTCCGACCCGCTGGTGAAGACAAAGATGCTCGGCCACCACAGTTCCTACGCTGCACGACTACACTGTGGGCGCGAAAGAATGGTTGTGGCTTGGACGGCACCGACTGCGAGCCATTCAGTGACACCTCTTTTGAGTTTCGGTGCCCAGCTGGATGCAACGGCGAGTTTCTGCTGAACCCTTATACCATTGGCAACAAGCAGGTGGTAGGCAAGCCGCTCGTCATCGGTGGGCCTGTCGTCAATTTGCCACCCACGTCTGCTACAGGCGTTGTCCTTGACGAGCATATCTACAGGGCAGACTCAATGATTTGCGCAAGTGCCTTGCATGCAGGGATCATCAGCAACACGCTTGGTGGCTGCGGCACACTTGTCACGCTTGGCACTCAGGGATCCTTTACGAATTCAACTCAAAATGGCATCGTTTCTGAGCCCTTTGACAGTTCTTTTCCGAAATCATTTGCCTTTGCTAAGCAAGAAGGAGCTGGTGCAACACGAGCTGGATGCGTTGATCTGCGTTGGATCATCACAACCATTCACATTTTCTTCACTGTGGTGTTCACGCTCTTCCAAGAATCAGCTGCCGTGTTCTACTGGGTCTTGTTTGTTGCTGCATTCTGGCAAGTCGCTCTTGTTTCGTCACCACCTCCATTGGCAAGCTATGATTTGCTTTCACAAGGCGCAGGCGCATTTTTGCCTGCTCTGTTTGTTGCATATGCTACGTGGCGCTCAGCGGCAAGACACACGCTCGCTGCTCCGACATGGCCATTTGATAGGCTATGCTGGCTAGGTGGGTTGTGGATCGGTATCCTCATGGACTACATCACTGCCAACGTTCCAGTCTCACGGCTCATTGCAAGTGACATCCGGCGAGATGGTGGTCTCTTCTGGGTATTAGGCATTGCTTCAGGGATCCTTGTCATTGTGCTCTGTCAGATGTACAAGCTACGACGACTCAAGCTGCTACCCTTCTATCTTGCCTGCTATCTTACGACAGGCTTGGTCTTTGGCTTGCTGGCAGCCTTGCCACATCTAACATTCCGCTTGCATCATTACATCTTTGCCATGCTCTTCCTGCCAGGTACTTGTATGCAAACACGTTGGGATATGCTGTACCAAGGCATATTGCTTGGCTTGTTTTGCGATGGTATTGGTAGATGGGGTTTCGATGCCATTATCGAGACGAGCGAGCATCTACGCAGTGACGCTGTCTTGCAGTCCTTGATTCCGACATTCCTCAACAATAGCACGACACACGATGTGTTGGCAGAGACGACGCGTGGTGTCTCAGCAGGAGTACTCAGGTGGAAGGCAGACGCACCTGCAAACTACGGCTACTCGCTCCTCATCAACGACGTGGAGCGGTTTCGTGGCACTGCTACGCAATTCAGCTTACAAGCGCTCAACATGACAGACAGCGCACCGTACTACGCACGACTAGCGTATGCATATGGGAGTGCAGCGCTCGACTACACAAAAGCAGCAGTGATGTTTGCGAATGGGACATTCACACGTCCTGATCCAGGTCGGACATGATGACTTACTTTCATAATGATATTACATGGTATAATGATATGTACAAGGAACGCCAGCGCTCCTCAGTTGTGTAGTGTTGGTCATGCCACCATGTGTGTTCACACAAATCGGACTACCGGTGTTCTCGTGGGTCGTGCGCTCGATTGCATGGTGATGAGACTTGTCCATTGAGGTGCTAATGCTCTTGTAGTACTGCGTATATCTCCATGAGTGTCTTGAGAACTGCGTGTCGTCTCATTTGTGCGAGTAGCTGTTGCAAGGATTGTCGTCGTGTTGAGCAGCAATGGGAGCGTCCAGTTGACGGAGGTTGCCAGTATCAGATTACCAGCTGATGCGTGCGTGATGTTTCTTGCAGGTATTTCTGAGCTAGTACTCTGAGCTGAGCCAGATCTTGTGCTTGTTGCATTGTAGTATAGACCTTGACCATCGCTCAAGCGCAAGAGAGACAGGGGTGTGCGTGAATTGATTGACAGAGCAATACTTGTACTGAGCGCCAGGCAGAAGAGAGTCAGGAGAATGGATGGTGACTGCATGCTCAGGGTTGTCTTTGGGGAGTGTCTGTGAGTGAATGGAGGAGTAGGTGTTGAGTAGCGATGTAGAGGATTGATCCCCTGAGGTAGCCACGGCATTTCGGAATTGCGGCCCATCTGACGAGGGAGTTCATCTTTTGAGCAGATCCCGGGGGCATGTTCATGAAGATTGACAATTCCAAACACTACATGCAGTCTTGTATGGAACAGCTCTATCTATAGGCAGAGATACCAGCAGAGATCGATTCAGTCTATGTCCTTTTGATCTTGGTTCATGAATATAATCTTTGCAGTCGTTCACTCTCAAATAGTCAATGCATCTACGACGTCTTGCTAGCATCACAGCAAATGCAGTACTTCCACATCTACATGACCGTCTGTACAGAACTTCACAATATCCATTGACTGAACGGGCTTGTTGTATACCCGCATCACCTACTCGGCGGTTGGTCCGCTCTAGAACCTATGGCCTATTTGTCGTCCTTGTCTCAAAGCGCAAATGATCCTCAACGGACACGGCCAGGCCGCACTCGGATGAAACAAGACAAATGAGTGTACCCCTAGGATGATCGCATTGCTACTGCATCAATGCTGCAAACACAAGCTCGAGTCTGCGGATGTGCCTCGTGGATTATGTTTACTAACAGACTAGCACAACACTGCTCATCCGCTAGCTAGCGAAATTCAGGGTGAGAATCAGGAGTTGCCTTTCTGTGATGCCCATGAAGGATATCTCATATCAGATCACGACAAATGATTCGGCACAAGGGTCTGCTGCTGGAAGAGGGCATCGCAGTGAACGACGTGTCGCTACAATGCAGCAGCGCATGTCAATTCCGGTGCATCTCCTGAGCATTGTTGTAGACAACGTCGTACTACGCCATGTGTGAGACCGTGTAAATGACGAGCAACAACAACTGATCCGCGACTGCTCCCACCCGATCTAGAGTGGTCTGGCCAAGGTTCTCTCAGCAAGATCCTCACGGCAGAGCATATGAAGAGCACGGCCCTGCTGCGGTAGTTGATTGCGGATATTTTCTCTTTGGCACAGTCAAGGTTTCAGCGAGGGCTGTGTGCGAGCATCACAGTTTAACGTTTCAAGAGCAGTGTCAGCGTCGGAGCTCCGCAGTATCAGCAGTATCAGCATCGCAGCAGCAGTAGCAGCAGGAGCAGGAGCAGTTGGGTGAGAGTCGCGAAAGAGAAGTGCTGCCCAGCCACTTTCTCGCTTCCTCCCGCTGATCCAACAAGCAACAGAAGCAGAAGCAGCCAGCAGCCTCTCCACTCGCTCAGCAACAACAACATCATCATTATCATTAGCCACCCACATCCACACGCACAATAGACACCAGGCAGCAGCAACACCCTCTGCTCTCTCTGCCTCCCAGCCGGCACCTCCTCGGGCCGATTTCCCCCTCAAAACGTCCCGGATTGGCAAACACAAACAAGGGCGCCCATCCCTATTGAGCTGCCTACCCACCCCACTCTACCAACGTCAGCAACCTCTCTAGCAAGCTCAACCGCTTCAAATCAGCTAGGCAACTCAGTCTGTGGCTTGGTTATTCTCGTTGACCTGAAGGCCCGGCTCATATCTCTATCGGCGACAGCACAGCAACGTCCGCCGCAACAGATTCATCTCGTACATCGACCCATTTTGCACCACCCGGCTTAGCAAGACCTGGGCCGGCTCACTGGTCCCTTCATAATCATTCAAAATGGGCTCATGCTTCAGTTCCGATGCAGGCGCACAAACGACAGAGAAGGCATCTGCTGCTATTGACAGACAAATCGAGGAAGACTCCAAGCGACTCAAGAAGGAATGCAAGATCCTACTCCTCGGCTCTGGCGAATCCGGCAAGACGACTATTGTCAAGCAGATGAAAATTATCCATCAAACAGGCTATTCACAAGACGAGCGAGTCATGTTTCGTGCAACTATCTTTAAAAATGTGCTAGACGGCGCCAAAGCGATTTGCGAAGCGCTAGAGAAGCTCGAAATTATACCTAGCAGTGTTTCAACGGCGGTATGCTCCAACCTGTACAGATGCGGGACTAACAAGCGCAGGAAGCGGCTGATAGAATACTGGCCTACTCACTAGACCAAGATCCAGGCGCAGCATTCGATCCAGAGTTGCAATCGGATATTCTACAACTATGGCATGATCCAAATATCGCCAACCTCATGCTGCGGCAAAGTGAATTTTACATGATGGACTCGGCACCGTATTTCTTTGCCGAGTTGGACAGGATAGCGCAACCGGACTACGTCCCCACCGAAGCAGATGTCTTGCGTGCGCGTACAAAGACGACCGGTATTTATGAGACCCGCTTCTCGATGGGCAACTTGAGCATACAGTAAGTCGGCCTTGATATACTCTGCAAAGCTAACGAATAGTATGTTTGATGTTGGCGGCCAACGGTCAGAGCGGAAAAAGTGGATTCACTGCTTCGAGGCGGTGACCTCGATCATCTTTTGTGTTGCACTGTCAGAGTACGATCAAGTCTTGCTGGAAGAATCCGGCCAGAATCGTATGACAGAGTCACTCGTTCTATTTGACAGCGTCATCAACAGTCGCTGGTTTGTGCGAACAAGCATCATCCTCTTCCTCAACAAGATTGACATTTTCAAAGCAAAATTACCGAAAGTACCGCTCGGTGACTGGTTCCCTGACTATCAGGGCGGTGCTGATGCCAACAAGGCTGCTAAGTATATCCTCTACCGATTCACTCAAGTCAATCGTGCAAAACTCAACATTTACCCACACCTGACGCAAGCAACCGATACCAGCAACATTCGGCTCGTGTTTGCAGCCGTCAAGGAGACCATCCTTCAGAATGCATTGAGAGACAGCGGCATTCTCTAGAACGAGCCACCTTGCGCTGAGCCGTGGCGATTGATGGTGGAGCTTTTGTACAGAGCTGCGATGTGTTTGATTTCATGATGTTAGAACTAGCGCACAGCAAAGAGCGCGTTGTGCAGAATAGCCCTTTTGGTTTGTCTATAATAATACATGCCTCTCGGAATCGTTGTGATTTGAACTCATGCGCCGCTACCGTTCAATGAGCTAAGCATCGAGCTCAAGCATGATGTGATCGCCGCCGTGGCTCTTTGAAGCCTCGCCATCCCCACTAGTCAACGGACGAGCCTGAGCATGTGGACAACATGTCACTAGAATGCCGGTTGTGAGGGGACATCCTTTCGAATACCCTTGCTCGTTCCATTCCGCGTCGGCTTGGATGCAGTAGCGCTAGCATTTCGGGTGATAGCAAGCAGCTTCGCCTCAAACACTTTGAGCAACCGTGTTTGAGATTCTTGATATCGGGCTTCCAACCTCGCTTCCATCTCTTCCAGCTGTACATTATATCGAGCGTCCAATCTGGCTTCCATCTCTTCCAGCTGTACATTAAATACACTTGACAAGCGGCCCTCGAATTGTTCCATATCAGCTTGGTTTTCTTGCTTTGCTCATACAAGATACTCGCCAGCCGTTCTTGCATCTGTTCAAGTTCCCTCTCAAGCCTCGCTATCCGCTGTCTAGCATGACTGACATGTGACGACTCGCTTTGACACGCGATCTTATTCCCAATTTCGACGTTGACATGACCATTCGGCAGTGCTTTTATTGCCAGAGGAGCATGTCCGTTGATGGCGACACCCTCCACCATTGAAAAGTCTGCATCTGGTGGAGACTGTGGATCTGTGAAGATACCAGAAGGTTTGGCCCGGTCCATCTTCTGCTGCTCATTGGGAATATCATGTTGGCTCGTAGGTGCCACAGAAGGCTTTGATAGGGCAGCAGCGGGGCGCTTAAGCGACTGAAAGGCTTGTGCATCATTCGAATCTGGCGTGTCCTTCCCTGATGATGCTACAGACTCGGCATCTTGTACATGCCTTCCCGGATGAGATCTCCCTGTGCCAGAAGATGATCCATTGACATGGCTTCCTAGCTCAACGTCCTCTGAGGTTGAGACATCTTGCGTGCCTGTGCGATATACAGAGGCATGAAACAGAGGAGGCTCCACGGCCTGCGCATCATGGCGCTGCTGCTCTGCCGTCGATGACGGAAGACCAGGAACGTCAATCGCCGGCGAAGCGTGCAAATTTGAAGAATCATCGCTTTGGATCGATGGCAAAGCGTTCGGCACTGTCATAGAAGATGCTGAAGATCCTGCTTGTGCATCCGCAGCATTAGGAGACAGATTGGAAAGCGCCTGCTTTGGCCGTGAAGTTTGGGTTCGCCTACTCCCCTGGCTAGAGTGACTTAGCCGACTTCGCGTTGCCTCTTTTGTGCGCCGATACTGAAGCTCCTCTAAACGTTCGGCATCACTACTCGGAAGCTGGCCTTGCCTTGCGCGCTCTTCAAGCTCTGCTAATTCTGCCGAGGCTTTATGCCGATCGATACCTTCTCGTACACTCAACATTCTTAGCACGATTTCGTTCAGCCCTTGCCCTCTCATTCTCAGCGATCTCTGCCTCCAGCCCGGTCTCACCTTTCTTTTGTGCTTCTCTGAGGCGAGTGAGACGTCGTCCAAGTGATATTGACTCCCATACTCTGCGATCGACCATTTAGCATGATAATGATCGTGTGAAGGGATGTTTGAGCGCTTCTATCTTCTCTGTGCGCGTCTATCACAGAACACGGCGCATGCTTACTACTATAAACAGCGCATCCAAGTTTCAACGTTAGGTGGCTTGGGTAGTCACGGACTCACGGCACAGCACAGGAGAGTAGTGTGGCGGATTATCAGATGGCAAAGGAAAAAGATATTTAGTCAACCTATCAAACTGTATCTGGATCAACCAGGCTGGATCCAAACTGACTTGACAAGGGGCTAAAATGCACTTCCTTACATGGACTGCTTGTACCAACACCTTCTTGTTGCAGCAAATAACATGCTCTTGTGCAAGCACGCCTTTCATCAGTCATTGATGTTCGTCTGTTGACAGTAGGAGTGTTCCTGGCACAGACATGGTGTACGATCGCCGCCGTGGCTCTTTGAAGCCTCGCCATCCCCACTAGTCAACGGACGAGCCTGAGCATGTGGACAACATGTCACTAGAATGCCGGTTGTGAGGGGACATCCTTTCGAATACCCTTGCTCGTTCCATTCCGCGTCGGCTTGGATGCAGTAGCGTTAGCATTTCGGGTGATAGCAAGCAGCTTCGCCTCAAATACTTTGAGCAACCGTGTTTGAGATTCTTCATATCGGGCTTCCAACCTCGCTTCCATCTCTTCCAGCCGTACATTAAATCGAGCGTCCAATCTGGCTTCGATCCCTTCCAGCTGTAGTTGATATGATCTTGACAAGCGGCCCTCGAGTTGCTCCATATCAGCTTGGTGTTTCTTGCTTTGCTCATACAAGATACCGGCCAGTCGTTCTTGCATCTGCCCAAGTTCATTCTCAAGCCTCGCCATCCGCGGTCCATCATAAATGGCATCAGATGACTCTTGTTGGCTCGTGTTCTTTCTTTCAGTCTGCAAGTCAACATGACCATTCGGCAGTGCTGCTGATGCCTGAGGAGCATGTCCGTTGATGGTGACACCCTCCATAATCGATAAATGTGCATCTGGTGGAGACTGTAGGCCTGTGAAACGACCAGAAGGTTTCGCCCTCTCCATCTTTTGCCTCTTGTTGGGAGGAGCACGTTGGCTCGCAAATGCCACAGAAGGCTTTAATAGGGCAGTAGCGGGGCGCTTGAGCGACTGAGATGCTTGTGCATCATTTGAGTTTGGTGTGTCCCTCCCTGATGATGCTACAGGCTGGGCATCTTGTACATGCCTTCCAGGATACGATTTTTCTGTGCCGATAGATGACACATTGACATGACTCCCTAGCCCAACAGCCACCGAGCTTGAGACATGTTGCGTGCCTGTGCAATATGCAGAGGCATGAGACAGAGGAGGCTCCACAGCCTGCGCATCGTGGCGCTGCTGCTCTGCCGTCGAAGAGGCGAGAGGAAGAGCGTCAATCGCCGGCGAAGCGTGGAGAATTGAAGAACTGCTTTGAATGGATAATAAGGCGTTCGGCGCTGTCATAGAAGATGCTGAAGATCCTGCTTGTGCATCCGCAGCACTAGGAGACAAATTGGAAAGCGCCTGCTTTGGCCGTGGAGTCTGGATTCGCCTACTCCTCTGGCTATTGCTGAGTCGCTTTCGCGCCACCTCTTGTCTGCGCCGATACTGAAGCTCCTCTAAACGTTCGGCATCACTACTCGGAAGCTGGCCTTGCCTTGCGCGCTCTCGAAGCTCTGCTAATTCTGCCGAGGCTTTTTGCCGATACCTTCTCGTACACTCAGTATTCTTAACACGATTTCGTTCAACCCTTGCCCTCTCATTCTCAGCGATCTCTGCCTCCAGCCCAGTCTCGCCCGCGTCTTGTGCTGATCTAAGGCGAACGAGACGTATTCCAAATGATAGTGTCTCCCAGAAATCGCGATCAACCATTTCACATGGTAACGTTTGTGTGAAGGGATGTTTGTACGCTTCTATCTTCTCTGTGCGCGTCTATCACAGAACACGGCGCATGTTTACTACTAAAAACAGCGCGTCCAACTTTCAACGTTAGGCGGCTTGGGTAGTCACGGCACAGGAGAGAAGAGTGGCGGATGTTCAGATGGTAAAGTAAAAAGGCATTTAGTCAACCTATCAAACTGTATCTGGATCAACCAGGCTGGTTCCAAACTGACTTGACAAGGGGCTCATATGCACTTCCTTAAATGAACTGCTTGTACCGGATCCTTCTTTTTGTGGGAAGTTCTAAGACTGGCATCTGCCTTTGTGGTTCGTGGTTCTTGCGACTCTTCCGTAAGTGAACTCGGCCTGGCCTACGACGGCGAAGAAAGTTGTTCCCGATCTGGTGTCTGCGGCCTTGGTGATACAGGCAATCGAGGCGCGGAAATGATTCGCGACCTTGCTCTTCTTGCATAGCCCACTCATGAAGCTGTGATGGCTTCTCGTGTGCTTTTGCAATGCGTGTAATGTCTGTTGTTGTGAGGCGATACTTTTCAACATGGTCCGATTGTCGTACCTGCTTGTAGCCTTCAGAGACACTTCTGCCTCTTAGGCGACCGACTCGACGCGGGGAATCAGTTTGGCTAGCTGTAATGATCTTGTTTACAGCCGAAGCTACGTACACACTCAGTAGAGCACCATCCATGTCAAATTTATATTTGGCTGCTATTGCAGCTCGTGTGACAGATCCGTGCAAGACTCACGCAGACTGATAGCTGCCTGATCCGCGCGATACCGTGATATCACTGAGGTCAGCACTGTCAACAACTTCGAAGAACCGTGCGAAGGGTCCTTTCCGACTGAGCTGCTGGCAAAAGACCGCTGTGCACCATTTCTTAGATAGACTCAACTGATGCGCTTTGGCCAAGTGATTCCTCATAAAAGACGCGTTGAGGCAGATGTGTGCGCAAATTGTGCACCGATAAGCATTTCCATGTACTGGCAGCCCATCTATTGGCTGTATGGGACTTGTTGACCAGCGGAAAGATTGCAGATTCTTTGGATCCAGGCCATTGTCATCGCAGAGCTTGAGAACCATATCAACCCACTCCTTGCTATAGGAGCCTTGAGTTTTGTGAAGCTCAAAAAGCTTGACATGGTTTTCAAGGTGGTCAGGGGAGACGGCTTGCTCGCAGAGTGTGCAGACAAGGAGTTGATGGGTGGCGTCGTACACTAAAGGATCAAGCTTCCTTCCAAGTTCGCTGTGGTCTAAAACATGCTTTTTGTAGGTGGAGAGCTCCTGGACAAGGCCTTCCGCTGTCACAGTCAGTCTCCTGGGTGCCGGCTGAGAGGGGAGTTCCTCTTGAATACCCTCGCTCGTACCACTCCGCGTCGAATTGGCAGCTGGAGCATTAGCCTTTCCGGTGGTAGCAAGTAGCTTCGCCTCAGACTCTTTGAGCGACCGTGTTCGAAATTCTTGATATCGAGCTTTCAATCTAGCTTCGATCCCTTCCAGCTGTAGTTGATATGATCTTGACAAGCGGCCCTCGAGTTGCTCCATATCAGCTTGGTGTTTCTTGCTTTGCTCATACAAGATACTCGCCAGCCGTTCTTGCATCTGTTCAAGTTCACTCTCAAGCCTCGCTATCCGCTGTCTAGCATGACTGATATGTGACGACTCTTGTTGACTAGCGTTCTTTCTTTCAGTCTCGACGTTGTCATGAGCATTCGGCAGTGCTTTTGTTGCCGGAGGACCATGTCCGTTGATGGCGATACCGTCCACGATCGCCAAATCTGCATCTGGTGAAGACTGTAGGCCTGTGAAGAGACCAGAAGGTTTCGCCCTCTCCATCTTCTGTTGCTTGTTGGGGGTCCCATTCTGGCTACTTGATGCCATAGAAGGCTTTGATAGGGCAGTAGCGGGCCGCTTAAGCGACTGACATGCTTGTGCATCATTTGAATCTGATGTGCCCTTCCCTGGTGATGCTACAGACTCGGCATCTTGTACATGCCTTCCCGGATGAGGTCTCCCTGTGCCAGAAGATGATGCATTGACATGGCTTCCTAGCTCAACATCCTCTGAGCTTGAGACAGCTGGCGTGCATGTGCAATATGCAGAGGCATGAGACAGAGGAGACTCCACGGCCTGCGCAACGTGGCGCTGCTGCTCTGCCGTCGATGAGGGAAGACCAAGAATGTCAATCGCCGGCGAAGCGTTCAAATTTGAAGAATCGCTTTGGATCGATGGCAAAGCGTTCGGCGCTGTCATAGAAGATGCTGAAAATCCTGCTTGTGCATCCGCAGCACTAGGAGACAATTTGGAAAGCGCCTGCTTTGGCTGTGAAGTTTGGATCCGCCTACTCCCCTGGCTAGAGTGACTTAGCCGACTTCGCGTTGCCTCTTTTGTGCGCCGATACTGAAGCTCCTCTAAACGTTCGGCATCACTACTCGGAAGCTGGCCTTGCCTTGCGCGCTCTTCAAGCTCTGCTAATTCTGCCGAGGCTTCAACCCGAAACTTTCTTTTCCTCGCAGTATCCTTAGCCCTTGCTTGTTCGACCCTGGCCCTTTCAGTCTCAGCAATCTCTGCCTCCAGCCCAGTCTCACCCTCCTCCTTTTGTGCCCATCTGAGGCGAGTGAGGCGTCGTCCGAGTGCTAGTGTCTCCCAGAGTCTACGATCAACCATTTAACATGATAATGATCGTGTGAGGGGATGTTTGTACGCTTCTATCTTCTCTGTGCGCGTCTATCACAGAGCACGGCGCATGCTTACTACTAAAAACAGCGCATCCAAGTTTCAACGTTAGGTGGCTTGGGTAGTCACGGACTCACGGCACAGGAAGAGTAATGTAGCCGATGTTCAGATCGCAAAGGAAAAAGATATTTAATCAACCTATCAAACTGTATCTGGATCAACCAGGCTGGATCCAAACTGACTTGACAAGGGGCTAAAATGCACTTCTTATATGGACTGCTTGTACCGGATCCTTCTTTTTGTGGGAAGTTCTGAGACTGGCATCTGCCTTTGTGGTTCGTGGTTCTTGCGACTCTTCCGTAAGTGAACTCGGCCTGGCCTACGACGGCGAAGAAAGTTGTTCCCGATCTGGTGTCTGCGGCCTTGGTGATGCAGGCAATCGAGGCGCGGAAATGATTCGCGACCTTGCCCTTCTTGCATAGCCCACTCAAGAAGCTGTGATGGCTTCTCGTGTGCTTTTGCAATGCGTGTAATGTCTGCTGTTGTGAGGCGATACTTTTCGACATGGTCTGGATCCAATTATCGTACCTGCTTGTAGCGTCCAGAGACGCTTGTGCCTCTTGGGCAACCGACTCGACATGGGGAACCATTTTGGCTAGCTGTAATGATCTTGTTTACAGTCGAAGCTACGTACACACTCAGTAGAGCACCATCCATGTCAAAGTCATATTTGGCTGCTCTTGCAGCTCGTGTGACAGATCCGTGCAAGACTCACGCAGACTGACATCTGCCTGATCCGCGCGATACCGTGGTATCACTGAGGTCAGCACTGCCAACAACTTCGAAGAATCGTGCGAAGGGTCCTTTCCGACTGAGCTGCTGACAAAAAACCGCTGTGCACCATTTCTTAGATAGATTCAACTGATGCGCTTTGGCCAAGTGATTCCTCATAAAAGACGCATTGAGGCAAATGTGTGCGCAAATTGTGCACCGATGAGCATTTCCATGTACTGGCAGCCGATCTATTGGCTGTATGGGACTTGTTGACCAGCGGAAAGATTGCAGATTCTTGGATCAAGGCCATTGTCTTTGCAGAGCTTAAGAACCATATCAACCCATTCCTTGCTGTAGGAGCCTTGAGTTTTGTGAAGCTCAAAAAGCTTGACATGGTTTTCAAGGTGGTCAGGGGAAACGGCTTGCTCGCAAAGTGTGCAGACAAGGAGTTGATGAGTGGCGTCAAACACTAAAGGATCGAGCTTCCTTGGTAGCAAGTAGCTTCGCCTCAGACTCTTTGAGCGACCGTGTTCGAAACTCTTGATATCGAGCTTTCAATCTAGCTTCGATCCCTTCCAACTGTAGTCGGTATGATCTTGACAAGCGGCCCTCGAGTTGCTCCATATCAGCTTGGTGTTTCTTGCTTTGCTCATACAAGATACTCGCCAGCCGTTCTTGCATCTGTTCAAGTTCACTCTCAAGCCTCGCTATCCGCTGTCCATCATAACTGGCATCAGATGACTGTTGTTGGCTTGTGTTCTTTCTTTCAGTCTGAAAGCGAACATGACCATTCGGCAGTGCTGCTGTTGCCTGAGGAGCTTGTCCGTTGATGGTGACACCCTCCATAATCGATAGATCTCCATCTGATGGAGACTGTAGGCCTGTGAAGATACCAGAAGCTTTCGTACTCTCCATCTTCTGCTGCTTCTTGGGAAATTCATTTTGGCTCGCAGACGCCATAGCAGGCTTTGATAGGGCAGCAGCGGGGCACGTAAGTGACTGACATGCTTGTGCATCATTTGAGATTGGTGTGTCCTTCCCTGATGATGCTACAGGCTGGACACCTTGTGCCTGCCTTACCGGATGAGATCTCCCTGTGCCACAAGATGATGCATTGGCATGGCTTCCTAGCTCAACATCCTCTGAGCTTGAGACATCTTGCGTGTATGTGCAATATGCAGAGGCATGAGATAGAGGAGGCTCCACGGCCTGCGCATCGTGGCGCTGCTGCTCTGCCGTCGAAGAGGCGAGAGTAAGAGCGTCAATCGCCGGCGAAGCGTGGAGAATTGAAGAATCGCTTTGGATCGATGGCAAAGCATTCGGCGCTGTCATAGAAGATGCTGAAAATCCTGCTTGTGCATCCGCAGCACTAGGAGACAATTTGGAAAGCGCCTGCTTTGGCTGTGAAGTTTGGATCCGCCTACTCCCCTGGCTAGAGTGACTTAGCCGACTTCGCGTTGCCTCTTTTGTGCGCCGATACTGAAGCTCCTCTAAACGTTCGGCATCACTACTCGGAAGCTGGCCTTGCCTTGCGCGCTCTTCAAGCTCTGCTTCTTCTGCCAAGGCTTCAAGCCGACGCCTTTTCTGCGCCTCACAGCGTTTAGCACGAGTTCGTTTAGCCCTTGCGCTCTCAGTCTCAGCGATCTCTGCCTCCAACCCAGTCTCACCCGCCTTTTGCGCTATTCTGAGGCGAACGAGACGTCGTCCAAATGATAATGTCTCCCAGAAATCGCGATCAACCATTTCACATGGTAATGTTTGTGTGAGGGTATGCGTGCACGCGTCTATCATATGTGCACGCGTCTATCACAAAAGACGGCGCATGCTTATTACTAGATAAAGCGCGTGCAAGTTCCAACGTTAGGTGGCTTGGGTAGTCATGGCACAAGAGAGTTGTGTAATGGATGTTCAGATGCCAAAGGAAAAGGACAAATCAAATTGTGCACTATACAGATACTTAAAGGACCTGTCAACCAGGCTTACCCAGAATGACTCGTCAAGGGATCAAGCTGCACTTCCTCACATGGACCGCTTGTACCAGCACCTTCTTGTTGTGGCAAATGATGTGCTCTTGTGCAGCCTTGCCGTTCATCAGTCATTGGTCTGAATTTTGACAGCAGAGGTGTTCCTGGGTCAGACATGGTGTACAATCGCTGCTGTAGACCTTTGAAGCCAAGTCATCCCTGATGGTCAACAGACTAGCCTGAGCATGTGAACAACATGTTCCTAGAGTGGTCGTCAAAAATTCTTTTGGGTCTTGACTGAGTCTAGTCGAGGCAAGACCTCAAAATACGATCCTGAGCAGCTTCAGGTTAAGACACCTTGTGTTGTTTCGAGCCCGATGTGAGGCTACCTGCGCTTCATGTCGTTGGCGTGCGCTTCATGATCAAGGGTCGCAAATTCAGCTTGGCTAGCGCGTAAGCAGCGAGTCGGTCTCTCAGAGCAGATCAGTGTAGGGAAGACGAAAACGAGTATCTCTCTACCTACGAAGCGATAGGGGAAGAGCAGAGACGACGCAAGCACCCCGCTGTCTTACGTATTAGTAAGTGATGCTCTCCTAGAGCTAGTCTGATCATTCCCCACGGCCCCTATGTCCGCACATGCTCACTCCCTATCATCCTGAGGTCATCACTATAGCATCTATCGCATAACATTGGCTGCAGGGATTCATGCAGGCTGTAAAGCTGAAGATTCTCAGTCCCGGCTCACAACATAGAAGAGCCTTCTTTGTGATCGTACTCCGCTTTAAATCGACCGCCTATGGCAGCAACCTCTCAATCAGAGCATGATAAATGCATAGTCGCAGTCGCATGCTGCTAAATCATATCAGACACTGAAGGGCTCAGTAGCTTTAGCAAGGGCCGTCGTCAATGACTCGTCATGCATATGCGGTGAGTGGATTTCCGTGTCAGGAGATTGAATCTGCTTCCCCAACTTTCCCCTTGACAAACCCGAACCGTCGAGCGATCCCCAGACAAACGACATCTGCTCAGTACACCGTCACCTAGCACCTCAAATGACAGGCGCTCGACCACGGCATCAGAGGACTGCCACGGGCGTGACAAAAGCCCACGCACGGCAGCTCTCCCAAGAATTCCCAAGCCCGCTCCGTCAGGTATGGGAGAAGAACAAGCCAGAGAGTTTCTCGACCAAGGATGGTTTTCAGAAGGAGTTCGTCAAGGCCATTGAGCACAACCTTGCTCGCAGCATGTACAATGCCGATGATTTGGCTGCATATCAGGCAACGTCCTTGGCTATGCGTGACAAACTCATCAGTGCCTGGAATGACACGCAGAACTTGTACACCGAAAAGGATCCGAAGCGTATCTACTACTTTTCCTTCGAGTTCTTGCAAGGTCGCGCGTTGGACAATGCCATGCTCAATCTTGGCGTGAAGCAGGTCATCAAGGATGGCTCCCTCGAGCTCGGATTCAGGCTCGAAGACTTAATTGAGGAGGAACAAGACCATGCCCTCGGTAACGGTGGTCTCGGTCGACTTGCTTCGTGTTTCCTGGACTCGTGTGCCTCTACACATATCCCTGCTGGCGGTTATGGAATGAACTACAGGTATGGCCTGTTCAAGCAGACCATTGTGAATGGCCAACAAGTTGAAAGACCTGATTCGTGGCTCGAAAACAACCATTGGGAGCTGCCTCGTCACGATATCCAGGTTCCAATCCGCTTCGGTGGTAATGTGCATCAGGAAACCGACAAGGATGGCAAGCAGAAGTCTGTTTGGGACGGTGGCATGCTCGTCGTGGCCGAAGCTTATGATGTTCCTATCCCATCTTACAAGTCCCGCATCACCAATAACTTGCGTCTTTGGTCCTCAAAGCCTGCTCACGGCGACTTTGACTTTGCGGCTTTTAACTCTGGTGACTACGAGAACGCTGTGCGGGACACGCAAAAGGCAGAGGAAATCAGCCAGGTCCTCTATCCCAATGAGAATCACACACAGGGTAAAGAGCTACGACTCAAGCAGCAATACTTTTGGTGTGCTGCGTCCCTGTCAGACATTGTCCGCCGCTTCAAGAAGTCTGAACGACCATTCTCCGAATTCGCCGATCAAGTCGCTATTCAGCTCAACGACACACATCCTGTCATTGCAATCCCCGAACTGCTTCGCATCTTGATCGACTTGGAAGGCCTTACATTTGACGATGCTCTTTCCATTGTGCAAAAGACATTTGGCTACACCAACCACACCGTCATGCGTAAGTCAACCCACACCACTTCCCGTTTCTAACTTCTAGCCGAGGCTCTCGAGAAGTGGCCTTGCGACATGATTGGCAAAATCCTGCCTCGCCACCTGGAAATCATCTTTGACATCAATCTCAGCTTCCTCCAGCAAGTCGAGAAGAAATTCCCCGGAGATCGTGATTTGCTCGCACGCGTCTCCATCATCGAGGAAGGTGATGTGAAGCAAGTTCGTATGGCATACCTTGGTATTGTTGGATCTCACAAAACGAACGGTGTCTCGGAACTCCACTCTGACTTGATCCAGACCACAATTTTCAAGGACTTTGCCAAAATCTTTGGTAAAGACCGATTCGGCAACGTCACCAACGGTATCACACCTAGACGCTGGCTGCTGCAGGCAAATCCCCTGCTTTCTGACTTGATTGCATCGAAGCTTGGCGGACAAGATTTCATCAAGGAATTGACTTTGCTCAAGCATCTTGAGAGCTTTGCAGATGACAAGGACTTTGTGCAGCGCTGGATTGCAGTCAAGACTCAAAACAAGGAACGTCTCGCTCGTTACATTCAGGAGCACAATGGTGTCACTGTTGACCCTACTGCTCTGTTTGATATTCAAATCAAGCGTATCCATGAGTACAAAAGGCAGCACATGCATTTATTCTCCTGCATTCACCGCTACCTTGAGCTTAAGGAGATGTCGCCAGAGGAGCGCAAGAAACAGCAGAAGCGCGTCAGTATCTTTGCTGGTAAAGCAGCACCCGGTTACTACACTGCAAAGGAAATTATCCATTTAATTCATGCTGTTGCCGAAGTTGTCAACAATGACGCTGAGATTGGCGACTTGCTCAAGGTGATCTTCATTGCCGACTACAACGTCTCCAAGGCTGAGGTGATTATTCCTGCTGCAGACATTTCCGAGCACATCTCCACGGCTGGTACAGAAGCTTCCGGCACTAGCAACATGAAGTTTTGTCTCAATGCTTCCCTTATTATCGGCACGTATGATGGTGCCAATATCGAGATATGCCGCGAGGTCGGCGAGGAGAATGTCTACATCTTTGGCTACCTTGCACATGACATTGAAGATCTTCGTCACCAACACCGCTACGGCAATTACAAGCCAGACCCTCGATTTGAACGCGTTCTGGATGTCGTTCGCAGTGGCAAATTTGGTGATGCCAACCAGTTCCGAGGTGTTTTGGATTCCTTGCAGCCAAGGAATGATCACTATCTTCTTGCTGATGACTTTGCCAGCTACTTGGACTCGAAGAAGCTCATTGATACCGATTTCGCTGATCAGCTGGCTTGGCATAGGAAGACCATCAACACAGTGGCTCGCATGGGATTCTTCTCGAGTGACCGTGCCGTCCAGCAATATGCAGAGGAGATTTGGAACGTCGAGGCCATCAAGTTTTAAAACTCTACATAGACTGATATAGACGTGGTATAGGGAATCTTAATCAGCTGTTTGAGTTACCCTTCAGGGGAATTGGTAGTTCTACTTGGTGCAAATGGAATTTGTAACTTGACGAACACTGCGGCAATGCGAGATCTGAATCTACACAGGCAGCACTGATCTACAGATACGTATATACGTATAGCCGGTCTGCCATCAACCTTATTGAACGAGACGTATGCACATATGAATGATGTGGAGCCAGAAATTTACGCCTTCTTTGCCGTGTCTAAATCGCCTGGCCTTTGAGTACAAAGTTAGTTTGTCATTGATCGAATCTGTGCCGGTCACGATTATGGCTTTCGAGAATCATGGTGCTGACCATGGACATGAAGCCTCGAGGAATAGGCGGTCGAATCCAATGACGCCGTGGCCCGTGGCTGCAAGCTCAGCCTGCAGCAGTCAGGTGTATTACGTACAAGACTTATGCAAGTCGAGCTCGGCTCCATATTCACTCTCATAGCCTCATAGATACTTTGCAAATAGATTCCTCAAGAATATCGTGTGGTTAGGGGTCTAGGCCAAAAAGTTGCCGCGAGCTGATGCAGAGTGTAAATGAGAAAAGATGGCGAGCTGTACTAGCCATGGCATAGAAGGTAGTGAGATGTAAATGTGCCTAGGCTACTGCTAGGACTGCTGCAGTGCTGGGGCCCTGACTCCTGGGGCACTCTGCAGCGCAAGGGGCAAGGCAGAAGGCCCTCATCACCACTGATTCATCAGTGACTAGCAGTCTGGCACTGCAGTCATGCGGCAAAGAAGCGTTAATTTGTTCGACCCCTAAGTTCGGTAAGCTTGACTTTGCGATGCGCCTACAAGCGGGCCTGCCGTCTCCAGAGGCCCCATACCAAATTGACACGACAAAGACGGCCTGGATCTGCTACTACAACTTGGCTACAATTTACTAGACTGCCGCTGGAGGCCGCGGGACCACACGACTCGATAGTCGATACGAGGCGATTCGACCTGTCTATTGACCCAAGGCCCTAGTCAGTCCTCGTCGAGACGGCCTGACCGTTCCTGCCCATAAGGAGGAGGCCTATAAAGGCATAGGGTCCCTTGTTTCAACTCCTCATCCTCACTCACAGTGTGCTCCATCGAGATTCAACGAGGACCGCGACAATGGACTTCTTCATGGGCGACTTCAACGAAAGCAGCATCTCGCTGTCTAGCAATGTGACAAGAGATGCGCTTGCGCACGAGACCATGGAACGCGTTTGTTCTACAACATGCACAGGTCTCGAGGCTGATGCCTTTAATTGCTTACGCGCCGCACGGCCTGAGCTATTGAGAGAAGAGCAGCCCTCCATCATTGCACAGCTGGCGACCGGTGCTGTTCGGCCATTGCTGGAGCATGGACCGCCAGTACCACGCCTACTGCATCAAATGTCGGCACGTCTGACCTTTTGGCTCGGCGATTCTCTCTAGATGCACATCATCATGCACAAGGAGAGATTCAATTTTTCCAAGTTTGGCAGTGCACAGATGAATCAACTGACGAAGCTATGGTACATCTGCAAGCTATCCTTGCGACTGCATGTGCTCAGGCCGTCAGTCTGCTTAAATTTAGATGCCAGTGTGAGAATTCCTACAGCATCGAACGGTCACTCGCAGTGTTTGGCACTGTTGGCTTGGACACTGATCGGCGCGCACATCAAAGCGCGGTACCGTATGTCGGCACCAGCTTAAGGGCATACTCGCACTGCTCTTTCACGAGTATCACGATTTATGACAAATGATTAGCGCTTCACTGTTACTTCAAACATTTCTAGGCTTGAAGTTCTAGCGCTCCCATCTCTGTAGCTCAACCACGTCTACCATTCTCTTCTGGTCAGGTATGTAGCTGAATGAGGTCCCAGGCCATCTATCCATCACGTGAGCTGCCAAGCTGTCAACAGTGTCAGGTGCTGGACCAGTGCTGGCATCCGTCTTTTGGAAGATTCGCGGGGCATGATTGGCTGAACTTATTCCCCGCGCTATGACACTTTCCATCGCGTGGACCGCATGGTCCGCCGTTAACAGGACGACTCGCGCTGAGGTCTTGGATGATGAGGGTCTACGTATAAGTCCTTGGAGACTGCTTGTTATAAGCTGGTAGCTTGCACAACAATCTATATTCAAAGTCGACATCCATCATCGTTTCGCAGATGCGCAGTTGGTCGGCACTTCTTCTTGCAGCCAGCGCTCTTGCGACTCCACTACATGCCAGAGAGACACTTCAGAGATGGACGGCCGACGATCAACATCTGCTCCTCAAGATTGCCATTCCGGAGCTGCCTCGGTCGTCTAGCGGAGTAGACGCAGAAACAAGACATATGCTGGTAAGTACAAGTCGCCTTGGCCAAAGAACATCGTTGCTAACTGTACTAAAGCACTTTAACTATGATTTGGATTTGAAGGCCTTGCTTGAAGAGTCATCCGCAGGCAGACAACCGCTTCATCTGCGCAAGATCAACTGCCAAGCGACTCGAAAGGCTTTGTCGGAGAATGACGAGAGCCTTGATGTACCACTCCAAGAAATGCCTCACTTGCGTCCGGCAGATATTGTTGCTGAGATGGGTATTTTAGTGGATGACCTACCAGATGTGCGGGTCGTCAGTGTATCGACAAGATTACTTCGAGTCGATGGCAGCAGGACCTCGAGCGAGGTTCATGCCGAGCAGTTTACACTTCGTCAAGAGAAGAAGGGATGCATGAAGCAGATCATGAACATTTTGAAGGCAGTACAGCATGGATTGAGTGTGGCCCTGGTGGTTGACAAAGAGCCCTCAATGCTGGAATCTTCGGTCGAGCGCGAAGATGCACACGATGACAATTTTTTCAGACCGACAACAATCGACTGTCAACTCCTGCTCCTCTACTTTGCGTTCTACTTTGTTTTTGCAAGCCTCATTGTGCAGACACTCTTGCTGGTTCGCGACACTGGGCGGTGGCTAAGACAGCAACGCCGTCCAAGTCTCTGCGAGAAGGTCAAAGTCATGGACACCATTGAGGAACTTGATGAGGAAGCGCTCTATGAGAAACCTCACACGCCTTTTCGTGTATGATTTCGTCTCGTGTCTCGTGTCTTTCATCATCATCTAGCATCGTAGCAATGGCGTTCATCATTTTGGAAATATGTCCCCATCTGAACAAGTGATTGGCTGCGACCTGTGTACCTCAGTTATGAGCCACACGACGTAAATCTCAAGCTCGACTCCCTGCTCTACGACGATTCCTCGAATCGAAGTTGCTCTCAAAAACGTCATCAGTAGAATGCTTTCTCAGGTCGTGGAGTGATTGTTGTGTTTCATGCTAGTGACTGGCTTCCTGAAGCACAGACCGTTGTGCAATCCTGAGGGGACACATGTTTCAGCTTCTGCTGCAAGTAGTCACCCATGACTCGCTGTCAGAATCCAAGGATCCAGACACATACCGGCTTTGAAAGTAGTAACGATTCCACTTGACCGTTGGCGTCATTCACAGAGGCGGAAGAGGTTCTATGGGGCGGCGTCCTGCCTCGACATCTGCTCTAGTTACCTTCTTGATACTCATTTGTCCGCTGATCAGCGCACAACAGGTTGCGCCAATCGCAAGCCCAGCACTCTTTGCTGCGAACGCTGCCAATGCTGCTAAGCAAGGTTCGTCGTCTCTTGTATCGTCATCAAATACAGCCGCCTTTGCGCAATCAATGAGTACAGCTGCTACCAATCAACCGCTGACAGTCCTTTTCACAAGTCAATTAGCCAATGCGCTGTCGGAGGGCTGGAACAACAATGTTTCCCAACAGTGCACAACAGCTGCCTCTGCGTTGCTCGCATCCATCGCATCGGGCGCCATCGCAGCAGATACGGCGCCTGTACCAGGCAACGTCGTTGCTTGCTACAACATCGCCTCTTGGGAACCCATCACAGGTCTATTTGCAGGGGATCTTCGGCTCTATAGCCAAATGCCTGCGCAATCCTTTGGCAATATTTCAATGCGCGTGAGTTTTGGTAAATTGGCAACATTGCGCAGCTTCACAGACAGTAAGTCTGGCTCGACCTCTGCTCCTCTGCAGAAAAGACAATTGAATCAAATCGTGTCGGCTTTTTCAAGTTTGGCTGGTGGCAATAGTGTCTCCCCCTCGAATGCTGTCCCCAACACGAGTTCTAGCGCTTCAAGTTCTTCAAACACATCCAACAAGGGCACCACTGCAAAAAGTAACTCTGCATCAGATCAATCAGCGTCAAAAGGTGGCGCAGGCGTAGCTCCTGTACCTCCCAAACAGTCCAACTCTGCTACAACAGCCAAAACACCTCCGCCACCAAGCCAACCCGTGCCCGCCGCAAAACCTGCCGCAGGCAGTAATGCAGCCCCAGTAGCTCCTGCCGCGAGACCTGCCACAGCCGCTGGCGTTGCGCAACCAGCAAGTGGTCTCAAGCCCATTCAAGCGGAAGACCGATCAGGCGGAGCGCGTGCGCCTGTTCCTGCTGCCGTCCTTCCAAATGAAAAGGGGAATAGGCCTGTCACTCAAAATACTCCTGTTGGTTCTGCGCCCAACAGCCCTGTCGCTGTAGCACCGCAACGTCTTCTTGACCAAGCGCCGGTGGCTCAACAACAAGCGAGTGATCCTGCCACTGCACCACAAGAAGTCGAGCGCTTCCAATTCCTTGCGCAAGCATCATTACCTGTTGCGTCGGCAGATGCGTCAGGTGAAGGACTGATGAGAGCGTTAATACCGAATATTGTGTTATTGGTATCACAGAAAGACGCCGTGCAGGCAGAACCCATCATGATTGACTTGGTTGGTCGGACAGCTGGTTTTGTGGCTGGTCTGCCGATGCCTCGAGGACCCTTTGTTCCTCTTTCTGGATTCATGAGCACTTATCGTGGACTTGGCGGCCGTGGAGGTTCACTACCCGGGCGTACCTTGCTTGGTCTAGATGGCTCAGTCACGCTAGGTTCCATCGGTCTGGCACTGACATGGAGCACCTTATTCGCAGCGGCATGGATCTTTGGTGTCATGAACAGATTCAATCAAAGACAGTCGTACAGAAAGCTCAAGCTACAGTTCTAAGTATTCATAGCCAAAAAGAAAAAAGGAAAAACAGGATGAAAAGCGGATCCACCTTGTCCTTCAATCCAGCACAAATCGTCTTGCGCCACGCGGCTTGAGTCTCTCAATCGTATGTGTTTCTTGCTGCATGTGATCTGGTACAGGTGGCGATTTACGATGACGACCACTGCCACGACCACTACTTGCTTCGCTGTGCTCTGATCGTGTTTCACTCAACGTACGCTTGCGAGGTGGCGAGAGGTCAGAGTTCAGATGGGCAGCGGCAACAGATACGAAGGAATCGGAAAAGCCACGGCATCGAAAGTCCATGGATACGTCCTTTGGTGCCTTTGCTGCATTGTTTGTGTTGGAATTGGGCGGTGCAAAGAGATCGAATGGTTTAAGAGCAGCTCTGTAAGGTCGATCGAGTCCCCTGCGAGCAAGACCTTGAAGAGGTTGCACATCAAGCGACTTGGCAGGCTTTCCTGACGATGCTTGCGAGTGATCAGATGCTGACCTCTGGGTATTGAATCCACTGTAAAGGGCATTTTGCGAGACAGACTCGTCAAGTGCTTGTAATGCTGCCTTGGAAACGCCATCGCTGCGACAAGATTTGGTCAAGATGCTCTTTCGTCCATTACTCAAGCGCAGCGCATGCACTGCTTGTAGTGCCTCCTCGTAGCCTTTGTGATGCTTGACTTGCTCGAGTGCAACATCAATCAGCTCAATGCCACGCAACCAGCGAATCTCACACAATCTTGCTAGTGCCACGCGTCGCACCTCTGTCCAGGCAGTCCAGAAACCTGCGTAAAAGTTATCAGACTGCTGTGTGTAGCCACGAGGGAAGAAGAAGCTTGACACTTGCTCCAGTGTGGTTTGCTCAGCCGTGAGAGCTAGCACGGCAGATTGATCGGTGGATCGATTGTACATCAAATCCTGCTGTGCATACGAGAGCTGTCTCAGCGTCGCTTGCAAGATGAGACGCGCATTGAAACTGTATTGATAATGAAGCGCCATGAGTTCGTGTGGGTCACACTGTGAGAGTTCCTTGAAGACACGATCGATGCGCGCACCGGAACGTTCTGCTTCCTGAGAGCGAGTGCTGCTGTTCTGGCTCTTGCCATGTGTACTTGCACGCAGTGTCGAACTAGATGAGCCAGAGGAGTGTGAGTAATAGCCAGAGCGACGGAAGGAAAATGGAGCACCGAGGAAGGCTGTGGAAGAGAGGGAGTCATTTGCTGTAGGTCAGAATGAATCCGTCTGATCAATTAAGACGCATACGAGGACATGCAATGAGCCCTGCGGAGGTATTGGTTGTGCTGGAGAGAGCATGCCAAGATGGGTGTGCTGCAGTCAGTACTGAGGTTACTGATGCTGAATCGTACTCTGTATTTCAGTCATATCAAGCGTACAGAGCTTATACTACAGCTGATGGAGACAGGGAGGACAGGAAGAGTGTGGTCCAGGGGATGAGCTCGGGAGTGGTGTCGCTTCTTGAACATCGAGCCAGTTCAACTACACCAAATGCAGTCAGGGGCACGATCAAGGCGTCGACCGTTGTTCTCCCATAATCTTCTCTCCACTCAGCCGTTGCTTCCGTTTCCGCTCCCACATCGCCTTCACTGCACGCCGTATGCGTTCCTTGCCTGTTGCAAAATTGGCTCGTGTCATGTCCCTGAGCAAATCCACCTGCTCTGGCTGCCACTCAAAGTTCCAGGTCGAGCAGAAGTCACTCGTTGCAGGATCAATGCCGGCAACCTCATCATTCGGAAGCAATGGGAGGTAAATCAGCATGAGACCCGTAGAATCAGTGACACTCTCGGCATTCTCCTCAACCTGTTTTGCCGTATATTCATTCGTGTCCGTACTGCTCGGATCTTCTGATTTAGTCGCTTGACCAACCCAGATATTGACGGGGCTCAGTGCAAACTTCTTCCTCTTCTGTGCAGCACTCATCTTGGCTTTGGCTTCTTCTGTTGAACTCGCCGTTGCTTCCGCTAATTGTGCTTCAGCATCATCACCGGCTTTGGGCCAACCAGCGCCCACAGGCCATCCCTTGACACCACGCAACTTTGCATAACCCTCGACACGGCTGAACCATGGATTCGCCTCGATATCGGCACTTGAATCAATAGCAATCAAGATATCCACATCACGTCGCAACAACGGGTAGAATGGCAGATTGTTGGACATCCCAGCGTCGCAGAGCGTCAAGTCTGCATCTTGATTGAAGTGTCCGGGAACTGTATCTGGGAGTTGATCCCGCATACCCTTGACGTAGTTGGGTACTTTGCTGGCATCTACCAGATGGATCGACTTGAAGTCTTCATCGTGTGAGAGGATCTGTTCATTGATGAGCTTGAAGATGCCGACTTTTGGGAGAAGTGGTTGGACTTCCGCCAGGTAGTGTGAGAGGCTTGCACAGAATGCAGAAGAAAACGTGCCGAGGAGTGTTGTGAGTTTCAGTTCTGGCACCTTGTTGACGTCCTTTCCTTTGTCAAACTTGCGACCAAGTGACCAAGTGGGAATCCAGCTGGATAGCTCTTCACTGCCAAACTCGAAGGGTGTGACTTCAAAAAATTGAAAGTAGGACTTGCCCTCCGGCTCGATATCCTTCTGACCCTGTGAAACAGCTCTCTCCTTGACCTTTTGAGGCTGGCCGACCGGTACTTCATGATGAACCATGCTTGAAATGGGCAACGGGACTGCACCCGTCTCAACGACTTTCCGTTGGGATGAGATTTTGAGATGATCGTCATTGACCACAAGCTCATTGTTGGGTAGCAAGAAACGACCAGTCAGCATCAACCCATACAAATCCACCAGACCAATATCCTTGTAGCCCTGATACCAGCGCTCAAGGACGCCACGCAAGAGATACTTTTCCAAAGCATTGTCATTGAGTAGTTCGAGATTTGCAACGGGACTGGCGATATGTGTTGTGATGCGTCGTTTGAGATGCGCCAAGACGCGTGTTGGATCTTGGTTGCCAAGAGTCATGAACAATGCCTGCGCCCAAGTGGACCCTGAAATACCTGCGAGATAGGTCGTTGCGCCCAAAAGGCCTTCCTCCTGTAGGACTTCGTAGATACAGGTCGTGGCAAGACATGCTCGCAGACCACCTCCGGAACCAGCAACGCCAATCACCGGTATATCGCGCTCGTCAATTTCTGATTCAGGTACATGAATGTACTTGGCGAGTGCCTTTCTTGTGAATTGCCGTCGCTTCTTTAGAAAGGCAAGTTCCTCATCACACAAGCCATCACCAATACGTACCTCTGCCGTCAGCGCCATCTCCGGGTTGCGCTTCAAGTCATGCGCCTCTTCTATCACCTCCTTGCCTAGTGAACCCTCGTCAAACGAAAATGCCGCCACCACTTTTTGTCCAACCTCCGGTATGAGTAGCGCATAGCGGGGCAGACCCAATCCCGAGAAGACGCCCGAGGAGAGATCTGCTAGTTTTGCTTGAAAGTCAGGAACGGTCCACGCACCGAATGGCCAGTCGATATCGAGTAAACTGACTAATTGCTTTGTCGCTTGTTCTTTTGGCGGTGATTGATTGCCTCCATGGTCAATGTTGAGCTTTGTAGGGGGTGTTTGAAGGTCGGCTTCGAGATGTAGAGCGCGGCTGTGTATGTAGATGAGCGATGGCGGGAGGGCTATTGCTGTGGCGGCTAGGGCGATTCTGCGCTGTTGGATAGATGCATTCCTCCATGCTCTGAGCATGATGATGCAGGTGGGAGAGCGAGCGATGGGTAAAGAGTGTGTATAGCTGGTTCCTGGTCAAGTCCTTGTACTTTTTCAAGTTTTGTGGATGCCGTCATTTTTGAAATCTTGCAACTGGCAGGAAGGAAACACATTCAGCGTATACAACACATCTGTTTGGTCTGCAGCTGCTGTATAATAGTCAAGGCAGGCGCATTCGCAACAAGAGCCTTTCATCTCTTCGCCATCTAATCACTGCATGAAGCTCTACGCGGTTCCTCTGCGCAATGTCAGCTCAAAGAAAATCTTCTTCTATGCCGCTCCCAGCAAGACGCTCGCAGCAGACATCAACCCCTCCGTTCAGGATCGCGTCATCAACAAGGCATCTTCCACTTGGCTCAAATTTGAAGATGCCAAGAGCGGATGGAAGAAACATCTTGTTGGGTGGGGCAACAAGATGATTGACAGAATTGACTATCGCGAACATGCGCTCAAGAGCGTCATGCCACAATCGAGCTATGATCGGTACTATCCAGGAGCAGCAGCGGCGCGTCAATCTGTTGTCCTCAATCATCCTTCCAAAATCGCAAAAGAGGAGGTCTTGCAACAGTTGCAAGTTTTGGCTGATGAAGGATACCCGCGGCATCGTCAGAAGATGATTCTCAGTCTCATCTTGGCGCCGCTCATGGCTCCGTTCGCCATTATCCCTGTTGTCCCTAATATCCCTTTCTTCTACGTTGCGTATCGCGCGTGGTCACATTACAGAGCCATGAGCGGGTCAGCCCATCTCCAGCTGCTACTCAAGGAAAGCAGGATCCAACCAAGTGCGTCAAAACAGATGGACGAGCTGATTGATGCTGAGGGTCATTTGCAGCTAGACAGGGTGAAGCACATGTTCAAAGCAAAAGAACCGCAGATGACGGTGGAGATTGAGCGGGCAGATGCGCAACTTGCGAGAGAGGCACAGACACTGGAACAAGCTGCCGAGACGAAACCGGCCGGGACGGCGACTGTGGTGAAGGCTGTTGAAGCAGCGCAGGAGCAGATGGAGGAGGCCAAGGAGCCGAGTGCAGCGGAGGTTGCTCGCAACAAACAGCGCCAGTCCCGGATAGGGTTGCACAAGTAGTAATTAGTAGTAGACTGGTAGACTAAGTATAAGATCGAGTCTATAAAAAGAGTGCACGTGCTGCCCCAAACAGAAATCGAGATTTTGAGTCGCACAAGAGGAGAGCACAGGCTACTGCTCCCTACTGACTCCTCCCTGCTCCTGTAACACACAGCGCGCGTCCAGATGCAGTCGCAGATCAGAGAAGACCTAGCAGGCTCCACATACTCCCTCGCCGCACCGCCAGGGCATGCACAGCAGCAGCAATATAATTACCAAGGAGGCGGCCAACAGGCATATCAAGTCGTACACCACCCATCCGCCCAATCTGGCTATGACGGCAGCAGCAGCGTGACATCTAGTCTCCCGGGCGACAAGAAGAGACCCTCGGAGAACTTTCGTCACTTTTCATCCAGATTCTCAAATACCAGCTATAACCCATCCTTCCGGACACACCAACAAACGGAATCTTCCGTCGGTACGATGAACCAAGGACCAGGACTCGAGGGTTTCATGATGGAAGACGAAACTAAGATGCGTGGTGACCAAAAGCGAGGCATGTTTCGTGGTACTGCTCAAATGGACTGGCTAGACAAGTTGCGGCAACACCCTAAATTTGCGCTCTATGTCTTCCTCGGCCTCAATGCTGCCATGTTGCTCGTCATCTTCATCACAGGCATGATCTGGCTCGCTTTGGGTATTGTAAAGAATAAGAAGTTCTTGAGTGGCATCCCGCCGCCCTCAAATGCGCCCATCAACAACCCTTAAGATCATGTTTATACTCCTCGCTCACGACCTCGTTGTCCTTCTGTATACACAACGTCTTGGCATTGCTTTACACATACACATACAAATCGTACATGATCAGAAACATTGTGCTGTTACTTTTCGTAATGACTTTTTATACAGTCGTCTCTCCATGCCGAGTAAATGCCTGTAGTGTTACACATGAGCAACGCGCGCCAATATAGCCTCGCGCTCTCCTTCTCTTGACCTCATCCTCCATCAATACATTTCCACATGGATGACATCTTCTTCTGAGTCACAGTCGCGGTCAAATCGCCATCGTGACAATGACCGTTCTCGCGCCGCATCCTCCATCTCCGCATCCTGATCCTCCTCTCCCGCGCGTATCAAGGTCTCATCCTCCACAACGGCAGCGACATCGACCGCCACTTGCTTACTTCGTGTCTTGCCACTCTTGCCACCGACTTTCGCCTTGCCAGGACTTACGAGCTTTTCCGCATTCGCAGACTCAGAAGCAGTATGCACTCCATTCTGCACTGGCTTCATATTCTCCTTGCCACCACGCGAAACACGCGTCACTGCACGAACTGACGATGTATGCGATGCAAACGACGATCGTGACACCAATGCCGCACGACTGAATCGTCGATCCATCATCACACGACCGCCACGACCAACACGTTGCCTGTAAAAGACTTCTTGCTCACGCTTCTGCGTGTCTTCATCACTGATCGGTGGCGCATGTTCAACACCATCCTCACCAGCGTAAATGGCACGAATCGCACGGAAGAAGCTGGATGGCCACGATGTCTGTGGTGCAACAAATGGCTGGTCTGTACAGTCACACCATTTCGCATTGACAGCAGCAGCTTGTTCTGCATTCGCCATAATCGTTGCACGCGCTTTTTGTTCCCGTTCTTCAAAGTAGTCTTGTAGAGTCTGAAGGTGTGGCTCGCCAGACGCATCCATGGCTGCCGTTTTTGTTGTTGCACGACCACCTGGAATCACGCGCGGTGTCGTTGTACCGACTTCCGAAACACTTCTGCGTTGTTTCTGAGTGATGAGATCGTCATCATCTCCCTTGATACCCAATCTTCTCTTCAGCTGCTTCACACTGTTGCGCTTCTCAAATAATGCTTGTTCCGCCAGTAGTGCATCGCGCTTCAGTAGTTCACGACGTACCACGAGTTCTGCTAGCTGACGCGCTTGTACCATCTCCTGTCGAAGGCCACGCAAGCGTACAGTGGCACTTTGTCCAGTTTGTCTGGTCTTCCTGATTTGTCTAATTTCACGACGTCTGAAGCAGACATAAGGATCACCGTCATCCTTAGCATTCTCTTCATACCGAAGAAGTGGCATGATGGGTTTCCCGCCATTCTCAATACGACGCTGACGCCAGTGTGGGTAGACGAATTTGGCGAATTGCTTGTAGGGTTTGCCAGGGGCATCGTCCTCATCAAAGGCAGACTCAATCTCCTCAAATGGCAAAATTGAATCCGGTGCAGTGGATAAGAAGGGTTGCTTGAGGTTGATGGTTGTCTCAAATTGGTGAACAATCCATTCAAACGCATCTTCGCTAATCACGGTATTCTCCGTGCGGCCATTGTTGAAGGCCGTCAACCATGTTTCGTCCACCTCATCCATCGAGTACGGGCAGCCTTCCGTATCCTCAACTGTAGCAGAGAAGCGAATGAAGCTCGGCGGCATTGTGAATGGCTTACGGTACTTTTTCTCATAGCCAGTCACCACTCGACTCGCATCTGGGGTAGGGATGTAGACTGGTTTTTGTGCTGTTGATGTAATAGCAGCAACGAGATGTGTTTCATTCTCTTCCTCCTTATCCACACCCGTCTCCATTTGAGGTGCAGCATTTTGTAGGACAAGTTCCTCTTCGAGATGGTCAATGTCCGTGCTACGCAGAATGGTCAACGCCTGCTTGATGGAAATCTTGCGATTCCTAAAGTTGGTACGCTTCGACATAGTATCAGCCCGATGTGTTCAAGCGTAGCAGAGAGGTCTACGGCCTTTGAGAGCCGTAGAGAGCGTGCCGAATAGGGCCAAAAGCAACACAAAACAAACAACAGCAAGAACAAGTGCAATATGCAAGCTTTTCGACCAGAACAAAAGTGGATCTTCAGTCAAGTAGACCCACAAATCCGATCACGATGGCAACGAGAGCGTTGCAAAGAGCCCTCTATCGGCGCAACGTCTTGTTGCTTTTGTGAGGTCCCTTGCAGAATCCTGCAGCGTCACGAAAAGCTCGGCTAATCGAACACGTGCCAGCAAAATTCAGGAACGCTCAAACATTTTGCAACCGCGAGTACTTTGGTGCCTACTGTGCTGCCAATCAGCTAATTAGCTTGACCATGTCATTTGCTCAATCTTACCGTCTCGTTCGCGGGTCTCTCCGTCTGAGCTCCCGTTTTGTATGTTGCAGATGTTATTCAGTTGTGCATCAAAAGACAATATATAGCGGCATACAGCCTACTGGCTTTCCGCACCTTGGCAACTACCTTGGAGCTCTCAAACAGTGGTTGCATTTGCAGCAGACTGAGCCAGCAGACACCAGAATTATTTTGAGCTTAGTGGACCTCCATGCTATCACTCAGCCGGTGCCAGCAGCTCAGCTTAAAGCATGGAAGAAGGAAATGCTTGCCGTCTTGCTAGCCATTGGCTTGGACCCTGCGCGCTGCATCATTTACGAGCAGTCTCGTGTTAGGGAACACACAGAACTTGCTTGGATCCTCAGTACAATGGCACCCATGGGTGCCCTCTCTCGCATGACTCAGTGGAAAGTAAAAGCAAAAACGGAAGCTGACACCATGGACGACTTGCCGGCCACTGGAGGCCCGAACTTGGGCCTCTTCGCGTATCCCGTCTTGCAAGCAGCAGATATACTGCTATACAAGACAACGGGGGTACCTGTAGGTCATGATCAAGCCCAGCATATCGAATTATGTCGGGATCTTGCTAAAGCGTTCAATTCTCGTACACGCACCAATACGCTCCTCTTGCCACGCACTATGATGCCATCAGCAGGTGCCCGTGTACAAGATTTGCGGGACCCGAGCAAAAAGATGAGCAAGAGTGCCAAGAATGCAAAGAGCCGGATACTGCTGATAGATACGGAAGAGACCATCATCAGCAAGATTGCAAGCGCGGTGACGGATAGCGAGCTGGGCGTCACCTATGAGCCCAAGAAGCGGCCCGGCGTGGCAAACTTGCTTGATCTCGCGGCCGCCTTCAATACCGATGGGCGCACAGCTCAAGACCTTGCCAAGGATTGGAAAGATCTGACTCACAAGCAAGTCAAAGGTCAGATTGCCAAGAGCCTCAACACTGGCATCACGCCGATCCGTGAACGCTTCTATGAGTTGACGCAGTGTTCGTCTGGACAACAACGGCTCGATGCTGTTGCTGAAGAAGGTGCAGAGAAGGCTCGCGTTATTGCTGCTGAGACCATGGTCGTTGTACGCGAAAAGATGGGCCTTCATTGATTAAGAATATATACAAGAAGTGGAACTTACGATTACAGCTGCATTACTCAGAATCTTCTCCACTCTCACTGTTCGAGTCATCGTCGTCGTCGCTGCCTTCTTCCTCTTCCTCTTCCTCTTCCTCTTCTCCTTCTTCTTCCTCTTCCTGCTCCTCCTCTTCTTCAGCTTCTTCTTCCTTATCTTCCTCTTCCTCTGCTTCTTCGTCAACCTCTTCATCATCAGCGTCTTCTTCTTCAACCTCCTCCTCCTCTTCACTATCACCCTGGCTATCCTGCTGCTGATAGACCTTCTGTGGCTTATTCGGCTTTCCCTGACCATAATGTCGACCACCACCGAGATTCATCTTGCCCATCTGCGCCTCGATACCGCCATCACCGCGGCTATCGCCAAACTGCTGCTGTTCCGCTCTTCCAACCATAGCAGACATACCTGCGCCTGCCTGGGCAGCTTTAGTAAACGTCCCGCCACCAGAGTAATGTGTCGGCCCGGTTGTTTCGTACAATGTCGCGTCGTGCGCGTGTCCACCGACTCCGTAGGCCTTTTCAAAGTCATCTGAGTGTTGGTTGAAATTGACAGTTGTTCCAGCTGATGCGCCATAAGGGCCGCCTGAGTAAGCACCAGACATCGTGATGCAACTTGTTGTATGATGAGGGTGTTTGTTTTGGCTGCGACTGATCTCGCTAATCTTGACGTTTCATTTCTGGGGGAGATCCCGCTGAGGCGCAGGTGGCACGGATCAGGACTGCCAGATCAACTACTTGCGACCTTGACCACTTTCAATTGCTGGTACTTTTGCCTGTAGAGTGTTCTATCTGTTCTGCTCGTATCCTAGCTCTGCTGTGTCTGAAGGACTTGGTCTGTTATCAACTTTGCTACATTGGAAAGCAGGATGTCTGCACGCCAGACACTCTTCAGACCTTGCATTGACATCCACTCTGGTGTCGTCAAACAGATTGTCGGTGGCACGCTCACAGAGCAGAAGGACAGTCATGCCTCTGACTCACTCAAAACAAATTGGGTATCGACCAGACCTGCTAGCTACTATGCCAATCTCTACAAAGAGCACAACTTGGAAGGAGGCCATGTCATCATGCTTGGACCAGGCTGCGAAGATGCAGCGACGGAAGCACTACAGGCATGGCCCAATCGTTTGCAAGTAGGCGGTGGTATCAACGATACAAATGCGGTTAAATGGCTTTCTGCTGGAGCGAGCAAGATTATCGTCACGAGCTGGCTCTTCCCGGATGCACAATTCTCATCACAGCGTCTCGACGCGCTCGTTTCACTTGTTGGGAAAGAAGCACTTGTTGTGGATCTCTCATGTCGTCGAAAGAAAGACGGGCATGGCTGGACTGTTGCTATGAATAAGTGGCAGACACTCACGACACTCGATATCAATGATGCGAACTTGGACATGCTCGCGGATCGCTGCAGTGAGTTCTTGATTCATGCTGCTGATGTCGAAGGTCTGCAAGGCGGTATCGACGAGGAGCTTGTTCAATATCTTGGACATTGGGCCAAGCAGCACAAGGATCCCATCAGCATCACGTACGCGGGTGGTGCACGGTCAGTGGAAGATTTAGAGCGAGTCTCAGACTTGAGTGGTGGGCTGGTTGATTTGACCATCGGTTCTGCTTTGGATATCTTTGGTGGCCAGGGCGCGAGTCTCTCTGACTGTGTGGCTTTCAACCGTAGATGAGCAGCAATAGATGTGACTGTTGTGTTGCGTGCACATGCGATGACATCTCCACTTCACTCGATTACAGCATACAAACAACCTCGCCTTTCGCAAGTCTTGAGATACAGAGGGAATGGCTCCAGCATGGTACGAGCCTCTTCTCGATGGCGGCTACATGCCAATCCCACTCCTTCGCTATGGCATTCGCAGACAACTCCAAGTTCGTCTCAATGAACTTGCCTTTCCCGATGTTGAAAAGGCGCTTGCCGACAAGCTTGCCTTTGTCGCTTCCCTTCGAGAACGTCCTATTGCCATCAACACGGAAGATGCCAATAAGCAGCACTATGAGGTCTCCACGGAGTTCATCCAGATGTGCTTGGGTCCGCGTATGAAGTACTCATGCTGCTTATTTCCAACTGGACGCGAGTCGCTTGCTGAGGCGGAAGAAGCCATGCTTGCTTCGTATGTGGAAAAAGCACAGCTCAAACCTGGTATGTCAATTTTGGATCTTGGCTGTGGCTGGGGCTCCTTGTCGCTGTACCTTGCTGAGAAGCTACCGACGTGCAAGATTACAAGTCTGTCAAACAGCAAGACGCAAAAGATCTTTATCGACAAGACTGCCGCTGAGCGAGGCTTCAAGAACCTGACGGTCGTGACGGGTGATGTCAAGGATCATGAATTCCCCGATGGCAGCTTCGATCGTGTTATGTCGGTGGAGATGTTTGAGCACATGAAGAACTACCAGTTCCTGCTAGCTAAAGTGTCGCGATGGCTCAAGGATGAAGGGAAGCTGTTTGTGCACATCTTTTGCCACAAGACGCAGCCATATGATTACAAGGATGGGGATGGTTGGATGACGGATTACTTCTTCACTGGTGGCACCATGCCCTCGAATGATCTGTTTCTGTACTTCCAGGATGACTTGGCTATTGAGGGGCACTGGGCTGTGAATGGCAAGCACTATGCTCAAACATGCGAGGAATGGTTGAAATTGCTACTCAAGAACAAGCGTCAAGCAGAGCCATACTTGAAGCAGACGTATGGCGAGGGTGAAGTGACACGTTGGTTCAACCGATGGATCGTCTTTTACCTTGCCTGTGCTGAGCTCTTTGCCTGGGGCAATGGCAATGAGTGGTTTGTCTCGCACTACCTCTTCAAGAAGAAGCCGACCGCTGCTTAGCGTCTGCTGCACATCAGCACATATTCTCATTCCTCGGCTTTTCACATACATAGAGAAGGTTTCTGTATCCGTAGAATCTGTAATACGCTGTACATCCACCTTCATGACGTGACCAGCCGGACTCGCTTGTAGTCTCTGCACGAAGAGGTCGAGTGATGCTTGCTGTGGATGCTGTGCTTCTCCCTCGACGGTGCCAGCGCTGGTGTTGCGCACAAAGCCAGTCAAGGACATTTGACGAGCAACGTCACGCGTGGTCATACGGAAGCCGACGCCTTGGACATGGCCGTGCACTTGATACGCTATGCGAGGCATGATGGAAGTGGTCGTCAGAAGCAAGGAAGCAGATCAAGTGAGCACAAGGATGGGCAGAGGGCTTAAAGACACAGAAGCAATAGAGAATGAAAGGAAGGAAAGCACGTCCCATGTCCAGAGAGATTGCAACCGTACGCTATTCCTTGAAGGCCCCAGTCCATCACAGAAACCGCATAGCATGCAGCCATAAAGACACACAACACACACATGAACCGTGAATAACGCCTTAGCAGCACTTGGACTTGAGGCTTCCACCGCTGTTACCATCCAGCTTGACGCCTGCACTACCGCCCGCACTACCAGCGTCTTGCGCACTTGTATCCAACAACCTCTTGAGAATTTGCCGCGCAAGTTGCATAAAGGCCTCTTCCACCTTGATATTGGCCTTGGCACTCGCTTCAACAAAGGGCACACCAAGCGACGCTGCAAGTTGTTCACCCTCTTCACGCGACACTTGCCGCTTCTCCTCCCAATCGCACTTATTGCCAATCAGGATCTTGTTGACATCTTCACTGGCGTGTTGCTCAACATTGCCGAACCAGGTCCGGACGTCTTCAAAGGACTTGCGGTCCGTCACGTCATAGACGAGTAAGATACCCATAGCGCCGCGGTAGTAGACAGTGGTGATGGTCCTGAACCGTTCTTGACCAGCGGTATCCCATATTTGGAGTTTGACGCGCTTTCCATCGATATCAATGGTGCGGATCTTGAAGTCGATACCAATGGTTGTGATGAAGGAAGGCGTGAAGGAGTCTTCTGAGAATCGTAGGAGGAGACAGGACTTGCCGACGCCTGGGAGGGTTTTTGTTAGTACGCTTGTTTTGTTATTTGGAGCGCATGGCATTGTGTGTCTTTGCGCATGTGAACAGATGAGCATACCTGAGTCGCCGATGAGGAGGAGCTTGATGAGGTAGTCGTAATTTCTAATGGTTGTCGTCATGGCTGGCTGGCGCTAGATTGTGTGCTGGCAGGATAGAGGGATGCGCGCGCAAAGTCTAGGGGCGTAGTTGCTGGGGAATGAAGATGTGAGAGTGCGGCCTTGAGTGTGCGCCTGTGTGTCTGGTGCTGCTGCTTCTTGCTAGCTTGACTGGGTCTATGGATATCTGTTGCTGCTGCTGCTGTGTCGTGGTTGCTTGGGAAGGCGAAGAAGAAGGCGGGAACGGAGTCTGAGCATGAGCATGAGCATGAGCATGGACTGGCAGCAGCAGCAGCAGGAGAGAGCATGCAGAGAGACACAGACCAGCAGCAGCAGCAGCATCAAGGCTCCAGCTACCTCCTCACAGCAGCAGCAACCGCCTTCCTCATAGGCCTCACCGTCGCACTCTCAAAGACACGCAAGCAGGCACACGCACAACCCCTCCCGTTCTTCCGCTCAAACGCAGCCCATGACCATGATCCAGACTTCAGTCCAGTCATCCATGCAGCCAAGGCGTTTGGGATGGGTACACTCCTCTGCTGTGGTTCAGCCACCGTTGTGGTCTGGGCAGCGAGTACAGCGCTGGATGTCCATAGCTTGCCCGAGTTCAGTATACGCATGCGACAGTTGCTGGGTAAGGCAGCGCCGAAGCTGCAACAGCGGCTCAGGGACGTCGATACACTGGAGTCGCCTGGATGGCAACAGCAGCAACAGGATCAGGGAGAGTGGGACGCAGTCTGGGCAGAGGGACGGCGGATTGATCAGGAACGAGCAGAGGTCAAGCGGCGGCGGAAAGAGAAGAAGCAGAAGCAGCAGGAGCAAGGTCAGGGACAGCAGGATGAGGCATCAGCATAGCATACACTTGAATATACGTTCATCACAGCGAGTCTTTCACCGTTTCCGAGCACTCTTGCGGGAGCCTCGTGCCGGTCGAGCACTTTCTGTCTCGCTGGGCTCGTCTTCTTTCCCAAGCTTCGAGGCCCTCCGCTTGTTGGGCTGTCGCTTCGTCGTTGATGCTGGCGGGCTCGCCTTCTTTGAGCGTGTCCCTCGTTTGCTCGCAGCCTTCTTCTTCGTTGATCTCGCAGCTGCCTGGTCGGCTTCGTCTTCGTCGTCCTCGTCCTCTTCCTCTTCCTCTTCCTCTTCTTCCTCCTCCTCATCTTCTTCTTCCTCTTCCTCTGGATCACTCAAGGCTTCCTCATCATCCTCGCCGTCTTCCTGCATACGATCATGCGCCGACGTCGGACTCGCCTTCGACGACGCTGCACCATCCTCCTCCGCAACACCCTCTATCGCGCGTGCCTCTATCAACTCCCTGTATTCTGCATACGGCAGTTCAAACGACCCAGATACTCGGGCCATACCATCCGGATCGCCTAGACTGTCTTCTCCCGCTGAATCGCCCTCAACGTCACCGTCGAGTCTTGCCGTCATAACATCCATTGCTGCGCCTTGGATCTCTGCCATATCATATAATGCATCCAACTTCTGACGTATGGCATCCATGGATATCCGAGGCGCATCTTGAGTATCGTGATTGAGTGCGATGAAGAGGTTGAGGAACCTAAAGGCTTGATGGATGCCGACGGGCCTGCATTTGATTAACGTGCGGAAGAGACAAATCTCGTCGCTGGTTTGTCAGCACACTCTTCGATCAGCTGGGGCCGTACTCATCTGTCCACTCCATAGCCATTAGCCCAAGGCCTGTTACTCGTTCGTTGGTCTGGTTGTCGCATCTTTTCCTGGACTTTGGAAGCGACGAAAACAGACGCGACTCAACACCAAGACTCTGACTGCCGCATCTATACAATACAGATGGCAGATGTCTGGCTGGACTTACCGCCATTACAACCGCTGGCCAGTCCACACTCGAAAGCTAGCTCACTTGACCCGCTCGGCAGCTTACATCCACTCGATAGACTGACGCTGACATCGCTGTCCAAGTCTCAAGTTTGCTTATCCTTGCCCGAGCTACGTGCTGCAAGCGCTCATGTCTCTTTGCAGCCTATCTCAGAGCTGTCAAAGCCGAATAATCTCCAGACATTGCCTGAGTTGCCATCAAAGGCCTACAAGAAACGCCAAAAGCGAGCACACGCTTCAAAACAACCAGGCAGTCCTTGTCGCGATGAACAGACATTACAGCACGAACTTTGCTTGTTGATGATTGGAGAGGGATCAAACACGTTCAAGTGGCACGAACGCATTCGAACCTTTGCATGCCATGGGCAACAGTCTAAACACTCTAGCATGCTCGATAAAGTTGTTCTTCACGGCACCAATGTCAAGCGACTGAAGCAGGCTAGAGAGGCGTGGCGTCTGGACACGTACTTTAGTACTCGCCGAGCCTGTGCTCGCTTTCTAGGCTCCTTTCTCGATGCCCTACGAGATGATTGCATCTTGCGTTGGCAAGACATCACAGGCACGGAGGACTTGGCACAACTTCTTGAAGATTTGCAAGGACAGGTCGATACAATTTCTTGGCTCTCAGGTGTACTTCAGCTGCAGAAGGAAAGTTGGAAAGAAACAAGCATGGTCCTCGTTATGGAACACCTGGCCAATGCGCCAAGCCCGGATCTTTTCCTACAAGACGCGTGTCGTGTTGTGGCTGTGGACTTGCTGGCATGCTTGCTCGAACCTCTCCTCTCAGAAATTCATCATGCTTGTCGCTTGGCGCTGGGATTGGCCGCACCAATTGAGTATCTGCTCGACAATGTTGAGGACGAAGACGGCCCTAGCTTCCCAAGCTTCATCAAGCCCAAGACAATCACTGCCGTGCATGAGATTACACAAGGCCTAGCACTGTTGCGATCACATGATGCGGCTGCATACAAGGCGCTTCAACCACTTCCTGTTACCATGGCAAACATCTCCTTCGTGGCAGAGCATGTGGATGCACATTATCACGTAGTTGAACAGTGGAACAACGAGACTGACGTGGCTGACAATGTCACCAAGAGCCTAGGCCTCACACAAGTGCAAGACTCTGCATTGACCACACTGGAAGACGTACTGGATGTTCACCTAGACTGGCCCGTCGAGGAACAGCTCAGACGCGTTCAAGCGCACGTTCTCCACCTCATGCTCGATAAACTACAACTCCAACGACACCTGGAGCTCCTCGAACAAGTTTACTTCTTTGGCAATGGTCGCTTCGTCGTTTGCCTGACGGATGCACTGCTCGCAAACACAAGCGACTCTGTGTGTCTCTATAATCGCGCTGGCATGTGGCCACCTAGTAATGTCCACATGAATATCGCAACCCGTGCCATGCTCCAGCATAGTATCGACGGTCAATACACACAACCCAATCTTCATGCATCGGGTGATATGGCTGAACGCGACTACTTAGGTCATCTCGGTTTTCGACTCGAAGCAGATCTCGTGCACCATCAAATCCCACGCGATGCACTAGACGCCTTGTCGTTTCTCAAGTTTGACTATCGTCTACCTGCACCACTCGATCAAATTATCACGAAGCAATCCCTTATGTTTTATGCGCAAATCAGTGGATTTCTGCTACTTCTTCTCAGACTTGTCTATGTCGTGGATCAACTCACCATTCAAGCACGACTCCATCGCAACGTCGTCCATCATCGCGTCAAACAAACCTTGCAATTTCGACTTGAAGCACTGTGGTTTGTGAGGAAGCTAGCATCGTACTGCTTTGAACGCGTTGTTCAACCAGCCTGGCGTGCCTTTCTCGCCGATTTACCAGTCGTTGCATCTGAAAATCCAGGGGCGATCCGAGACCGTCACTTGGCACTCCTCATGACCATCAGCCATGGCTTGCTGCTTGATGCAGAAGGCGCTGAACGGATGGAAGGGGTGCGAGAGGCATTTCAGGCGATATTGACATTATACAGTATTCCGGCTGATCAGCGGGAGGGATGGAGTGCAGACCCAGAGTTGATTGAGGTGCTGTACCAAAGGTTCAAGAAGCATGCTGCGTTGGTCTTGCTAGATGAGTTGGTGGATGCGACAGATGTGGAGTATGATGATGACCTGGAGCTCAGCTCTGATGAGACATAGCACGGAGCAAGATGTGACTGTCTGGTGGGCGTGTGAAGTAAGTAGTCGATTGTCAGAAATTGTGGACGGAATCTGTACAGACAATTAGACCAGGACACCGTCGGATGCTCTCTCGCACGACGCTGAGATGTGTACAAGGCAGGCTATGCCGGATAGCGCCTGCTGCACATCGTGGTCAATCCTCAACAGCTGCCACTGATGCAACTCAGAGTCAGCCGAAAAGCGATGCATGGACACCGACTGTCTCTACGGCCGTTGACAGACCGGACAGCAGCAAGCGTATCATCCCAGAAGCGATAGAGGCAAAACGAGGCAGTAAGACACTACACAAGATTCCTCGCGTGACGCCCTTACCGACACATCATTTCACGCCGCGACGTGCATCACGCGGTCAACCAACCAGTCTTGATTATGAAAAGATCATTAGCCATTTAGCAACGAACAAGTCACCAGCGACGCAGTTCAATGCTGATTTGTTGGCATTTGAACTCTTCAAGGAGATGTTGGAGCATCAGGTCGCTCCATCCCTGCAAACCCTCAATATGGTCCTACAACTTGCTTGCGAGGGCCCCGATTCAGATCGTGTGAGCTGGGTATTGGATATTCTACAGAAACACTGGATCACATTGCAGAGTCGTCAGTATACCCAAATTGCGCAACACTATGCGAGAACTGGGCAATTCGAGCTTGGTCTTGTGTTTCTGTCAAAGGAGGCGGATGTTGCTGGGAGGATGATACCGACACAGGCGTATAGTGCACTGTTGCGAGGCATGCTGCAGCGCAATGAGCTGGACGGTGCACTTGAGGTGCTTCGTATTGTCGATGGTGAGCCTCAACCAGGCGATGCATTGACAAAAGCCTCTTTTGTCACTTACCCGTGGAATAACTCAGATGCACTCGAAGCATTGACAGCATTTGCCATTGAAAGACATGCTCAAGGCTTGGAGTTTGCTTGGCGGCTCTGCACACAAGGTCGTAAAGTCATGATGGATGCTGACCTCTGTCGTCGAGTGCTGTTTGTGACGAGCCAGTTGGGTATGCCGTTGCTCGCTACAGACGTCATGAAGTACATGGCCGTCCGGAATATGGCCATCGGAGCACCGGAGTACGCAAGACTCCTGATGGCCTACACGACGGCTGGCGATATCAAAGTGGGCTTCTCTGTGCTTTCTGTGATGCGATCAGCGGGCGTTGCTCCCTTACCCACCACGGCGAGTGCCATCCTACGAGTCATCTCAAGAGACCTCGATACGGTGGATCGTGCATGGTTCACGCTACTGGATTTGAAGGAAAGCGGTGCGACAGTTGACGTAGCAGCTGTCAACTGTATCATCCAAGCATCTGTCCTGAGGAATGACCTCAGCCGTGCAATGGCAACCTACAAGGAATCAGTCATGTCGGCAGAAGAAGGTGGTCTGGGTATCAAGCCCGACATCACCACCCTCAACAGTCTCTTGCTTGGCTGTTGTGCCGTGCTGGAACGCAAAGCAGCTTTGGATCTGATTACAGAGTTTAGGGACGAACATGCCATCAAAGCTGATGCAACGACCTTTGAGACTTTGATTTGCTGCGTCTTACTTCAAGCAGAGTACGAAGCGGCATTCACGATACTTGAAGAGATGAAGCAAGAAGGGCATCAACCCAGTGCAGGTCTCTACAAGATGCTGGTTCTCAAACTCGTTGCTCAGGGTGATGAGCGTGTGCGTGTAGCATTGGAAGAGATGAGAGGCTGGGGATACAGGCAGCGTGACGTGGAACGCGTTGTAGCAGATGGCGGTGTCGTCAGCTACTCGCAAGTTCGACCCTCGGGACAACAAGGTACTGGCTTTGTTGCGCAGAAGCAGGAACTCAGAGCACCAGAAATCACCATTCGGCTTGTTCCTGGCTATCAAAAGTTGAGAGAACAAGTCAAGTGAGTGTTGCATGGACGGCAGAAACTGAGTTGATCGCTATCTAGAATCTCTTGTAAAACCGTGTATACCGGGCAGCTGTGCTCTGCTGCATTTACTGACGGCGTTCAACCGAAGCCCTGTTATGTTAATGTCGCGGTCAAAGTAATTGATGTGCGTACTTGAACTGCTCCCGCTGGGCAGCGAGCATGTTATCGTTGCTCTGGCTGACACTCAAACGACGGAGCTGTGCGCCAGATGGCTGTTCAGCTGGATTCTGGCTGTTTGCTGCTTTTTGTGCAATGTCACCTGGGATGGCAGTTGCGATCTCTGCATTTGCTTCTTCCTTGCTGGTGCTCATGATTGATGTAGATTGAGTAGATGGGGGAAATGGTGTGTTATCTCAGTTTGACAGCTGCCGTAGATGAGGAGAAGTCGTGGAGTTGCGAATGACGCACCCAACTTGGGATCTACAAACTGATGAGCACTCACTCACCATCGTACGCCGTACGAGCAGATGCACAACCACTATCACTGCTGCTTCGTTCATGCTTTGATCGTTACTTATATACAATATGCAAAGATGCAAGAAAGTCTATTTGCCGCCTACAGAGCCGGGTCCAGATGCATCACCGGCTCCAGCTTCAGCTTGCTGCTCTCCTTGTGTTCTGGCTTGTGAAGCCTGTTGTTGCTGTTGTTGATGCTGAGAAGGACCCGATAGACTACCAGGACCTGAACCAGGCCATCCTGATGTGCTTGATGGTACTTGTCCGGGCGACGCAAACATAAAGTCTGAAAAGTCAAGACCACCCAGGCCAGCGGACATGGGAATTCCTGCACTAGGTCGCCTATCCAACAAATCATTCGAAAGACCATCAAGGGATGGCAGTGTCGAGTTTGGGTTTGGCGGTACCAGGATGGACAAGGATGATGCAGGTGACTTGTTGCCTCCAGCAGCAGAAGCACTAGCAGCTTGTTGTGCAGATGGCGACCGGACACCAGCGTGTGAAGCAGCAGGTGCACCTTGCAGTGGAGAATGTCGCTGCTGCTGTTGCAATTGTCCAGGTGAACCACGCGAGACCATTTCATGCTGTCGACGCATTGCTGGCGGTGGCATCTCGCCGCCGAGTCCACCTGCAATGCCGCCCATGTTACCATGGCCTGGCTGTCCAATTTGCTCGTGCATCAGTCTCTGTTGAGGCGGTTGCAACGCTTGTTGTTGTTGCTGCTGTTGCGAAGCTGCACTTGGGCCCTGTTGACTAGGCGATTGCTGCAGCATAGCGGAAGATGCGCCGACTTCAGAAGCAGAAGTCTGCGACCCTGTTCCAGTTGTCTCCGTCAAGCCATTGTAACTGGCCGAGTACTTGCCAATAATTTTGCGCAATGCAGAAGTGAGGATACGCCAAGGAAATGCCTTGACATCCTTTTCAATATTTCGCGGCTTGGGTGCAGGGAATCCCATGATGAGCTTGAAGAAGTTGTCCGAATCAGGTTTGCCCTTGCCCACAGTAAGTGGACGGAATCCCTCAAGGTTGCGACGAATGCGATTCTTCTCCTCAACGGCGAATCGATTCCCAATGAGTGACTCGAGCAAGAAAATAGCATCGACAGAAGTGAAGAAGCACTCTTGCCGCTCCTCCCAATAAATGCAAGAAATGATAACAGCATGCGGCGATCGCGTTGCTCCTGGTTCAACGGGCCTGAAGTTGATGCGAATGATGTTGCCATCCTGCTTCCTCCAAAACTGAACCAGACGTCTGCGAATGGCAAACTCCTCACCAGACCAATTGCGCGACATATCGTCGAGGTTCCCCATGACGTCGAGCTTTGCCTTTGAATTGGGCATCCAGCCAGCTGGGAGACCACTCGCCGCTGCAGAATTAGGCGCTCTGCGACTCGAAGCAGACAGAGTACTAGTCCGTTGCAACGTCGGTGTATCTGAGCTGGCCTCGGAGTCTGCTGAGGGGAAAGGTTGATCGTAGCTACTCTCAGACTTGGCAAATGTCGCTGAATGGGGTGGAGACATGTAATTGGTTGTGCTGGAGAAGGGTGATCTGAATGTTGCAGAAGTCGGACTCGGCTGGTAGCTGTATGGCGAAGGAGTCTGCTGTTGCTGAACAGAGAGGTAGGAAGGGTGTTGCCTGTTGCTGTCCGGATGGTAGGGGTGCTCTTCTGCAGAGGGCAAGCCAGAGAGTGAGAAACTCGGCGCCCGGTTGTGTGATGGGTACTGGTCGCGTGGTTCAGCGATGTACCGAAGTGGTGCATCTTGCAAGGCTACAGGACCAGGAGGACCTCTGTCTGGCGCATACGGACTCGGTCCACCCACGGCAGACGGGCCGCCAACAAGGGATGGATGCATTGAGTTCGCAGAGGCATAAGAAGCGGTAGGTCGATGTCCAAGTCGTTGTCCTGGCTGATCGTGGTAGGGTCCTGGCGCGCCTGCATACGGGTTGCGCTGTGAATTTGTGCTGTTTGCACGACGAACAGGTGATGTCGCAGGTGGCAGACCGACTGTGTCTTCGTCTCGCGCGCGCTTTGTTCGTCCAGGGGAAGACATGTACACAAATTCGCCAATCTGGATAGAGTGCAGATCTTGGTCGGTGTGTGGGTCGACGACGAGCAAGTAGATGGGAACTTTGCTCGACCACCAAGCAGTATCTTCGAATCTAGGCACGCCGGCACTCAGCGTGCAGGTATTGAAGTTCCTGCGACCTTCGAGAAAGGCACCAATACGACGCGACCCAAACACAAATCTGAACTGTCGAGAGGAGGGATCCATGTTGCCGATATTGATGGTTGCAGTAAAGTTGGTACCTGGACCACCTTCCTTTGGCGCATAGTCGAGGACTTGTGGTTGTCGCGAAGGGTCTGGAACTCCTGGCATACCAGCAAGACCTGGCGCATCGCCTGCCATTGGGTCTCGTTGTCGCGAGGGGTCATAACGAGGTGCTTCGCGCGTGTATGGTTGTTGCGCATATGATGGAGGTGGTTGTTGCGGATGGCTCGGTAGTCGATACTCTGTCGGTGCTTGACGGTCATCATGCGAGAAACGATTGAAGGCTGCTGTATGTCGTCAGTACAACTGTGCTTCTTTGGGAAGAGGGGTGCTTACACATGGCTCAAAAGCAAACACAAACCGCTATAGTACAATGGCAAGAAACGCCCGTGTCGCAGTCGCTCGTACGCGCAAGACCAAAGGTGAGTGAGTGAGTGTGTGTGAGTCTGATGTGAGTCGTCGAAAGTGTTTAGGAATCAAAGAGTGAGTCAGAAGTATAGGAGGGATGTTGGCGCCTGTTGTACCAATGACTGAGACAAGCCAGGCAGGTCGACGCTGCTTGTTGACGACGGTAGGCTGGCTGTGTCCAGGGCGGGTTGGGCCACGCGCCGTTTGTCGTGTCGAGGGGCTGGTGTAGAGACCTTTTGAGCACAAGTTGGAAAGAAGACAACGGGAGCCTGGCAGGCAGTATTGTATTGCTTCCGCGTTGCTTCAGGGCATGGCCGTCTCTGTGCGCTCACTACAAGACAGTCGCTAGGCGATGGAAGGGACGGGACGCAATAGAAGGCGGGTAGAAGCCTCGCCGTTTCTGTGCGTGGGGAGGCGTCCACGTCGACGAAAGCAGAAGCTCAGCTCAAGCAGACGAAGCGGAAACACAAGCACACAGTAGCAGCAGATAGAGGGCCTGGTCAGCAGCTATTCAGCACCTCACGACGCGAAGAGACGCGTGTTCGCCGCAGATGAAGCAGCTTCTTCTAGGCAGCTCACGAATGAAAGCGGTAGTCTGCCTAGGTAGGGGTAGACTGACACACTCGCCTACCCGAGACTGCCTTCGGGAGGAGAAGAGGAGGGTATGAGTCGTGTCTTAGCATCATTTTTCGCCCAGAAGCAGCAGCAGAAGTGGCCAGAGAGCAGCAGCAGCAGTTGGTCGTTGACTCGTTCGGTGGTCTCAGTTGGGTGCGCGCTTTGGCAAGTCAAACTGCCGCTTCGGGCTCAGGGCCAGCCACAATCCGGAACTTCCGCCCTCACACTTTCTGGACAGGGACAGCCAGGCTTCCTACCATCCAAGGACCAGGTTACCAGTATTGCTACTATACCCCGGGTCAAGCAGCCGGGTAGTACTCTGCTAGTATCAATGACTGCTGTCTGTCTATAGCACTTTCGGCTTATGTCATGTTTCCTAGTCCCGGCTCATCTGTACGAAATTCTCCGCAGACACGAATAGCAACAGCTCCAGACTCGAACTCTAGAGGAGATCGTCCTTCCTTGCTCTCCAAGCGGCATCCTGGTGATGGATGAGCTCATGCACTCGTCACTTCACACTTGACATCGATCCGCAACTTGAGCTTCCGGACACAGACATGCGTCAACTCGTACTCACATATGTTCAAGTCGAATCACTTGAACTGAAGTCAATCGATCGAGTTGCAGGCATGCAATTGTATAGCTGGCACCCGACAAGGACATGGCCTATCCTCGCGTGTGTTCTCCTTCGAGTCTGTACAATCAAAATGGCGGGCCGCTGCGAAATGAATCCGTTGAAAGTCGTACTCGCCCTTGATTGGCTTGGACTCTAAAGTTCTAAACTGCACCGCGTCGAATGCAGGAATCCCCATTGAATGCGACGGCGATAAAGTCATGATCGTGACCAGTACTACTCACGAGACACGAGTCATTGACATGACCTACTCGATGTATCCTCAACATGCTTCAAGCTCAGGACCTAGATTTGCTTGCCGGAAGATATGACGGGTATGTGCCTACCGCACCTTGCACCTCACGTGCCTGTCAGGCCAAGAGTCAAGACCGCACGAATCTTGTCAAGATCTTGCTCCATATATTCAAAATCCTGCATACACAATCAAAGCTTGCTCGTTTCCTGCTCAGAGCGCGCAATCTGCACAACCAGCTTACCAAACTGGTTACCGTCGCGCATCTCTACAAACGCTTCATCAGTGCTCTCCAATCCTTGATATACTTTGTGCACGACCGGGCGAATCTTGTGCTTCTCAACAAAGGCCACCATTTCCTTGAACTCTCGCTTTGAGCCCATGGTGGATCCACGGTACTCAATGTTTGCCAAGATGGCATTCATTGAAAAGGTGATTTTCGGAGCCACAGTCATGCCATAGGCAACAATTGCGGCGCCAGGGGCAATGACTGGCAGAACATCTGCGACGATATTACCTCCAGCAGAATCAATCACCAGGTCAAATTTGATATGACCGAGCTGCTTCGCCAGCGCTTTGCCCCATTTCTCCGTCTTGTAGCTGATGCCACCCTTGGCACCCAACTCTTTGGCACGTTGCAGCTTCTGCTCGCTGCCTGATGTGACCCATACATCGGCACCGGTAGCAACCGCGAATTGCAGAGCAAATAAGGCCACACCGCCACCAACACCAGTAATGAGCACAGTCATACCTGACTTGAGGCCACCTTTGCTAAAAACGGCGCGGTAGGCAGTCAATCCAGCAAGTGGCAACGCTGCTGCCTCGACATCAGAAAGGTGAGCAGGGCATTCAACCACTTCCGAGGCTTCAATCGCATTGTACTCCACGAATGTTCCGGGCATACCTTTTTGTCCTCCAAGAATACCGTATGCACTCTCTGGAGCGAGCGGGCTCGACTCCCATCCTTGACCAGGTGCCAATAGAACACGTTTGCCAGCGAGTGACGAGTTGCCTTTCGCATCAACAACAATGCCGACTCCATCTGCACCAACAGGACTCTCTGCAGACATGTTAGGATAACTGGCCTGACGCTGGAAAACGTCGCGATGATTCAAAGCGCCTGCAAGCATCTTGATGAGCAACTGGGTGCTGGTCGCTCGAGGTTCTTTCACATCTGCATGGATCAATGGGTACCATACTGTTCCAGGCTTTCCGCCGGCTGAGCTGTCAATGCTTACTTGCTTCATCTTGTTCTTAAGCTTAGCTGTTCGAGGGTGTGAGTAGTTTCTATCGTAGAGGCGGGGTTCACAACTGACAAATGACGAAGCGGCACTGCCGGCCTCAATAATTCACTACGCCATCTACATACAACCGATAGGAAGAGCATCTCTCGAAGCTGGCATGGATACCAAAATCATCGTTGTTGATTCCGTACATGCTCGTAATACGTCTGCATCAAGCTGACAGCCAGGAACAACTCTTCAAAAAGTCGACTGCATTGCGTCTCGAAGTCTTTACCCAAGAGCAGAATTTTGACCCAGCAATTGAATTGGACGAGTATGATGTTCCTTTTGACCGCAAGGATGTGATGCACATCATTGCAGTGGACTCTCAGGAGAATGCACTTGCTACCGTCCGTCTCTATTTGACAGATGGCCAAGCACATTTGGGTCGTCTTGCCGTTGCAAAGCAAGCACGCGGCACTGGCTTGGGACGGGCCATCTGCGAATATGCAGTTCACAAGGCCATCGAAGCTTGGTCTGTTGATACAGTTGTTCTGAGCAGTCAACATCAAGTCAGAAAGTTCTACGAAGGCTTGGGCTACGTCTACAATGAAAAGAAGGGTTACTATGACGACGAGGGATGGCAGCACTGCGAGATGGCTCAAACCTTTTCAAAGCAAACTTGAAGGTAGCTTGTGCTCTTTGCTGATGACTTCAGTCAAGGACCAACGCCGCTACAGTCTGTTGTCGAAAACGACCGTCGCCTTTGCCACGCTTTAATGGCTACTGCCGACCTCATCATCTGTGTCACGAAATAAGGGCATCTGGTCCTTCATCGTAACAAGTACTTCAAGTCTTGTTTTCGCTCGAATGGGTTTGCACAACCATTCATTCGATATGCGCGAAAGGTGCGGACTTTCGGCCATGCCAGTTGCAGAAGCTCTACCGCTTCCATGTGCCGACATCTAGGACTGTCTGCGTATTGTATGAGGTGCTCTTATGAGTAGGAGATCATTGGTAAGGCCTCGAGTTGTTGTTGAAAAAGGCCGTTGATCAGCTCTCTGCTGGGCAGCTGGAATCAAATCTGGTTTGAGGGAGGAGCGGCCTGGACGATAGGGTTCACAATATGGCAAGGTCTAGACGGCAACACTGCTAGTACATCCGCATCCGCTTCTTTTGATAGACACACTCGTTCACTGCATCACTCAAAGGGCCCTCTCTTCTCCTCTTTCCTAATACGCCCACCCAAACACGCCGACTAGCCATTCCTTTGTGCGACGGCCATCCTGCTTGCCACAGACAATACTGATTTCGGCTCCTGTCCCACGAGGATTTTTCGACAAGCATGGAAAGATGTGTACGAGCATTCAGGTCGCTCAGGACCCGTGATGACGTGGCAACAACACAGGCACAGCCAAGCTTGCCCCAGCTACAAAAATAATGCGTTTTTAGGACGCGTTGTTCACGCGTATTGATACTATTGAAGACGCGGATGTTTTCAAAGTTTCGAATTTCGTGCTTCACGTGGTCATACGCCCTGGTAACGCCCATAGTGCACTGCACTCTCAGGTTGGTCTACCTTCCCTCGATCGCTCCCTATAAAATGGTCAGTTGTTTACAAGCAGCAACATCGCTAGGTCCGCCTGGTGACGTGGCGAGGCTGAAGGCGCAGACAAGCTTGCGCTTCGAGCGCGATGCATGGCAGTGCGACGCCAAGCTGGAGGTAGCTCCCACGAACGTAAGCGGCCACATGCCGGAATTTTGAGACGCTCTACTGTGTGCGCTTCCAGCTGACTGCATCTTCACGCTTGCCGCCGGCTTTGCTGCAGCCTTGCCTTCCAAAGCGACTTGGGTCTCTTTGGAGACCTCAATGTTCAAGCTTGAGTGGTAGACGTCATGCCAGCTAGCTTTGAAGGTGTCCTCCTGAGCCTGGTCCTGTAGGATCGCGTCTACAAGCAGCACGCCGAACATGCTTTCGAACGCGGGTTGTGTGCTCAGGTTCGAGACGCTTACTTCCATCGCGACATCAAGAAACCATGAGCCACGTTCGAAGCGCAAGCTTGGCTTTGCCTGTACCTTTGCGATATCACCACGAGGTCCGAGCAAGCATCACGTCGAACATGCTTTCGAATCAAGGACTGTCTCTACTCCATTCCACTTCTCTTACCTTGCACTGATCGGCACAAAGGCGGCGACCAGCCAGCCATTCCTCTGTACGTCGCCCTGCGATTGCCACACCGCGTTCTAACGCTTATCGCAGAACTCGCTTTCCATATATGGAAGGATCAATTCAAGTAGCTACGGTGCTCGGACCTCGTGGTGATGTCGCAAGGGTACAGGCAAAGCCAAGCTTGCGCTTCGAACGCGGCTCATGACTGGTCATGTCGGCAAGGAAGTAAGCATCCCAAACCTGAGAACAGAACCTTCTGTCGAAAGCATGTTCGGCGTGCTATTTATGGAAGCGATCTTACAGGATTAGGCTCAGGTGGGCACCTTCGAAGCTAGCTGGCATGAAGTCTATCACCCAAACTCAAATATTGAGGTCTCTAGGGAGCGCCAAATCGCTCTGGAAGGCAAGGCTACAGCGGCGCCGGCGGCAAGTGTGAAGCTGCAATCGACGAGAAGCACACACAATGCTATGACTCTAACCAAGCAGCAAAAGGTCTATGCTGGCGGTTTACACCCTGTCGTAACGTCGGCAATGACACAAGGCATGCGAAGCAGGGGACTCTGGGTGCCACAGATACATCTTGGTCAATAATATTGGAAGGTTCGGCCATTTTGCACTTTTCTGCCGGCGATGAAGTATCGTCGAGGACTGCCGAGGAGACGGTATATGTTTCCGTCCAAAGAGCCATCGACATTGACTGTTGCTCTAGTTATTCTTCCGGTGAAGGGCTGCAACGCCGTGGCTTGTTGACGGCCGATCCTTTGCCGAGGGAGAAAGCGTGGACCTGCGTGGTTCTCGAACAATCAGGTTGCATCACATTCGTGCCATAATGCTTGCCGTGCTACGGACTATTCTACGCATCTCTAAACCTCCACCAACTCGAAATTGATGAGGAAAAACACCTCTGAGGGGTCATCTGCCGACCGTGCCATATACCTGACCGGCTGGTCCTGTACGTACTTCCGCAGATTCGTACCTAGTGGCCCCAACTTGATGTCAAAAGTGTTGAAGTTCATATAAGGCAGGAAGAAACTCATGCAATAGACAATATCCACATCGAATTCGAAATCCTCCCGATTCTCCTTGGATTTCGCAAAATGCCGACGCCGGTCCTTGACTGTTTCCAAGGCGCCACCATCGATGAACGCAGTGTCTTCAATCGGTTCAATAGCGGGATTGCTGAATCGCCATGGGCCAAGCTGTTCGTCGAAACGGTGCGAGATGCGGCTTAATTTTGAGGCATCCGAGATAGCGAGTGCATCTGCACGAATCTGTTGTTGAGCACCGGCCGTTTTACTCGGGAATCGTGAACCACTCGTCGGACCAGACGTGCTTACACGTGGAGAAGCGGGTGTTGCTGAGGAAGCAAGAGATTGCTCTGTCGTCGATCTGGTGGCAAGACCATCACTCTCGCTCGCGAGTCCACTGCTCGTTGTCGACAGTGCAGACGCCGATGCTTGAGTCTTGATACTATCCTTACGGTCACTGTGTGAGAGTGGTGCGATTCTCTCTGTCGAATCGTGTGTAGCGTCATCGACTCCATTTTCTGGCAGCACTCGCAATGGAGTTTTTGACAAGACGGGAGCGTCGCTTGTACTCAGTGTGGGACCAGCACTATGTGGAGCACGCGCTTCAGAACCGGCAGGCAGCTGTGTGGTTTGAATGCTGGGCAATGCAGGTGTCGCTCCGACAGCAGCACGTTGACGTGCAGCAATATCATGATCAAGTGCGATAGAATGTCTGGTGGTCGATGTACTGCTCGACGGCGGTGTGCTGGCTTCCTTGTCATGCTTGTGCGACGATCTGAATGGCCGCATCAAGTCAAGCGACCGACGACTCCCACCACGACTCTCCTCGCCAGACTTGCGTTCATCACTTGCAACACTACCAGGCACGGTTGACTTGGGTGGCTTGGCTTTATCTTTACGCTTGATGCTGAGACTGCGCATGTTGCGCTCAATCGTCTTGGCTGAGGGAATGTGCAGTGATTTACGCACTTTCTTCACAGACAAGCCTTTCTTCTTCTTGACCACTTTTGTTCCATCGGCTGCAACCACCTCCTCGTACTGGTCTTCAAAGGCAGTGTGGAAGGACATGCCATCGTCATCTTCATCTTCACTTGAAATTTCAGGATACACCGTCAAACTGTGACTGTGGAATGCTGCTGCTGGTGATGTGCCCTCTGCCTCAGACGGACCACCAAGCCTCGAGTAGGAACCAAGACGACGCAGTGCATGTGGGTGTGAGGGGTGTCCTGAGACCACAGCTGCATCAGGATTGAATCGCGCAGAGACTGTCGTAACAACAGACCCAGAACGAGGTCTGCCATCCTCCCCAGGCTCTGTGGGGACTTGTGAAAGTTGTGAGGATCGCGACATCTTGCGTGTCAATGTATTACCCGTCTCATCTTCCCTAAAACCAGCAAATGACCAGTACCGGATCGGTTTCGCAATGGCTTGCTTCTTTGTGTGTTCAACTTGAGCGACGGGAACGTCGTCTTCGTTGTGCTCGTCGTCAGACTCAGTGGGCGCTTGACCATTCTCGAGGGTGAGGACAGCATCGTGGGCGCGACTCGGCGCGGGCCATGCGCTGAGTGTATTGACGCAAGCCAGGTAGGGAGACATGATGTAGGGTTGTGCAGAGGCCTTGTCGTAAAATGTCGCTGGATCGATATACTTGGCAATGCGCATGCCTGTATTGAAGAGCGCTGCAAGGGTTAGCCTCATCTATACTTTCAATTGGTGCAATGGACATACTCTCCGGGAAGTTGTCAATCATGTGGTCAAACTGTGTACCAAACCAGACTTGATCTCCATTGTATGGCTTCTTGAACCTGCCTTCTGCCTGTATATGGAACTTCCTGTTACGTCCCTCAAAGTACGGCGAGTGCGACTGCGGCAGTGACCCATCGGGTGTGAGGCCATCAAAGTCGCGCACACGGACAAAGACACGGCCAATCCAGTAGTCATTCTCGACTTCGGTAGGCTTGTCTTCGCAGTTGACCCAGGCTGTTTGGAGGTCTTGCGCATTGCTGCCAATTTGGACGCGCAGCTTCATCGGCATTGCGATATTGCGGACCTCTTGGATATTGTTGGCGACTTGCGGGTATTGATAGAAGGGAGCGACTGTCCTGTGCTGATGCCTGAGCAGCTGGCTGGCTCTAGCTAAAGCCTGGCTCTTGTGGAAGGAGAAGAGTGTTAAGGTTGCTCTCTCTCTTTTCTTGCGGATGACAAAAGATGACGGCACACGGGAACACGGAGACTATGGGCTACGTCTCTAGCTGCGGTCTATCTGATACACAGGCACGTAGACATCTCCTGTAGATCCAGGGACCCTGTATGGCCTGTATACTAGGTAGTCTAGCCAACGGTTCTTTCATAGGCCTGTCAAAGAGATGACACAGGAGATGAAACGCAAAGCCATCCATCGCAAACACATGAGATCACCTGGCCGTCTGGCTCTCAGGGCCTCCTCAAGGTATTCCGTACGAAGGCCAAAGCTCATACATCTGTGCAACCTGGAGGCCCATACACACCTTGCCAGCCAGCTGCCTCCCGCATCGTCATTTTCATCTTTTCAGAATAACCCTTCCGCCTTTTGACAGCGACACCCACCACCCCATCCGCTGCTTATTTCTGTTCGTGTATAGACCAATCTACCGCTCTTGCAAGGCTCTCCTTCTCCTCTCATCAGCTTGTCATACCTGCTGAGGGTACGCGCCAAAGACAAAACAGAAAGGTGCAACAAACAAGCAAAGCCGACACCCTTTATTCTCGACAGATGCGCTGGCCATGGAAGCAAGGCAAGGGTATCCCTGCAGACAGCGACTCAGATGATATGCCACGCACCACTGCGCGAACAGTGCAAGCACTTCCTACATCCAGCAAAGTGCGCGCGCCTTCAAACAAGCTGACGGGACATCAAGCGTTCTACTTGTTTGTCATGCATGGACTGGGCGCATTGATCATTTCCGGCGGCATCAACTTTGCCATTGCTTACGGTAAGATCATCTTCATCCATTGTGTGTGCAGAAGCTAATGGCAGGCATGTACGCAAACCAGAATCTGGTCAAGAATCCAATCAGACTGTGGCGGTTCCCTAATACACTCTCTGGCGATGCAGCCGTCACCATTTTCATCCAAACAGTCATCACCTGGACCATTGAAGGCATCAGTGCCAACGGTGACCTGAGAAACGGCAAAGTCCAGGCCATCGGCTTCATCAAAGAGCCACGCAACCGATTTCTACGCTGGTACTTCTTCCTCGATGCAGAACAACCCGCACAGGGCAGTAAACGCTCAGCAAAGCAATGGATTGTGTTTCTTGTTATGCAGCTTGTTCGTGCACTCCTCTATGCCATCCTGTTGTTCTTCATTTTCTGGCCCATCACGGTCGCTGCTCTCACGGCACCAGGCATCTCCGACTATGATGGCAATGGAGAGTACAGCTATGGTAGACGCTGGACGCCACAAGTGTTCAAGTTGTTGCTGGGTGGCTTACTAGGTCTTTTCACGACACCGCCCATGACTGCACTATGGCTCTTAACTGTGGGCTGGCGACTGAGACGTGCTCAAGCACTACCAACAGCGATACAGCCTGGGGTGGGTCAGTCGGTGCCTGTCATGACGCAGACGGGACATGTAGCACCGACAGGCTCTGCTACTGCGCCAGGAGAGATGGCAGTGGGCGGCGGTCCCATTGCACCGCCCATCTCATCAATTTAGATGGATGGATTCTGGTATTGTATAGAGTTTTCTCTTTCGTTGCAATTGAGCGACCTTTTTCTTACGTGTAGTAAACTAATAAGCATTCAACCTGATTTCTTTGTTGCAAGTTGCCCATGTCAGCCTTCATATTCGTGGCGTGGACGCGGACTGGCGGTGGTCCACAACCAAAGCTGGCTGTATCGAGCTGTGTCCTTTGAACGTTTCTCCTTTATCCATTGTCATTGTAGCATGTGCTTGACATTCAATGGAGAGTGAAGTAAGTAGTCACTGCAGCAGCAGCTGACGAAGACCTGGTGTCATCTGAATCTTTTCGCACAGGGGAATCAACCTCAGGTTGGACGTTGTTCTACGGACATGTTACAGAGGCTACATCTGCAAGGCATGCTTGCTTGGTGAATCTAACAGCTTCTCTGGCTATGACGGACGAGACACCTTCCAAAGTTCCAGCTGCCACGAACGCCAAGATTGCGAAACTGCAGTAGATCGGACTGATGAGCAGCCGCACGGTATTTTCAATGACTTTGGCATCTCTATGCCGGGCTCAAGCTCGAGCTGGGCGTCAGTTTTGAGTCTTTACAATAGTCCTGGCAGCCAGAACTCGGAATGGAGGAAGAGGCACAGGGATCTGTCTCTGAACGGCAACTAGGCAAAGTAGACCTGGTGGTGAGCACGGCTTCCGAAATGAGCAGATGCGCGATTACGGAGATTGTGTGAAGTCTCATCTGCCGGACGCAGCAGATTGTAGACAAGATTGTCTAGGCTGGTCGTCGCAAACATACAGGCCCGATGCACGACGAGCATGTTCTCTGCACGGTCGACGTTGGATGATAGATGACGCTACTGCATGAGTCTGCATCCAGATTCCAGGCGACTTTGTGAAGAATGGAGCCGCAGCGAGATGAGGAATGTCACGGTGAAATGGAAATCCGCGCCCAATCAAATTCGTGCATTGAGCCGCAAAACACATGGGACAGGCGGAGACACAGGCATCTACAAAGGATTTATACTATAAAGAGAGTGGGTGATAGAAGGGCATTAGGTGAGTATGGCCGTAGATGTGGGTGATTGTTCGATGAGCCAGAGCTGCATTGACCTGGAAATTGGCCGGGTTCTGTTGTGCTTGCTGGATGCGATGATCTGTTTATGGGCAACACGCGGTCGTGGAATTGCTGAGGCTGCGGAGGCAGTGGGAGGGGGCCTTCTCTTGACTCTTAAATCACGGCGCCAGGCATCTCTCCCTCCCCTTCCCTTGCTCACAGCATCCATACACCCAGCGACCATCAAGTCACCCTCTCTTACGCTCTCCCTGCACTTCTCTCTCTAGTGCAAAGACACGTCAACCGGCCTCTATCCATTCTCTGTGACAGCCTACGACCCTTTTCCGCTTCAAAACAACAAGCAAACTCAAGCAAAGTCACTCTCTATCTAAATATGAAGCAGTCAATCCTCTTTGCATCTACGCTCGCCGCCTTGGCAGCTGCTTTCCGTATGTCTCAGGACGAGTAGGATGTTCAATTGAAGTGTGGCCAAGACGCGTTACACGAGCATTGTTTGTGTTGACCAACCCCTGTCTTCAATTGAACATCCTCAAAACATTATTCAAGCTCTTGCTAACGAGTATCAGCCGCTGAGCACGCTCGCGGACACGCTCACCACCGTCGTGAGGCCATCAACTACGACACCTCCAAGGTCGACTGGTCCAAATTGGACTGGGATGCCATCTTTGGTCGCAAGGCCGCTGCTCCCGCACCAGCTGCTCCTGCTCCAGCTGCTCCTGCCGCTGCACCAGTTGCTGCTGCTCCGGTTGCTGCTGTTGCAAAAGCCGCTGCACCTGTTGTCGCCGCTGCCGCGCCCGTTGCGTATGTCTTTCCATGTTTACTTACAACAAGAATGCTAACAAACCTCTAGTGCCGCTGTCAAGGCTGCTGTTGCTCCTGTGACCAATGCAGCACCCGCATCTGTTCCTTCCGACGGTAAGCGTGGACTTGCCTGGGACCAGGCCAACGACGTCGCTCTCTTCCCCGTTGTTGACACTGGCAAGACTTCATTCTACTGGAACTGGGGTCTTCAATCCAACATCAAGACAAGCAAGACCTTCTTGCCCATGGCCAAGACAATCGGCGATTTCGCTGAAGCTGCTGCTGGTCAGCATGATGTCCTCCTCGGCCCCAACGAGCCCGACCACATGGGTGTCTCCCCTGGCGCTGTTGCCGCTGCTTACAAGCAGTACTTGACGCCTGCTCGTGCATCGGGTAAAATCAAGTACCTCACCGGTCCTGCCATCACCAACTCTCAGTCTGGTCTCTCTTGGCTCAAGGAGTTCATGGCTGCTTGCTCTGACTGCAAGATTGATGCCCTCCAGACGCACTGGTATGGCCCAAGCATGGAGATGTTTTACTCTCAGCTCAACGAGATTCACTCTGCTTTCCCCTCGTTGCCCGTCTGGATCCTCGAAATTGGTTTCACCAACTGGAACCAGGCCACCAACCCAAGCGCTGACCAGGTCGCTGGTATGCAGCAGGAGGCACTCGGCTGGCTCGAGTCTACCTCGTGGATTGGCAAGTACGCCTTCTTCATGGCTGGACAGATTGACGACCAGAACCTCGGTTCCGTCAACGCTTTGCTCACTGGCCGTACAGCTGGCTCGAGCTTGTCGGCTTTCGGTGCCAAGTACGTCAACTAGACTTGTTTTTTGCTTGCAAAATAGGTTGAATGGATGTTCTTGTTGATATTTGTTGCGTTAGGTGATTGATATGTGCTGTCTAGGTCAGTAGACTGTCTTGCTCCTGTATCGAGTAATCTTGAGTATTTACGTGCCTGAATGCCATGCAAAGTGACTGCCATCAACTCACAAGCCTACCACTTTCAGATGCCATCTATCAAAAGCTGGTCTGCACGTGCCTTCGACAGCTGTACAAGGAACATTTGAGAGAGCGGTGTGTCTTGAGAGGTCGATCGCTCATGAGCTGATGTTCCACACTGTCCAACTGTGCTACAGCCGATCCTGAGGTTGTTCACTGTTCAGTTCTCAATGTTTGGTAGCACTCCTACAATAAGCAATGAACTCCACAATATTCTATACGACAACCTGATTCTTGAGACACTGAAATAGTGATATTCTTCAGCGAACGATGAGATGCGCGCAGCACGCGGTTTATTGTGCTCCTGATGGTCCTGCAAATGTCTCCTCTGCTGATGGACACATCCCAATTCGGCCAGGCTCGGCAGACTGCTCTTTTCGATCGACTCTTTGTTGAAGCCTGGCAACAAGATTACAACACATAAGCTGATCATACAAGACCTCTCTAGACAAGAACTACGCACATCGCGATAGCTGGGTTGTGAAGCGACGACAACGTAACAGCTCTATCTTTTCAGCTCTTCAAAATAGCTGCGCTTGCTGGCGATTCTGCGCACATCAGTGCAGCAAGCTGCTCCACGCTACACCTGATTGGCTCAGTCGCTCATTGTTTGTGATTACTCAATACGAGAGGAGCGAGGAACTGCGTCGAGGCAGCATGTTCAAGAACTACGGCGCATGGTTGACTACAAACAAATAGAAGCCTTCAGTCAGGAGGCACGACTTTCAGTCTTTCGCCAATCCTTCCCAGCTTGTTATATCAACAGCCAATTCCCCTTCTGGATGCCACGTCAAGGATTGCTTCTTCCTCACTACCTCAGCATCAGTGTCTACAGCGTGCGCAACACTCTGTCTAGACATTGAACATATTGACGCAGTGTACTTACGCCTCCTTCCTGACCCCAATTTTTTCAGCTCTATCACTGCATCAAAGCGTACAGTAGTCAAGTGGACATCTTATGCAGTTTCAACTTTTACTTTACGGCGCTCTCGTCGTCCTGCCAGTCTTCGCCAGTCCATGTAAGTTGATTCAACGTATACAAGTTTCTGCTGACTGACAATCAGATGCAACGCGAACAGGCGCTGGCTGTAGGGATTTCAGTATCTTTCTATGTTCTGTTGCTTACAATAGTTGGCAAAGAGGGGACTATCCAACATGAGAAGCGGGAGGCCGATCCTGCCCGTACGTCTTGATCTCTAAAGACAATCACAGTGCTGACTGCAGCTAATGATTGGAAAGGGGGCGCCAGTTCTTTAGGCGACAAGACCGCTGCAAGCAACATTATTCAGCCTGACAACAACAACAAGAAAGGGCCTGTCCACCACAAGCGCGAGGCCAACCCTGACCGTATGTCTTGAATGCCAAAGACAATCACAGTGCTGACTGCAGCTTTTTGGAGAACCCCCGGTGACTTAGGCCAGCCCGAGAACGGCAAGTCCGGTGCAAGCAACATCAACCAGCCGGGCAACAAGAAAAGGCATGGCAACCACAAGCGCGAGGCTGGTTATGGTCGTAAGGAAGCCTGTCCTTAGTCAACGATATCCTAACAATAGCTGGTGGTCCAGGAGGCAGGACATTCATCCACAAGCGCAATGAAAAAGTCATCTCGCCAGATGCACTTGGCACAGGGCGCAGCGAAGCACATGGCCAACAGGTCGAGAAACACAGCACTCCTGATTCGACGCTACAGAAACGTGATGCCAGCGCACGAGGTATGGCCAATTTGTTTTGAGGACCAGTTGCTGACAACAGACGCCAGCCATGGAGGGGGCAGCGTACTGCACAAGGGTCGCAAACCAGGAATTGTACACAAGCGCGAGGCCAGTATTGCTCGTAAGGAAGCCTGTTCTTGGTCCACGATATTCTAACAAAAGCTGGTGCTCCAGGACGCGGATCATTCATCCACAAGCGCAATGAACAAGTTATCTCGACAGATGCACATGGCACAGGGCGCAGCGAAGCACATGGCCAACAGGTCGAGCAACACAGCACTTCTGATCCGACGCTACAGAAACGTGATGCCAGCGCTCGAGGTATGGCCAATTTGTTTTGAAGACCAGTTGCTGACAACAGACGCCAGCCATGGAGGGGGCAGCGTACTGAACATTCGACCGGGCAAGGGTGGTAAACCAGGGATTGTGCACAAGCCCAAGGCCGGAGGTAAGAGACTGCGCTTCAGAAGCAACAGGGCTGACTCTCTAGACGGCGATCATCATGGTGGCAGTCAACCACCACCGAAGGCTAAACGAGAGGCCAGTTGTAAGTGACTAATTTTCGGATGGAATTGTCCAGACTGACTTTAGCTACTCTTCAAAGGACCGGGTCAGCCTCGAATGCAGGATCATTGTCCAAGCGCGACCTAGCTTCGCCAGACCAACAAAGCACGATGCTCACTCAACTCCAGGCTTGTATGAAGGACATCTCTTGCTTCTCTCTGATGTTCAAACCTGTTAGCACAGCGAGCACTGGCACGGGCAACCCTACTTTCAACACTGTCAACTCTGTCTCGTCTGGTGTTCTTGCTGGAGAGACGCCTGCATTCAACAACGTCGCCTTGACAAACGTTGAGAATACCGGTGACGGATCTGTTGGCAATGGGAACACGAACACACAGGAAAATGGCCAGGAAAGCGAGGTGCCTGGGCCACCATTGTCTACTCCTGTCCCAGACGCTTCGCAGCCGGTACAACCAGTGAGTGACCCTACTCCTCAGCCGTCGGTAAACCCACAAGGCATCTACACGAGTCGTAACACGATTCCTCCTGCTACGGTACCAGCAGCCCAGCCCGATCCTCAACAAACGCCATCTCCACAACCGGCCACCGCTTCGAATTCCACTGCAGATCCTGTGGTTAGTCGACGAGGTCTTGCTTTGGATCCCAACATGCCAGCCGAAGCAATCGCTAAATTCAATGACCACATCTCCTTCTACTACAGTTGGACCATGGTGTCTCAGTCTCAGCAATATACTACTGCCGAGTTCTGGCCACAAATGAAGGCGGGTAATGCCACGCAAATTGCAAGGTCTTCTCAGGAGCTTGGTACCTTGCTCGGATTCAACGAGCCGAACCAGCCTGGACAGAACCTCGTCAGTGCTGCTGACGCGGCATTGGTATACAACGCTTTCTTCGAACAGTACAAAGGCACAATCAAGACAATCACCACACCGGCTCCTTCGAACGCTGCAGACGGCTTACAGTACCTCAAAGACTTCAAAACCGCCTGTACCCATGCAAAATGTCAGGAGCTTCAGGTCACTGCCCATTTCTATGGGGAAGACATCAATTTCCTTCAGAAGCAGATCAACCAAATGTGCCATGATCTTGGACCAATCTGGATCACTGAGCTTGGCTTCACCAAATGGTCGGGTCCACTGGATGCGGCAACCGTTCAAGCTTTGCAAAAAGAAATGATTGAATGGCTTGATCACCCAGACCAAGCTAAATGCGTCACGAAATACGCCTTCCTCGCCAGTACCTCTGACCCGAATTTGGGCGAGGTCAACTCGGGTTTGACAGCTAGTGGAGATTTGACGGCACTTGGTCGTTACCTCACCACCGGCCAGTGGTCCTAGTCACCGACCAGTCGACACCGTCCTGCTTTAATTTCTACCCTCCTGTTCTTCCTTCGTATCTTTAACCCAATTTCCCTTTTTCTTCTGCTCCCTATGCTGATTGACTCTGCGAGGCTGCTTACACTTTTCGCTCTTCATAAACTACATCCATTTATATCCTTCTCATTAGCCGCTGATGTGTTGAGTCGCGACCCTGCTGCCCATCTCGTGAGCTTCGGCCTTGCGCGACCTACCTGCACCTCATCTGCATCCCCGGTCCAGTTCTACACAGGCATCCTCATTTATATCTGCATCTTGCATCATCTGTAATTTATTGCGCAAGAGACCATGCCGTCTGAATTATCACAACGTTCACAAGAAACAGCCGACTATATACGTTCGCGCATCAGTAAAGAAGGCACTTGGCAACAACCGCGTGCTGCCGTCATTTGCGGGTCTGGCCTCGGCGGCTTGGCTGATACGTTTGAGGAAACAGTGACGATTCCGTATGGCGATATACCAAATTTCCCGGAAAGTACGGTCGTGGGTCATGCGTCAAAGTTGGTGTATGGCTTGGTGGGTGAGAATAAAGTACCTGCACTTGCCATGGTTGGCAGATTTCATTTCTATGAAGGGCATGCGATTACAACGACGACCTTTCCGGTGCGTGTGTTTAAGAAACTTGGTATTCCTGTCTTGATTGCAACGAATGCTGCTGGCGGTCTTAATGAGCATTACCGCGTTGGAGATCTCGTTGTGCTGAATGATCACTTGAATCTCCCTGGACTGGTGGGACAGAACCCACTCTTTGGGCCTAACGTATGTCGTGTGGCATGAGTGGGGCTAAGATGACTAACCAAGCAGGATGAGGAGTTTGGCACACGCTTTCCACCTTTGTCAGACGCATATGACCTCGACTTGCGCAGATCCTTCTTCAATGCTTCTCGCACACTCGGCTCAACGCTCACACGCACGATTCACGAAGGTGTCTATGCGTTTGTTGGTGGACCGACCTATGAAACGCGCGCTGAATGTCGTATGCTCAAGATGCTCGGTGCTGATCTCGTGGGGATGTCAACGGTGCCTGAGATTGTCGCTGCTCGGCATTGTGGGATCCGTGTACTGGGTATCTCCCTTGTGACGAATGAAGCTGTTTTGGCACCGGTGCCGAGCGGGAAGGAGGTGGATGGCGTGGATGGTGAAGCAGCGATGAAGAAGGGAATGGCGAATCATGAGGAGGTGTTGGAGGCTGGCCGGGCAGCTGCGTTGGATATGCAGACATGCGTTGCTTCTGTAGTGAACGCTCTATAGATCGTGCTGGTCTACTACAGTCTGGTTGTGCCATCTGAAGTGCCAGGGTTAGGCTCACCCAGTGCGACGTCAACAAGAGCGAGAGAGCAAGAGAGAGCAAGAGAGAGCAAGAGAGAAGCTGACTAACCGCTCAAGCAACAGGCATCTAGACCACTGCTCACCTCTCCAAGCCAGGCCCAAGGCATCCTTCCCCCTGAAATCACAATAAATACCAAAAGCGCCATCGGCCGCCAATGTCCACTCGCAAGAAGGACGAAAAGCGCGTCAACTATGCAGAGCCGCCATCTGATGTGGATGACCGTGAATTGCTGGAAGCGCAAGAGGGACAAGCCGGTGAGGAGACATCACAACGTAAGGCAAAACTCTATAAAAGACATGCTTCTGCGCTAACAAGAAGATACAGTTCCATCAAAACGACGCCAAGTGAGCGCCAGTGCATCTGGCTCACAAGACGAAGAAGGCGGGCGACCTAGTAGCACCCCGAATAAAGTACTCGCCTCTGGTAAGCGCGCTGACCAGAACCGTAAAGCGCAACGTGCCTTTCGACAACGCAAGGACAGGTACATCAAAGACCTTGAATTGCGCTCACAAGAACTCGATATTGCCAATTCACTCATCATTCAGTTGAAGGAGGAGAATGACCGACTCAATGAGATTGCCAAGTCCTTCCATGCACGCAATGAGGAGCTGGAAGAACAGCTCGCGCGCTTTGCTAGACGTGGTTCGGGCAGTAGTCTTGGTAGGGGTAGAGATCCAAGCAGTGTGAGTAGCCACGCACAACAGCGCGATGGCGCGCAGAGTCATGCGAGTAGTAGTGGTGATCGTGGACCAGAGACAGCAGGCTTGGCTGTTCCTGTGCCTGTTCCGCGTTATGACGCAGCAGCTGGTGGAAATGGCGGTGGCAATGGCAATGGCGATGCAGCTGCACGACACGGCCAGGTCATGGCAGACGCCTACTACAGCTCTGCGCGTGATAGTGGCGGTGCTGGAGGAACGGCTGGTCTTGTGGATGCAGGACAGGTGTACTCGCAAGCAAAGGGCTTGATCTGAGTGTCTTAGCTTGGCAGGTAGTGCCGTCGGGAGTGTGAAGGAGCGCATCAATAGGTTTTGCGAGTATATTCTTCCAATATTATGCGTGACGCGAAGCGACCATGACGCTCTCAGCACTGGCATAGGCGACTGACCTTCCCATGCTTCAACGTCGAGCCTTTTCCAAGCCAACAGGTGTGCCATCTTCAGAAGGCATGAGTTTCCCATGTTCTGCTCGCTGTTCATGCGGCTGCTGTTGAGCATCCACTCTTGCTTGAGGGCTGGAAGAGAGCTGCTGTGGCCACAATCCAACAAGCTTGTCCCGTGTCGCTGCTAATGCTGGATACCGCCGAACAAGAAGCTCATGCAGGGCGTGATTGGGTCGACGTGGGTGTTCGCGTTCATAGAGGCCATACGCCCAGATGCCAACACCGAGGGCGAAGAGCGGATCGAGTGCACGGCTGATGAGATAGGTACTGGGCATTGGAGTAGATGGGGAGAGCTAGTTGGCGATGTCTAGTCTACTCTAATGCCTGCTGCTGGCGTCCGTGCGTATGAAAAACCTTTGATATTGGCAATTCTGAAAACAGCTGAGTTCATGTCCTTGGACTTTGGTCCTGTAAATGGTGAATATTGCAATCATCAAAGGTATTCAATACTGGATGGTCTACCTGATATTGAAGGTCTGTGCTGGACGATGGGATGGTCACGAGGCATATCCCCATCCGTGCCCATGTCCGTGCATGTCGGCAGATGAGACTTGATTCGTATTAGCTCATAACCTGTCGACTCTTCATAGACCTGCAGCCTGTTCTTGGTCCGACACTGCCCAGTCCACAAGGAAAAGAATCTCTGTACCAGTGCGTACCTCCCAGGTCCAAAGCGAGCGACATGGATGGCGATACAACGCTTGACCTCTCCCGAGCCAACCTCCGCATGAACACCCTGCTTGCAACGGTCATCTTCACCCAGACGGTGCTCATCTGCACAATCCTCCAATGGCTCGCTCGTATCTTCCCCGTCTTGACTGGCCAGTAAGGCAATTGTGTCTCTTAGCGCAAGTCAAGACCGCTCAATTCACCACCCAAATCCTCATCCTGCACAACTTTCCCACCACCAAGTCCAAGACTCGCATACACCTGTCCCCTGTTCTTCCCCCAAATCTTGAAGAAGCGAATCGACTCATCCGTTGCTGTTATAATGAGATCTTCACCACCGCAGACTTTGGGAGGTTGTGTCTTGCCATCAACGACCTTGCCTGGCAATCGCACGAGTGAGTTGACTGCAAACGTCGCGCGATGCTCGACGAGTGGAAGACTCATGGACAAGATACATTTCATTGATGGATACGCATAGACAGCAGCACGTCTGCATGCAGGGATTTTGCTGGGCGAAGCGGAGGGCTGTGTGCGTAATGCGAAAGCGCAGTAGCCGAAAGTTGCTGCCAACTCCTTGTACTCGGGAGACCAATGCAGACTTGTGACTTGTGCCTGAGCGTCGAATTTGCTAATCATCTGTCCTGTCCGTGTATTGAAGAAGCGGATTGTTTTGTCAGTAGCACCACCGCCAGCTGCAAGCAAGTCTCGAAACCATGGGCAAAAGGCTAGTGCTTTGACGGCTGCGTCTTGGCTCAGTCAGTTATTGTCCTCTTGCAAAAACAAAGTGGCATACCAAATCGAAAGCAGTACTTGGGAGTGAACAAGTTTTGCGCGTCATAGAGATAGCATGTATTGTCGTTGCCACCGCTGGCATATTGCTCGCCATCTGAACTCCATGCGAGTCCCCTTAACATGAGCTCATGTCCTATATTCTGGTGGAAGGACATACGTGACTTGTTCGCGATGACCCCTTCGTGCAACTCCAAGTAGTCTGTATTGCACTCCAGCTTCGCGTGTTGAAATACTAAAGACGTAGTGGTGGACATGACCATTGCAGCCGCCGACTAGGAGATGTTCTTCTTCATGAGCTGCTACCAGACGTGGTCGAAAGGCAAGACAGCCTGAAAGTCAGCCGCTGTTGTTGTATAAGTCTTTGCAAGCTTACCCAAGTCGCCGTCCAACATGATGGTGGCCGGTTTGACGTCGCTGATCTTGGTATGCAGATGCAATGTTCCATCCCGGCGACCAATAGCGATCCACTTGTTGTTCAGCGAATAGGCAAGAGACGTTACGGGCGCGTGAACAGTTATGTGATCCCCGTCCATCGTCAGACCGCTGATCTGCTTGTGTGATGACTTTTCAGACCAGAGATGCACGTCTGCGTGAATGCCGACTGCTAGTTGGGAGCCAGATGACCATGCGATGACTGAGGAATAAAAGTCTTCCGATAGGGAAGGCTGTATCATGAGCAAGAGTCGCTAGAGGAAGGTTTCTTTACAGCATCGAGCACACGGAAGGGCTTGAGCTCAAGAGGTGTCTTGCTAGGCGAGTCTTTTCCTGGTGATGCCAAGTGTGCTGCTTGATCCACAGCAGTCTCCCGCAGCGCTGTAGTCTGTGATACTTTTTGCGCATACGAATGCACGCGTCCTGGATCCGCTCCCAAGCCAAGAGCGTCAGCCAGGTCCTTGTCGAAACGCTGTGCGGGCGATGCATCACTGACACTGCTCTTGGCGGGTGAGGGTGTCGAGTGTTCACTGTGCGAGTCGTAAAAGTACTTTTGTCGAGAAGCACCAGCAATGAAACGGTCAGGGGATCCTCGACTGGCTGGACTAGCAGAGTGATCACGCTTCTTCCTGCGCTTCTGAGCGCTTGATGTGGGTGTCTTGGACGAAGATGGAGCTTGTAATGCTTGCTGTGGAGAGAGAGCTGCTTGACCCGAGCGAGACATCCTGGTACATGAAACTCCGGCTGGACAACGAGTGTGGTCTGTAGCAAGTAAGTGAAGTTGTTGTACAAATGCAGGAAATCAGTGCTGTCGCTAGAAGATACACGGAGCAAGTATTCCCCCTCACCCAAGCTGAGCAATCTCCAGCATACTCTCTGTTCGCGCTTTCATGACATGCGCATAGGCCAGTACCTGCTTCCGAGCTGCCAACTCTTGTACTTCATGCAGCTTGTGCCCACTCTTGCTCTTAAAGAAAGCAAGCGGGACAATCTCGACGTACTGAACCATACGACATACCATATCTTCCAATATCGCTGCATTCCTCAGTGGCTGCTGCGGATAGCGCTTGTGCAAGGCATGATGCAGATCAAACATATTCTTGAGCACTTCGCGATAGCTGTCTGTCTCGTAGCTCATGGATGCCGAAGTGAGGAATTGAATGATGGCTTGTGTAGAGGTGATGAGGTGCTCTATGCGCTTGAGCGTTGCAAAAGGCTTGTCAATGGCCACGTCCTGCTCGAGGCTGAAGTTGTCAAAGGAGCATTGCGATGCTCTCTTGATGCGATTCATGTGCTAATTTCGGCAAGTGCTAGTATTCAGGAAGCGCTGATATACGCGAACACAGACAAGACTGCGACTGTACTCAATGAAGGGCCCGATGCGAGCAAGAGAGGATGCCTGTGAGTTGCTGCATTAAAGTTCTGTCTCCGCAAGATGTCATTGCTGACACGTGAAGGCCAAAATTTGACGGCTCAGGATCCAGCTCAAGCTCAAGCTGCGATCTGGCTCAACCAACTCCTGCTGCAGGCCAGCTCGCTTCTATGGCAGAAGCAACTGCATCCAGAGGCAGTCCTGCCAAGCTGCAAAAGTCAAAGGCCGCAATAGAGACCGTGATTGCTGCTTGTAAAGCTGGAGAAGGCACTGCTCCTCTCATAGAAGGAGTCGCTTCAATTGACTTGGCTGCTCTCTCAAAGGATCTGGGGATACTACTCCATGCACAATGTACAAAGTTGTCTCTTGCTGCAAAGCCTCCGCGTACTCAGGATGCCGTACTGGCATGCGTTGATGGAATCATTAAGCTGCTACCAGCATTCTCGATGCTAGCTACGTCTCTTCGCAGGGCTATACACAGCGCTGCAGTTGCTGACCATATCCGCAACAATATTCACTATGCAATGATTGGCAGCAGGTCTCTGATCGAGACGGCCTTGGATCCAGAAGCCTCTGTTGCTCGTCTCGAACAGACGGGAATATTATGGGAGAGTTGTGTCAAGCTACAGCACGTGACGAAGGCTGATGCTTGCGTGTCTCTGAAGATCAAAGAGACAAGTGTTATGCTTAATGATGCTATCGAGGATCTAGAATCGTTCGCAGCTGGTGATGAAGAAGACTTCGATGATTCTGCATCTGAATCTTCAGAGGCCGAAGTCTCGACTTCCATAGAGAAGAACCAGGAGACCTTAGATGAGATCCAACGCCGGATTTCCATACTACGACGCACCCAGCTCCTACTCAAGGCTATTGTGAAGAGACGCGTTCCTGGTGCATCAGTCGATGTTCTCAACCAGATCTACGACAACTTGATTGCTTTGATTGTCGAGGTGGACGATTTTGCATGTGAGGTGCAAGAGGCTGCTGATGAGGCCTACATCATGGAACTGGAAAAATCTGTTCTTCACCGCGTCGAGGCTTTACTTACAGCTGCACTCATGGACAACGAAGATCCAAAATGGGCTGAGTGGATTGAGACATTTCGCAAGCGTTGGCTCGAGAAGAAGGACAAGTGAGCCAACCCATTCACTCACATCTTCTCTGGCTGACGGCAGCAAACTGGTCAAGCACTACGCATCTTGTCCAAGCTACTCTGACTTTCTCGAGAACCATCTCAAGCCGCTGAAGCCCTGCATAATCGACAATCTTACAGACGACTGGCCAGCTCAGCGTCAATGGGTCAGTCTGCTTGATGGCAAGCTTGTACCGCACTATGACTACCTTTCGACCACGTTTGGTCAAGAGCAAGTCAGCATCACAAGGGGCGAAAACGAGCCTACTACTGGCATATTTGAGGAGTTTCTGTCCCACATGCGCAAAGGCCACACTGCTTATGCGCGCGATATACATTTGTTCAGACGCTACCCGGCAACAGCAATGTACACTGTTCCCAAAATATTCGAAGACGACTGGCTCAATTTCTACCTCGACGGCTGTTCTAACGATGACTATCGTTTCGTATACATCGGAAGTGATGGCACCAAGACTAGGCTACACAAAGATGTTGTCGCCTCGCATAGCTGGAGCACAAATCTGACTGGCACCAAAATTTGGACACTCGTTCCACCAGTTTCAGCGGTCTATCTGCTGGATAAAGACGGTGAGAGCCCATCGGATTTGAACACGGTTGAAGAAGCCTGGCGATGGCCGCAGCTGCACCTTGCTCGCGAAGCAGCGATTGTTGTTGAGCAACTGCCTGGCCAGACTATCTTTGTGCCCTCCACCTGGTACCACTCAGTCGTGAATGTTGGCCCAACGCTGTCGATCAATCAGAACTGGATCAATGCCCCGTGCCTAATGCCCATGTTTGACAATTTGGTTAAAGAAGTATCGTTGTCGGCGAATGCGATCTGCGATTTGAAGTCGGACGGTATTCTCAATGACACGGCTTTTGCAGAAACTGTCCAAGAACTGACTCTTCAAAACGCTGGCATGAATTATCTCCTCTTCTTCAACATCATAGAGTACCGTCTGCGTTGTGCGAAAGAGTATGTGACGCATAGACCAGATCCTGCCTACGAAGCTGCGATTCTACGCACAATTTGTTCAAAGTGGCAAAAAATGGAGGCAGCTTTATATCTGACTGAAGTGAACGCGCTGGTGGAGAGAATTATAGCACTGCTGTAGCTGTTACCTCGCCACGTATATTGAAGTCCAATCCATCTGACAAAGTTTGTCGATGACGTCGAAGGGTCACAAGGCGCAGTTGCTACTTCAAAACTTGACCCGACGTCTTTTGTGTTTGCTTCTACATGCTATCAAACTTGCTCACGTATATATATGAAATGGTCAGCATCTTCTTGCAGAAGCTCATATCCTATCCTCGAAACAGGTATGCTCAAAATGGACATAGTCTCGATCTAGCATACATCACACACGATATTGTGGTCATGTCTCTGCCGAGTTTACGATGGCCAGAAACGCTGTATCGCAATTCACTCAAGAAGGTTCGCTTGTTTCTAGATAAAGAGCCGAGTGGCAGAACAGACTGGCGTGTGTTTGACTTGCGTGCTGAAGGTGCAGGCTACGAAGATGCTGATTTGGGTGGCAGAGTCCGGCATCTCGGGTTTGTTGACCATCATCCACCGCCTTTTGCATTGCTTCCAGAGCTGATTGATGCTCTACACGAGCATCTTGACGCACCTGACATTGTCAAGCCGGTTTATGCTACAGAAGACAACCTTGTAGCCGATGGTGCACCGGAAGCAGGTTGCAAGGCGAATGGCAAACTAGCGGTCATACACTGTAAAGCAGGAAAAGGCAGGTCTGGACTCACGACTTGTTCTTACCTCGTAACGCATCGAGGATTCCGTGAGGAGAACGCCCGCGCTCTATTCACTGAACGGCGTATGCGCAAAGGCTTTGGTGAGGGGGTCAGTATACCTTCTCAACGCCGATATCTGCGTTATGTCCAACGTTGGGTTGATGAGGGTCGCATCTACAAGCCTACACGCGTCAGAATTGATCGTCTGGAAGTAAGCAATCTCCGTGGGGGATGCGTCTTGGCAATCAAAGGTTTCCAACAAGATGGAGGGGAGATCATACCAATCTACCGCTTTGATGACCCACGAGAGATTGAGCCGGACTCGACGAGCGATGTGGTCATCTTGCGTCCAACGAAACCGATCGAAGTCGACTCAGATCTGTGCATCTCACTTGAGCGCGGCAAGGCATTCGCACATTTTTGGCTGAATGCCTTCTTTGAGCGTGGAAAGCCTTTCAAGATTGAATGGGATGAAGTGGATGGTTGGCGGGGAACAAAGCTCCGCGGACCTTTCCGTGCCTACGACTCTGTGCGTGTGCACTTTACAGAGCTTTGATACTCGGGTACAATGGCTATGATTGTGCACTCCAAGACGCAGAGCTAGGCAACGACAGTCTGTGCCCATCTGAAACATGTTGGCCAATGCTCATTGCTCACCTCCAGGACAGTCGGTTATCTGCCAGGATACTCATATGCAACGTCATGAGCAGGGCCATGATCCATGGGATTTGTCACCCAGTCCACGCGTTCTATAATCATCGATGCGTCACCGCTTTGAAAACTTGAATTGAATATAAAGGCTGATATAGGAGCTTGCATCATTTGATCAGGAGTCTGCATAAAGAGCATCGAAGGCTGCAGCGCAATGTGTCAGATAGCGTTCCTTCCGCGCCTGTAGCCGGGCCACAGAAAGAGCATTAGTTTTGTCAAAGCGCGCCGTGCCTGGAGTTGGCGGTGTGAGAGGAGCACTGCGTGGATTCGGCTGACTAGATAGAGAGAAGTGTTGTTTGAGAGGCGGCAGCAGACGGCCTGCGGAGTCTGGAGTACTGACTCCATCGACACGGATAGGAGGCAGCAGATGTCCCGCCCGCTCATTGCTGTGTGGGAAACGCCCATGAAGGGGAGCTGTTTGTGCAAACATGCGTTCAGCGCGATGAAGAGTCGCCTCTGTCAGCTGTAAGCGCTGAGGAGCACGTCTACCTGCAGCTGAAGCTTTGCGGACGCCACCCTTGTTGTGACCAAGCATACGTGCTTGGATTAATTCTTCCTGTTGCTGCTTTACGTCCAGCGAGAGTTGCAGATTCCTTTATGTTAACAAGAATTTGATGATCGTCTAGCTCTACTTACTCGCGCTTCTCTGGATTGCTCAGTGTACCCTTTGAGAAGCCAGGAGACAGGAGTGCGGTGCTCATATCCCGTCGAGGATCCAAGGAAGATGCGCGGACTCTCTGTCTTGGTGGGGAGAGTCGTCGTCCCTGGCGCGCACTGAGGGGCAGCTCCTGGTTACTTGACCAAGGAATAGTGTTAGAGCGTGACTGGAGCAAAGTGGTTGTGCTCGTTGCTGCCATAATGTGATACTTGTTTGAGCTCAGTCATGACATGGGCCCATGGTCCTTTTATGATCCAAGCGGTTTAGCTTGGCGCATATGCCTTCTTGGCTGTCTCAGAAAGGCACAGTGCTCCTTTGCAGCATAGAGCGAGGCAGACATTACGTACAATAACGTACTCAGGTGAGCGTGGTTGCGCACAGACCTTTGTGCACCGGCTTCTGAGGGACAAAGGGAAATGCACGCTCAGATGGACAGTGGGTCAGTCCGCATTTCATTTTCCAGGCTTTCATTTGTCAAGCGCTCGAAGTTCCAGGTCCCATGGTTCAGGAGCCGAGTCATAATCTGACACTCAGTATCAGTCTACCAGAGACCCTGTGGACCTGTGGCAATAGCCAGACGGAAGCAGATTTCCGGCGCACAGACCTCACATTCAGATGACACGGACATAGATCGTCCTGCAAGGGCTTAGAACGCTGAGAATGACTTGCTCTAGAGTCTGTAAGCCCGCTACAAAGTAAGTTGAGAGCTTTAAGCATCAGCTCAAAACAGTAAATATTGTGAGTAGACTGAAAATTGCACGTCCATGATTTGCAAGAGATCAAACCGGCCAGCAGTTCGATCATTGCTACCGCCAATATCGTCAACATGACTTCCACCGCATACAGCAACGCTACCCCCGCGGTAACATCGCTTTTCCTTCATCAAAGTCGCTCGTACATGCACTAGCAGAAGCCTGTGCTTTTGTGCAGTGGTCGAGAGCTGTGTTCCATGCTGTCAGAATGAAGCGGTCCGTGCGCACCACGCGGTCCGGATCAGCTCAATCTAGGAAGACCGAGCCGCAAGAGCTGATTATGCATGACTTGACAGCTCGTTTTCAATGTGCACCATGGTCATGGTCTTATATCTTTTGTCCCAGCACAGCAATGTTAGTTTATACGCTCAGTATTCACGAGATGCAGATCTGGTGGCATGCAGTCTCTGTCTCAATTTCGGCCTGATACATATCGTCATCGTAGATGCTATGCAGCCTATGCTGCGCCCGGGATCTCCCAGAGTCCGGAAAAGGCAAGCATTGTGCAGTGATCAAGACCATAAGTAAGAGGTTCATCCTAGCGAGTCATATTTTTTTCTCGCAAGCCGAGAAGCTCTCACAAGCCGAGAACTCTCACAAGCCGAGAAGCTTGTCGAGGTAGGACTCCAGCTTCTTGTCATGCTCGGATCTAGATTTCAGAGGCTCATCAGGGGTGCCGTTGCGCGCGGAAGTACTGGATAGCGGGATAGGCTGCTCCGGGACGTTCTGCAACGCCAGTTGGCTGAAGAACAGATCATCGTCAAGCGCAGGCTCACTGACTTTTGCGTAGCCTCGACGAACACCATACCGTGCTTTCAAGTCCCGCGCAATCTCCTCCTGTTGCTGTGCCTTTCGCAAAGCTTCAAAAGCGCTTGAGTCGTCCATCGGCTTGACATCTTGCCGTATGCGTGATCTTGTACTGCTTTCAGGAACGCGTTCGGCTTCATTGAGCTCAAACTCTCGAGCTTGCAGACCTGTGAAGTCGTCTGGTATCTCTGTCCTGTTAGCCATGCCTATGCAAGTTGATACGAACCTGGCTCTTGCAGATGAGGGTCAAAGTACTCGTCTTCATATCTCCACGAGTTATCCACCAATTTACGACGGGCATAGACTCCTGGCGTGGCCGATTCGTCATCTTCATCTTGACCAGCACTCGTTGCACTTGTCGGTCCATGAGGCGTCTCCTTGATAGTCTTTGATACTGCGGCCTTTGAAGCAGTCAAGCGACTTGCATCGTCTCGAGCAATCCTTTGAGATGGTAGACCCTTGATCGGACCCGGTCCTGGTCGATGGTCATTTGCCTCTTCATCACTGTCAAGATCACCATTTTCTGAAAAGTCAAACTCTGAAGCAGTATCGCTCTCCAGGGTTTGTACGCTTTGAGGTTCTGCAGGTGGATTCATAGCAGCTTCAGCAAGTTCTCGCCTTCTGACAGCCTCAGGATGGTCATCTAGCTCAAGCGTGGGCGTACCTTGGGTGTTTTTGCCCTTGTAGTTTGACACGCCGTGCTTCTTATTGTTCAGCTTTGTCGCCTTCTTCTTCCATTTGTCATTATGAAGCACCATGGTAGCTGAGCTTGTGAGACTCTCGAAGAGTGCGCACCGCTTGTCTGTTAGCGCTGGTGCAGGCTCAAGCGAATTTTGGACGTCATGGACGGAAATCGTTGCGACCGATCATGCCACGACACCACTCCCACGGACTCAACTGATTGTCTACCACAGGCCTCATGACACAGGCTCGGCCGCCCGCGGCCTCATGGCGTGATAATCTATATGTCCAGTACTACCTGCAACAACCCCCAGTCACGCGGACATTCTTGACAGGCATTGCGGCGGTCTCATTACCACCACTCTTCTACCTCATCAAGCCAGTCATGCTCGTCAACTTCTGGGACTTTACGGTGCGCGGTGAGATTTGGCGTCCGTTGACGGCTCTTCTATATGGTGGAGGAGGCATGGAACTGCTCTTTGGTGTCTTCTTTGCATACCAGTACTCGATGCAACTTGAGACACTCAAATTTGGCGACAGTACCGCTGATTACGCGTATTACTTCCTCTTCAGCTGGATCGACCTCATGGTAAGTCACTCAACGTTATGTATTGCAGAGCAAGAAAGAGACAGGACCCTCCCATTTCTGCCTGGTGCTTCGGATTTCCGTATCCAAATTTCCAGGCCTGGTGAGGGAGGAGAAAAAACCACTTCGTTTCGAAGGGCCGCTGACGACTCCATGCTGTTTTCTTTCGGCATGTGACCAATTCAGAAAGCCAAACATAATAACACTGGTCCTGCTCTCAAACCGCTTGCTTCAATGCAAATCTTCGACACATTCTAACAGTTCTAGTTTATGAATTACTTCATCGGTAATCCAGTCTATTTCAGTGCATTGACGCTCTCGCTGTGCACGACGGCAGTGTTAGAGACGCCTGACCAGCGAACAACACTATTCGGCATGATCCCGTTAGAATCACGCTACCTCCCCTATGCCTTACTCGTGCTGACCTTCGTCACCGCTGGTCCACAACAAACACTTGCGCAAGCAACAGGTTTTGCAAACGCACACGTCTGGCGATACTTGCGAGAAACGCTACCGAGCTCTGGTGGGTTGAATTACCTAGCCACACCAGATTGGTTCAAGCGGTTGTTGGGCGAAGGAACGTATTTGAGTGGTGCAGGCACATTTGCTCAAGGTGGCGTCCAGCGCGCGTATGGCCAAGCATTCAAACCCCAGCAGCAAGCGACTGCACCTATTCGTCCAAGTCAGGGCGTCGGCTCGAATGTCACTGGTTTGGGTTCGGCGGGGGCGCGCTCGTCAGGAGCGAATACGCAGACAACGACAGGGAGGGCCCGGTTTGCTGGAACTGGTCATACACTTGGTGGCGAGTAGCTTTTGCATCTGTAAGCATTTTCATGATTTCTTTATGCTTCGAGAGTGGTGCTTTGCAAGAATAGGTGTGGATAAAGCGAAGGCAATTCTTGCAAGGCTTTTATGGTTGTGTATTTGATGTCTGATGGCACAGTCTGTGCACCTGTCGGATGTTCGAGAGGTTCCTTGAAGTGGATGTTTTCTTTGAAGCCAAACCGTACAGCACCTTCGATATTTGCTAGGCTTTGTTAGCTCGGCTTTGGAGGAGGAATGCATACTCAGGGAGTCGTCAACAAATAAGCAATGCGACTTTTCAGTAACGCCTGCTTCCTTCATGGCAATTTCAAAAAAAGCTTTGTCCGGCTTGCTCAACAATGGCTCTTTTGCATAATCACAAAAAGTGATGCCTTCAAAGATATCATCCAAGCCTAGCAGAGTCAAGGCTCTCTTCGCATGCGAGATGTAAGCATTTGTGAGTATCCATAGCTTGACTTTGCGTCGGTCGAAAGATTCAAGCAGCTTTCGTAATGCTGGGTCTGGCTTCAAGATTGTTTCTAGTGGCAAGGCGTCGTCGACATGCGCATTGTAATGCAGCGGGTCGATTTTGTGGTGTTTGATGAGACCCTGAAGAGCAAGCCCGTAGTCCTTGTAGTAGCGATGATGTAGTGTGCGGGCATCTTCTGCATCGAGAGGGAGAGATGAAGTAAAATAGTCTTGGATTTTCTCTCCCATGAGCTTGGAGATGCCGAGAGATTGGGAGTAGAGCGTATTGTCAAGATCAAAGAAGAAGCACCATTGCTGGGTTTGAGACATGACTGCGATAATCACAAGCAGAGGAGAGTAGATGGATAAGCAGATGGACGATGTAGAGTCTTTGCAGATGGAAGTAAATCGGGTGTCAGCGGGCCCTCACGTGTCTCCATCTCGTCGCATCTCTGACAGATCAATGACAGAAGCACGGTACATCCAGGTACCAGTTGCCTCTAGAGCAGGCTACACAGTCAGCGCTTGACTTTCTACCTGAGCTATGTCGACAGAGGCCAACAGTCTCCCCGCCGATGTCGTCAGCTGTCTCACCAATGCGCGATACCTCCATCTAGGCACATGCAGCGACAACTGGCCGCATGTGAGTCTCATGAACTACCTTTACATTCGCGCTGGACAGGGCACGGAGCATACATCAAAGCCAGACGAAGACTGTGTCATTATGACCTGTTCTCGAAAGACAAAGAAGTTCTTCCATTTGAGTATGAACCCAAAAGTGTCTGTATTGGTGCACGACTGGTCGACGCGCCAACAGGTGACCAACAGCAGTGATCTCACACAGCTTTTATCAAGTCTGAATGCGGCCTCATTGTCCAAATACAGCATCACGCTGAACGGGACTGCGGAGGTGCTGGAGGGCGAGCACAGCGAGTATTTCAAGAAGCGCATCTTGGATAGTTCTGTGGGTAGTGAAGCGCGCTGCTACATGGACGGAGAGGATACGGCAGTGATTGCAGTGCACTTTGGGTCTGCACGTATCAGTGACAAGGAGAACAATGTGAACAAGTGGAAGCACCAGGACTCTGAGATGACGCCTGGTCAGGAACATGTGTGAGGAAGATAGTCTTTATGAGCCCCTTTATAAGTACTCTACTGCTGATGGCCCTGTGAGTCCACACAGTCTCCGGCCGTCCCCAAGCATCTCTGACCTTCACCTTGCTCGCCCGTCTCACCTTCACGCGATTTGGGAAGCGCCAATCAGAATCCCCGCGAGTGGACCAGCGGCAGCAACACCCACAAGATATAGCTGGCTACTGACGTCCAGCCGAGCGAGAGCAGACGACGACCGCGCATCAACAGGATCCACTCTCTTTGACTCAATTCTTACGATCCTCCCTGACCCCAAAGACCCAAGCGCAAACGCTAAGTGGATCTGTCCTGTCATCTACCCTCCTTGGCAAACAAAAAAGTCTCTCTAGCTAGGTGCTGCTGTCACGGAGCGCCTCGATCTCCTGTGTGCGCATACAAAGTTGTATTCATCCACCCCTACAACAAGGCATATCGCTACCCAAGCGCAGTAGCGATCAAAGGGTTAATTCGCAGCACGTCTTATAAGGGGCCTGACGCAGGCCTGCATAAATTCCAGCGGCAAAGAAGACGTGACTAGACGACTTTGGAACAACTCAATTCCTGAACTGAATATCGCAAGTTTGCAACGCTGGCGCATTACTCCAGCTTCAACACTCACACACTCGGCCGCCACTCCCTGACCACTTTTACACGAAGCCACTGGACAGCGCCGCAACGATGGAGGATAAGATGGATGCCCTGTTGAGCGATAGCCCACAGCCAGACGCAGATCCAGCTTGCAACGGTTGTAAACAGGCAAGTCTACTAGATGCGCGCGTACGGAACGCTGTCTAACGCGATAGATCATTGAAGAGGGCTCGGTCGTGTCCTTTGGCGATCACATATGGCATGTTGAATGGTTCGCGCTTGTTGCATTCTGGACATGTGCGCTGACAATTAGCTTCCGATGCGCAAAATGTAAGACGCTGGTGGATCACGACTCCAATTTACTGCTGCTCTCTGACGGCAACCCCATCTGCGAGAATTGCTCCTATAATTGCCGCGTCTGCAATAAAAAGATTGATGATTTGGTAAGACATCTCGCATGGAAAAGATGTGTTTGCTAACGCGATAGGCTATCATGACGGGTGAGGCAACCACACAAACTTCGCACAAGTCTACGTCCAGTGCTAACATCATTCAGGAGACGAATCGTACCACGCGGAATGCTTCTGTTGTCGATCGTGTCATAAGAGGATAGAGGATCTCGTTTTCGCAAAGACCTCGCAAGGCATTTACTGCATCCTCTGCCACAATGAGCGAATGAACAAGATCAGAAAGACTGCTAAGCACAACAAGACGAACGACTCGGCTTCACCGAGTAGCTCTCCGGGTGTGCAGACGGCAACAGGATCCGGCAACGCTTTGCCAAAACGGTCAACCAAGGATAAGAATCTGCCTCAGATTCCAAGGGCGCGACCGGCAGGCAATACCCTACGGTCATTCGATCGTGCACAAGGTCGGACAGAACACGGTAGTTCTACACGGTCTAGTAGGCGTGAATCAGTCGAGACTGATCAAGAAGAAGGAACCACCTCTAGCAATATGCTCAAGGAGAGCGGCTCTATCCCATTGCTTGTTCAGGGCTCGCCTGAACAAAGCAAGCAAGCTACCACAAGAAATGTGCGGGATAGCGGCTTCTATGGCACAACCAGCGCTGGCGACCAACGAGCCTCAGTCCGTGAGCGACGCAATCAGCAAGAGTTGGAAGTCAAGGTTCCCAAATCAATTGAGCAGCTTGAGCAGGCCGTGCAGAATAATATTGCAGCGCGAACAACGTCGCCGCTGATGAATGCAGGTCCGTATGGACCGGTGCAGACGCGCAGATCACAAGAAACTGATCAAGAGGAAGGTCTGACAAGGGGCAGTCAGGGCAAGCGAAGCTCTTTGACGAATCTATCTACTCGCCCCAGTCAATTCGACTCATCTGGCGAACAGACGGATGCGACGACATCACGACACGCGCCGCCTGTACCTTCTCGCTCGAGTGAACGAAATGTCGTCAATGCAGACGTGAAGCGCGAAGAATTAATGGGCAACACACTCATTTCGGGGCCTTTGCACCTGAGTCCCAATCCACCGCCACTTTCACCCCTGCCATTGCGGAACAGCAGTACGGGCAGTCTCCCTGGTGCGAGACGCAACTCGGAAATTATTTCGCCTGGCTCCAGTACTGTTACTCTTACGAAAGATACTTTTTTGCTCCCAAAACGCGATGCCCCTCAAACGCCTGCTGTTGCCAGTGCAGCGAGCAAAGATCGACGCGTCTCGAGTCCAACGACTTCAGGTGCTCGCCGGCATTTAGCCTCAAAGTCACTCGAAAGCTCGCCTCTACTACCTGGGCTTGGCTCACCTGGCATGACCTTGGAATCAGAATTCGCATCGGCCCTTGGATTCGGCACGTCGCCAAATGGTCTTGGTCTATTTCCACAATCAGGAGGTACTTTGGCACCTGGATCGAGTGGGCTCGACCGAAGCAACACGCTGTCTAAGTTTGCCAACAAGGTATTGCACCGCAAGTCGATGTCTGGTGGTGCCCTTCCAAAATCACCTGCACGGACAGCAACTCGCAGCTCCATCACGCCGGAGGCATCTAAGGAAGCAGCTCTCGAGGCTGAGCTCCAAGCCGAGCGGAAGAAGGTTGCTGAATTGGAACTTAAGCTGGCACAGCAAATAGAGGCGCATGAGGTCAGTATGGAGATTGCTGCACGAAAACGCTCGCTCGCTGCATTGGATGCCCAAATTGTTCAGGTTGAGGCAAAGAATGACGCTCTGCTTCAACAGCAATACAAACTGGCGGATAGAACGGTTCCATTGTCAGAGTGGCGCAAATCTGTCGTTGCAGACGTCAATACATCCATCCGGCATACGCGCGACGAGACCAGTGCTGAGATTGAGATTCTCATTCAGGAACGCAATGAGCTTCGGCGAGAGAATGATGCGCTCACTGCATATAAACAGCAGCAAAGTCTCGAAATGGCCAATCTGCAACAAAAGCATCAAGACTTGCAAGAAATGAATGAGAAGCTGCTCAAGCAGATCCAAAGCAATATGGCCAACAACAAGTCGAGCAGTAGCTCGTATCTCCCACTGCCGCAGGTCCCGCAGCCACAAACCCACACGCAGCCACCTTCGCAAGTGCGCGGTCGTAATGGCAGCGAGGGCTCATTGAGTGCAATCGCGTACAGCAACACCGCATTTGGCGTTCCTCCGTCAACGAGCGAGACGAACATTTTCAACACTGGTCGGCAGCAAACTCAACAGCCACCATCTCTGAGCCGCACTGTTTCTCCAGTAATGCAAAATCTCTACATGCCGCGACCTCCTGAGCATGCGGATAGTATGGACACAGTAGCCACATTCTCATCCGAGCTCGATAGCAAGCTTTATGGCAGTGCCTCCCAATCTGGCTCAAACCTTGGACTAGGACTCGGCAGCGATATGACTACACCATCATCAACGCCGCAGCTGGAACGACGCGATTCTATCGCTGAAGAAGAGACAGCTGTGGTTGAAAAAGTGGTCAATCGCGTTTCAGGCGAAGTGACCGAACTAGCGCCTAAGAAATTTAAGTGGAAGAAGGGTGGCCTGTCAAAGAAGACGTTCCGATGGGGTGGCAAGAACGGCAGTACCTCTGGTGGCCCTGGCGACCTGACAACGGCGATCATCTCACAACCTTATGATTCCACTGTCACTTTTCCCTCGGGTATGACGACTTCCAAGTCTAGCGATAAGCTTTCACTCAACAGCAACCGGTTGGGTAGCAGTAGCAACAACACGGGCGGCATGTTCAAGCGCACCTGGGCGTCTCACAACAATTTGGCCTCACAATTACGAAGTGGGTCTGCTCAAGAGGGCGAATTTGGGAATTACGCAACGCAACCGGCTTCGAATGGCTCGCTTGCAACCCTTGCGACTACGTCGAGCCCCGGTAGCCTGTTTGGAACTGATCTCGCCGTACGGGCGAATCTCGAAGGACGTCCAATTCCTGGTATCATCACAGCGTGTGTCGGTTTTCTTGAGGCGCGAGCACTCGAGCATGAGGGCTTATACCGCAAGTCTGGTGGTGCTGGTGCAATGAAATCCTTGGTTGAAGCATTTGAGCAGTCCTCGAGCGACGTCTATGGCACGCAGTCACCGGTGACAGTGGACTTTGACAAGTTTGACGACATCAATGCCATCACCTCGGTCCTGAAGCAATATCTGCGCAAGCTACCCGTGCCCTTGATTCGCTTTGAAGCATATGAGGGATTTATTGGCACCTCTGCCATCCCAGATCCTGATATACGGATTCGTGCGGTAACAGACGTCCTCAAGGATTTGCCTGGCGCTCATTTCGAGACAATTCGGTTCTTATTCCGTCATCTACAGAAAGTGACCTCGCATGCGGGCAAGAATCTGATGACTGCTCGCAACTTGGCTGTTGTGCTGGGTCCGACGGTCATTTGGGATCATTCAGGGGAGAAGGAGATGCATGACATGCAAGCAAAGAATCAGAGCATACAGTTCTTGATTGAGCAGGCTCATCGGCTCTGAGTGCATTTTTCGTTCTTTCACGCATGTCTGCATTCGGCATTGTATTGAATTCGACTAGGTTGATACACCACAAGCTCGTACATTAAAAAGTATTGTAATTAAGATTTCGGTGATATGTCGTTAGAGCTCGCCATCGTCAGCTGAGAAGCTGTTTGCCATGTTCTTTTCTTTTCGTTCAGTAATGCGGTCTTTATGGCGCTGCCGTCGAATTTCTTGGTGAATGCTGTTCTTGAGATCCTTTGACATGTCGTCTGTGAGACCGTGGCTGGGTCCCGAGCCGCCATGCTCTTCGTCTGCTTCGTGCTCATCTTCTCCGTCACCACCTACTGTTTCGCTAGCCAGATGTCCCTCGAACCCAGCTTGGCGCCGAACAAAACTTGACTGTCGCAGGAAAACTTGGAGGCCGCCACCAAGCACGCGACGTAAATGTGCAAGACGCACGGCACCCAGCCATGTTGTCACATACAAAACTTGCCCTCTGTGCTTGCCAAAACGCAAAGTCTCTTGCGGCGTAGAACCCGAACTCACCAACCCATGGGGATTTGAAACAGTTGCGAGAATCTCGCGGAATGCAGCATGTTGCTCTTTGCGATGTTGCTTCGAGACCCTTTTTGAACTTTCCGTTGATAATTGCGAGAGTTGGCGAATCAGGAAATGCGTGTCGTCGATGGGCGGGTTGGCTTTATATTCCGCTATCGCCTCTTCGTCTTCTGGATCATGAACACCCGTGATTTCAAAAGCAAGCGCTATTGCTTCACCAGCAGAAGTCCGCACTTTGAGATCCACCGATTCAAGCTGATCGACCAGACATGGCAAGCATATTTGTGCGCTTTCGAGCGCTGTATCGCTGCCTTCCATAGCGGTCAAGGCGAGAGCAACAGCATCTTGCGCTGCAGCGACACAGCCTGCATCCTCGCCAGCACCAATAGAATGTCCATCATTTTCAATAATCTCAACAAGCATATCCAAGAAGCTCTCGACGTCGCTGATGGATCCAAAAATGAGATGTATGGAAGCAAGCGCCGTCAACGCGGCTGCTTTCGCAATGATAAAGCTGGAGCTTTGTATCGTATAACGCAAGACTGGCGCACATGTTGCAAAGATATCATCGATGTCTGGGCAAGTCCAATACAAGATCGCAATTGCTTTGCAAGCCAATAGTGCCTCGCGTTCGCTCCTGGCCGATTTGAGAATCTTTGAAAGTGCACCCGCTAGACTTGAGGCCTTCTCAACAATCTCCTTTGTCGCAACTCGACTCAGCAGCAACTTGACGAGACGTGTTAAGAGCTGTTCGCGTTCACCGACACCGCTTCCTTTGCGCTCGAGAACACCTTCTATTGTTTGCGCCAAGTCCTCTTCATAGGTGAGCGATTGTATTCCAGCAGCAGCACCATGGCCGTCCATGAGGGAGTCGACCGACTCAAAGGAAGCGACCGAAAGTCCATCGTCATCATCGAGCTCATCATCCGTGCCATATGCTGAGCCTGCGCGTGAATTTTGCTTGGAGCCTTGTTTAGAAGAGGGCTTTGAGCGCGCTGATAGACGTTTCTCGACGAGCGAGCGCCGTAGGTCCATGACAAGTGTTATGACAGAGTTGGCTGAGGAGGATTCAAGGTTCAAGGAGATTTTGTGGGGGCGCCAGGGAAGAAGGACTTCAGATGGGCAGGAGGACTCGACAGCCAGTGAATCATCTTCAGTACTCATGAACATGACTCAGACTCGAAGGCTCAAGGACAAAAGCATGACTGAAGTTTCGATGGCTGTCACGCAGTCGCAAGCGACCTGGTTTATAAATGAAGTAAAATATACAATAAGTGAGAGAATACAAACGGCAGCGCGGCTTATTCTAGGCCTTCTTACTCGCCTCAACCTTCTTTCCCTTTGCCTTCTTTCGCGGCTTTGGTTCAATCAAGCCTGAGCTCGGCAGCGGCTTCCTCAGTGCAACAGGCTGCCAGAAATATTGGTGATGCACCTTGCGTGTCCCACGAATCGGCTTCCTGAGAGACTCGAGGCGTTGACTACGCTGCACGTCTGTATCAGCACTTGGCTCATAGTACCATTCAGAGCGGAGCATTCTGCCAGATGCATCTTTACCCGTCCGTTCGACTTCAGCGATACTGGATTGTTCCCTCAAGAATGCCTCAATCTCGTCCAAGGACGTGCCTTCTGGGAAGAAAGGTGTGAAGTAAGAGATGGGTGTTGGGCTCAGCGTAGAAGACGCCAAGGTTGTCAGAATCATGTCCACAAACTCAGGATCCGCGCCATCTTGCTCAGAAGCGGCAGATGGTCCAACCGTGTCCATGACATGCTCAAGTTGCTGTGCTTCAGGCGCCTCAACAGTAGGCTGTGGTGGTACTGCAGAAACTTCAATAGGCTGTGATAGTACTGCAGGGATTTCAGTAGGCTGTGATAGTACTGCAGGGACATCAGCAGGCTCAGGCATCGCTTCCGTGTAAGGTGGAGGCGAGCTAGCCTTCGTCACTGCAGTATATGCCTCGCAAAGCTGATCTTGCCGGTCGAGCGAGTCAAAGACGGCTTTGGCAGCCTCTTCCAGACGTGCAATACAAGGTGAGGGCGAGGTGCTCCGAGACATGGATGATTGAATGGCGGGCACTGGCGAGTGAACCATGCCCTGTTGCGGCGAGGCAGGCATGGACCTCGAGTTTTGCTCGGTGGGAGGAATATTCTCCTTACCCCTGTGTTCAGATTTTTTCGGGGGTGTCGGCGCGCGTAGGGAGTTTGCTCGGGACTTACCAAAGTCGATGTGTCGTGGTTGAAGAACACTCGAGGTTGATTCTGTGTCCTTGTCAGTGACGGCAAGGGCTGCAATCGAGGTGTCCTGCTGCGGCGAGGCAGCTTCCTCCATCTCATCCTCACTGTCATCTTCTTCACCGTCAACTGAGAGCATGCGCTGCTTCTTGCGCACGGGCGATTGGGTAGGCGTGAGAATGCCATCGACCGGAAGAGCTGGAGGTGAGCTTGCCTCGGCATCATTCGGGTACATCTCCAATGTGATCATGCCAGTTTGTGCATTCAAGTCGTCCTCTTCAACATCCTCGTCTTCCTCCTCAATCACATGCAATGCGGGTGAAGAAGGAACAGGAAGATGTAGATCTTCATCATCCTGTTGCATGCGCAGACCAGTTTTCCTTGATGCTGCAGGTGGGCAGATAACGATGAGCGAGCCAGCAATGTCCAACACGACATTTCTCGCTGCTTGATGCTGATACGCGCCGCTATTGCCGCTCAATTGCAGCGAAATGCTACAGTCGCGCTTCACAAACAAGGCTTGTCCGCCAATCCGTACACCAAGACCGTTGAAGCCAAGGCAACGCACTCCAAGAGCATCTTCGTCTTGAAGGAACCGTACCTCTGCATGACGACGCGAAATAAGCCTATTACTGGGCGGCAGAGTCACTTCGCTGTCCTTGGAGGAGCGGCCAATGCTGAGCCATGCACCGGATGCATCAGGGCTTGCACTCTGTTTTGATGGCCAAGAACGTGCTTGCTCGCGTCTTGGTGAAGACGACAGGAAGCCCGCGGAACTCGATGAATGCCGGGGTGTCATGAGTTGCTGCTGGCGTTTCTGCTTTGGCGGTGATCGATGGTGTTCCTCTGAAAAGGCGAGCTCGTCGCTGTACACGGGCGTGTTGTGCATGGACTGGGCGAGCGGAGAGGAGATCATGGTACCTGGTGCGAGGTGTCGCCGCTTGACAGCTTGCCAGACATCCATGTCCTTTGTGGTGTAGACCTTTGGTGAATGGGAGAGAAGAGAGCGTGAGGGTGTTCCTTTTGTGTCTTGTGCAGGGCCTCCTGTGTTGATGGCCCTTTGCTCTGGTCCTGGTCGCTGCTGCTGTGCCCCTGGCTTCTTTGTTTTGTCCCTCGCGCGGAAGAAAACAAAAAATAAATTCGAGACGCGACGCGACTCAATAATCATCATCATCATCATCCTCCATGTCTATAGTCCAAACATCTTCCGTGCTCCTCCAAGCATAACCTGCTTCTTTGCGTTACTCGCAAACTTGTCCACCTCTGTCAAAAAATCACCAGAAGCCTTGCTCAAATTCTCAAACGTCTCATCCAGCTGACTCATCCGCTCTCCCCGTTCCTGTCCCTGCTGCTGCATCTCACCGTATGTATCTCGACCCTCTCGAGAGCGACCCAGCGCTCCTCGCTGAGCACCACGGACACGCTCATTCTGCTGCTGTGATATCTGTTCTTGTCGCTCCACCAGCTGTCTCTGCTTTTCTGATGCACGAATCCTTTCTTGTGCACGTTTCGAGAGGGGACGCACGCCGTCTGACAAGATCGTATCGAGATCCGATGGCTTGATGTGCTGTGTCCCGCTCAGCCATTGCCAGTTACTGATCGTAGGTCTGGCCATTGCAGGCTGTTTCAAAGCATCAAATAATGCATCCGGTGGGACGTCTCGCAATGTGACACCTGTGCCAAGCATATTGATAAGTGCCAGTTCGCCGCCTTCCAAAGAAGACTGACACACGACATCCCCGTGCGTGCTGATGAAGGGCACCATAGAGGCTGAGGCGTGTTCAGGTGTAATGAGATGACCGAGTGGTCGCAACGCAGGTACAGAGAAGAGCTCAACAGCGTTACTACCACTTGCAACGGCAAGCAAAACGAGATTGATGGACCCTGGAATCGTGATGAGTGCGGCTGAGCGAGCAGGCGACTGCCGACAATCCGCTTTGCCCAATGTCGATTTGAAATTGCCAGTCACGGAACGGACTCCCTTTTCAGTCACAATGAGCAGACATTCAGGTAAGCCAGAATCTTCCTGTAGCATTGCTAAATGCTCTGGTCGTGCCGCCAGGTCGTCACCGGTAGCCAAACAACCAAGAATGGAGGTGACGGCACCTTCCTGTGGTTGACCAGTCTCTGCGTGGTTCAAAACTGCGCTAAACATGCCTTGTGCGTCCTTGAGCAATTCAAGGATCAGCGTCCGACCTTTGCTGGTACCAACGACAAGCGTGATGGCTAATCTGCCTTCGATACCCATCGTCAGGAACTCGCAGCAAGTTGCATACTCTGGTTGTGAACCAGGCAACGGACGCTCAAACACACTCTTTCGCTTGAAGAAGCCCTTTTCCGCTCGTATTTGCAGTCTTTCGCAAGTGTCCATGAAGATAATAGCCGGTCCACGCATATCTACCAAGCAGAGCATGCCTGTTTCGTAACCAATAGCTGCAAACCCAACATCACTCATCTTGACCGTCGTCACACTTCCCTGATTCGCCTGCAACAGACAAACCGGGTTGAATGCCGCTGCTTGAGATGGTTCAAACCCAAATAAGAGGTTCTGCGCATCTGGCAGTGGACTGGGCAGAGGCGTCACTTGTGATACATCGCCGGGATGCGATTCAATGCCGGAATTTGCATGTATTGGGTATTTGAGAATCAACACGCCGCCCGTCGCCGTTGCTAGTGCCAATTCTCCCGCAGTGCCAGCAAGACTCACTTGGCTAATGCGACCTCCTTGGGGCAGTGTCGCTTCAACATCTACACTCAGCAAGGGAGCCTCAGCCATTTCAGCATGAGAAATATCACTCAGGCGTATTTGCTGGCCATGAACACTGAGTAGCACCAAGCGCTGCTCGAATGAGCGGAGACGACGTTTCGCAGGGGCGCCACCAATCAGTAGGTTACGCTCGAGAAGGCGTCGTTTTCTTGCATTATCGTACATACCAGCATGTAATGCGCGCGGCATCTCAGAAATTGTGAATAGGGAGCAAGGTGGACAGGCGAATGCGAGAGGTGGCGGCAGTACAGATGATGAGACAGGTGCACCAGACGGGAGACTCAATACCGTGCAGGTACCATCTGCCAAGAGCAGCAATGCAGCTTGAGAATCATGTGAAGCAGCGTAGAAGGGCGATGCTGTACCGAGCGGGAGTATCGTTCTGACCAATTGCCTGGATTCGAGTGGCAGAATCTTTTGTCGTCTTGGGGTGGCAAAGTAGCTACTGTAGTCAGCCGTACGCGAAGGAAGCGGTCCCAAGTCCAGAAGACCAAGACCTCGCATCTCTTGCAGTGTACCGCCTGCAACGAGGAGAAATGAATCACCAGCTTCAGCGCGACAGCACCAGGAGATGTCAAAGACTGGGTCGAGTGCTGCACCCTCTGGCGCTGTATAGTCGCGGCGCGTCAAGTTCAGATCTGTCTCGCTAAGACTTCTGATTTGCAGTGGGATTTCAGAGTCTTGCACATTGAAGAAGGCAAATGAACCGTCTTGATGACCTGTAGCCACAAAGTTGCCGTCAGGGGAGAATGTCGCGCATGTCAAGTGAGGCCGCTGTTGAGCTTTGTGACCATCTGCAGCAATGGTTGTTTCAAAAAAGGCTTTGCACGATCCATCCTTGAATGAATAGAGCGCAGCACCATCAGGATAGCCAACGAGAAGCATGCCAAGATCAAGCGGATGAATTTGAAGCGACAGCACAGGGGATATGTGATATCTCGGCACAGCCCAGTCATACTCCATCATTCTGGCTTCTTCTTGCCTTTCAAAATACAGGTTCTTGACCTTGTATGTTGTCATTTGCTCGCCCTCCAGATCCCATACACAAATAGAGCCGTCCGTCATGCCAAGAAAGAGCCAATCCACGCTCGGCTCTACATGAATTGCAGTGACGACTCCACGAAGTGCATAGACAGCGGCCGGGCGAGAGTCGCGGCAGTCTTCGAGAAGCCATGTATGCAATGTGTTGCGCTGGTCAATGGCGGTCAAATGCGACCGATGCAAGCATAAATGATGCGCTGTACAGCCGGCTGGGAGTACATAGACAACTTCAACACCGTTTTGACCTAGCACATGAATGGCGCCGTGAGTTGTAGCAACTGCGACAAGCGATTGAACCTGATCGTAGGCGACATGTAGTATCTTGCCTGCGATACCATAGCGCGCCAAATCATCCTTCTGCAAGAGACCACGTTGGAAGCCGCCAGATAGGTCCTCAAATGCCTTCTGCTTGCCAAAGAGCCGCTTGGACATGGCCGGTGCAGTATTGTGTCGCTGCTTGATGCGGTGTCTCCGTTTTCAAATGGAAAACGTCATCTGAACAGGCCCAGAAGACAGTCACATGTAACGAGTTGAATTATCTACATCAACCTTCTATCTCTGTCTTGCTTGCGATCATGAAGGAGGTATCAGAAAACGGACTACCGCAGCTTGTTAGTGTACAAAGGAAACGATACATAGATGACAGAAAGCTAGACAGCACCCACAACATCTTGGTCGGTTGCATCCTCCACCTCAGCCTCCAGCTGACCGAGGCACGTCTGGATATGCAGCTTGAATTGAATCACCTCATCCAACGTCTTGACCACATCCCGAACAAGACCTTCACGCAATGTATTGGCCTCGCCCACGAGTTTGTCATACTCAAGCGTCACGCTTTGCTGCTGCTGATCAAGCTTCACCAGCCCAGTACGCATCTTATTGCGCATCTTGTTCAGCTCTCGTTCTGTCGCTTCTGCTTGCGCATTCAACTCGGCTTGTTCCGCTGTAGCGGTGTCCTTGATTTCATTGTACTGCTCAATCGTCGCATTCAGCTTCGCCTCCAGTGCTTCGAGCTCCTCTTGCTTGTCGCTGAGACCTTCATTCACTTGATCCAGCATCTCACCCAGCCGAATCTGCTCGTCCTGGTGCTCATGCACGCGTGTCCCCAAATCTTGACGCAATTGTGCGAGTGCTGGCTTGATTTGATTGCGTAAATCATTTCGAATGAGCTGATCTGGCCGTACGTGCAACCAGTCGCGGTCGTGTTCAGGCAAACTCAGCTCCACCTCAAACTTGATACCACCGGCATTCTCTGCCGTTTCTGGCATGACGCCAACTTGATAGCCTAATGTATTGTAAGCTTGGATAGCTTTGTGTACATTGTCGAGTTTGGCCTGAGCCAGCTTCTCCTTCTCCAAGACGAGGGTTGACAATTGGTGCAGCTGAACGCTAGCAGCCTCCAAGCTCTTCTTGAGTGTCTCCTGTTCCGATGTCATCTTCTCCACATCCGTCGCTGAAATATCTTGCTTATCCACAATCTCCTGGAACTCGGCCTTCCTTGACTGCAGCTGTTGAATCTCCTGTTCTGCTTCGAGCAATTGTTCGCGAATCTTCTCATTGATGTGTACGAGCTTTTCGCGCTTCTGATCCAATCGCTGGATGTAGTCCTTGAACTTTGTACGGTCAGAGATGAGGACATCACGCTCATTCTGCAGTGTCTTGAGCGGTGGTTGTGAGGCATTCAGGGATTTGAGTTCTTGTGCCAAGACTGCGTTTTCCTGGCGTAAACGTTCAATGTCCGTGACGAGGTGTGCATTCAAGCCTGTCCAAGCACGACCTAGCTCTTGCTCTACTTCATCGAAATCATCTCCACCTGCAAGAAAGACGCGGTAGGCTTCTTTCAGGTAGTGGTTGTAGTAGATTTTGTCGGCATTGTTGTCCTCTGCCACATCTAGCTCTCCATTAAATAACGCGTCCATCATATTGAGCAGCTCGACCATCCAGACAAGCATGGCAAGCATGCCTGGCCAAGAGTGTGGCGAGCCTACCGCTGCGAGTTGCGAACGTGTGATACTGTCAGCGAAGGGATACTTGATTGTCTTGATGCACGTAATCACATCTTCCTCAATCTTCTTGATAAATTGGAAGTTTGGATCCAGCTGAAGGTACAGGAATTGAAAGATGGAGACAAACTCTTTTTGCGTAGGTTGTGTAAATGTCTTTGGTCCCACCGATTGTGAGAAACGCGCCTTTTCAAGGTACTCTGTGATTTTTCTGACTGCCGTCTCCTTGAATAGCTTGTCTCTGATCGGACGTGGGTCCTTGTTTGGTGCTTGAGACGCATTTTGTGACAAGAACCCCATATTACCCATCGAGGAGTTACGATGGCCATGCCCGCCAGCAGACGCATACACGCTCGATCGCCGTTGCCCTGTCGTTGCAGGGGCCGCCGAAATAGTCGATGCGCCATGTCCCTGGCTTGTTGACAAGGCCGCATAGCTCAACCTGCCTTCACCATGGGAAGACTGGCGATGATGGTGCGGGTTGGCAGTGTTGTTGTTATTGTATGTTGGCGCGACTGCGATCTGGGAGGCGCGGTGGTGACTGGCCTTGCGAGCACTGGGCTGCGGGATGGCGGAGATGTGGTTCGTATCGAGCTGGGAGAGGGTCTTGCGCCTGCCTGGCTCCATCACTGCTCGGATGTGTGGTGGTAGTTGGCTGTCGTGTTGCTCTTTGTTGTCTCTCGGCGCGAAATTTGATTTTCTGTTTTGATTCCGCGAATTGGCAACGAGACGAGACTCATCCTGGCCATGAACTGTACTTAGTCTGTACTACTTCAGTCTGTATAGGTAGCTGCATTCAGTGTGAGCATCATGTGAACTGTATGCACTCCTCTGTCTCTAGATTCATCACACACACGCCAGGCCCGCCCATCGTCACCGAGTAGCTCTGTTCATCGCCTTGTGGCACTTTCGACTTCGCTTGCTCTGAGGTGAGTTCCTCAGTATCAGCCTTGAGCAAAGTCACCACACACCCACCTCCACCAGCGCCCACCAGCTTCGTATAGCCAATTTCCTGATGCCTTTGAACGATCGCTTCAATGCTGTCATGCGAGACGCCAAGCTTCCTCAGCAAATCTTGATTATGCCGCATCAAATCTCCAATGATACGCAGCGAGACCTCCTTCGCAGTCAATGCCATTTCTCCCAATGTTGCAATCTGATCCATCTCATCGAGCACCTTGTCAGTCTCATGCAGATTCCTTCTTTTAAGTAATGCGACTTTGGCCACTTGACTTTTCGTATCACGGGGAACACCTGTATTGGTCAATAGTAATGGCAACGCAGGCATCGTATGCGTGACTGGCTGTCCACCTTTTCTGAATGCCACACAGCCACCATAGGTCGCGACGGTATTGTCAACCCCGGATGGATTACCATGGATCACTTGTTCTCCAGCGAACGCCCAGCGATCAATCAATCCCAAGGCCTCGTCTCTTATGCTTATAGGGTTGCTGGCATTGAGGAAATGACGGCCATAGGTGCAAAAGAGAACAGCTGCTGCAACGACAACAGAGACAGAAGCAGATGAGCCTAGTCCTGCACCAATAGGCAATTCAGAAGTGAGTCGAAAGTGACCGGTGCAGGTATGGTTCAGTCCTTTGGCTCCTTGAATCATCACGAGCAAGTAGACAAAAGCAGATGCAGCAGTGTTGGCTAGTCCCTTGATACTCCTGCTATCCAGCAATGTGTTGACTGCACCTAGGACGTCTTCATTGAGTTGTGCTGGAGGAAGTCCATCAGAAAGTGTATCTTCTCTACGCACCAGATCAAAGAGCGCAAGAATTTCATTCTCTGAGAAAGTCACATTGAGACCTACATCTGCAAAGTCAAGATGTACAGATCGAGCTTCATCAGCCGGGCCTAGTGGTCGACAACTGAGCTTTGTGCGAAGGGAGACAGCTGCAGCAATAGCAAGTTTGCCATAGACGACGGAGTGTTCACCAAAGAGGATGACTTTGCCAGGAGCAGATATATCAAGAGCAGGCAGTGATTGTGCCATGCAGGCCTTGAGTAGCTACTGGCCTCTGTTCTCCAGACAGCAGCTGATGGTCCCGCGCTTGTCAGTTGCCAGTCGAGGGAAATTTGAAATTTGAGATTGCAAAGTGGCGACGAGATCAGACAAGAACCAGACACATCAGCGACATCTACTCTTCAAGGCCCAGACATCACGAGCTCCAGGCGATCCTCAATCGCGTCGCATCTGGATGGCAACAGCTCTCAGCGGCTCAATCGCAACGACAAACGCATCACAAATAGACTCTAACCATGACTCAGCTACGTCACCACCGCACCCAACAGGCGACATCACTCCTCTACAAAAGGCGCTTAGTGCCATTAGCGGGGCCATCATGACTTCACTCATGGTGACACCGCTTGATGTTGTCAAAACACGTCTTCAATCGCAACCCCTCAATCAACCAGACATCATCTGTTGTCGCGAACCGATCAACGTCCATGCGCAACAACACGCTCGCACACAGCAGCAATACAGTTATAACTCCGTGCAGCGGATAGCGCGGTATCACGTTTCTGGCGGTGGCGGTGGGACACTCGCTACCGCAACAGCAGCAGGCTGTAGTCCGAGTCCAGAAATTTGTTTGGCAGAGGAGACGTCACTCAAGCGCTTCTCGGGGACCTGGGAGGGTCTTGTCAAGATTGCTCGGAATGAGGGACTTTCGAGTCTCTGGCGTGGTCTCTCACCCACCTTATTCATGGCTGTACCATCGACTGTTATTTACTTTGTCGGGTATGAGCAATTGCGATTGATTGTGAATACCGACGCATCCTGGGCCCCGTTGCTCTGTGGTGCGCTTGCGAGAACAGCTTCTGCAACAGCCATTTCACCGCTTGAGCTACTACGTACACGGCTACAAAGTGCGACCCATACACATCGATCTGCATCAGAGACATTCACTGATGTGACACAGGGTATTCGACAACAAGTCAGAACGGACGGGCTACGTGTCCTCTGGCGTGGTCTCAGTTTGACACTATGGAGAGATGTTCCCTTTTCAGGACTCTATTGGCTTGGATATGAGCGCACAAAGCGACAACTCCAGCAATCTAGTGTCGTGATTCAGCAATCACCGTTCCTGCAATCCTTCTTGGCAGGTGGTATCTCGGGTACCTTTGCAGCACTCATCACAACACCGTTTGATGTTGCCAAGACCAAAAAACAGATTGTTGAAAAGAGCATCACAAGCGCCAATGCAGCAGAAGGCAGTATGGTTCAAATCATGCGACGCATCACAGTCGAGGAAGGCTGGCGAGGTCTTTGGAGAGGCACCGTGCCACGTTGTCTCAAGGTCAGTCCAGCATGCGCCATTATGATTTCTAGTTATGAATTTGGCAAGCGCTTCTTTGGACAACAACAAGGGATGGCATAGAGAGAGGGTACACTGGAATCACAAACATAACACGTAGCGATAGCACAATCAATCTTGATGGTTTTTTCGTTTCTTTGAAAGCTGTATCTGAAAAAAGGCGCCGCATTTTGAAGCAACATGATGATCGATCCGTGATGAAATGACTAAAATGCGTGATTGCAAAAGAGAAAAGGTCGCAAAGGGGTGATGAGATTAAGAGGACGTTGATGAAGCTGAGCTGCAAAAATTGGTGCGCTGATGAGATGCTGAACAGAGAGTGTTGTACCCTTGAGAGCCATCCAGCCTTCACTCTGCCTTGACGACCGTCTCAGCCTGCTGAGATGTTTTTGTAGATGTGGCTGTACCAGTGGACGGTCGTGCTTCTGCGTGCACAGCCGGTGGTGTCGGCGACGATCCTTCACCCGGAGAGACTTGCTGCGTGCCATGCTGTTGCTGAGGCGAATGCATAGCCGTTGACGACGTTGGCGCTACAATCTCTCGTCGATGAGGGTTCAAAATCTCATCCAACTTATTGCCACGCACATATCGCGTTGCTGCCATGAATTCACCACGAATCTCATACAAGCCTGCGCGCGTCACTGAACGACCAACATTGTGGACAATCTCAAAAGGATCCTCAATGCTTAGAATGTAGCGGTCCTTGACTTTTGCATCGCCACGATCATTCAGGTGCTCGACCATTTGCGTCCATGTCTTTGCAGTCTTGGTCACAATGCCGCCAGGGGTACGGATAGAGATGCAAAGGTCCCTAAAGTCAAACTCATAGGCAAAGTAGGAGAAGAAGCCTTCGAGCAGCGTGCCAATGGATGAGGTATTCTTAACAACTTGAGCTTGCTGAATCTTCTCAACGTCCTTGAAGAACCAAATATCGTAGCCAGAGCACTCGAGTTCATCGGCACTGCGTGTACCCATAGCAGAGATGAGTTGCAAGTTTGGCAAAACAGGTGGCGAGTTGCAGCGGTTTTGTAGGTAGAAAATGAGAAGGAGTGCATAGCCATACGAAGACAACGTACCGCTGTGTGGATCATTGATGCGCCTGACTGCCGTCCAGAGCTTCACAAACATCAGCAAGATTGGCACGCGAGAATCGCACGCAGCATAAGTTGCAATGAGTTTCGTGTTGTGCAGAGCAAGTGCATTATCAAAGGAGATATCGACACAGTACGGCACTGCCATGTGCTCAAGACTGACCTTGACAATGGGAGTGCGTGTCTTGGACAGTAACTTGACGCTGTAGCCTTGCGAGTTGAGTGCTTCAGTGTAAAGAGCAGGCAAGTCCACCGAAACATCGTGCAATGCATCCTCAGACGTATCCACAACCTAGTATTAGCAGTGCGTGTGCATATCGAGAGGCTCACCATCAGATCCATGTCGCAATTGGCAATGGCCAAATTGTTGGCGAGAGAGCCGTACACCACGAGTCGAGCAGTTGGTTGCAAGGCTTGCAATACTGCTTCAAGTTCCTGCCTGAGGCGTTCCTTCTCCACCAATTCTGCATGAGACACGGTGTTGTTGCGGACAGCATCCACGGCAAACTGAGTGAATGCAAACAACGGATCAGGCACGACTGCAGCAGCTGCAGAGACTGCCAATGAAGATGAGTTGGGAAGCGTCGCTCCAAGAGGTGAGCTAGAGGGCATACTTGGCTGTCGTCCTCGAGCAGCACTCAGGCTCATTGCTATTAGTTAGACCATGCTCATCAATCAGTAATAACTTACAACGCAATCGCTGGTATTGTTGCAGTGCTGATAGGTTCTGTGCAGCAGTCAATGGATCCAACCCATACAAAGCACTCAGATTAGCTACTTGCTGAGGAGTCATCTGATGATAGGCAAGTTGCGCCATGGAGTTTTGAAAGGCAGCGATCTCCAAGGGCGTCATGCCAGTATCTGGGTTGACACCAAATGGTAATGCTCCATTGTTGTTGCCCAGAGCAAGGGATGCAGGTTGCTGCGTCGAAAGCGAGTTGGACCGCCCTTTGCCGGTAGTTGCAGCAAGGTTGAGGCCAGAGAGTCGTCGACCAATGGGACTACTCGAGTCAAAGTACAGTGAGGAGGTGTCTGTTGATGCCTGTGCAGAGTCTTGCTGTGCAGCAGCATTAGAGCCAGAGCGTGTCCTTGATGAACGCATGGGTGTGATGCCTGGTGTGAAAGACTGCTTACGCCCATGGCTGTATGCACGCGTTCGAAGACTTCCTGGTGATGATGAAGACACGGGATCCTGACCATCTTGACTTCCTGTGATTGCAACAGAGCGTTTCTGAATGTCCACGAACGGTGCTGTTGCCTTGAGTGTTGCCTCCTCGATTGCCCTGTAGCGTGCATTGTCCTTGTAGGCGTCTGCTGCCTGTGCTGCTAGCTCCTCTGCCGAGAAGAGACGCGATCGAAGCTGACTGATGTGGCTGTCTGGGATGTGTCGTGGTCCTGCTGCTTGCTTCTGAGCAGCTGCATTGGCATCTTGAAGGGCTGCGAGGTGCGCGAGTTGCTGCTGATATTGATGCAGCTGATGCGTCTGTGCTGCTGAATTTGCCAACATTGTGGGTTGCCTGGTCAGCGCTGCAGAGTCAAGGGGATACTAAATGTGGGCAGATGAAGAAAAGGATGATGCGTGTCAAGGGACGAAAGAGATGCTTTTTGAAATTTCTTGGACTTTTACTTGCTGGGATTGAGGTCTACTGTGCCGAAATGGAGAAGGGTGAGAATGCGAAGTCTGGATCCTGGCAGAAGCAGCGAGGTATGTTTGTGATATCCAAGGGGGTGAGGTAGCACTAGTGGGTGTGGTGTTGCACTTTTGTCGCGAGTGTGTGCTGAGTCTGCAGTCAGGGGGAAGGGAAAGACTTTTGCCAAGGGGCGACATGCCACCACCACCACCACAAGTAGACAGGTAGATACCAAGCAAAAAGCTATCACAGAGACACGTTGCCAAGATCATGCTCCTTCATGTAGTCAGACCCCATCTCCATATACTCCGCCCGCGTAACACTCGACTGCTTCCACTTGGCACCACTAGCCCACTTCGCCGCACCACGCCAGGCATCCAGCAACGGATCGCGTGCTGCTTTGACGGTGAATTTTTGTTCAGCAGGGAGAATGGCACGTAGGTCAACACGTAGACGGTCATTGAAGCCGCGGATAAGGGAGTTGCCGCCAGTCGTGAAGAATTCCTGGACAATGCTGGAGCGAGAGCTTTGCGGCAGACGAGAGACAACGCCGCTTGCCACTTCAATGATGCCGCCTTGATCTAAACCAACAAGAGATGGCTTGAAGAGCATTTCAGGGGCGCGAATGCGTTCGATGTTGAGATGCAGCTGATGCGCTGCAGGCAAGGTCCCGACTGTCTCTGCATTGTAAGGCCCATGCAAGAATGCATGTAGTAAGCTTTTTGATGGATCAGCTTTTGCATCCAGCGTATCTTGCTCAGTAAATGTGCCATCATACTCGAGCAGCTCCGTCTCGAGCTGCCGAACAGTCTTGATTTCCTCTTCCTCCTCTTCATTATCAGACTCATTGGCGATGTCACGGTAGACGTGCCAATCTCCATCATCCATACCGAAATCATCATCATCATTCTTGCGTTTGCGTTTTGTTGCAGGTCCAGCCTCAGGATTGGCTGCAAGTCCCGCAATACTCTTCATCCGCATCTGACTCGCCAGACTCTTGCGATCTTGCAGCTCAGCCTTGAGCTTCTTACGGTCCTTGATACGGTCGAGTAATACTTGACGTTGACGACGTTTGCCGGCCACCCACTCTCCCAGATCTCGTTCCCTCTTTGCAATATCAGCAAGACGATCTGCTTCATCACGCTCTCGCTGTGCTTGCTTTTCAGCTTTCGCACGTTGTCGCGCATCATAGCTGTACTTGAGCAATCGTTGCCCACGTTTCGCTTTGATTCCTGCTTCATCAAGTTGCGCATCCGGTACATCAACAAGTGAGAAATCAGGCGCTTCCTTCACCTCCTCCTCCACGACACCGAGATCTTTGTTTCGAGCACGTTTGATGCGTTCTTCAAGGACAGCAATGCGTGTATCTAGAATTTGCTCAGAATCCATCATTTCCGACTGCAGTCGCAGCAAGAAATCCTTCTTTGTAAGCGACTTGCCAATTTTTTTGAGCTCAAGATAGGCATCGAGGTCTTGTTCTGCTTGAACCAATTTTTCCAATCGTTTTGCAGCAGCGGCTTGTTGGAGACGTTGGCCACTCTCTATTCTACGTTGCGCGATCGCAGCGAGTTCTTCAGCCGTTTTTTCAGGTTCCGTTGTATCGACGTAGGGGAACTGGATGCCAATGTCTTTCTCTGTCAAGCAACTTCCAAGGAAGGACTTGAGCTCATTGTCGTAGTCTGTTGAGACATATGTATGATCCTTGACCATCTGTGCAGCTTGTGCCGCTGTCACTTTGATGGGGAAATTTGGATACTTGAGCTGCAGGAGACGCAAGAGGAAGGAAGAAACAGACAAGCCGCCGAGACTCAACCGCTTGCAGTGTTCGAGGAGAGGTTTGCCTTGTAGCACGGGCAGTACATGGGTTGCTTGATGTCCTGAACCAATGACAATACCAGAATGTCCACCATTTTCATGGAAGGAGAAGAGATGATCAATACCGTATGCCACGGAAGGTGCGCCATAGCATTCAAACAGCAATTCATTCATCTGTTTGCGACTCGCCGGTAAGTTACAGATTGTCTCTGTCATGACTATTGGATTCGTCGTTTCTTGCCCAGCAAGACCGAGTTTCAAAAATGTATAATCCAAAATTGTCTCCATGGAATCCCAATTCGTGATGATGGAGCCATCATACGGTGATCGCGCACTTGACCGTGAACTTGTATCGAGCACACAGTCATGCCCTGCAAGGACGACATAGTCGTTTGCTTTCTTTATCCGTGTTTTGCTAGAGAGATTGAGGATATCGAGGTGTGGTGAGGTAGCGTTTGCATAGCCTGCACGGACGTGATGGGTGCCGTTGTCGATGATGATGGGCGTGTCTGCGCCTGCGAACGTCGCTGGCGGTTTGTCGCCTGGATTTGTTAGTGTCTGTTTGATACGTTCGAACGAGAAGAGCGTACCAGGGTATGCTGGGTCTGCAGGTAGATCGTAGATCATGGCTGGCTCAACAAGACATGTACTAGCTGAGGTCTGCCTAGAACTCACCTGTTCGCGCCGTTCATCTCGGCCGTTGCTGAACAACTTCACGAGATGGATCAACGGTCAAAGGCAGACAAGGATGTTTGTATGTGGTAATGCAAGTATCAAGGAAAATTGGCTACGAAAGATATCGCCGGACGCTAAATAATGCTGGTCTCAAATGTACGGTCTGTCATCTCCATTACTGCATCGTGTCCAATTCTTGCAGACACACTCTCAACTGATCGCGTCTTGCTTGTAGACGCTTGATATGCGCGATCGCTTCCGTCAAGATGTAATGTTTACTCTCTCCATGGCCCTTGAGGGTAGGCAGTTGTTGAGAGAGCGTTTCAAAGCCTTCTTTGATGAGATTACGACGTTTTTGCTCAGAGGTGATGTGGTTTTGCCGTTTCTGTGCAGCAGTCAGGGTCTTTTTCGAAGCTGAACCCACTTGTTCGCTATCGGACGTTGCAGGAGCCACACGTTTTGCTGTGCTTTGGCTTGTGCTGCGTGGTCGTTTTGCCACAGCGACGACGCTCGTTGTGCTTGGTGTCAGGGGTGGCCCATCTGTGTCTGCTGTCGCGCGCTTCACTGGCATAGACAGAGACTTGCGATGACCGACGCGATGCTCATCCAGCTGAGCGGGAGACTGTTGAACTGGCCAACCCTCGTTGTGCGCCAAGAGACTGACTGGCGGCAGCGATGTCACACCCGGACGGGTCCCTGCGACGCCACCTGGATACTCTGATCCTTCCACTTTCACATGCTCATGCAGAGGCGTTGCTTGCAAGACCGTCTCATTCATCCGAACGACGGAGTGTGACCTGGAGGTTGAGCGCGATACATCAGACGAACGTGGTGATTTCTGAGCAGTAAAAGCCGGGTGCGTATGGCCGTATCCAACCGGCACAAACTTGTGTGTCCCGCGATACCCATCGGATGCGAAGGAAGGGTCTGTATTGAAAGCGAGGGGTGCGCGTCGCATGCGCTCAAAGTCTGCCTCTTCGCGTTTATGTGAGGCGAGGTGAAGAGTTGCATCGAGTCCGGTTGGGATGCGTGGATTGAAGATGAACTGGTTATCGACGACGAGTTCATCAAGGAACTTTTCAAAGGCCTGTGTCTCTGTGGAGTCGAAGAGAGGGACTTGGTCGAACTGGGCGTGTGCGTAGTAGGACTGGAGCTGGCGCTGTTGTTGTTGTTGCTGTTGCTGCTGCTGGTAGAGTGTGTCCATGCTCTCCTGTGCTCTGGCCTTGTCCCCTGGCCCTGTATCCTGTTGCTGTCTACTACTGTGTCTATTCCAAATACTGTCTCTACTGTATCTATGCTCTCTGCTACTTCTGATCCGTGCGTCGCATGTGACTCGCTTACCTCAGCCCCAACCCTACTCTCATTAAACCCCAAACACATTTCTGCCACGTATCCATTCCAGTCCAGTCCAGTTCAGTGAGTATCGTGCCCAGCGCCAGCGTATTTATTCCATTTCTGCTCCAATCTTGAAAGGACACGTCGCCATTAAACCAACCCACCACATCACCACCTACAGCCTACTTAATGGCTCTCGCTGCCACTCTCTCTCACCTATACACACCACACACAGCCCTCCTCATGCACACATCCCCCTACCAACCCTCAGAGAGTGGCAGCACCTCCGCCTCAGCCAACAGCATCGACCCCATGGACCTCGTTGTCATCCGCAAGCGCAGTCGCTCACCCTCCCTCGCGCCCTCCTCTACAGCAGACGACCATGACACATACGCTGATCTGGATCTAGATTTAGACCCAGAGCTAGAGGATGACACCAAGTCACATGGCCGCCGCAGCAGTGAGCGCAGCGCCTCTCCGTCCGCCAACCGCAAACCCATGCGCAAACGCGCCAAGACACAGGAAGAGAAGGAGCTGCGCGCACAAGAACGCATCATGCGTAATAGACTTGCCGCACAGACTTCACGGCAGCGAAAGCGCGAGTATGTCACGACCATGGAGCAGGAAAATACAAAACTCAAAACACGCCTCTCTTCCCTGGCTCGCGAGAATAAAACGCTCAAGGCAGATATGCAGGTCCTCAACAACCGTCTTGAGTCAATGGAACAAATGTTTCGCTTCTTGACGGCACCAGGGACGGCGTCTATTTTTGAAGAGCAGGTACGCGGTGTATCACCTGTGGTGGAGACACTCTTGGATGTCCCGCCACCGAATGACCACCTCCTCACACCCAACAACATCCTCTCTCACCTCTCACACACATCGCCACAAGCCATGTCGGCTGGAAAAGAAGCAGACTCCTTGTTGTCACCCGAGCAACGCATTCCAGCAGTGAATGTAGACCAGCAGCGTCACTCGGCCACACAGACAGCAAGGATGTCTCTCCTTCTTCAGCGACTCACACAACACCGACCTCACTTGCTTCGTCAAATGAGTCAGTGTCTCCTCCTCATGGCACAGATGGCGAACCTGCAGAAGACCTTCAAGCAACACTCTTTGCTACTTTTCTCAACGATCCTTTTCAAGCAGAGCCTCTCACTCCTTCACTGGTGGACGCAACACTCAAACCAACAACCATCCTCACAGCCTCGTAGCCACAGCATGTTACCTAGTGGCCCTCCTGGCGCGCGATTGATTTCTGCAGCGACGGAGGGACAGCAGGCAGCGAGCGTGCTGGCTCAAGCGCAGTGTGTCTTGGTGTTGTGTGCAGCGCATGTGGCCTGTGCTTCTCAGAAAGGAAGTGTTGAAGGCGAATTGACTGGCTTTCAAGAGGCAAGAGACTTGGAGGATCTTTCGGCGGCTGTGCGTGAAAGGCAGCAGTGAAGAGACTCTACAGACATGGATGTGATGAATAAGACACTTATTGGCGGGCGATATGGCGATGCGATGACTTTTGTACCTTTTCTTGATGATTGACACAATTCTCTTTCTTCTCTACTCATTTGACTTCTGGACAAGTCTTCTTCACGAAGTGAACGTAGCAATCAATTCTTCTTTTTCATCTCATCAACTTATCATACTTGTGACTGTTTCTTTGTAGTGCGTCATTTCTGGGGCAAGAGAGAGAGAGAGAAGCTCAGAAAGACCCTGACCTCAACCATCCGAGCAAAAGCATCACAGATGAGTTACTACATCGGCGTAGACGTTGGCACAGGCTCAGCACGCGCCTGCATCATTGACGAAGCCGGTGAAATCCTCAGCATTGCATCGAAACCCACACAACTCTTTCGTTCAGGTCCTGACATCTATGAGCAATCCACCGAGGATATCTGGTCTGCCATTTGCGAATGTACGCGTAGAATCATGCAAGAGTCGGGTGTATCGCCTGAGCATGTCAAGGGACTTGGATTCGATGCTACATGCTCACTTGCCGTTTTGAACCGCAAAACGCATGAACCCATGTCTGTGCAAGGTCCTCAATTCACAGACACAAAGCATAGCGTCATCCTATGGGCTGATCATCGTGCTCGAGACCAAGCAGATCGTATCAACGCAACAGGCCACAACCTGCTACGCTATGTCGGCGGTACCATGTCGCTCGAGATGGAAATGCCTAAAATCTTATGGCTCAAGGAAAACATGCCTGCTCATTTATTCTCGCAGTGCAAGTTTTACGATTTGCCAGATTACCTCACCTTCCAAGCAACAGGCAATGAAGCACGTTCAAACTGCTCGATTGTTTGTAAAATGGGGTTCGTTCCAATTGGCGTGGATGATTCAACGGAAGGTTGGTCGCGTGATTTTTGCAAGCAGTTGGGTCTTGAGGCATTCTTGGAGGAAGATTTCGAAGCACTGGGTGGGATTCCTGGCAGAAATGGACGTGTCTTGTCGGCTGGCGAGCGTGTCGGTGGCTTGACTGAAAAGGCAGCCGAGCAAATGGGTTTGAAGGCTGGAACACCCGTTGGTTCGGGTGTGATTGATGCATACGCTGGTTGGGCAGGTACAGTGGGTGCTAAAGTCGACGCTGCAACACTGGAAGATGGATTCAAGCAGTTGGCGATTGCAGAGGGTGAGTCTGCGATTGATGCTGCATCACACAGACTTGCAGCGGTTGCTGGAACGAGTACCTGTCATCTTGCCATCTCCAAGAATCCCGTCTTTGTGCCTGGTGTCTGGGGACCCTATAAAGGTGCCATGATTCCCGATTACTGGATGGCAGAAGGTGGTCAATCGGCAACAGGCTCACTGCTACACCACATCATCACCACGCACGGTGCATCGAAATTGGCAGAGGAAGAAGCCAAAAAGGCTGGGTATGGGATTTTTGAATTTCTCAACAGACGCTTGGAGAGTATTCGCGCAGAGGTGGATGCACCGTCCATCGCCTACCTCATTCGGCATACATTCCTATATCCCGACTACCACGGCAATCGATCACCACTCGCAGATCCAGATATGCGTGGTGTGATTGTTGGGTTGGGTATGGATGCAGATATCGATGCATTGGCTACACACTACTATGCTGCATTAGAAGCAATTGGCATGCAAACTCGCCATATTGTGGAAGCACTCAATGAACAAGGCCACACTATCACGAGTATCTTCATGTCTGGTGGACAGTGCAAGAACCCACTGCTAATGCATCTCCTTGCTTCTTGTACAGGACTGCCTGTGGTGATGCCAGAGTATATTGACGCAGCGGTCGTCTTGGGTTCTGCATTCTTGGGCGTGCAAGCATCGACGGGTGAGCCATTGTGGGATGTCATGGCACGTATGTCCAAGTCTGGTAAAGTCGTCTATCCTTCAGAAGATGCTGATGAGATGGCCTTGTTGGGTGTCAAGTACAAGGTGTTCTTGGACATGGCTACCTCGCAGCGCAGGTATAGAGCTGCTGTCGATTCGCTTGAATCTCAGGCATAAACCTAGTACAGTTCCAGAATATAGAATGATGATGTCTCGTAAGAACTCAACTCATGACGTTGCAAGTGATGCAAGAAGCGACAAGACGTCCACAAAGAATGTTGAGCGTTCGCCTTCATATTGAGGATCTTCCCAGAATGCGTCGTTCATGGGCAGAGTCATGCCCATAAGCAGAGATCGTTTATCTTCAGGAGCCTGACGACAGAGTAATGCAGCCATTTGCACAGCAATCAGCTGGCTCATCTCTGCACGAGCACCCGTACTGGCTCCTAAGACCGTCTTTTGCTCGAGATGCGCAGGTGGTAGCATACTTGATTCCGTATCGACTTGCAAGTCAGGCATCGTCCCACTTGCTGGAGACAGCGGCACAGAAATGAGCTGGCCAATCTTGCCATTGTGTGTGAGGAGCATGAAGATCCTGTCACTGAAGTCTTGGCGAAGGACTTGTAATGTATGCTCAGTACCAGCCAGCGTGAATGTCTCTCTTGACTGCCTGCTGCGTATAGGGAACTTTCCCATCATTCTTTGAGATTCACCTAGCACTCGTAGCTGCTGCACTACCTGCGTGGTCTTTTGTCGCGTCTGGATTTTTGTCGCGCCTGATGTCATCTACAGCGTCACCCACAACCAACCCCATCCACTGCCATGTCTGACGAATTGGCACCTCCCTTGCTTGGGAGAGAAACGGTACCCGTGCCAACAGATGGCATCGATCGCTATACTGGCAGGCCCCGACAGAGCAGCACGCTTTCATACAGAACAACCCTCAATCGCACCTCTTCAAAAGTTGACCACGTCGTCCTCTTCAAAACAGACGAGAAGGATCTTGCTGGATCAGCGAAGGATTTAGAACAGCTTGTGAAACGTATTGATCAAGTTGGTTTACGTGTGCAAGTCAGAGAAGGCGCGGAACCTGGTGATCTGTTGGTTTTTGTCAAGTGCCCTGAGCAGCGCTTGCATAAAGAGCATTTCAATGCTCGTACGAATGACTGGCTAGCGGCTGTTCGTCTTGATGTGCCTAAGAGAGATGAGACAGAGGCTGTCACTGAGTCTGAGCGGCTACGACTCGTGCATCTCATCCTGACAGCACCGGTCGAAGAAGGCGGTGCAGGCATCACACCCAAGCTTGGTGCTTGGCGTCGCGTTGAAGCCATCTTCCCACTCCACAATCAAGAATTTGAGAACCGCTGGTTACACCAGTGGTCGACGCGCTGGTTCATTGATGACGCTGAGCTCGGCCATGTCGCTGAGCATTTCGGTACCAAGATTGCATTGTACTTTGCATTCTTGCAGTTTTACCTCAAGGCACTCACACTTCCTGCTGCAATTGGGCTTGGTGCATTTTTTTTGCTTCCTGAACACTCACCCATCTATGTTGCTGCCATCTCACTTTGGGCTGTGGTATTCAATGAGCTATGGGCGCGACGAGAACAAGACCTGGCAACGCGATGGGGCGTGAAACACTGTTCTCAGGTAGAACACCGACGTGCTGCGTTTGAAGGTACGTCAACTGCAAAAGACCCAGTGACGGGCGAGACAGCCAAGACCTTTTCCTCCTGGCAACGTCTGCAACGAGAAGCCTTATCAATTCCGTTTGCGCTCGTTGCGGGCACCTTTCTAGCTGCTGTGCTGACGGGTATCTTTTCTGTTGAAGTCTTCTTGGGAGAGATTTATGATGGTCCTCTCAAGTCTGTCTTGACATTCACCCCGACCGTTCTCTTCACGCTGCTTGTCGGGCCTTTCTCTAGCTACTACATGAAAGCTGCACAGCAGCTCACTCTATATGAGAACCACGAGACAGACGCCAAGTTCAATGCTGCCATGACGAGAAAGACATTCGTTTTGAACTTCCTGACATCCTACACAGCGCTCTTCCTGACGCTCTTTGTCTACTTGCCATTCGGACATCTCATTGTCCCAAGGCTCGATGTATTTGGCGTGACGACGACATATGCCGATTATGGCGTCAAAGCAAAACCCTTCGTCATTGACCAACACCGCATTCGCAACCAGCTCTTCTACTTTGCCGTCACAGCGCAAATTGTCAATCTGGCGACAGAATTCCTTGTACCGCTAGCAACACGTCTCATCAAGGGCGAGGCACAACATCTGCGGGAATCCTTTACCGGTAAATCCCGATACAAGCCACAAGATTTGCCAGAGGAGTCTGCCTTTCTGGAGCAAGTCCGGCAAGAATCTGCACGGCCAGAGTACAACATCTACTCGGATTACTCTGAGATGGTGATTCAATTTGGGTATACAGTCATGTGGTCTCCCATATGGCCCTTGACGCCCGTCTGCGCATTCATCAATAATGTCGTCGAGTTGCGTGCGGATGCCGCTAAACTGTGTCGAAACATGCGACGTCCTGTACCGGCTCGTCAAGATTCAATTGGTCCGTGGACGGATCATTTATGGTTATTGACGTGGTTGGGATCGTTGACGATGCCATCGATTGTCTACCTCCTGCGTGGTCATCCAGCACACAGTAAGCCCTTTTGGCATTTATTAGGGTTCATGTTCTTTGGCGAGCATTTGTTCATGGCTATGCGTATGGCTGTACGTGCTGTGCTGCAGAGGCTTCCATTGCAAGCACAAGTAGCGTCACGAAGGGAAGAACTTGCCCTGCGCAAGTCGCATATTGAGAAATTGATGGATCGGGAGGAGCGAGAGGTCGAGACGCAGTCGCATGCTGAGGACCAGAACGACTTCTTCTCAAGTGGTATTGATCATGTTTGCGCACATGGGAAGGAGCTCATTCAGTCGAGTGTGCAGAAGAAGAAGATGTCCCAGCAAGAGACAAAGAAGGAGCTGTAGTGTGATTTAGCTCAAGTACGTGGATTTCAATTTTGTGCCCATCTGACGATTGCTTCACGTGAACATTCATGACGCGTCCGACACACGAACCAGCTTCAGGTGTGCAGAAGGCGTGTACGCTACATCTTCACAGCTGCAAGCATGGCCGTAGCTCAGGCGGCGCAGACAGAGGGCATCAAACCATACTACACTCAAAAGATTGAAGAAGCAGAGTTGCTGATTCAAGAAAAGACACAAAACCTACGACGCTTGGCGGCGCAGCGGAATGCGCTGAATGCACAAGTCCGCTTGCTTCGTGAGGAGCTACAACTATTGCAGGAACCTGGCTCGTATGTGGGTGAAGTGATCAAGCCGATGGGAAAGAAGAAGGTGCTTGTCAAGGTAAATCCGGAGGGCAAGTATATTGTTGACATTGCGCCGGAGATCGATATCAATACACTGACGCCTTCGTTGCGTGTTGCGTTGAGGAATGATTCTTACCAGCTTTATAAGATCTTGCCAAACAAGGTGGATCCGCTGGTATCGCTCATGATGGTGGAGAAGGTACCTGACTCGACATACGATATGGTCGGTGGATTGGACAAGCAAATCAAGGAGATCAAGGAAGTGATTGAGCTACCCGTCAAGCACCCAGAGCTGTTTGAGTCGCTTGGTATTGCACAGCCAAAAGGTGTCTTGCTTTATGGACCTCCAGGAACCGGCAAGACACTGTTGGCGCGTGCTGTGGCACATCACACAGACTGTCGCTTCATTCGCGTTTCTGGATCTGAGCTTGTGCAAAAATACATTGGTGAGGGATCACGCATGGTGAGAGAGCTGTTCATTATGGCACGCGAACACGCACCCTCCATCATCTTCATGGATGAGATTGACTCGATTGGTTCGTCGCGTACGGAGTCTGGCAGTGGTGGCGGTGACTCTGAAGTGCAACGTACAATGCTTGAGTTGTTGAATCAGCTGGATGGGTTTGAGCCGCAAAAGAACATCAAGGTGATTATGGCTACAAATCGCATTGACATTCTCGACCCTGCGCTGTTGCGTCCCGGCCGAATTGACCGCAAGATTGAGTTTCCTGCGCCGACGGTCGAGGCGCGTGCAGACATCCTCAAGATTCACAGCAAGAGCATGAACTTGACGCGAGGTATCGACCTGCGTAAGATTGCAGAGAAGATGACGTCTGCGAGTGGTGCTGAGCTGAAGGGATGCTGCACGGAGGCCGGTATGTATGCGCTGAGGGAGAGGCGGACGCATGTTACGCAGGAGGACTTTGAGCTGGCTGTTGCGCGGATCATGAGTGCCAATAACAGCGACAAGGACATGAGTGTGACGAAGCTGTTCAAGTAGGTGCCAGCAGTAGCTAGTCTATGCTCTCGTTCTGCTTCTCTTGTTGTTCTGCAGACTGAATATTTGTGACTGTAGATTGTGGTGGCAGTCACAGGGCAACAACACGAATTGGGCGAGGGAAAGCAGCGAGAGAGAAGCACACAGCAGCACGGACAGCGACAACACCAGAAACACAGCAGCCAGGTGAGTCCAGCATGCGGATGGATGTGGAAGGCACAGGAGCATGCAGCAGGGAACGCGCATCGAGCAGTAGAGGCTGATTTGCCGCTCATTCGCGGAGGCACAATGGAGTGCAAAATTGGCAGAGCAATGTCCGTTTTATCTCTTCCTCTGCTCTCCTGCTCCCTTCCTACACATCTTCGCTCTTGCTTCTGAATACCAACTAACTCAACAGCAACCATGGGTATCTCTCGCGACTCCCGTCACAAGCACAATGCCACGGGCGCCAAGCGTCCTCAGTACCGCAAGAAGAGAAAGTTTGAGCTCGGTCGTCAAGCAGCCAACACTAAGATTGGACCCAAGCGTGTGCACGAGGTGCGTGTGCGTGGTGGCAACCGCAAGTTTCGCGCGTTGCGTCTTGACTCTGGCAACTTCTCATGGGGTTCCGAGGCCATCTCCCGCAAGTGCCGTATCATCCAGGTCGTCTACCACCCTTCAAACAACGAGCTTGTGCGAACCAACTCGTTGACCAAGTCTGCTATCGTCCAGATCGATGCTGCTCCTTTGCGTCAGTGGTACGAAGCGCACTACGGCACTGCTATCGGCAAGGGCCGCGGCAACAAGAAGAACGCCGAGGAGGAGACAAAGGAGGCCAAGAGCCAGTCTAAGCACGTCGAGCGCAAGTTGGCCGGTCGGGCCTCGTCCGCCAAGGTTGAGCAGGCTCTCGACTCGCAGTTCGCTGCTGGTCGTCTCTACGCCGCTGTCTCATCGCGCCCTGGACAGTCTGGTCGTTGCGACGGCTACCTCCTCGAGGGTGATGAGCTTGCCTTCATCCTCAAGCAGATCCACAAGTAAGTGTACACCTCGCTGTGCCTTTCTTGCGAGACTATGGTGCGGCTCAGGATTACATACGAAAAGCCTGTTCACGCTTCTACAGCACACACTCGCCCTGCTGCCTGGTCCCGTCTGCTCTTCCACTACGTAGCCTCGTCTGAGGACCGACTCATTGATGCATAAACAAAAACCAATCTACAGATCTATGTGCCTTTGTCCTTGTCACTTGCGTACTGCGTCTATGCGGCACCCAGCTGTGCCATACGTCCATGAGAAGCGTCGTTGCATGGAGCTGTCCTCGTCGTCCACCACTGCCTCACCCTGCTTGTACTAAAATGTCATTCTACTGCTTGAATAGATGATCTGTCCTGAAGGCGACCGTGTCCCTGCTGCCTCGTCGCTCTTTCCCATGCGACACCACTCAACGTCAAACGTCGCACCAGACACAAGGGATTGAGCTGGCTAATTCAGCTGCTCTAGGCACGTCTTCTACAGCAAGGAGCCGCAGTATAGATGGATACCTTGCGATCCTCGATAGATGACGCGCTCCTACCTGATGCACTAGCCCATGAAGCGACAACAGATCCAGCGCTTCTTCATCACGACGAACAACAACAGCAAGAAGTCAATGCTCTAGATTCAGATCTCGGTCTTGAACACGTTCAAGCGCCCGTCGTTGGTGATCGTTACGTCTCCCATGAACAAGTGCGTCTCATGCTGGACAATTATGCCAGACATGAAGGTTTTGCCGTCTCTGTTCGAGCGAGCAATAAGATCAACTATCGATGGCAATGTGTGCATAGTGGACGTTATCGCAGTACTAGAAAAGATGCATCACGGAATGTGACACTGGTGCCTGATCCTCAGAGCGAAGAAGGACTCGTTGCGCCTGGTGCGCATATCATTCGCACAGCAGGCACAGGTCCTACGGGTCGAACACGACGACAAGGTACAAAACGCACGAATTGTCCCTGGCTTGTTCGTGCCGGGATGGATAATGAGAATCTCTGGAAGATTACAAAAGCCGTGTTGGAGCATAATCATGTCTTGTCACCAGCAAACCCGGATCTCTATCATCAAAATCGAGAGCCCGATCAAGCTCGTGGTAAGGCAGGACAAGCTTCTTCGATACATCAGGTAGAGACTCTCATGCGGCAACCCTCGCCGACTCCCGGGCTACCGGCAGCAACTGGTGATAACGATCTCAATGCGGAACATGGCGCCTTTACAGGTAATTATGCGCTTGGCATGCCAGGTTTGCCTGTGAATCCATTCCTGAGCGGGTATCAGGGTGGTACGGGTGCCTTTACAACAGAGGCAGTCCCTGAAGCGACACTACAATTCGAAGTGCTCACTAAGAAAGACTTTGAAAGGCAAGGCACGCAGTACACGACATACATCCCCTTCACGCAAGATGCGACAACACAGACAGATCTCATATGAACAATCCAGTCATCACATCACAAATCCTGACCCAGGATGGCCACCTGTTTTGTGATTTCCTCACCCAACTCTGCAAGCGCAACAGAGAGTGCCTTGACTTCTTCAAACTTACGACGTCGCTTCAGTCGATCTAGTTCTTCTTGAAGTAAAAATTCCTGTTCCTTGAGGACCATGACAATTTGTCGCTGTTCTTGCTGATGCTTTGATTCCTCGCTCGACATGGTTTCGCCACTCATCAAGCTAGCGGCGTCATCTGGCGTCGACGCCAAATCAGCTTGTCGTTTTCGGAGCTGCGAGAGACTAGGTACATGTTGCAGTGGAACCAAGTTGCGCTGTAGAAAGACACCTGCTTGCAAGACAACATTACCTCGTAGCTTAGTCTCAGCTGGGGAGATGGTAGCCTTTTCGTCCTCTCGAACTGCAATCTTCTTGGCCAATAAGTCGTATTGGGTCATAGCATCGACCAACCTTTTGCGGACACGAGCAGCAGCTTTCGTCTCCTCGCTGGTCGGGAAATTACTTGTATCGTCTAGTCTGCTGAGAAGTGCCTGAAAACGAGGCATGAGGGACTCAATAGATGTTTGGAACAGGCGAAGCGTTGTGTAGTGTGTCATCCACAAGGGCAATCCCGCCGTCTCTTCTTCTACCATAGGTGAAATATCGGAGAGTTGCATCTCGCAGTTGCGACAAAGACGTAGTGTTACGCTTGATGAGCCAGCATGGCGAGCTTGTTGCACTTTTTCCGGTATCGCGACATCGAAGGCAATCTCGGTACTGCAGCGCGTAGCTGCATTGCCACACGTCGTTTGCCCACATAGTCGACAATGATGTTTTCGATTGGAGTAGCTGTATGGCAGTTTGCAATCTCTGCACTCTGTCAAAGTCGTATCATCTTCCCAGGGCACAGCCTGCTGCTCAATGAGCCGTCGCGGATTCGCCTTTCCGAGGACTAAGCCGAAAAGTTTGTCCTGGGTGTCTTCTTTCGGCAAATCTGCGAGGGAGGCAAGCAGCTTTGACAGGCGCTTCTCGAGACGATTCGCCTCAAGTCGTGCTCGATCAACCCATCCTCGTCTGCAAGCGAATAGCTCTGCTGACCGATCATGCACACAACCTTCTTTATCGTGATACCAGTCTCTGCCTTCGTAACAACTTATGCAGACTCGACACCAATGCCCACGAACAGGTTCATAGACGGCACTGCGCGAAAGTCGCATCTGACAGAGCGTATGTTGATCGCAGTAAAGCTTACCACAATGCCGACAATTGACAGCTCGTATCCGACCACCTAATCGTTTACGACAATTGTCAAGTGTACAATAGTCCTCCTTGCTTTCCTTCTGCCAATGTGCGCGCGACACAATGCTATCCGTTTCTTGCGCCGATTCGATACCGACATGTTCCTCTTCTGCGCCATTCCGCTCAAAGGGCTCGACGAACTTGAGAGTTTTCGCAATCGCTGCAACAGGCGCTAGTTTTGAACTGCGAGAAATTTGTTTCCCGAACCAAGACCGGATGCCGACCTCTTGGACTTGCTGTGCGACCTCAACATGTGCATCGTCCAGATGGCGATTGAGCTGTTGCAGGGAAAGCATCTCTTCTTGACATATAGGACAAGCAATGGACGAGAGAGCATCTGTATCGAGCTGGCTACAGCTGGCTGCACGATCATTGAGGGAGAGCGCATGCATTTGTCTGCCGGGCATAACGGTATCGGCTAGTGCAGCATTTGGAATTGGTGCTGCAGTGGCAGATCTGCCAAGTACTCTGCGAGTGCGCCCTGCTTGCTGCATTTGATCTTTTCACGTCATATAGAGCTTTTGAGTGGCTGTGTCTGGTGTAGAGTGTCTTGTGTGCTCTGCTGGTCGCGTCTGGGAAGGCGAAATGATGCACACGCAACCGACACGACAACAGCTGCAGCAACAGGCGACTGGATGCGCATTGGATAGAAGGGACACTCAGGCAGGATGAGCAAAGCAGAAGAAGCCGATGCAAGCATAGACCAGTCTGCAATCCAAGCCACAGAAGTGCAGGCTGTAAGTGAGACTCACGACCTGGCCGACCAGGAGGCTGTCAAGGAGGAGCCTGCAACCGAACCCATTGAGTCAGCTAGCACACCTGACATGGCTTTGAAAGAGACTGGACAGGCTAAGAAAGGCTCAGTGAAGGATAAGAAGGAGGACGCCAAGGGTGCGACAACAAAGAAGGAAGCGCCAGTCAAGCAGAAGGAGGCAGCAGGCAAGACCAAGGGCGCAGGCAAAGGCAAAGGCTTGATCAAAGTAAAGACTGCTGCCACCGCCAAAGCCAAAGAGCAAGATGAGGCAACGGACAAAGTCGCAGCTGTATCGAAGATGTCAGCGAACACTACCTCAGGAAGCAGCCCTACCGAAGGCGACCGTCCGGCAAGCGCTGTGGTTGGAGAATCTTCACAAGGCGCTCCTCTCGTCTCTCCGTCTGATGTGTCATCAACACCGTTGGCTGAAGAAAAGACTCCAGTGGATGCAACGGAACAACCCACAGGGGAGAAGAACACGCCGGCAGCTGATGAACATATCCCACAAACAGATTCGGAGGCAGTGGAGGACAAGGTGATGAACGATGAATCAATCTCACAAGCAGCTCCTGAAGCAGTGCCAAGTGTACAGGAGGAAGCCGAATCTTTGAAAGAAGCCGAATCTTCAACCCAGTCCGGCAAGGCATTGACCGATGAATCCATCTCACAATCAGCTCCTGAAGCAGTGCAAAGTGCACGGAAAGAATCCGAGTCGTCGTCTCAGTCAGATGTGGCTACATCAACTGACGTGGAACAAGCGCAATCATTCTTATCACGCCCATCAAGTGCTGGAAATGACGTTGCACCGCTACAAATACTTTCCCCGATGCAGGTGCAGTCGCCTGTCCAAAGTCCTGCTCCGTCCATCGCTGAAAGCACAAGGACTGAGACAACAGCAGCATCAGGACCACCTCCACTGCCTCGCAAAAGCTCATCAGATGGGCCAAAGGGGTGGAAAGGGTGGTTGCGCTCTGCATCAAACTCTGCTCCTTCGTTCAGTAGACGCAATACGATGCAGACTTCGCACTCTGTCATTTCTGAGCGAGAGACGGGTGATTTGATGGCACGCTTTGAGCGCCTCCGAGAAGCGCACGCAACTCTTGATGATGAGATTTCACCGATTGACTGGAGCTTCTGGGGCACTGTTGTTGCTAGTGAACACCCAAGAGAGGTTGATTTCATACGGCAGCGAATTCGCGCTGGCATCCCAGATGAGGTCCGCGGGGTCGTTTGGCAAGCTATCTCTGGTTCAAGAGATGAAGCCCTTGAAGAACTATTCCTGGAGCTCGACGGCAAGGAAACTGAATTCGACAAGCAAATAAAAAAGGTATGCTGCCCATCAAGCAAGTTGCGCTAACATCAGGACGCCACACGCATGAATAAAGCGCTTCTCAAGTCACTGGAAGCTTGACGAGTTTAATGACCAAAAGAGCATTCTTTTTACTTCATCTAATCTACGCTAAACTCTGCCATCAAGCAGAAGTGGTCGCTTGGAAATTCATTGACCTGTGGCTGGCCGCGGTCAAGCAACTTTATGTCGGGCATCATCAACAGCTGCGTTATCGGCATTGAGTCTGCGATGCCTCCTGGCGAGCGCGTCAATATGTAGTCCAGAGCACCTCGATAGACGTTGGCATAATTGGTACACACCGGCTCTCGTGACGGCAACTGAACATTGTCTGCATCGATTTTGTGATAATGCTGGCCGTACATTGAAAAGAGCCGGGGACCCTGTGCCAATTCATTGAGTACGGGCTGCCAGCTGGGCACATCATTTGTGCCGCTCTCTAAAGCATCTGTGACTGTCTCCTCCATGACCTCGTCTGCTTCATCATCGAGGCCTTCGGTATCCTTGAGAGCCTTGTAAGAACTACTCGTCTCCAGGATTGTCCGTCCTTGTTCATCCAAGTGGAAGGGCCGTTCAGTCAGGCTCTTGTACGATGGATCAATGGGTTCCGTGTTGAAGTCTCCTGCGAGAATGACATGCCCTTGGCCGTGCTCAGCGTCCACTTGGAATACAAAGGCACGTAGCAATGCAATCTGACGAGCACGCTCACAGGTACCTTGAGGATGCCACCACAAATGAGTTGTGGCAAGAGTCAAAAGTTTGCCAGAGCCCTTCTCTCGAAGGACACAGCATAGCCCAACATTGTTGGTATTGCTCGGATGCGTAGCCTTCTGGTTGTCTTCGCTCTCGTCATAATTGATCCTAGCAGAGTGAACAAGCTCAAACCGATCCTTGTTGAAGGCAATCACTAAGCCATGCTGCTTTCCACGACCTTTATGGAACTCGTAGCCGTAGTTGCGGTCCTTCAAGTACTGCTCGAGTCTTGATTCGAGCATATCCTCACCCACTTCTTGCAATGCCATCACCGTGGGACTGTAATGCCGCAGCTCATTGACGAGGACATCTTGTCGATTCTTCCATTTGAGTGCTTCACCTGAGGTTGGGAAGAGCTTGCGTCGAACAAGTGTCTGTGCAAGGATATTATAAGTCATGAGCGTAAAGCGGCTCTTTGCAATTGCTGAGCACTCAACGCCCGGTAAAGGTGTCAGCACTCGCTTGATGAACGCAGTTGGAAATCCATGTGCATTCACTTCGGGCACGCGTTGCTCTTTCCTCTCCACTGCCAAGCGTTGTCGCTTCGCTTGTCTTTCTGAACGAATGCGAGCAATCTCTTCAGGACTAGGCTTGAGATGCTTTTGCTTGATTTTGGAAATAGGAGCTTCAGCATCATGAGGTTTCGTAGCGGGAGCATCAGTCGTCATGGCAGCTTTGCAAAGCAGTCTAGTACCAAGACGAGCCGAAAGTAGCTTTCGCAACAGATTAGCTGAAACAAGGAATAGTCTACTTTCTAGAGATGTGGTTGCAGGGTATTGTCAAAATTAGCCAATGCGAGTAAGCACATGCATGACGTCGCCGATTCTATAGATCAAGTTTACAAGATATGAGCTGTTGTATACACTCGGTAGATTCGAGCAATGACTTGCCTGACAGCATCAGTCTTCAATGCCGTGGCTTCCTCGACATCCGACAAATCTTGCAAGAACTCGTGCCGAAGAGAGGACGGGACGCGCTTGGCGTACTTTCGAAGGACTTGCACTTCGCATAAGATCAGCCCTCGCCGTTTGTAGGAGAGCTTGCCACCTTCTCGTTGCGTGGTCAATAGTCTCTCGATGGTGCGCAGAACCTTGACTGTTTCAATCTTGCTTGTGGACCCCATCTTGTGCTTCTTGAGGCCAAGTGTGCGTCTGCACCAGGAGCCGCCAGCCCAAAGCAGAACGAGGGCAGGAGAAACGCCCAGAAATCCAAAAACAAGCTCTTGACTCTTGAGCAGCTTGTCAATACCATTAATGGCAACTTCAACATCCACCTTGGTCTTTTGAACTTGTATCAAAAGAGATCTAATCAGACTGCCAGTCACCGCGTTCTTCAGCGGACTTTTGATGTTCTTCTCGTATGCAATTAGAACAGGCGTGACATCGCCTTCTCGTGCAGCACTCTTGAGCGCATCCAAGTCCGTAGTCGAAGCGAATTCAGGATTATCAACAGCAAAGTCAACAACCATGCGTTCGAGACTATCCATATCAGCCGCTAGACTCCGTCTGCTCATAAGAGCCACTTCAGAACCTTCATCATGCCGAATCGTCGCAATGATTTTGCTGATGGGTTCAATCACCCAATTTTGCCAAAAGGACTTTGCAGTCTCAAGCGTTTCGCGAATCCATTCTTCAATGGCTTGCTGCCTATTCGAGATGAACTTGAGGATGGTAGAGCCTGAGAAGTAGAGACCAACACCGACTGGCCAATAGCGAGTCAAAACGGATGGCTTGCTGTGGATCGATGCGCTCGCCCTGTAGAATGCGCGGGAGTCTGCAATCTTGTCGGTGCTGAGTGCAATGAGAGTCTGTGCAACCCCGGCCGGACTAGCAGATGCATGGACTGCTGTGGCATCGAGTATTTCAGACTTTTCCAAATCTTCTGGATCGCTGCATAGTTCGTCGGATAAGCTTTCCAGCATACTTGCCAAACCAATGACATCTTGCTGCAATGTATCTGCGTTCTCAAACTTGGCTTCTGTAGCCAACATCCCAACAGCTCTAGCCTGTACACCTTGCAGACCTCTCAGGCCCTTTCGTTTGGCCATGACTTCCTGCTTGACCATTGTATCGAGTGAAATGAACTTGTTGGCCATGGCTGCTTTTTGTCCCTGAATATGAGGAAAGGCTATTCTGCGAAAGAGTGTGCGATCAGAAACTGAGTTTCGCAATGTACCCAAGGTAAAGTCTGTTGCGTCAATCTGCTGCTTAGCTTGTGTTGCCAGGAGTCGTGAAAAGGCCCATAAGCGTTGTGGCAGAGCTGATATTAGCCTCCATCGAAGAGATGTTGAGACTTACTTACTCTGCAATAGGTATAAGCCCAGCCAGCCACGATGACGGAGCACCTGATCCCAATAGATGTTGTCCTCTGATAGCGGCAGTGCACGTTGGAAGAGCTCCTCGAGGAAGCCTTCATAGACAACAACTGTCGCGCGTGCTAGTACGAGCCATTCAACGGCGGCACCCGGCGCTTGCTGTTCAGTATGTAGCACATCGGAGAACTCGTGCTTCTCCAAGATCTTGGCGAGATTTCTGAGCTTCGGGGGTGTATCGAATGCTCTGACGGCGCCTTGTAGCGAGAGTTGCTGCGGGTGGTCGCTTGCGTCAATGCTTGCAGAATCAAGGATCTCTTGCTGTATACGATCCAGGTCGGCCGTCAAGGTGTTGCGCATCGTTTTCGCGCAGAGCTTGACCGGAGTGACCAGTCACGAGCCTTGCACAGAGGAAGGAGCAGCGATGTCTATGTACTGATGAGTGGAGTTTACGCGATGTCGCCTGTCAAACCGGAATAGCAGCAGTCACATCCAAAGTCTCAGCGTCGACGGGTCCCGCCAAACCCAGTAGAGCTGCGCATGGGTCCCATATTTGAGCCCGACCCACTGCCCGACGGGCCTGCACCATAGTCGTCATGGTCAAAGGACCCCTGTGGAGCACCGTAGTTAGGCCGAGCACCCCAGCTGCTGGTGCGTGCATAGCCATCCTCTCTCTCCCTATTGTTGCCGCTGGTCAAGCGACCAAGCATATAACCTGCCGCGCCGAGTCCTGCTGCTGCCCATGGAGACATACCAGATGCTGCTTGCGTTGATTGTTGAGAAGCGTACTTGCCCCTTGAGTATGGCGGAGGTGCATTACCATGGTCGTCTCCTCCACCACCTGTTCCACCGCCACCGAAGAAGCCACCCCATCCTCCGCCTGGACGCCTCCCTCCGGCTGCTCGATGACCAGGCCTCGTACAGCTCTTGTACAAGTTGTAAATGATAAAGCCGAGCACACCAACGAAAAGCAATGAGAAGGCTTTCGAAAACCAGGTTGAGCCATGTCGCAGTCTGTGGACGCGAGCAAAGCCGCTGTAGCGCTTCTCCCCAATATCAGTCAGATGCAGGGTATACTCGACACCGCAAGAGCCTGGCGTGATGTTTGTGTCGTCCGGATGATTGAAGCCCTCACAGATGACCTCAGTCGAGCCAAGTTGATAGCTATCTGGCAATCTGGCCGCTGTGCAAGACCATTGAATATCATCTAACGTGTATTGTGGGCCAAGATTACGGCACTGTAGGACATCTACCTCATACAAGCCCTGAGCTGAGCCTCCCACGCACTTGAGCTGTGGTACTTTTGAGCGCCGGCCTGTTGTGAGCTGGCCTGCTCGCAGAGTCAGAGTTCTGACGCTGGCAAGTGGTACGCCTTTGTCTCTTCCAAAGCTAAGCGCAAAGCTGATCTGAGTAGCAATGAGCAGTAAAGAGCTGAACTTCATGATGATAGCTAGTGGTAGACCGAGGGAAGGAGAAGTGGCCAGCCTGGCAAATTGGAGCGTTCGCCCCATCTGAATTGCTTCTTGCCACAGGAACGACGCGACAAGACAAAGGACAACGGCAGCAACAGACATCGAGAGGGTACAGCCCATGTCTCCAGGTCCATGGATGCGTTTGATGATGGAGGATCAGGCGATGAGTTTGAAGACCTCGAGCTGCTCGAACAAATCGAAGCGGAGGCCCTGAAGCAGCATGCAGCAGCGAAACAGGCGCGTGCACAGAAACAGCACGAGCTCACTCAGCAACCTGCGCTGCCTACTGCAGTGTACACACAACTACAGAATGAGCTGGAGAGTTTGAGAAAGCTGCAAAGGGACCAACAAGGGGAATTGCGTGTATTGAAGGACAACCATGCTCGGAGCAAAGTGGAGCAAGAAGAGCAGATGGCGAAAGCCGCTGCAGCTCAGAAAGCTGCAGAGGAAGCGGCTAATCGGCAAGTTATTCTTCTGCAAGAGGAGAATCAGCGCTTGAGTAACGCCATGACCTTCCAACGACAAGAACTGCGTGACGCTCGCGTTCGGCAAGCGCAACAGTCGCCGAGCAAAGGTTCACCCCTTGCTCGCAGGAAAGCCGATGCAGCTGCCTTTCCGCCGCTGGCTGATCTTGGTACGCGTCAATCACCGACCCGGAAGCGCAAACGAGCGCGCAAGGGCGCGAACGACGATGAAGAGATGGATTTCGATCAGGTGCAGGTTGCACCAGTAGTGCGATCACCGCAAAAGGCTGCTCCTCGCTCCCCTATACCCATGCCATCACCAGTTCGTGACATGACGCCGATGATGGTGGATGTGCCTGATGTCGTTCATGTGCAACAAACCGGCAACACTGGAAATGTAATTCTTACTCACAAACTACAGCTCTGCGCGATGCTATGCGCGCTGCAAGATGAATCAGGCATGTCTCTGATCCACAAGCTGGATCAGGCGAGGGAGTCAGCGCACCCCTCAACACCCCTCATTACGATCATCAACAGTCATGCTTTATTCGCAGACGCGTCGGACATGGCGATAGCGCTCATGCTTAGTCTCGGCCAGTGCCAAAGTCATCCTAAAGCGTTAAGATTCGAGGCAATCAGACTCATGCTTCTTTTGCTGAGAAGTTTCCCGCATCGTCTTGCAATCGCATTCTGCCAAGAAGTTCAGGAGCCTGGTGTTCTGCAGCTCATGGCAAGCCCCGTTTGGGTAGATGTGAAGGAAGATAAGCAAGTCAAGCACCTTCATCGATTACGTTTGAGATTCTTTTGCCAGATTGCTCAGGCGCTTTCTCACGAACCAACAATTTGCGAACAGATGTATTTGCTGCTTGGTCCGGCTTTCCTCACATTTGCTCTTGCACAAGAGCGCGACACAGAAGACTTCGTTCTCGCTGTGCGGCTTCTTGCAGCGTTGGCGCATGCGAATGCCAAGATTGCAGAAGATGAAGGCTTGCTCAATTTGCTCACAGCACCGCTCGAACCACAATCAGGCCGTACATCAATTGAGCTGTTGCAGCGACAGACTCTCGCATTGCAATGCCTTTATGCCCTGTCAATCTATCAAGACTCAGCACTTGAAGTATTCCGATCGAGTCGACTCTTGGTCCCTCGCCTTGCGGCGTGCATCTATGGACAGCTCGAACTGTTTTATGTTGAATCCAGCAGACGCGAGGAGCTGAATCGGTTCTTGGAAAGTTGTCTACGGTTCTATCACTTGCTCTTGAATGATATGGAAGCTGGCCAAGCAGAGCGGCATTGGCTAGTCCCTCAAGCGCGAGCCACCCACATCGTCGCAATGACGCGCATCTCATTTGCAGAGGACGAGGATGCGTACAGTCTGGATATGATTGACATGGCGAGAGACTTGCTGGAGCTGTGCATCAGTCCTGAAGAAGGCGAGGAGATTCATGCCATACTGAGCTAGTCGACGCCGTATACTCGATGGTCTACGTACTTTCCCGAGACTGTTTGACGGTGCCCGTTGTCTGTTTTGCATGTTTTTGACTTTGACTTGACTTCGCGCCTTGACAACCAGCACCACAGCAACAACCGGCCAGCTCTCTCTGTCTCCCTTGATCCTTGCTGTCGCTTCAGCCAAGGCAACTGAGCCGTTCGAGATGAACGAAGGCGCTTTGGACCCTGCACTTGCCTCAACAAGTGATCAAACAGTTGAGCGCGCCTCGACCTCCACGCCAGCGGTCGATGACCACATCCAAGATGACACAGCGGAGTATGTCGAAGTCCAAAAGATTGCCAGTAGCTTTGATCAGATCCATATGGACACGTTGGCAAAAGATATACGAACACGAGAGCGCGGACCCCATGCAGAGAGGTATCGTGCTGCATATGCACACAAGTGGCTCACGACTGCGTGTGGTATGCAATTAACCGACTAAGCAAGCCCAAAAAGCTAACTCTAGAACCATTCCCAGATGTTGCGGTTCCCCGGAATAAGATCTACGCTGCCTATACCGAGTTCTGTACCACCAGAAGGCTCAAGCCCTTGACGTCGGCCAATTTTGGGCGCATCATGCAACACATCTATCCTGAGGTCAAGACACGACGTCTTGGTGTACGTGGGGAGTCTCGATACCATTACTGTGGACTACGCCTCGTTGGTGATACATCAGAGGAGCGCACGACCAACCCAGTCTCCTTTCGCAAGAACAAACAGCAGCAACGGCATAAAACGCCTGCTCAGCGTGATCCATTTCGCTTTGGTCCCACATCCGGCAATTTGATGAGCTCACTTGAGCGCGAAATGGGCTTGAGTAGTGAGAACGACCAGCCTCGAGATGTGCCAGGCTCTGTGGATTTCTCTGGCTTGCAACGGCCAACGACGCGTCTTGTCTACCCAACACCTGAGTTGGCACAAGAGCTTGATGAACATCCACCATTTGAATTACCACAAATCTACGATTACTTGCCCGATGATGCTGATGCCGATGTGCAAGAAGCTCTGGTGACGAGCTATGCTGTTCACTGCATTGATCTAATTGAAGCGATTGCTTCCATGAAGATTCGACATTTCATCTCTTTGACAACTACCTTTTACCAATCACTCACTGAAGATGTTCAGGCGCTGTTATCAACAGCAAGCCTGGCTACCTGGGTACAAAAAGCAGATCTACAATGCTACCAGCACATGACGCGCATCCTGTCGCCTCTCACAACACAGGTCATTCCACCGGAGATCTTTCTCCTCTTGCGCAATCTCGCCGCTACATTGTTGCCAAATATTCACAGAGCTCTGGCAAATCATGCGCCTCACCTACTACAAGCAAAACTTGTGCCAGCGGGTCAATTTTCATCACTGCTAACGCGACTATTGCGTGTCAATGAGACGGCCCATGCAGCAGCTCGTTTCCTGACAAGTCAAGCAGATCGCGAGTTGATGCGTATGGATTGGATACGGCACGTCGACCCGAAGGCTATTGCCAACAGAGAGTTGTCGTGTGGCGAGGATGAGGTTGTCAAGATTCTGAATGAAGTGCTCGTTCTGCTAGGACCTAATCCGCGACCCGGTGAGCAGGGGCTTTTGTCGCCCACACCACACAGCGATGGCAGAAACAACCACCATGCGCAAGAATATCAACCAGTACTTGAACTTTGGCAACGCTTCCTATCTGCGTTGCCATTACGCTTCCCGACCATTGAGCCGCGCCTTTTCTTACTCTGCATGGGATCAGTTGAATCTGCCGTGTTGCGCGAAGTGACAGTCAGCGGTGGCGAAGGATTTGGAGCGCTTTGGGTAGTGACATGCTGGGTGGATGAGATGATGCGCTTCCTGTGCGAGCGCGGAGGATTCCTGCTCGAGCAGATTTACGACAATTTCGATGATGACGAGGATCTCGATATGGAGGACTTCTTGTTTGGCAATGACGGACTTGTTGGATCGGCTGCAATGGCGGATGCGTCTTTTTCGCTAGAAGAGCCCAATACAACCTCGAGCTGGACGCAGTAGACTAGGTCAATAGGACTAGACACCTTGGATCTATCCTTTGCCGCCCATCTGAATAGCCCCACCCCGCGAACGTTCTAGAAATTGACCGACGCGATCCTGCAGAGACCATTAAAGAACCAGCGACTCGATGCGGCCAGGCACAGCTCAAGAAACACATTGAAGACATCATGCCGCAATCATACTACGACGTCCTCGGCATCTCCAAGACGGCCAATGATGACGAAATCAAAAAGGCATACCGCAAGCTCGCGCTCAAATATCACCCAGATCGTTGTAAAGAGCCGGGTGCAGAGGACAAGTTCAAAAAGGTGTCAGAAGCGTTTGAAGTACTCAGCGATAAGGAGAAGAGGGGTGTCTATGATCAATTCGGTGAGGATGGCCTGAAAGGCGGAGGCATGCCGCAACAAGGTGGTGCTGGCGGCGCAGGAGGTTTCCCAGGCGGCTTCAGCTTTGGTAGCGGTGGCATGCCCTCTGGCTTCGGTAGCGGTGGTGGCTCCTCATTCCGATTCAGCGCATCGGATCCCAACGACATTTTTGCGCGCTTCTTTTCAGGTGGCGATGATCCATTCGCATCCATGGGCGGTGGCGGTGGTGGGGGTATGCCATCAGGCTTTGGCATGGGTGGCATGCCGGGCGGTTTCCCTGGCATGGGAGGTATGGGCGGTGGTATTGGTGGATCGCGCGGTAGATCGTCCCAGAGCAATGAACCTGCTGAACTCATCACGAAGCCGCTGCCAGTCTCACTCGAAGACATGTTTACCGGCACGACCAAGAAGCTCAAGATTACACGCAAGCTTCTGGACCACAGCGGCACGTCTGTGCCGGCGGAAAAGATCCTCGAGGTGGTCATCAAGCCGGGCTACAAAAAGGGTACCAAAATCACATTCGCAGGCGCAGGCGACGAAAAGGCGAATGGCTCCACACAAGACATTGCCTTTGTGCTGGAAGAGAAGCCGCATCCAAAGTTCAAGCGGGAAGATGACCACCTACGCTTATCCTTTGATTTGACGCTCGTGGAGGCCTTGTGTGGCTACGAAAAGGTTATCGAGACTATCGAAGGCAAGCGGCTGAAGGTGAGCAGCACCTCTATCACACAACCAGGTGCAGAGACTCGCTATCCAGGACAGGGCTTCCCCAACAGCAAGACCGGCAAGCGTGGCGATCTGATTGTCGAGGCAAAAGTGAGCTTGCCGACATCATTGACACCCACGCAAAAAGCAGATCTGAGGAAGATACTGACGTAAGCTTTACGTACTTAATAGAGATGATGATATATGATTTGAAGCACCTGTACCAAAGGACCTTCGACTTTCGCATCAGTTCGAATCCGTTCATCTTGTTACGCCCGATGACAATCTTATGCTTGACAGCTGACGAATGCACTTCTTGATCCTTGATTCTCTCTATGGCAACTCTTTGACCATCCTGTTTTCTTCGTAGTAAATATTTGGTAGCATGACTCGCCCAGAAGGGCCAGCCCACTATCAGCCGACAATCCCTCGCAATTGCGAATCATCAACCAGCCACAAATATTCAGGGGCAAGAAATGCTGCACACGAAACTCTTAACTTTTCGTCTATTAAAACATGTAATGCCTCTCAATGACTCTTCATGCATAGACATGCGAACGGTGCGAAGGACCTATCTTGGAAAGTTGACCATCGCGATTGCTACTCAGCGAAGCAGAGTCGATCCTCGGACCTATCACCTCAACGCAGCTGTGTTGCGAATCCAGGGATCCGCAGCTTGTTTGTATGTTTGTGAGCTCAGTCGCGACAAGATTAGAGCACGCGTCAGCCTGCGATCGGATCAGCGCATGTTTGTCAAATTGTTTACTGTACGGACAATAAGGCTAGGCAATAAAATCTGTAGCTATTGTAACTATCCATGCCATTGGCTAAGCAGCGCTTGCTAATGGAATGCGCGGGAATCAAATCATATCTCTGGAACTATAGCTAGTGGTGATTTCCTTACCTTTACATGTGCTATTCAGCAGTCAAGTGACCAGTCACATGGCTTGACTTGTGCATCTTTCTGCCACATATCGCGTGCTCTCACGTGATGGTCGGCCCATTATACTACATGTACTTTACAGGGTAACAGGGAGAATGAGCTTCTACCCTGCTCCTCAACCGTAACGATCCTATTTGCACCATCTAAGATCCTATATTGCTTGAGTCGGGCGTGGCGCGCCTCACCAGGCACGTCATCACTAGATCCATGTACAACTGCGATTATATCCTCTCATCCTCGTCTTTTCATACTTATTTCAGGAGGTGCACTTGTGAACCATGTGCCAGTTGCCAACACACATGCTCTATCACATAGTTGTGCCCGAATACGAACAAACAAATAATCGCATGGCAATTGACACGTATGCAAATAGCAAACTGCGCTGGCATAAAAGAGGCTGTATGCCTCACAAGTTGTTCTTGCTGATCCACACCTGTCTCACTCCAGTAGCAAGAGTCGCGCTCTGTGCTTGCAATGCTGTACAACAAAGTCTCTCGTCTCGTGGGACTCCTTGTCCTCTATCTTTGGCTTGTGGACGCAAAAGGTATCGTATGGTTCTGGAACATTGGAAAAGATTGCAATCAGCTCCCTATAATTGCTTCACGCATAATAGAAGCAAATTCAAAAGAAGATTGCATCAAGATCTACCAAAAATTTCGCCGCCTCAGTGAGCTGGATGGCACAGGAGGAGTTTTGCAACTTGACGATATCACACTTTTCAAGATTGTGCAGGATTATTCGACAAATGGTTGGCAATGCTTCAACACGAACAGAGATAAACCATGGCTTTGGCCATATTATGATCATGAGGAAGGCCCGAATTTTGACAAATATATCATTTTCGACAAGGCTGCGAAGGAGTGCCAGATACCTACCGCAGGCATCATACTTTGGCGGAACAAATGTAACATGGAGGACTCCCCTGCTGGCTCAGCGGATTACTACCCTTTCCCTGCTCTCCTTCCCCACAATGCCAATGTCGATATCCCTTTCACATACCAGGGGACGCGGAAAATTAGAGTACAGGCCGATTACCCTGTCGCTGATAAGCTCAAGCTCAAAAGACATTTGCAATGCAAAAGATGATAGAAGTGGACGCGAAAGTGATCGTCCCCAAAGCTCACTATCCTGTTTCGTTCTGTTTTCCTCTTCTTCCCATCAGACTGGCACCAGTCAGTCAGTTCAGAATCATAGCTAGATCTTCAATTATGCAATCCCTTCATTTTAGTTGATGCGCAGCTGATTTGGCCCAAGCGTCTAGCACTGTAAGCTGGCTAACGAGTATCTGCTCGTCCTGAAGTAATGCAGACCAAAAGCTATCGACCTGCAATGCCATAGAGTTCAATACCGGGAGTAATGGACACATGCATGTCTATGCTTTACAACATTGGCATTCAGATAACTTTGCGGCGTGTCATCTGAACCGGTCATCATCTCTCCCGCGGGCGAGGTGGTCATTGTGGACATCGTCCATCGCTGCAACCACCTCATTGCATTGACAGGCAGGCAGCTGTTCACCTCCAAACAAAGAGCACAAGTGATGGCGGCGGACGCCTTGGATCATGTCAATATCGGTATCAATCTCTCTACCCTCATGAAACGGTGTGTTTTGCTCCGTTGTTGGAAACTTGGCTGACACGCATCTCAGGTTGGAGGCCGTCACGAGTCGCCTTGAGGATTTGGAAGCACCCACGACATCACGCGTAAGCAAGACGTTTGCCGGTACTGATTCATCGACACCCAGTCTTGGCGCAGGTGCGGTGACGGCCTCTTCCAACACACCAACAGCTACCAAAAGCGCTACGGCTGCAGAAACGCCAGTGTCGCCAGCAGTCAAGGGCTATGATGATTTGATGGCTGACCATCTGAGCCAATTCATGTCCCTCTCGGCACAGGTCGGTGGTCTTGTGCAGGAACAAGCAGGTTTGGTGGATGCTGCCTTTCAGACACAACGCGCCCTCATCCTGACTGCCTCGCAAGCTACAAAACCCGACTTGACGAGCAGTGAGTTTACAACGGCATTGAAGCCTTTGCAAGAGAAGATTGTGGCTATTGGAGACTTGAAGGATAAGAATCGTCCATCTCCATTATTCAACCATCTTTCCGTCGTTGCAGAGGGTATCCCGGCACTGTTTTGGGTGGCTGTTGAACCGACTCCTGCGCCGCATGTGGGTGATCTCAAGGATAGTGCTCAGTTTTGGGCAAATCGAGTCATCAAGGAGTACAAGGAAAAAGATCCTCAACAAGTCGCTTGGGTACGCAGTTTCGTTGCCTTATTGACGGAATTGCAGAAATATGTCAAGCAATGGCATACCACTGGTCTAACGTGGTCTGCTCAGGGAAAACCGCTTGCTGATGTCTTGGCAACGTCTCAAACGGCTGCACGTGGTGCTGCACCGCCTCCACCTGCTGCAGGTGGTCCACCGCCTCCTCCACCACCAGGTCCACCACCGCCACCCTTCATGGGTGATGCGCCCGGTGCTTCAAAGTCTGCTGCGTCTGGTGGTGATATGAATGCCGTCTTTGCGTCTTTGAATCAAGGGTCCGCGGTCACGTCTGGCTTGAAGAAGGTGGATAAATCACAAATGACACACAAGAATCCAGCGCTTCGAGCATCCTCTGTCGTTCCTGATGCTGCCAAGAAGACCACAGCAGCGACTTCTGCCACAACAAGCAAGACTGTAGCCAAGAAGCCGGCAAGAAAGGAGTTGGAAGGGACGAAGTGGTTGATTGAGCATTTCGAGGGTGAAACGGTGACGGTGGATGAGATTGAACTCAGTCACTCTGTGTATGTCTACAACTGCAAAAACACCACCATTCAAATCAAGGGCAAGTTCAATGCCATTTCACTGGATGGATGTACAAAGACTGGGGTTGTGGTGGATACGCTTGTGTCTTCGGTGGATCTCATCAAGTGCAAGTCTTTTGCCGTGCAAGTACTCGATCGCTGCCCAACAATTGTCTGTGATTCTTGCGATTCCGGACAGATTTACCTGTCGCAAGCTGGTTTGGCGTGTGAGATACTGACGAGCAAGTGTTCGTCTGTCAATGTGAGTCTACCGACGGGCGATCAGGGTGATTTCAAGGAGGAAGCGGTGCCGGAGATGTTGAAGCATACGGTTGTGGATGGGAAGCTCGTGACGAGTATCGTGGAGTATCACGATTAATTGGCTATGCTGATGCTAAACTATGTAGGAAGATGAAAGATAGCAAGGTTCACCGGCCACGTTCGTACATGGAGTAAGCAAGACCGTGTACTGGTGCAGGAAAAGGTGAAGGGACCTCCGTATGTCCTGGACGAGCGACCGGATCTCTGAGGTAGACGGCAGAGCACGTCTCAAAGTCGACTTGAAGGTATGCAGGAACAAATGCAAAAGCTGACATGAAGGGCTTTGGGATGAATGAATCAGCGCCAATCTCCTCCCAAGCCTGTGCTTTTGCTGTGACTTTGGAAATGGTTGGTGTAGCAGCTTCTCCTTCTCCTTCGGTAGGCTCTGCAGTCTCTTCCTCTGTGGCCTCTAGTTGTTGCCCACGGGAAGGTGATACATTCATAATGACAGCTGCTGGCTCAACCTCAAACAAGTCTCCTGCCTTCAAGACCAGACCTGGTTGCCGAGCAAGAACACCATTCACACGCACTTTCCCATGCACGACCATCTGTTTTGCTTGCCGTGCACTACTGGCAAACATGGCTCTGTAGAGGGCGATGTCGAGCCGCTTTTCCATTGATGCAAAAGTCTGTGACGCCAACGGTGTGCGTCGCTTATCCTGTGCTTGCTCACCCGCGACTCCTACGAGCCTGCGATCCCAACCTGCTTTGAATTGACGTTCTGCGAGGTGTGCGCCATGGTAGGCGCGTGTTTCTCTCTTGGCTTCCCATTTTTGTTGGTACATTGTTTTATTGGTGATGGAGGGAGTTTGTTTGCGAGCGAGGTTGAAGAGATTGTACTTGTTCCATGACTGGCGGATGAGTTGCCGTGTGAGGGAGAAGGGAGGTGTTTTTGGGCGTGGCATTGATGGTTTAGCTATAGCAGTAGGGTCAAGAGTATTGTAGAGTCAAGTAGTTCAGTAACAGTAGCTGACTATGCCCTAACCCTGTCTTCTATGAGGTCAGATTCAGAATCAATCCAGTCCAGCAGCTACAAAGTACTCAATACTCAATAGTAGTAGTACTTCTCTCTGCTGTAGAAGACTCCAAGCATCCCATGGCATCGCAGTAAGCAGCACAACCTGCACATCCATGGACTAGCCAGGGCCCCTCTTCTCCAACCACACGACACACACGACACAGGACCCGTCTGTTTGCAAGCACGTCATCCATCCACCCAACGCCGCCTCAGGTCAGTCAGTGACAGCGACAGTCAGCCAGTCAGTGAACTTGAGCAGACACAGAACTTGAGCAGACACAGACCAACAGGGCCTCTTCGTGCTGCCTCAACAAGCCATGAATAGACCACACACACCCGCAGCGCAAGTCGACCAATCTGCCGGGTCTGCCGCTTACTTTGACATCAACCCATCGATTCGCACGGCGCATCATGCACGCAATCAACAGACACCGATGGATTATGTCCATGGTCACACCCATACAGCAACGGAGACAACAACAGGTCATGCTGGACAAGGGTTTCCTGGCTTCCCGCAGGATAAAGCGTATGCATGGGGCGCGTATCCCAATGATGCGCAAAAGCAACAGCAACAGCAACAGCAACAGCAACAGCAACAGCAGCAACGCGGCGCTAGTAAGACGCCTTCAAGTGGCTCACCTGCACAAGCTACAAAGCAAGTCCATTCACCGCCACGACTAGAAACCGCAACACCCCAGCTATCGCGCAATTTCGATCAAATCTCCATAGGCGATGGCGACGGCGCACAACCAGGAACGGCTGCTGCTGCGGCTGCGTTACGAAAGAATACACGGTTGCCAGTCGATTCACATGCGCTGCAAGATTTACTACGGCAAGCGATGGAATCGCCGTATGGGTCACAAACGAGTAGTCGACAAACAACATCCCCTACACCATCACTCGGACCGAGTGTCATGCAAATTGGACCAACGGAGCTGGTGAAATTATTGAATGAAGATGGTACAGGGAGTGGCGCGGGTCAGGATATCTTGTTGCTTGACTTGCGCGCCATTGCGTCATTTGCCACATCACGCGTCAAGGGCGCCATCAACCTTGGAATCCCTGCAACGTTGCTGAAACGGTCAAGCTACACCATTGCCAAGATTGCCGCTAGTGTTGCTGATGCCAGAGAAAAAGACAAAATTCTAGCGTGGCAAGAGACACGCGCTGTGGTATTGTATGATAATGAGTCCTTTAACGTGGGCGAAGGAACCCCTCTCTACCAGCTGGCACGCAAGTTTACGAATGAAAACTGGCCAGGTCAAGCGTATACCGTTAAAGGTGGTTTTGCAGCCATCAATAAAGAAGCGCCGGAACTGATTGATTTGCAAGTACACGAAGCAGAGACACAGGCTCACGAGGGTACGGGTTCTACAGCTACGGGCAAACCACGATTGACGTTGAAGCAAATGGGCAACTTTTCATGTGCGTTGCCTACACAGCAATCGGTAGCGAATCCATTCTTCAACAATATCCGACAAAATCAAGATTTGATTGGTGGTGTAGGCCAACCGATACCGTTACAAGTGCCTGAAGCGTCTGAAGCAGTCAAGGCAAAGTTGCCTGCATGGTTACGGCATATTGCGTATGGCACGGACGGTGCACAGCGTGTGGCGGATCGATTCCTGCAAATTGAGCAGGAAGAACAGAAACGTATGCAGCATGTTCTTGGTGTGGGGAGCACAACGGATGCGCTTGCTGCGCAACCAGCCCTCGGACAAGACACGAAGCATAGTATTGCAGCTGCGCTTGAGCGTGGCGAAAAGAACCGCTACAACAATATCTGGCCCTTTGAGAATGCGCGTGTCAAATTACAGGATTGTGCTTCTTGCGACTACATCAATGCGAGTCATTTGCACTACAAGGGAAGTGATCGTCGGTATATCGCAACACAGGGACCATTACCTGCAACAACAAAGGATTTCTGGCAGCTTGTGTGGGAGAATGATGTTCGAACTGTTGTGATGTTGACGAAAGAGCATGAGGGTGGACAAGCCAAGTGTCACCCGTACTGGGCAGATCCTGAACACATGCTCCCATACCGCTTGGAAACATTGAGTGAGGAAACAGTACAGAGTCGGTTTGCGGTCGGTCAAGAACCTGTTCCATTAACCATTCGACGATTCAATTTAACGCATGCGGATCGACCCCTTGCTGGCGAGCGACTGGTACAACACCTACAATTCACCGAGTGGCCCGACTTTCACGTCGTTGAACCAGCCACCATTTTGGCACTCCTGCAAGAAACACACTTGGCTGAATTTGCAGCGACGTCACCCGCTGTGAAGCGTCGGAAATCGATTTCAGGGGGTAGTCTCGCTGCGAAAGCACCGGGTGAGCGACCTGTTGTGGCGCATTGTTCTGCAGGGTGTGGTCGAACGGGTGTGTTTTGTACAACAGACACAGTGACGCAACTCGTCAAGGAACAGATTGATCGCGACGAGGTACATGATGAGACGGATCTGATTGTCCTTGTGGTGCGTGCGTTTCGGGATCAGCGGCTGAGTATGGTGCAGACACTACGGCAGTTTGTGTTGTGCTATGATGCTGTTTTGCTGTTCAGTCTTGCATACATCAAGGAACGGTATGGACTGGTGTGAGCACTGTGAGGATATGATTGAGATTGAGACAAGTGACGAACTTTTTTTATTGAGAGACGAGATAGTGTATACGGCGAGCAGAGGCAGACAGCATCATTCATGATCATTTAGTCGTTGGCCTTCTTCGAATCAATTAGTAGGGCCACTACCTACCAAACAGTCGTGCTCTGGTGTCTGTGAATTGTGAGAGAAATTCGCGACTGACCCAAAAGCGAGAAACGTCACAGGAAGCAGCGCTAGCCTGAGCCACGTACAACGACCAGGGAAGCAGAGCCCTCAGGCACATCACAGCTCACTCTCAAGAGCACAAGCGAGCGCTTCCCATCACAAAGTCTTACCCTACTGCGTCCGTACCCTGGCGCATATGCTTGCTTAGCCAAAATCAACGATACTAGCGTACATTCATGCGCGTTATTAAAAAGATGGCCCGTAGGGCCCTACAGGCGGTACGTGTCTCTTCAATGGATGGCGAGAACCATGAGCTAACAGTTTCAGCCGCCTGCAGTGCGTTCATTCATGGATCAAGTCATGGCAGCGCAGGAGCACGAACTGGCGCCAATCCTACAATCATTCAACAAGTGGACCTTCCCCAAGGGTGATCTCTTCCAATGGGTCGCGGTACTTGACAGGTGCGACGCAATCCTGGAGGCCAAGTGTCGCAAGTATGCACTGGAAAAGGTGCAGGTCAAATCATTCGAAGAAGACGATCGCCAGCTCCTAGTGGCAATTCTTGCCTTCACCGCCTTTCTCTTGGATCACTGTGCCAATCGAAGCTTATACAGCTCTGCCAATGTATGTTTTTATGCTGCTCATTGCAAATACTAACTCAAGAACATCACAGAGCTGCTCAACACAACCGATATCGACGTCTGTGAGCAAACATGCCGCGTGACAGTCCGTCTTGCTCATCGCCATAATCAGCAACGAAACAGTCGTCACCCATTCGGTATCTCCTCTGAGCGTATTCTGCGGCTCGCTACCTCCCTTCAGTCCGCTACAAAGGACTGCGGTGCCATCCACATACCAATGGGCAAGTTGCTATACGATCAGGCACCGTTGCCAGAAGCCTGGCGCTCTGTCCACTATTGGTTCTACAAGCAAGCTACAGAGAACAAACAGTCTGCTGATCAACAAAAAGGTGATTACTTTACACTCAAAACACCTAGTGCTGCATTACGACAACCTCAAGCCGTGCCAAGCACACCGACCCCTGGACACGGTGCTCGATCGCGCTTGACGCAGACACCCAATACGCCTGCAACACCAGGTGAAGCACTAGGCAGTCACATTGAACGTACAGGCGAGGGACTTGAGCTCATTCACCTCCCTGCTGAAACGCTGCAAGCGCACTCAATCGAGGAACTGTTGCAAAAGGCCATCGAAGATCACACATTACCCGTTTCGCACCACTTTGAATTCATGGTCCGGTTGCGATTAGCCAAAACTGCCAATGAGTCGCGCGATCGACTGTCGCAACTCGTATCTATTCGAGCACTTGCATTGGCTGCATTGGCGTATACCGTTGCTGAGCCTGTTTTGCAGACGCGCATTTTCACAACGGATGGTGAGGTGGTGCAACAACTCGCATCGCTCACCAATCCTGATTACAAGTGCTCGGAGCAAGTCAAAATATCAGCACTCATTGCTTTAGAAGCTATTGCACACCACAGGCCAAAGCTCAATGATGTCCTTGCAGTGCTTGGTGCTTCAGTCAACCACGGCTTGATTATCTATATTGTCAAACGTGTGCTTGCAGATTTGCGACATGATGTTCCAAAATGCTCGAGTGAGTATGTCGAGGCTGTCTCAGGTTTACTTCACTACCTGAGTACCACACAAATTGCCGGCACAATGCTCTGCTCTGCTGGCCTTGTTCAGCTTTTGATTCAGCTGCTCGAGAATCAGCAGCCTGCTGCATTGCGCGCAGTCGTCAAGTCCCTCGCCTTGCTCGATCATCTCCTCTATGGCTTTCAGCAATCCTTCCAAATATTCTGCGCTGCAAATGGCCCAGCTATCTTGGTGGAACGCATTAGGACAGAGGTGCTGCATGACATTGAAGCAGCGCCCGGATACGAGGAAGCGTGCAGAGTGGCGAAAGTGGATTATCGCATGCCGCACGAGCGTTTCTCACTTCTCAAAACAATGCTCAAAACGCTCCTGCACATGATGCAGAGCTCTGGTACGTCGGATGGCTTGCGAAATCTGATTGAGTCGCCACTGCTCGACTCCATCAACCTCATCTACGGGAATGTCAACATCTTTGGGTCGAGTGTTTTTGCCACTGCAACCAACATCATGTCTACATTCATCCACAACGAGCCCACCTCATATGCGATTCTGCATGAGAAGAAGGTGCCAGAGTCATTCCTCAACTCTATCACGAATACCATTCTGCCTGCCTCAGACGCCCTCGGTGCCATTCCCAACGCTCTAGGTGCAATATGCCTTAATGCCCAAGGACTGACACTCTTCAAGAGCTACAATGTCATCGATGCCTTCTTCAACATCTTCACTGAACAGAAGCATTGCGAGGCCTTGCAAGACTCAGATACTGCTGGTATTCTGGGCGGCGCCATTGATGAATTCATTCGTCATCACCCACACATGAAAGTCGAAGTTCAAACGCACGTCTTCAACACTGCTCAGAGGATCAAGCGCCTTGGTCAGCGATGTGTGGATACCACAGATTTTGCTTGTTTCGTGAGGGAAGAGGGAAAAGCCCACACTGAATCGACGGATGCCATCACAGCAACAGTCGAGGATGACGACCATATGAAACGCAGTGTCATCACGCTGTATATTGACATTATTGCTCGATTCCTTGAAGGTTTCTTCAACACTGCAAGCCATGCCGCTGATTTTGTCAACAAAGGCGGCGTCCATGTGCTCATTACTTATTACGAGCTCGATTGTCTGCCATATGATTTTGCCCGATCGAGCGCAGCATTGGCATTATCACATGTCTTTCGAATCACCAGTGAGGTTGATGCACGCGCGACGCTCCTTCCCATTTATGCATCCATGCGCAAAGCTGTGCAGGACTGTGGAGAGATGCCAGGCCCACATCCTACCGACTCAAAGTATGCGGTTCAACGATCGCAAGGTTTTACGGCGGAACAGACACCCATTGTTGCCTTGCGACGCTGTCACTCTTATGCCGTCTTGCTATCAGACCTATACGCTCTGCCAGTGTTTGGACACGGTCGCAGTGCGCTGCCCTTCTATACAGAGTTCCAGTCGGGTTTTGCAGGAGACGACGTCTTGCAATTGCTAGGTCAATTTCATCGCAAGCTTGTTTGGGAAGAGATCAAGCTTAGCAATGAAATGGAGCTGGACTGGGTGAAAGCAACGCAACCACAAGATGAAGGTCCTGCTCAGCCCGTCAATCAAGCGGAAGCTGAGAAGATCCTTCCTGAACAAGTCCGCATGACTGATTCATTCAAGAACCTCAAGATGCTCAGGTTCCTGCTCTGTCAGATCCCACCATGTATCATTCCATTCTACCAGGGCTTGTCAAAGATGCTCTTCACCAGTAGGCGCCCGGTCGATGGCAACCATGGCATGATATCGTACAGAGTGGCTGTCATCATTGCTCAAATCATGGAAGAGCATCTTACGTTTGAGCCGACATGGACTCAATCTGATCGAATTCCCTACGCGATCTTGATGGTCACAAATGTCCAGATGATTTTATGCGATGACCGCAACCCTGCCAATCTCACCGTATCTGTGCTGATGCATTTTGACGCTGGCGTACACAAATTGAAGGACCTGCTGGTATCGCTTTGGCAAGAACTCAGGAACCGGAATTTCACGATGGCTGACCTCTTGAAAGAAGATGTCGATCTTGGAGAAGGCAGCGTTTCTGAAGCAACACGCTCGCTGAGGGATGCTAGGAGACTGCATGCTGCTATTGAACTGATCTTGCGTCTATTCTTGCAATTCACATCACATCATGCAGTTTTGGACTCTCCGCAAACACAAGCCATCGCCAAGTCTCGAGACCCTTTGCCAGGCGACCCTTTCAATGCAAATGCTCTGCTGCGCAAGCTTCGTGGCCTTATTTTGCCGACCATGGCAGAGCTCTTCGAAGACGAGAACAGGGCCAACCTTTCTTCGGGCGTCTTCAAGATTATTGTGCAAATCATGACACAGTGTATGGCTGCTGAGGGAGAAAAGTCAGCTTCACGCACAGAAATTGCTGATCGGCATACAAGCTTCTTATCTGTAGCGGCGCCTCTGGGTGCAGCAGCCGTCTCGCACCCATCTCCAGTACAGCGCGAGCAAAATGTCTCGCGCCTGATGGCTCTTGGCTATGCTCGTCATGTGGCAAGCTCAGCACTCACGGAAGCAAACGAAAATGTTCAGAGCGCCATGGACTTTTTGGTGGCTCATCCGCAGATGGCTGCCATCACGTCAAACGATGCAGACAGGCACGAAGAAGACTCGCCGATCGACGCAGAGAGCACTGATACACTCGATACTGTACGACAAAACCTCGATAGCCTGATTCTTGGCTCCGTGGCAGCCTTGGAACATCATCCCGATGTTGTCTTTGAGCTTAGCGCGCTCATTTTGGCCTCTATGGCGGTGTCCAAGACTAATGAGTGGCTTTCTGATGGCGTCAGTATCCTGATTGGCACACTCGAATCGATGGTTGAGGACGCAGCTGAACCAAGGAAAGCTGCTCATCTTGGCGCCATTACTCATTTGCTCGCCAAGCTCTCGCATTCAGTCATGTTTATGCAAAAGTGCTCTGAAGATTTGATTGAATCTGAGGAAACCATTAGGTCGCTGCTAGCAGATACATCGGATGTTCAAGCGAAACCTTGGGTTGCAAGCGCCATTCTGATACTAGACGCTATGGTTGCTCAATCTGATGGGCCCCATGCAGTCTCGCCTGATGGAAGCACCCCTGCTGGGTTGTCCCAAGAGCAGGTCGAACAAATCTTTACCTCTTGCTTTGCTCTTCTCAAGAGTCGACCATCAGACAAGGGCACATTGTTATCTCTTTGCAGATTCTTCGTGAGATTGACTCGTCGAAAAGAACTATCCGCACGTTTCATTCAGGAAGGTGGTTTGCAAGAGCTCTTTGCGATGCTCAAGCCTGTCGTTTCGCAGACCGATGAAAATATTCGCATTACATTTGTCATTCTGTTAAGGCACTTGATTGAATCTGAAGACATCATCACATCTGTCATGGAACGAGAGATCAAGTCGTGGTTTACTCAGCCAAAGACACGCAACACAGAGATTAGCAATTTCGTCAAGCAGAATGCCTCGGTTGCACTCCGCGACCCCGATATCTTTGTGAAGGCTACGCAACGTCTTTGCTGCTTTCCCAAGTATGATGAATCGGCGAATTTGCAGGCAATTGCGCTGCGCTCATTAGCCTACGCAGACACACCGGCCTATCTACCGGAGGACAAGGAAGTAACCGCTTCGAGTAACAAGCCAGTTGAGGTGATCCAGAGTCTCCTGACAGAGATGCAATCAAGCCGTGAACGGTTCCAAACAGAGCAAGAGCGCGATACAAAGGCAATTTTCGAGGGGTCCGAAGCCAAAAAGGTTCCTTTCAAGTCATCCGAGCACCCAGAGTATCTGTACCGATGTCTCCTGTTGCAATGCTTGACTGAGCTGCTGGCGTCCTACACTCCCTGCAAACTGGAGTTCATCAACTATTCACGCAAACCCAGCAAGGATGCGACAACACCTGCAAAGCCGCGGACTGCTATTCTCAATTTCTTGGTTCTCGACTTACTCTCCAATGCAAGTATCCATGTGTTGGATGACATTCCTTCCAAGAAGCGGTATGCTATCGAGAACTGGACTCGAGCCGTCCTGGTATCTCTGTGTGCGAGTGTCACACCGCCCGATGACGGGAAAGATGAAACCCTACAGCATGTGCGCAAGATCGTGCTTGATGTGCTCACCAAGGTGATCCGGGATACAATTGTCTCTCAAGAGCCTGCCGACTCACGATACGCCAAGATCATTTCGCTCGCTGAACTGCTCTACCGACTGATGACTTCGAACGCAATCACCCAGGCTCCCCAAAATAATATTGTTCAGCCGCCGCCAGAGTCTCAATGGCATACAGCCAAGCTTATGATTGAGAAGGATTATGTATCGCTGCTCTCAAGCATTCTGGCAGATGTCGATTTGCAGCATCCATCGGCTCGACGTGTGGTGAAATGCGTTTTGAAGCCCTTGAAGACTTTGAGCAAGATTTCGGTGCGTCTGAGCGAAACTACCGATCTCGTCAAACCTATTGCAGACCAAGGTGCCACAGATGGCCAAACGAGCGAGGCCAACTTCTTTGAGGAGTCGAGCTCCGAGTCAAGTAATGCCGAAGGAGAGGAGGGTCGCGAAGACACTCCGGACCTTTACCGAAATTCCGCCCTCGGGCTCTTTGGAGGCGACATGCAAGAAGAATCTGAGCACAGCAGCTACATGAGTGGCGAGGACGACGAAATGTATGACGAAATGGATTATGACGATGAAGGATCTGAGACGGGCAGCGCCGTGAGTGACGAGGAGCTTGAATTGGCTGAAGGCCATCCAGGTGGCCACGACATGGACGTCGAGTTGATTCTTGACGGGGAGCACATGGGTCACGATGGCGATGACTCTGGTTCCGATGGTGAGCACTCATCTGACTATTCTGACGAATATAGCGACAGTATGGATGCTGAGGAGATCGAGATTATCGAGGAACAAGGCTTTGACGAAGGTGAGTGGCAGGATGAGGAAGACGATGGTGATGATATTGTCGGCGACCAATCTGTTCCTGGTGATGCACTCCTGATTGATCTCACCAACGGTATGCTGGGAGGCCCTGCTGATGCCAATGAAAATGAGATGGACGGCGGGCACCCGGACGATATCGACGATGATGAAGAAGACTACGATGAGGGCATGTCTCAAGGTACACACATTGAATTCACGTCGCAATACTAACCAACAGAAGATGAAGACCTCATCGACGATGATAATGATGATGATGGAGATCAGTGGGGTTGGGCCGGCGAAGATGATGATGGCAATGAAGACAGCCAAGCTACCCAACGGCAGACCGCTGGACGCAATATCGCTCATCGATTGTGGGCATCCCTTGGTGGCGGTGGTGCAGGCGGCATTGCTCGGAATGGGTTTGATCCTGATGTTCAAGTATTCCGTCGCCCACGAGTCGGAGGCCCGGCTGGTCAGCCTCCTGCTACAGAGCAGTCGTTGCTGTCGAATCCGCTCCTTACAAGCAACGCACGAAATGCAATTGGCGGACGCACGGATGGACAACCACGAAATGAAGTCTTTAGTGATTGGGTTGAGTCAATCGAAGCGCTCATGGGAGGCGGAGCGGTACAGCTCATTGGTGATATGCTCCAAGGTCCAAATGCTCGTCGTGCGCAAGCCATCCGTGTCGAAGTGAATGGCGCCGGAGAACCGACTGTGATTACCGCTGGTCTGGAACGCGCCCTACAGGAGACCAATTTGGCCTCCAGACTTGCTGGAGATGGGCATGCGTCCGGTACAGGTCTTGGGCAGACAGGGTCTACCCGGACTGAAGAAGATCCAATGCTGGCAATCTCTTTTGATCCTTCGTCGACACTCAAGCGATGGCGGGATGATACAACAATTACCTTTGACGGTGCCTCAGTCGAGCTTGCTCTTCGACTAGTTGGTCGCCTTTTACAAGTAATGTCTCCTCAAGCAAAGACAGAAGCCGCTGAACGCAAAGTTGTTGAAGAACGACTTCGCCTTGAACGCATGCGCATAGCTGAAGAAGAGCGCACGAAACGAGATCAGGAGCAGCAAGCGAAACAAGCCGAGGAACAACTCAGGAAGAAAGAGCAAGAGCGAAATCAGCCTGCGCCCATCACTGCGGAGTCCAATGCGACCGCACCAATGATCACGGAAGCATCAGACAGCATGGAAGGTGTGGAGCCCACAGAACAGACTTCGACTTCAGAAGCACCTCGCCAGTTCATTTCCATCCGAGGCCAGAACGTTGACATCACCGGTCTTGGTATCGATGTCGAGTTCCTCAATGCTCTGCCAGAAGAGATGCGTGAAGAGGTTTTGACCCAGCACATCCGTGAACGTCGGGCAGCCGCACAAGAGAATCTGCAGCAAGCAGTCGAGTTGACTCCTGAATTCCTCGAAGCCCTTCCGGCCGAAATTCGGGCTGAGCTGATTCAACAAGAGACCATCGACCGTAGGCGTCGCGAGCGCCTTGCCCGTCAAGCTCAGGCTCAGGCAGCCAGTGGCGCTCCAGCCGGTCCAACAGAAATGGATCCAGCAAGCTTCTTGGCTTCTCTCGATCCTGCTCTGCGTCAACAAGTGTTGATGGATATGGATCAAGACGATGATCTTTTCAGCACGCTGCCGCCGCATCTGCTCGCCGAACTTGGACAGCGTCGAGCTACACCACGAGACATGGAGCGCATTCAGGGATCAAGGGGTGCACATGATCAAGCCACATCAGGCCCAGTTGGAACTGGTGACAAGGCTGATGAGAATAGCACGGCCGCTCCAAAAGTCAAGCGTGAAGCGATTCAATTGCTCGACAAGAATGGCATCAGTGGTTTGTTGCGCCTTATCTTCCTACCGCTTCCACAGCAAAAGAACTTCTTGCATGAGGTCTTGCTAAATCTCTGCGAAAATCGCCACAACCGTGCCGAGATCATTGGACACCTACTGCTTGTCTTACAGGACGGCACTGCTGATATTCAAGGCGCCGAGCGATGCTTCAACATGATGACCAAGCGATCGCGCCTGAGCACCACAGAGACCCCAATGAAGACACCCAAAAAGGCGCCGTCAGCTCTTCAATCTCTACCGCTCATTATTGGTGACAATGCGCCGAGTCTCGTTGCACTGCAAGTCTTACAGGCTTTGGCATACCTTGTCCACTATAATGCTCAGCTGCCCTCGTTCTTCCTCACAGAGCATGATTCACTTGCAGCACGACGAAGCGCCAAAGCTAAAGGCAAGGGAAAGGAGAGTCTGTCCAAAGCAAACAAGTTTCCTATCAACAGTCTTGTTGGGCTCCTCGATCGAGAAGTCATTCTCGAGACGGCAGAGGTTCTTGAGCAATTGTCTCATCTCCTGGGTGTTGTCACTCGCCCACTGCTGATGCTGAAGAAGCGTCAGAAGCTCGAAACGCAGCAAAGCGAGAATGTTGAAATGACCCTAATTGAAGCCGCTCCTGCGGAGGCGGCTAATTCTATTGTGCCTGCTGGGGGTGATTCCTCCGAGTCGAAGCCTGCTGATTCGGGAGAAAAGCCAAAATCAAAGAAGACACTTGTGCCCCCCGAAATTCCGGTCGAACACCTCAGGCTGGTGGTAAATATCCTCCGTGCAAATGAATGCTCCAGCAAAACATTCCAGAACACGCTTGCCACAATGCAACATCTGGGCGCTTTGCCTGGTGCCAAGGAAGTCATTGCTGACGAGCTTGTGAACCAAGCTCAGACGCTAGGAATGGAGATTCAGGGTCAGTTGCTTGCGTTGCTCGGACATATACGCCCTTTGCAGACCGATGAGGAGCTTCAGGCATCTTCATTTGCGGCCTTTTCGTCGAGTTCCTCCAGTCAAGCCAAGTTGCTCCGCATGCTGAAATCGATCGATTACCTCTTCGAGACACGAAACGGAGACCAACCTGACGCTTCTGCAGATCAAGCAAATTTCGTTGCGCAGATCTATGACAGTCTCAACTTTGGGCAACTGTGGAGCGAGTTGAGCGAATGCCTCACAATCATCCACGAGAAATCCAACATGGTGCATGTTGCTACAATTCTATTGCCTTTGATAGAAGCGCTCATGGTGGTCTGCAAGCAGATTGCTGCTGGTCAAGGTTCCACCAAAGACCCAAAGACCACACCAAGCTCGCGTCAAGCCACACCTGCATCGAGCGAAAGTCTGGCTACGCAGTTTTTCAGCTTTACTGAGCAGCATCGCAAGATTCTCAATCAAATGGTGCGAAATAATCCTGCTCTCATGAGCGGTTCTTTCAGTCTATTGGTGAAAAATCCAAAAGTGTTGGAGTTTGACAACAAGCGCAATTACTTTGTGCGAAAGCTTCGCGATAGGGCTGCAAAGGAGCACTACCGTCCGTTAGCCCTCAATGTCAGGCGCGACATGATTTTCCTCGATTCCTACAAGAATCTGCACTTCAAGAGCGGAGATGAAATCAAGTACGCAAAGCTCAACATCCGTTTCGCCGGAGAAGAAGGTGTCGATGCAGGTGGTGTGACTCGAGAATGGTTCCAGGTGCTTGCCAGACAGATGTTTGATCCAAATTATGCACTCTTCGTGCCTGTCAATGCGGATCGCAACACCTATCACCCCAATAAGCTTTCTGGCATCAACCCTGAGCATCTTTCATTCTTCAAGTTCGTTGGCAGAATTGTGGGCAAAGCGCTGTACGACGGTCGTCTTCTCGACTGCCATTTCAGCCGGCCTGTTTACCGCAAGATGCTCGGAAAGAATGTGTCCCTCAAGGATATGGAGACTCTTGACCTCGAGTACTACAAATCTCTTCTGTGGATGCTTGAGAATGATATCACAGATGTCATCACTGAGACATTCTCCGTGGAGCGCGATGACTTTGGTGAGGTGACCATCATTGACCTGATCCCGAACGGCCGAGAAATTCCTGTGACGGAGGAGAACAAGCAAGAGTACGTTGCAAGGGTGACGCAGTACCGTCTGCTCGACAGTGTCTCGGAACAGCTTGACCACTTCATGAAGGGCTTCAACGACATCATTTCACCCGAGCTGGTGTCCATTTTCAACGAGCAAGAATTGGAATTGCTCATCTCGGGTCTGCCAGACATTGATGCGGATGATTGGCGCAACAATACCGAGTACCACAACTACACGGCAGCCTCACCGCAAATTCAATGGTTCTGGCGAGCGGTGCGATCCTTTGACGACGAAGAGCGCGCACGTCTTTTGCAATTTGCGACAGGCTCTTCGCGCATTCCAATCGAGGGCTTTGCAAACCTCGAGGGTATGCAGGGAGTGCAAAAGTTCAACATCCACAGAGATTACACGAATGGTGATCGTTTACCGCAATCGCACACTTGCTTCAATCAGCTCGACTTACCAGAGTATGAGAGCTATGAAGCATTGCGCAACTCACTCCTCACGGCCATCTCTGAAGGTAATGAAGGATTTGGCTTTGCTTAGGGCAGGATCCTCTGCAACATGTTTATGAGCTCGACGCAGCGTGTCGATTGTGTTTTGTCGTATATCATAGTCAATGAGATGCATATTTGAAGGAATGTTGATACTCAATATCTACAAAGTGGGAGGTATCTACGGTTGCATCAAAACTTGCTCAGGGTTTGCTTCTGATGGTGCCACTGCGTTACGTGCCGCCGTCTCTGCAGACTCATGCACCACGGGCCGCAAAGGTTGTCCCTCACCGCTCATGGTTTCGAGCGTCTTGAGCTTCTCCAATGCCTCTTGATCCGCCTTTGCGAGTGCTGCCTGAATCGTCTCTTGTGCTTCAAGCACCTGTCTCTTCATTGCCAAACGATCGAGATAGATTTGTTGCTTGGCACGCTCAACATCCCGTCGTTCTGCTTCCAGCAATCTTTCAAGTTCCTCAAATTGCTGCAACTTGAGCTCCAGTCGTTGGACTTGTGTTGCAACAGCTGCAGAGACGAGTGCATTGAGTTCACGTTCTTCATGCGATGCAAGAAGGTGTGCTTTCGCCGCTGCTGCACCCAAGGCTGCACTGGCTGCTTTTTCAAGTTTATCTTGTTCAAGCGTGTTGCTGGATTCATCCACCTGCATGGCGTCACCAGCGTTACCATCCATGGTACTTCCATTCGCCTGCTCTTTTTTGGTCTTTGCTTGCAAATCCTTGACGAGTTGATCGATAGCTGATTGAGCAGAAGCGGCAGCCACAGTAGGTCGAATGGCACTCGCCAAAAATGCCACAACACTCATGACTGGATTCTCAGCTTGTGAATAAGGTGCCCTTGCATACTGCAATGGTCCAGCAGCAGCGACATCGCTCTCGAGGTAAGGATCTTCAATTGGCATTTGCAGGAATCGCAAAACACACTGTTCTTTTGTTCGTGTACCAACGTGACTGGCGATTTGTGACCAATCCTCATCATACATCTCGAGCCCTTCAAGCAAGAGCAATGTCTCTGCATCTGTCCAAGTGTCCTCTTCACGCTTGATGTGCGTATCGCCTAGCCTGACGAAATCACCAGACTGCGAAGTCGCTGGAAACCTTGCCTCTGTGTAGCAATTCGCACAGAGATTGACATTTGTCTGTTTCGTACTGTGATAACGCAAAGCGGAGCACTCAACACCACATGTCGTACAAGCGATAGGTTTGCGATCACTGGTGGTCAGACCAGCGGCGCCATTGGTGGTACTGCTGCCAAGTGAGCTATCATACACATTCCTGCGCAATTCCAAATTGGTTTCTGGCTGTGGTGATTTGCGCATAGCCGCTGCCGTCTTGTTGAAGGGCTTGCCCTGTGAAATGGTTGAGTTGGGTGCTGGCACAAACGGTTGAAGGCCACGTGGTGTATCAGCAGTGAGTTTGAAGTGTCCCGTAAAAGGTGGACCAATATTGGAGGGTCGCGTTTCTGGCTCTACTTGGTAGTTGATGAGTCCCCATTGTTCGAGGAAAGCGTGGACGCGCATAACGGCACAGACGTCGCCTGCAAGATTACGTCGGCATGCGGTGACGGTCAGATACTCGGATGGATTGAGTCTGTAGGTGTTGATCATAAAGTCGCGGTAGTCCTTGTACACGGTCGGTGTCTTTGATCGGTTCCTGCCGTTGAAGAATTCCGGTACTGATTTCCGCTCAATGTCGTTGATGGTGAGCATATCGAACCAGGCTGCATAGCTCGGCACAATTACTTGATGGGTTTGTTCGATGAGAAATGCCTGCGCTTCATCTTCCACCTTTTTCGCCTGTTGCAGTGATGTCTCTGGCTCTGTAGCCGCTGGCTCTTCTGCAGGTGGCTTGGTTTCTGCATTGGTATCTTCAGCAGGCCCGGTAGACTCAACAGCGTCTTCACTAGTTTGCGCTTCAGCAGGCGCAGCAGGCGACGCATCAATCGCAGTCGTGGGTGCAGCATCCTCAGCTGCTTCTGTCTGTGCAGCGGGTGCATCTGCATGTGTCTCCGCAGCGGGGATTTCTTCGAGCTGTGCAGCTTCCTCCATCTTGTGATCTGCCTGTTCCTGCGGCTTATCGACCTGCATCTGTGCGCCCTCCTCCATTGTAGCAGTCTTGTATATATGTATCTATGTCTATTGTCGCTGTTGTCTCTTTCTCTTTCGTGTTTTGAGCATTCACGTGTTCACGTGTTTCTGGTTTCGCGTCTACGTGGATGAGCTCATGACTACTGCAGCTATATCTACCTGCTACTCTAGCTGTTCTATCTGCTCTAGCTGCTCAGTACTGTTGACCATGGCTGTAGACAGAAAGAGAAAACGGGCTCACTCCTCAGACCCAGAGCAAGAGCTAGAGGCCAACTTGTCCACCACATCAGGCACTCCTGCAGACCAGGAAGCTACCATCTCGGCCTCCATGCTCAAACAAGAAGAACAGCTACAAAAATCCAACAAGTCCAAAGCTGGCAATACAAAACAAGTCAGAGAAATCGCTAGTATGGAAGAATCAGCGCGTGTGAATCGACTTAAATTCCTGATTGAAAAGTCAAAGATTTATACCTCCATCTTGAGTGAGAAGCTGTTGAAGCAGCAAGACATCTCTCGCTCTCGTGGAGAAGCGATCGATTCTGCTGTACCTCCACTTGCAAAAGAAGGGAGTGGCAAGGCGAGACCAGGCAAGAAGAGAAAGGCTGCCACCGATACGGCTGATGTGGCAACAGCCCTGAATGAGGCAAAACAAGACAGTGCCAAGTCACATGGCAGCAAATCGAATGGAAATTCAGCAGCACCTCAACAGTCTGCTAGACAGCCAGCCTTGATCACTGGCGGTGTCATGCGTGACTACCAACTCGATGGACTCGAATGGATGGTCTCCTTGTATGAGAATGGCCTAAATGGAATTCTTGCAGACGAGATGGGCTTGGGCAAAACACTTCAGACAATTGCCTTTCTCGCCTTTCTTCGCAGTAAAGGCGTCATGGGACCATTCCTCATTGCTGCCCCTCTCAGTACGATTGCCAATTGGGTGAATGAGGTGCGTCGCTTTGCGCCAGAGATACCTGTGCTCTTGTATCATGGCAGCAAAGATGAACGTGCAAGGATGCGTGCCAAGAAGATGGCCAAAGTTGGGGAGAAGTTCCCCATCATCGTGACCAGCTACGAAATCATCATGAATGACCGCAAATTTCTGCAAAAGTACCAGTGGAAGTACATTGTCGTCGACGAAGGACATCGGTTGAAGAATCTCAATTGTAAGCTCATCAAGGAATTACGATCCTATTCAACAGCAAATAGATTGCTGCTCAGTGGCACGCCTCTCCAGAACAACCTCTCTGAGCTCTGGTCACTCCTCAACTTTCTTTTACCAGACATCTTTTCCGACCTCGACTCCTTCCAGTCTTGGTTCGACTTTTCGTCCCTTGAATCCGACAATGCAGAAGGTGGTCAAGACATGCTCGCCAATGAAGAACAGTCATCCGTCATCACCAATCTCCATCAAATCTTGAAGCCCTTTTTGCTGCGCCGTCTCAAGGTTGAAGTTGAAAAGGACCTACCTCCGAAGCGCGAGTATTTGCTCTATGCGCCCATGACTGCGGAGCAAACTGCTCTTTACAAAGCAGTATTGGACCATCAAGTCCGTGCTTTCTATGATGAAGACGGTGCAGAGCAGACAGTAGCGAATCTCGACGTTGACGCACCGCGTGGCAAACGCACGCGCACACGCATGCCACAAAGAGAGCTTTCTGACGACGAATACTTTGATTCACTTGAACAGCAAGCAGACACGCCCACAACGACCGCATCAACGCCAAAGGGAAAGTCTACTAAAGCAATGGCTGGCTTTGACTACTCAAAGCTACGCAACATGTTGATGAGTCTACGAAAGGTATGCAACCACCCGTACCAGAATCATTGGCCGGTTTATCCTGGCACTGATCGCTATGTGGTGGATGACAAGCTCTGCACAGCTTCTGGCAAGATGATGCTGCTCAAACGACTTCTCACCGCATTGCTAGAAAAGAATCACAAGGTTCTCATCTTTTCCCAATTTACAACCATGCTCGATATCATTGAAGTCTGGCTTGAGGATATGATGGACCTGAAGGTATGTAGGATTGATGGCAACGTCGATCAGGAATCTCGGCGTGAGCAAATCGCGGCTTTCAATGAGCGTGAAGACCATAAAGTCTTCTTGCTCAGTACACGAGCTGGTGGTCTCGGGATCAATCTCGTCTCTGCAGACACGGTCATTCTATTTGATTCTGACTTCAACCCGCAAAACGACTTGCAAGCCATGGACAGAGCTCATCGTATTGGTCAGAAACGACCCGTGATTGTCTACAGATTTGCCTCTGCCAATACCATCGAAACAAAGATCTTGCTGCGCGCGCAAAATAAGAGGCGTCTGGAGAAGGCTGTTATTCGTCGTAATTCACTGCTCAATCAAAGTTCAATCATGGAGATGAAGGACATCCTCCTGAGTGAGGATGCTGAAAAGATTCAAATCACGTCTGGTGATGATGAAGTGTTGAGTGAGCAGGATCTGGAGAAGCTGCTTGATCGCTCGGAAGCCGCCTATCAGCATAATTACGCTGGCGATAAATTCAAAGCCATGGAAACGAAGCGTGATGCAGAGAATGACGCCCTGGCGTCGCACTAGTCATGTTGTAATGGTTGTCAGATGATGTTTGTACTATACTGTAGTCTATCGCTAGACTGACATGGTCCACTTGTTTGCTGCTTTGCGACTCAGATTCTGGTGCTTCACGAGACTTCCGTCCTGTTTGCGAAGAACGGTCCCTTCCTTGCCTGTTGTATCTCGAATCTTGAACGTCCACCGGTCCTGAAGCTTCTTACTAGGTGGTTGCACTTGGACTTCCTCCACTTTTGACTTACCCAGGAGTGTGGACAGGGATGAAGTGGATTCAAATGGCGATTTCGCAATGAAGTCTTGAATCTGCTTCTCTTGACGCTTGCCGAATGGAATCTTGCCGAGCTCCTCTGCAGCATCTTCAGGTGTATAACTCGCAGCTTCAGGAATCAAGGTGAAAATTTGTCTGCCTGGGTCAATTGTAAGGTTGTGCTTTGGTTCATAGTCACCGAATTCGGCTGACTTTGTGCCAAGAACCTGGTCCATGGTGTCTGCATAGGATTGCATCGTGCGTCGACCCTTCTGTTAGCAATTGTAGAAGTGGAGGCAGACGCATGAGGTGACGAAGACTGCTGTACGTCAGATATCATAATGTTATTGGAACCATGGTATTTTCTTGTCTTAAAGACTAATCGTTGAAAGCATCATTCAAAAGCGTTGTCTCGAAGCAGCTCATGCGTCTTTGTTTGAATCACTTACCTGAGTGTCCCATTTTTCCCTAACGGCTTGAAGCTTGAGGATCGCATCGATACGTTCCAGCGAGACTCCCCATTTCGTGCTCAGCTGCCGCAAGCCGATACCAGTCTTCCAATCTTGAATAATGTCCTGCTTGATGGACCGCGCAAGCGGCGGACTCGGTTGGAAAGCAGGGTTGAGTGGGAAAGGGTGTGTCTTGCCATCCAAATAGTTTGTGCGGCCTCGTCCTTCTGCTGGCGAGGCATGGATCTTGCCAGGTCCATTCACCCACTGAACAAAGGCCTTTCTATGCGAGTGTGATGCAGCATTTCTGGATAAGGGCATCTCGCTTCGGCCACGAGTGGTCGACGTTGGACTTGTGGCCTCTGATCGAGCCGGGCTTTCTGCTGTGTTGCAGACAATTCGGGCAGCAGAGAACTGCCTTACGCAGGGTAGTCTCCTTGGCTTGAGCATGGTTGTATGTCAAGCACTTCGATGTCTCTGGTCGTGCTGTTTCTTGTGATTTTCATCTGGTCGCACGCACGCACACAAAGCACATCCCCCGGACCATACAGCGGGAAGACCTCAGGCCGCGCACAATCGCATCAAAGAGCCTGTGGACCTGCGAGCATGCCAAGTGTGAGCCATTGAGGCATCAGAGATCATTGCAACATCATCACGAGACACTACTGAGTGGTCGCGATTTAGCTACACCAAAATTGAAGCGCGTCGGCTTGGTGTCGTACCTGTCTACCGCTTCTGTACGCCATGTCAAGCATGCGAGGACTCACCGTCTTTATCTCTGATTTGCGGAATGCTCGGGCCCGAGAGCTGGAGGAAAAGCGCATCAATACAGAGCTGGCCAAGATTCGCATCAAGTTCAAAGATGCCAAGCTCAATGGCTACGACAGGAAGAAGTACATCTGCAAGCTTCTCTACATGTACATCCTTGGCTGGGATGTTGCATTTGGCCACCTCGAGGCCCTCAAATTGCTGTCAAGTGTCAAGTACAGTGAGAAGCAAATCGGGTATTTGGCCGTGACGCTCTTCTTGAATGAGAACCATGACATGCTTCATCTAGTGGTCAACAGCATTCGCAAGGATCTGCTGGACTCAAACGACTTGCATGTATGCCTTGCGCTGCATTGCATTGCAAATATTGGTGGCGTCTCAATGGGGGAGTCGCTTTCAGACGAGGTGCATCGCCTGCTCATTGCAGCCACTTCATCATCCTTCATCAAAAAGAAAGCCGCATTGACACTCCTCAGACTGTATCGTAAGTGTCCAAGCATAATACAACGTGCTTGGGCGGAGCGCATTGTTTCTATCCTTGATGATGACGATCTTGGCGTTGTCTTGTCAGTGCTATCACTGGTCAGCGCTCTGGCACAAGATCACCCAGATGCCTACATTGTTGCATTCTCAAAGGCTGTCTACAGGCTGAAGCTGCTCGTCCTCGATCAGGCATACGGGGACGATGACCTTTACTACAGAGTGCCAAATCCGTGGCTACAAGTTAAGCTCTTGCGCTTATTGCAGTACTTTCCTGCTCCGACTGACGCTGCCATCATCGAGACACTTATCGAAGTCTTGAATGCAATTGTCGCACTCGCGAATACATCGCCCAAGAATGCTCAGCAAAATAATGCTCAAAATGCCATTCTCTTCGAAGCCATCAACCTGGCCGTGCACGCAGATATGACTGCTGCGTTAGAGACTCAACCGCTGCGGATATTGAGTAAGTGCATATCGAGCCGAGAAACCAATACGCGCTTCCTCGGTCTTGAAACGCTATCCAGGCTAGCTGCGCGCAGTGATATGATGGAGCCACTGAAGAAGCATCAGGATATCGTATTACAATCACTCAAGGATCGTGATATTAGCGTTCGCAGACGTGGTCTTGATCTCCTCTTTTCCATTTGCGATTCTAGCAACGCGAAAGCAATTGTCGCAGAGCTCGTCAAGCACTTGCAGCAGGCAGACTTTGCGATTCGAGAAGAACTGGTTCTCAAGATTGCCATTTTGGTGGAAAAGTATGCGACCGAGTATCAGTGGTACGTTGCTGTCATGTTGCAGCTGCTAGCTATCGCCGGTGACCAAGTTCCTTCTGAAGTATGGCAGCGTATTGTGCAAGTCGTTACAAATAACGAAGAGCTGCAAGAGCACGCTTCTACGGCCGTATTGCAATACCTCAAGCAGCGAACATGCCACGAGAATTTGGTCAAGGTCGGCGGATATATTCTCGGCGAGTTTGGCCACTTGATTGGCAACAACGAGGGTTGCACGCCTATTGAGCAATTTTCAGCGCTGCATGGCAAATTCAACTTGTCAACGACACCGACTCGCGCATTGCTATTGTCCACCTATGTCAAGTTTGTCAATTTGTTCCCAGAAATCAAAGACGAAATCATTGCCGTGTTTCGGCAAATGAGTAAAGTACTCGACGCGGAATTGCAACAGCGTGCGTGTGAGTATCTTGCGCTTGTGACCATGCCAACAGACGACTTGCTTCAGGTGATGTGCGAGGAGATGCCGCCATTCCCTGAGCGTGTCTCGGCGTTACTATCACGCTTGCATTCCTCTACAGATTCAGACACTCGGATCTCTACGATCGGCGGCCGTGAAGGTCAAATTGATCGTGCAGCGCTCAAACTAGACTTATCCAAAATTTCGATGAATGGCTCGAATTCTAAAATGAACTCGCCAGTACATCAATTGAGTGGTATGAAGTTTGATACACCAAGATCGAATAGTAACACGCCAAATGGCACGCTGAGCCGGCAGTTGCCTGACCTTGCTTCAGCTGCTAATCTCTCGCCAGGCTGGGAGGCAGGATACCATCGGCTGCTGTACCGTGATGATGGCCTCCTCTATGATGACCCTCAGATTCAGATTGGATTGCGTTCAGAGTATGGCAATGGCAAAGGCTTCTTGACCTTGGTGTTCACCAACAAGTCGGACAATCCCTATACGGCATTCACGACCAGGGCTCTGTCAGCAGACACGAATGCATTGACGATCAGCGCCGAAAGTTTCTCTCCGCCGACTCTCCCAGGCCATTCGCAAGTCCAACAGCGCTTCAAAGTTGAATGCCTTCGTCCATTCGCAGAAGCGCCTCTATTGAGGTTGTCCTACTTGGCTGGTGCATTGCAGGCTCTTACCCTAAAGCTGCCCGTAGTTGTCTCGAAATTTGCGGAACCGGTCGAGCTCACATCAGCTGCATTCTTTGAGAGTTGGGCAATCATCGGCGGCGGCGAGCATGAGTCGCAACGCATTTTTGGTCTATCCGTACAAGGCAATCGCATCGATCTTGGCCGTATGCGTGCCATTGTCAAGGGTCATCGTATGTGTCTACTCGAAAGTGTCGACCCGAATCCAAATAATGTCGTGGCCGCGACCATCATGAATACACTGGCAGAGGGCAAAATTGGTGTCTTGCTGAGACTCGAACCGAATCTTCAAACGACACGGTTCAGAATCACAGTAAGGGCAAAGTCAAGGATCCTGCCATCAGCACTGCAAGAGACTCTGAGTTCTGGTCATTTGGCGAATGGTTCCCCTGAGCTTTGAATCGGCAGGAGCACCGTAGCATTATATCCCGCATCTGTAGCAGCATTGGCTCTTGACTCTGTTCTGTGACATCACCACTGTTCGCGGGGAAATGCTACGAAAAAACGTCAGTTGCATTACTACAAAGCCCGATACAAACACTCCTCAAACATGGCTCACAAGAAGGACATCAACGACACGAAGGAGGTTCGATCACTTGAGCGTCTCGGACACTTGCTGACAAGCAGCGCCAATTTGCAGAGAACCTCACTGGCAACGATGCGCAAGGCAACACTCAGGGGAAACGAGCCAAGAAGGCAACAGATCAGCCTCGAGCGGTAAATATTGGCTCACAGAGGTAAGAAGCTGACAGAGTCAGGATGCTGGAGTCATCAAGGCGGACGTACAGCAATCGGAAGAGGTGAAGATTAATGGCCCAGCGCATGTGAATCCGTGTCAAAGAGTACGCTGACGGCAGTGGTGGCAGCGTTCCTGGGATAGTGAAACCTAAACTTTAGTCAGCAGTGTTGGGCAATAGCTCCAGCTGTAAGCGGCAGAATGATGGTTGATGGCGAAATCGATGCGATTCCAGCTGCGAGGAAAGTTGTGCAGTCAATTTGTCTGTTGACACCCTATCGCCATTTCATTACTCTTTGATCTCCGTCTCCTTGAGTTTGTGCTACGACATTGCCTTGATACCTCAGGTTTGCTTCTCTTATTTCATCCGATGCAGGCTGCACTTATCTCATGTGTTACGCCCACCATAGCTACCGGCAATTGGACATGGGCTCGAGCTAGAGAAGCAATTTCACGCTCTACACAGCCAAGATCTCAGATTTCAAGAGGCACAACTGGTTCGCCAATCCAGCAGTCACAGGTACAGGCGCTAGGGACCCTCCCTTTTCGCGGTGACCCGCGCCGACGCTTAAGGTATCGATGTCCTTCCAGCCTTCGAAGCGGTGCTTCGTTACACGGCTGCAGCTGTGTGTCCTCATTTTCTGAGAAGTCGAGCGGCTCGAGGTTTACTCTTGTCAAAGGTCAAGTTAGACTTCACAGTGGTACACCACTACGAGAGCACTATATTATCCAATTGCATTTGGCAGTGGAGACCAAGCTTCAGGCCTATGTGCGACCAAAGAGCTGCAAGAATCATTTTTGGAATCGTCAAGCCGACTGCGTCGTGTTCGCAGTCAATCACGGCGGTCGTGCGCATGTCGTGTCACGGCAGCAATGGCCAGTCGAGTTTGCCCAGTACAATCGAGTCAAGGGTCAGCAGCCATGATAAACGGAATTTTTTATTACTAACGTAGAGAGTAAAGCTAGCCTCAGGAAGCTGATGAAATTCAACGAGATACAGCTACAGGCAGCAGGCCAGTCGTAGAAATTGTAGCCAAGGCAATCACTATTGGCGGACCTCGGAGCGTGTAAGTCATCGACGGGATCCAAGCGCAGATGCTTGAATTAAAAGGAGCTGACTGAATCTCACTTCTTGCACTCGACATTGTTCCTCACTTTGTATGTCCCAGAATCGCCAAAATGTACGCGGAGAAGGTAGCGGGGGAACTGTGTCATTTGATCCGATATGTCCATATAGTCGCCGTCGTACTGCTGAAGGGTGATTGCGTCTTTTGTTATATTGGGCAGGGTAGTCAGCGCTCCAAGCAGTCTGAGGGAGAGATCCGCGTTACTGCAGGACCGACCAGAGACCGGATACTTGTGAACTCTTGGAATTCGGAAAGAGGCAACCTGAATGTAGCATTTCTGGTTCTTGTCAAAATTCGAGTTGAAGATCTGTCGTTGCACAAGGTCAACGGATGTGGCCGAGTAGCGTTTTGTATTGAAGCATTGGTCCGTTGACACCAACACCTCGTTGATTGCCGCCTTGAGCAGCTTCCATTCCTGAAAGGCGCCACTTACGACTGCAAATTCTCTAGTAGGGAAACTTCCGTGCGCGCATATGCTTTTCATCCCGGGCTTATCCGTGTACGTATCGGTATCACGAAGAAGCGTCACAAGTACCTGGCGGCAACCGTGTGCAGAAACGAACATTGTAATTGCAGTGAAGTGGCCAAGCAAGAGCAGAACCCAGACAGAAAGCATTGTGGCACTAGCTGGTGGTGCTTCTGTGGTGTCAATGCTCTGATTTACGCTGTGCTGGCCGAATCCTTATATGGCGAAAACCCGCCACGAGTCTAGCACTGCTTATTCTCCTTGATATTTGTCCCTCGTCCTAGATCTTCAGCAAGAGCGCTAGAACTCCTTAATAGTTTCGGGAATGTTTCCAGTTGTGGTGAAATGAGTTGCTCGCGATCAGAGTTCATCAGATCGCAAACGAACACATGTATTTGTTTGCTCAGAGCTCCTGAAGCTGTGGTCGCTGCACCACTTCCAAACCTTCTGTGAGATGCAATCAAATTTTTTGTCTGTCTGTCAGAAGGCAGAAGAGAGCCCAGCAAGAGGCCTTCGCACGTTTTCAACGCCCACACTTCCGGTATCGCCAGCTATAGCTTTGGGACTCACGAGCATTTGAAATCCAAGGACATGTGGGCAGCAGGAGGGCCCGCAAAGAACAAATCCAGGGGTAAGTTGTCTTTGGTACAATGAAATTGTAACTGAATTGGTGCTTCACCGAAATTGCAAGTGATGTATCGTAAATCACATTTTTTTTGGAATCTTGCGCCTATGCAGCAAACAAGGCGATTCATCACATGCGACAGATGAAGCTCAACTGTTGTCACTGATAGCTACTGACAGTGACATCTGCTGAGGGATCAGTGCAGAGACTATGAGTTGCGCTCTTTTGCATTGACCATCGCCCTATCTGCTTGAGCTTCAGGATCCGACTCAGCTACAGCTAAAGGTACAGATCGTACAGTCTGGAGCTTTCAGGGGCTGTGGCCGGCCGAGGAACTGCAGATGGTGCAGTGTCGATTGCAGAAATGGTCATTGCGTTTCGGAGTTGCGTTCGCAAATTTGGTGTTGATTCGCGCTATGCAAATACCCCTGTGAAGCAAACAAACCTTGAAAGTGATCAATCACCACTTCCACCCATCTCAATGATACGGCGTCCATCAGCTGCAGCAGCAGCCTGTTGGCAGGGACACGTGTCGCGCCTCCAGTATAAATGCAATTCGCCAGCCTAGCCTTCTTGCAAACCAGCCAACAAGAAGCTTTTCACGGTGGCCTCCAAGCGACATCATCTGCACAACACAAGAGGGTGATGTATTGGGTATATGCTCTTCTTTTCTTTGGCAGATGGACTTCAATTCTTGTCCATGCTCGCAATTGTCGTCAAATTCTCTTGGTGGCCTATCAGCGACGGAGCCTTACTGGGCCTAGTGCAACCACTGAGTCAAACCTCAACAACTGTATAATCGACCCTTTGTATACCTCAAACGCGACCCGTCAGAACGAAGTAGCCAAAGAGATCATATCCGCATTGCAAGGCATGCAGCAAGATAAACTCTATTGCCTCAATATCAAAGCTGAGTTTGATCCACCCAAGCCTTGGTATGACAATATCGACCAGAACTCTTTCCAAGACTACCACTTTCGGAACTTCCAGTACGATTACCCTGGAGAAAATCCTCAGTGCTTCGAGCTGATCTCTGTTGTGAGTTTGGAACGAGTGCACAAAAACCGAATTGGCGGGGAGAATGGTGGCCCTGTGATTGACTGCGACTGGTCAGACATCAACAACAGAATCAAGCAGGCCATTGAAGGAGACCAGAAGCTCGGACCACAAAAATCGGAAGTCACCGAGGATGCTACAATTTTCGAAGATCGTGAGGGCTGGCGAAAGATTAAAGGGACGACCAATTTCTTGGTGTTCAGATTGAGCAAACCATCAAAGCACGGGTTTCTCGATAACGATGTCGATTGTGTCCCTCTACCTTGAGGTTGGCCGAAAGCTGAGACGATGAGACGAACTTTTTCTTTCAAAAACCATGCCATAGTTTTAATTATCAATCTCTTGCTTAGAAAGTCGAACGACTTCGCTTTTCATATCATACGACTAGCATCGCAGGCGTTCGCGGCAGTGCGCCAAGCACAAGCAGCCGATTGACCTGCTATGGCGAGCAGGGGTTGGGATGTCCGTATTGTGTCTTGGCGATTGTGCTTAGCAATTGCGCTTGCATACACGCGAAATGTTGTCGAGCCAACAGCAGGTAGCTAGCCAGCCACTTGACATGTGTTCTCCGCTGCAGGCTCAGTGCTACTGGCCGGAGCTTCTCGGTGTCTCCTTTCAGTCATGCAAAATTGCTGTAAGAGGAGGTGTGGTTTGACGAGGATCGCAGTGACACAATTCGTGGTCATGCAGCTCACTGTTGGCTCACAGGGAATTGATACATTCCACTTAAGTGTCTCGATGTGTCCGTCACCTCGACAAGGTTGCAGCCGTTAGTGTTGATTTCCCGGAGTGCGACGCATATTTAGGGTGCAGTCGTCAAACGGTGCCATGAGTCCTTGGCTGGTATGCTCTACCGAGCTCTCCTACTGTGTCCCATGGAGACCAGCTTGTGGGTGTTTGATTTGTGCTGAGTTCTTCTTGTTTTGAACGCGACAAAATAACGGCGCCTTGCAACTGCTACAGTCCACATCCCATCTCCTGCGAAGCACCGCGCTCAAGCTGTCTGTTCAGTAGTCGGTGCACTAGGTTGAACGACTCACGAGCACATGTCTTATGATGCTGCCAGTGAATTGCTCGGTCTCATGCAAAATGGTCGTATGTTGTCTCTGCTCTGCTCATCACGCGCTCAGAAGCTAACGTTTGCAGTATCACATCAGCAGCTTGAGCATCTTGCTGCCATGAAGCAATGTATCAAGCGCGAAATCATCGAAGTACGCTGGGCCCCTATCTCGCGAGCATTGACTAATTGTAACAGACGTCAGCCGTTCGGCCGCTTTTTCAAGCACTTACTTGGGGCTTGCCTGCTGCCAATACACAAATCAGTAGTCAGAGCTTGACACTAGCCCATGGCGCGCTTCGGAGACTCAATCTTCAAGATGGGAGCTTGCTTGGCCCGGTCTTACCCCTCGTTCTACCACTCTTCATCAACAAACTTGGGGATGCAAACGAAAAGGTCAGAGATTTGGCGCGAGACTGTCTAGCAGTGGCATGGAAGTCGTGCGGCGCTGAGGTGGAGCGCGCAGTCAAAGAACTTGGCTACAGACACCAAGGCTGGCTCGTGAGGCGCAATTCAATACAATGGACGCTGAAGATGAGCAGAGATAAACCTACAGGCTTTGTGTCTCGGCCTTTCATTGGATTCCTGATTGCGTGTCTGGAAGATGGAAGAGAGGAAATACGAGAAAGTGCAAAGGACGCGATCGTTGAGCTCTGTGAGCCACTACCGCCGCACGCGCGTGCTGATCTCCGTCGGGAATTGTACATGCAGAAGGTCCGCAAGCCTATGGTCGACTTCATTCTCACTGCCTTGGACATACCGGACGGTCCAGATCTGTCGACAGGCAGAGCCGTACAACCTGAAGAGCCTCGTCCGAAACGATCGCTACAACCGAGTTCACATTACGAAGGGTCTATTGCTGGCAGTATGGCTTCCACTTTCATTGGCAGTGTCCCTGGTTCTGAACTTGAATCTGTCGAGCCGGCGTATATTGCGTCTGCGAGAGACCTCGAGCACGACCTGCAAGCCATGTTGCTTTTCTTCGAAGGTCGTGAATCAGAAAAGAATTGGCTCAATCGTGAACGCAGTATTGGCAAGCTCAGATCTCTCTTGCGTGGCAATGCCAGCAAAGATCATCCAGTCGTTTTACTCGCGAACATCAAAAGCTTACTGGATGGCATCATCAAGGGCATGACATCGCTGCGTACAAGTCTATGCTTGGCATCTCTACAGCTCGTCAAGGACATGTGCATTATCTTGGGTCCAGCAGTGGACAACATGGTTGAGCAACTCCTAGTCACACTCGTGAAGCTCACTGGCCTGACAAAGAAAATTGCAGCACAGGCCGCCAATGTCACAGCCTGTGTCCTGCTAGCAAGCGTCTCGTATCATGCTCGTTTGTTACAGCAGATTCTCCAAGCGGCACAGGACAAGAATGTCGCGCCTCGACAGTACGCTGCACACTGGCTCAAAGTCTTGCTCGAAGCGCACCTCGAAGTCAAGTCGCAGATTGAGCACTCTGGCATGGATATCATTGACAAGATTCTGAAAAAGGGACTTGCTGATGCAAATCCTGCCGTCCGTGATGCGATGCGAGCCTCGTATTGGAGCTTTGCCGCTGTGTGGCCAGATAGAGCTGCCACCATGATGGCGTCACTGGACCCAGGCACCAAGAAGCAACTCGAGCGAGCGAAACCCGGTTCAGGCGTGCCAGACTCTGTTGCGACGCAGAAGCCTTCAGACATCAGTAGACTCTTGACACACTCACGCAATGCTTCTTCTACGACGGCGCGACCTGCCATTCATTCGATGGCGTCACATGACCGTATGGCCAAGGCAGCTGCAGTACCACCCATCACTGTGTCAAATAGCGAACCCAAAACCTTGCCCCAAGTCAAGGAGCAACGCCCAAGTGGTCTCTCTTCTGGTCCTGTCAGGTCTGGGTTGGGCAATGCAGTGCGCGTCAATCCCAGTCTGGCACCGCCTCGGAAAGCAGTCAGCAAGCCCGACGATGCATTGCGCTCCTCAACGCGATCCAATAGTTCAGCAACGCATACGAATGGAAGTAGTCTAACAAGCCATACTTCGCCATCAAAGAGAGACCCGCCGCCGAGTGCGATGAAGAAGAAGCAGGTGACGATTGTTGAACAGCTTGAGAGTGAGAATTGGCGGACTCGCGTCGATGGTGTCATCACACTTGCCTGTCTCTTGGCCAACAAGGAACCGCCCAATTCGGACGGTACCAAGATTCTCCTGCCAAGTCACGAGACACTCGCTCCCATTCTACGCAAGCTAATGGCAGACCAGCAAGCTGAAGTGGTAGATCACTTGATGGCGCCAGAAGTCATCTTTGAGATTGCCAAGATCATTGATTGGGACGCCATCTTACCGCGCGTGCTGTACATGGCTGAAACAGATGACTCAGATCGCGGACATGATGTACAAAAAGACTGTCTCCCAGCGGTCAAGCGTATGTTCAATGACTACGAAGCTGTTCAGCACTGTCTTGAGACTCTCGCAGTGCTGAAAGTGTCTGGTCATTCTGTCAAAATGGCAAAACCAAATTTCCGCTTTACCCCAGTCCAGAAACGACCCATTATCAAGGCAGTGTTGTTGTGGCTTACAGAAGCCATTGAGCGGCATCTTGAAGCTGTTGAGAAGGGTGAGCCTGGCAATCAAGCCTTCTCTGAGCCTATTGAGTATAAATTGGTGATGAATCGGATCATGTCCATGATGACCAATGTGCAGCCCACGTCAATGAATTATGGTCCCCTGGCAGCGTGTCTCAAGGCACTTCGGAAGGCAGATGAGGCGACCTTTGACAAGAACCTATCAACTTTCGAGCGGCCTGTTACCAATGCTCTGAAGCGTGCCTGGGGCGAGAAGGCCGTCGAGGAAGATGTCGGTGTAGAGGAGCCTGTCGCAGATGTTCAGCAAGTGCTTGGCAGCTATCCGTTGCTCGTTGCTGATACAGTGGAGAAGCGATCTGTGTCTGGCGGAACGGTGACGGACGAGCCATTGACTCCGGAGAAGGCTACAACGACCACAGATCCTGCTGGGTTTGTTGCTGAGAGTCCGCAATTTGACAGACTGCACACTGATCAGTTGCTACCGCCCAAAACGCCAGCGAATTTCAGAAACGCAGTCGCTTTGCTGGAAGACTCGCCCATCTCCACCAACGGCAATGCATCGACGTCTGTGTCGCCTGTGCAGGATAAGAGCAGGAAGAAGTTTCATGGTCAAGACCGATGGTACAGGTCGCAGATGCGTCAACATGTATCTGGCACGCCTCTTCCTGCTGGCTATCAAGCAAAGAAGTATCTGCTTGCCGAGCTGATTGGCAAGCTGCCAGGCGGAGCTCTAGACGTATCAGAGTTTCGCAAGTTTGGAAAGCTTGTCAAGGAGGAAGTGGATCAAAACAACACGGATGGCACAGGGCTCACGCCGGATCTCTGGGATGCAGGGAGTAGCTTTGATGTGCTCATCAAAAGCATCATTGCAGCACTGCAAAGCGACTCGCTCGAAGCACACTACAAGACACAGACCATCACACTCCTTCGATCACTACTACGTGCACAACCACGGTACTTTTCAGGGCATGAAGATGAGACTGTGGTGGCTTTGCTCAGTTTAGCCAGTAATGCAGTGACAAATAGGATTCTCGCTGCTGGCGTGGAGGAAGCACTCATTGAAATCACGGATGATGTCGAAGCCGTGGCAGGCACGGAGACCGTCTTGCAGTTCCTCTTCTCTTACATTGAGCGAGACGAAGCGGCGTGGCACGCAACACGTATCCCCTCATTACAAGTCAGTCTTGTGTGTCTCAGCAGGCTGATTGCTCAGCTCACGCGGGATACGTTTGCAGTCTTTGCCAAAGCAACGGCGAAGCTCGTCACGAAGGCCTTCAGCGACAAATTTGAGGCACCGGATGTCGAGGTGGCAGAGATTCGTCGTCGCACAGTCAATGTTTGCTTGTCGATTCACACAGTCGTTGGGGATACGCGACAGACGCTTGCTTTGTTGCATGCATTGAAGCCGTCGCATCAGAATTTGTTGACTTACTATTTCGCCAACAAGGAACGGGATGGATACCAGGTTTGAATCAGGCAAGGGCGTTATAGTCGACAAGTGTGCTTGTAGAAGTGTTTCTGCATGGGAGCTGTGTCTAACTATGCTCTTGCAATGACGGATTCTCCTTGAGCGCTCTCGACCACTGTGCCCGTTAGCTTAGGTGACATGGCTCATCGTTCGTACGAGCATGGATGGGATCCAACGAGTCGGTTGCTTATCGCGCGTTTCGATTTCTGCACTGACAGACCAGACAAAGGCTGTCGCTGCCACGATACCTGTCGCAACAACGGCTGTATTGGCTTTCCAGTTTTGTGGGCGCGACCAGAATCCACCTGCAGGCGTTTGTGTCAGTTTTGTAGGGAGCAATGAGGGAGTGAGTGTACCTGTCGGCGACCAGATGTGCTTGTTGTACGGATAGTGACCGCCTCCGCCCATGATTGAAGGAGTGAAGCTTTGTCGGGTTCTTGTGCTTAACTAGCTCTTGCGCTTGTCGTCGTCTCGGTCGCTGGGGTTAGTTCCAGTTCCAGTGCGAAGGAGCAGCAGCACAAAGCATCGCTACAGTTTTCTACAGCCTGGGTATAAGCAAGCTGCAGTCTTGTCCCTCACGTTCAATGCTCTCAACACTGCATGCACGACTGGGCCTCTCCCAAGCCTTTACCCTCGATACCCTTGCCCGGTGTCTGACCTGCAAAACACCGCAAGCGACAAGCAAGAACAACCGGCCCCTTGCATTGCTCGGTCAATCACTTCTACAGCATCAAATCTCACGTCATATTCTGCGTAAACACCCGAGACTACCGCAGGCTGTAGTGCGTGCAACGGAAAGAAGTTATATTGGCTCGCGAAGTCTTGCACCGCTGAGTCAGGGATGGGGTGTGGAGGTTGGATCTCCTACTGAAGCACAGAGTCAAGGAAAACTGATCTTTGCGCGTCATACGGAGGATAAGGATATGGCTGGTATCTATACGTCGGATGCCCATACTGCTGTTGTCCGGGCCATTATTGGCGGCATTGCATTACACGACGGTGAGGAAGCTGCTCGGGCGTTCATCCAAAAACATATCCTCTCGCGGAGTCTACCCATTGAGCAGACATTCAAGCTTACAGAGCCGCAGCGGAGTCTGAGCCTGCTGTGTGAGCGCGAAGGCTTGCCGGCGCCCATCAACCGATTGATTGCAGAGACTGGAAGAAAGACAAATTCACCTGTGTTTGTGGTAGGTGTGTATTCCGGGTCAGACAAGCTCGGCGAAGGTCAAGGAGCAAGCTTGAGGGAAGCAGAGTACTTGGTACGTTCACTTATCGCTCGAGAGAAAGGAGGAAGACTAACATACAGGCACAAACCGCAGCGCTCAAGGGATGGATGATGTTTGAGGATCCTCGGCACGCTGGCGACACGAGTGTCTTGATTGACTCGGGTGACATTTTCGCATAGCATAGACATTGCCATAGCCAGCATAAGTCTGCTTCATCCTCAACCTTACTGCCCCTGTGGCGACATACAAAATTTTCGCTGCAATCAACCATCTCACAAACCGACACATCCATTCCCTCTCTACTGCTAAGTGCTATGGCTCCTATGGATCAAAAGCTGCTACAAGAACTCGTTGGATTCCTACATGACAAGAATCCACAAGTCCGTGCTGTCGCTGCGTAAGCTATTTGCTAAATCCTACCACGCTCACCGAATTTGCTAGACAAGAGCTGGTGCCATATTCGTCAAATAAGAACAACTTGACACATATCTTCAAGGCCAACAACTTTCGTGCCATTACAGATCTGCGCATTCTCGTGCTAGATGAGCCGGTAGGTATCTACTTACTCTGGCAATTGGCTGATCACAGAAAACGGCACACGACTCATTGACTTGTCTCATCAACCTCAGTCAAGATTTGCTCATTCGCGCCAAACTAATGGATGATCTCTTCTTCAATCAACTGTTAGCCATCATTGTGGTATGACCTTTATCAAACTTGGCAAGCACTCTAACCCATCAGAGCAAAGACCATGGATTGGCTGATTTGGCGTGCATGCTCCTCTCAAACTTGGCAAAAGGAGACCAGATCAAGTCCCTCTTGACACTCAAGCGCAAGTCTCTTGGAGACATCTCACAATCTACCGAGGCCATGAACCAACTTATGGATTGTTTTGTGCAGGGTGCTGAAAAGAAGCTCAACCCATACGCCAACTTTGACTTTCTTGCAAACTTGTTTTCCGACTTGACACGTTTCGAGGAGGTTCGTCTATTCTTCCTGCAAAAGCAAGATTACGACGACACCGTACCGCTCAGTAAACTTGTTGTCTTTACAGAAGTCGAGTCGCATGTTCGCAGAACGGGCGTTGCCTCTGTCATCAAGAATTGTTGCTTCGCCGTCAAGAATCATCCTCAAATCTTGGATGAAGCAGGCATCAACATCTTGCCCTACATCCTTGCGCCCTTGTGTGGACCTGATGAGTACTCGGAAGAGGAGAATGAAGGTATGTTTGACGAATTACAATTACTACCGGAAGACAAGAAACGCGAATCGGATCCGTTTGTTGTGACGATTCATTTGGATACGCTGTTGCTACTGTGCTCGACGCGGGAAGCAAGAGATCATTTGCGGAAGCGGCAAGTGTATCCCATCATACGGCAGCTGCATCTTGCATTGCCGAATGAGGAGGAAGTGTCTGAGTGCTGCGAGAAGCTGGCAAACATGCTCATGCGTGATGAAGAAGATGAGGAAAGCAACACGATACCACCGCAGACACTTGCAGCGCTTGAGGAAGAAGATGAAGAGATGCTCATTCAAGAGCTTTGAGAAAAAGGTCACAAGAGTTTAATGATGGAAATAAAGTGTCGTCTATACAACGGTCGCTGATGCAAGTTGAGCTGCTGTAAAATGGTCTAGATGCCAAAGGATGTAGTTGAAACATGTGTGGCAGTCGTTGAGACTGTCACAGAGGTGTGATTATGTGTGTGAAGGTGAAAAGCCAGGTCTGTCGATTACTCGAGGTCTTCCTTCTGCAGAGGTGTGCAAGTGCAGAGCGCCATATCACCATGCGCGTCATTCAGTCGGCCCACTGTTGGCCAAAACTTATTCTTCCACAAGTACGGCAATGGGAACGCCGCACGCTGCGCAGAATACGGACGTGTCCATTCGCCTTGCGTGAAACAATCCTTCATCGGATGTGGTGCGTTCTTGAGGAGATTATTGTCTTGTGGCTGCGACCCACTCTCAATCTCTGCAATCTCCTTGCGAATCTCAATCATGGCATCACAGAAACGATCCATTTCTGCAATACTCTCAGATTCCGTTGGTTCAATCATGAGACCTGTTGAGACGGGCCATGACATGGTCGGTGCATGGAATCCATAATCTTGTAGACGTTTTGCAATATCAATCACTTCGATGCCAGCAGATGCCTTGAGATCTTTTGTATCCAGTATGAACTCGTGCGCACAATGTCCATTCGTGTTGGTATACAACAATTTGTAGTGTGGGGCGAGTTTCTTGGCCATGTAGTTGGCATTGAGGAGTGCCATGCGTGTTGCGTGTGTCAGACCCTCAGCACCAAGCATCTTGATGTATGCCCATGTGATTGGCAAGATGGACGCTGAACCCCAGGGAGCAGCAGCGACGGGTGAAATGGCATGTTCGCCACCTGTCGCAATGACTGGGTGACCTGGTAGAAATGGTGCGAGATGCTTCTTCACGCCAACAGGTCCCACGCCTGGACCACCACCGCCGTGTGGAATACAGAACGTCTTGTGCAGGTTGAGGTGACAGACATCAGCACCAATCTCACCGGGTGAGCAAAGTCCCACCTGAGCATTCATGTTTGCACCATCCATATAGACTTGTCCACCATGCTTGTGAATCACATCAATCGCAGCCTTGACCTGTGGTTCAAATACACCAAAGGTAGAAGGATACGTGACCATAAAGGCAGCCAAGTTCTTGGCATACTTGACAGCTTTCGCCTCCAAATCAGCCATGTCCAAATC